CTGCATTCCCTCTTTACATGTTCGTCTGCGCCCCACCCCACCCCTCCTCCTCCTCGCATCCCTTCCCCCCCCCCCCCCCCCTATCATCCGCTTCCGTCCTCCGTCCTTCCGCCTTTCCTCCGCTGTCCCCCTGCATGACATTCATGACGAGTGGTGTGCGTGCGTGCGTGTCAGTTCTGGATAGTGATCGGATTGGAAACGACCTTCGTGGCGGACATGGATTATGGATCATTGGAGTGTTGACGGTGACGGTGGTAGTGAGGGGGGTGAAGGCGTAAGCGTAAGGGTAGGGATTCAGAAATGGAAATGGAACAAGAGAGAGAGAGAGAGAGAACACTGGCAGCAAAGGCAAAGGCGGAGGCAAAAGAAGAGGAAGCGGGAGAGGGAGAGGGAGAAGAGAAGAGAGAGACAGGATTCAGAAGTTCGCTTACTTAGTAATAGTATAGCCATATTGCCATTGTTTCAATGTTCCGTTTCTGTTTCTGTTTCTGTTTTGTTCGTTCGTTCGGTATAAACCTTCCTTACCTACCTACCTACCTACCTACCTACCGTTTACAATTTAAAAGTAACAAGTAACTTACGTTCTTCAAGTTATCCGCATTGAATCGAAGCGAACCTTTCTGAATCCGGGTCGATGATTCGGACCACTGGCATGATATTCATACAAAAATCAAGCACTGGCAGGAATCCGCTGACACGATGTCAACCGGAAGGAAGGAAGGAAGGAAGGTTCGTTCCGATTCGTTGGTCGGATTTGAGCTTGAGCTTGCATTTGTAGACACGCTATCAATAATATTTCTCGGGTTCAAAGTTGAATGGGTAGGATGTATCGGTCAAGTAGTACGGATATTTCTCAGAGCCTGGGGTATATAATATGGAGTTACAGTATACACATACATTGGGGTATGAAATCAAAGGCAAGGCAAGAGGATTGCCATGCGTTTGAAGAGGCGCACGGAAACTTTTAAATTGAGGTGCTACATATTAGTCTATGTACATGGGTGTTGTGTCTGACCATGATGGACATGTACTCTACTAACGCACATGGTCATGGTCATGGTCATGGTCATGATCATGATCAGACTTTCAAAAGGCCAGCAATTGCAACGAGGTCACTGAGAGCTAAAGGTCGGTCTGACGGCTCGAAGACGAAACAAGGAGCAATGGTCTATACTCGGAAATCGGTGACTAAGCAGCCTCGGCAATCTCCAGGTCAAAACGCCAGCCCAATCGGGCACACTGCTCGGACGTTCGGCTCGGATGGAGGTTAACGTCGAGGCCTGGCCAGTGCGATCATCAGGGAGCGAAAAAAAATAAATCGAGGGGCCTGAAGATTCGGAGAGTTCGCAACGGAGGTGAGTTCTTGGCGATGGAAAGGATCGAACAAGGTCCAGGGGGGGCAACGAACAAAGATGGGCCTGAATGGGAATGTCGGGGCCAAGATGCCGGGGAAAGCGCGAGGTGTTGCAGGAGAAGGGATTTGGGGAAGGCTTGTTTTGATCGATGTTACGGCATGTGAGGCGTGGGAGGGGGATGTACTTACGATGGGAGGATGAGAGGCTGGGGCCATCACGAGCGACGACGATGGGAGGAAAGGGAGAAAAGGCGTGTGCGAGGGGCGGAAGAGCTGCGGGAGCTGTGACTGCTTGTGACCGAAACGGGAGGGCGTAGGGAAGCAGGCAGGGCTAGTACACGGCTGCCATCCTATCTTCTTGCCACGAACGTCGACGACGACGAGCTGCCATTCACCCTCCTCTGCCCAGCTGAAACGGGTATAGGAACCGGTTGCCAGAGTCGCGGCCTAGTAACCGTTCTCGCATTGTGCCGTCCGGAGCAACATAAGATATGAGCTCGAACGGACGACCGACATCGACGGTCGCAAACGAACAGGGCGGACGACGACAAAGCAGGATCACGGTCGAGTACCACAAGCCCAGCCGGCAGTCGATCCAGGAGTACCACGACCTCCTCGCAAACTCCCACCTCCACGCCCAACAGGCCCAGCAATACTCCTCCCACTTCACGCCCTCCCGCCACCCGCCCACCCCGCCCCCGCTCTCCTCCCCGTCCTCCTCCTCAACCATCAAGTCCTCAGCCTCCGCACACAAGCCCCGTGCCTCATTGACCAAGCCGCCGCCCTCCAGACTCCGCAAACACTCACTCCCGCCCGCCATCAGTGCCGTCAGTGCCGCCGCCCCCCTCGGCACCATCCCGGACAGCTCCAGCCTCCCCCCGACGCCGGCTGCGCACGACCACCAACAACACAACCCGTACGAGCAGCCCTCTCCTTCCGACCCTTTCTCCTCCATGGCAGGCACAGTCCCACCGCCCAGGCCCTCCCGCGCCAATACGGCCACCCTGAACGACCTCTACGTCGACCCGTCCCAGATCCCCGCACGTCGTCTCTCGACCGGCAATGCCCTCTTGTCGTCCGATACCCCTCTCTTCTCGGATCCGACGGATTCGTTGGCGTTGTCGCCTACCGCGTCTACTACGGCCTATGCACCGAGCGTACAACAACAGCAGTCGTCGTCGACGATCAATAGCCCCAATGCCTACAACAACAACAACAACAACTCAGGCATCGACCCCCATCGGCCTGGGGCCGGCCTTCGCTCTCGGAGCGGGACGACAAAGGGCAAGAAAGGGATGCTCGGCTTCATGTCCGATTTCCTCAACTCGAACAAGAGACCAGAGATCTCGACGCCATACGACCCGGTCCATCTCACCCACGTCGGCTTCAACTCCAGCACTGGCGAGTTCACCGGCCTGCCGAAGGAATGGCAGCAGTTGTTGTCCGATTCGGGTATTTCTCGTGTGGAGCAGGAGAAGAATCCGCTGGCGGTTATGGAGATCGTTAAGTTTTATCAGGAGGGGGGAGGGGATGTGTGGGATAAGATGGGACATGCGCCTGCGCCGGGTCCGTCTTATACGGGCGGGAGTAGGATCGACGATGCGCTTTCGAGTCCTGTGAGCTACTCTCTGCCTCTTCGTTTCATTTTACTTTACTTTAACTAACATGAATGGGGACATAAAGCGCCCGGCGCCACCACCCCCTAAAAAATCATCCGCCTATCCCAGCCCACAGTCTTCACAACAACTCCCCCCAGGTCTTCCCTCAATCCAACCCGCGTCCCCTCCAACAGCGTACCGCACCTCGCCACACCACTCGCCTCACGCATCCCAACAACAATCCTCTCAACAGTTCCCCACCGGCTCTCACTCTCAACAATTCCCCTCCGCAGCCGCCGCGAACACTGGACTAGGTGCGCAAGGAGGGTATGGCTCGAATTTGGATAGATCGGCAAGTCAGAGAGCGGCGCCGAAGGTGCCTAGGAACGAGAACTTGTCGAGGGCGAATACGACGAAGGATAGACGGTCGCCTGCTCAACAACAGGGACCTTATGCGCACCCTTCAGCTGGACCAGGACATCCTTCAGCTGGACCAGGACATCCTTCAGCACCGGGACAAGGACACGCACAGGGACAGGGACAGGCGCACGGGCAGTTAGGATACCCGTCCGCGCCGAAGATTTCTGCGCCGACGAAATCGAGTCCGGGGAGTAGTTCGAGCGATTTACCATTGAAGGGTCAATTACCGCCCACGCCCTCTGAGCGCGAAGCGCGCGATCAACGCGAACGCGAAAGAGAGCGGCGAGAACGCGAGCGCGAGAGATTAGAAAAGGGAGAAAGGGTGGAAAGGGAGAAGGGCGAGAGGAGCCAGGGCCAGCCGAGCGCTGCGGCTGCTAGTCTTGCGAAGGCTGCAGGGCAAGGGGTGGCGACGCCGAGGAGGAGGGAGAAGAAGGAGAAGGATAAGGCGAATGAGGCGGATATTGTTAAGCGGTTGCAACAGATATGTACGGATGCGGATCCGACGAGGTTGTATAGGAATTTGGTGAAGATTGGGCAGGGGTGAGTTTTCTTCTCTCTCTCTTCCTTCCGTGTTCAGTTCTTGTGGGTGCTTTGCTGATGTTGTGTGGGGATGTGTGCGTGGTGTGTGTGGTGGATGTGGTACAGTGCCTCCGGAGGCGTGTTCACGGCGTACCAAGTCGGCACAAACCTCTCCGTCGCAATCAAACAAATGGACCTAGACAAACAACCCAAAAAAGACCTCATCATAAACGAGATCCTCGTCATGCGTGCCTCTCGCCACCCCAACATAGTGAACTACATCGACTCCTTCCTGCACCGGAACGAGCTCTGGGTCGTCATGGAGTACATGGAGGGCGGCTCGCTGACGGACGTCGTCACAGCCAATTTGATGACGGAGGGTCAGATTGCGGCCGTGAGTAGGGAGACGTGTCAGGGGTTGCAGCATTTGCATAAGCATGGGGTTATTCATAGGGATATTAAGAGCGATAATGTGTTGTTGAGTATGAATGGGGATATTAAACTTAGTGCGTTCTTTCTTCCTTTTCCTCTTCCTCTTCCCTCTTCCTCCTTTTCTCCGCTGGACAACTCGTCGTCTGCTTTCGTGCTGATATTGTGAGTGTACTATTTTTGTGCAGCCGACTTTGGGTTCTGTGCGCAGATCTCGGATCCGGCGCATGCGAAGCGGACGACGATGGTGGGCACGCCGTATTGGATGGCACCGGAGGTGGTGACGAGGAAGGAGTACGGTCCGAAAGTGGATATATGGTCGTTGGGGATTATGGCTATCGGTTCGTTTTTTCTTTCTCCCTTCCCCTCCTTCCCTCTCTCCCTCTCTCCCTCCCTCCCTCTATCCTTCCCCCTCCACTCCACCTCTATCCGCGTATAAGCGACTGACCACCCTCCCCCCAACAAAACAGAAATGATCGAAGGCGAGCCGCCCTACCTGAACCAGAACCCACTCAAGGCGTTGTATTTGATCGCGACGAACGGGACGCCGACGATCGCGAACCCGGAGGCGTTGAGCGGGATCTTTAGGGATTATTTGGCTAAGACGTTGGAGGTGGATGCGGAGAAGAGGCCGGATGCGGCGACGCTTTTGATGGTGCGTGTTTGTTTCTCTGCACTCTTTCTATGTCCCCCTTCCCCGTCCGTTCCTCTATTTCTCTTTGCACCCCCGAGCGGAGTGTTCTCCACCCTAAGCGGAGTGTTGTGCGAGCGAAGAGTATGAACTGACGGCTGTGTTTGTGTAGCATCCGTTTTTCGCTGGGGCGGAGCCATTGAGGACGCTGGCGCCACTCATCAAGGCGGCGCGCGATATCGCAAAGTCGAAGTAAAACCAGTATCCTCAGTCCCCAACCTCTTCTTCTTCCTCGTCCCCATCCCTCGACCTCGTCCGCGTCCGCGTCCTCTTTCTCTTCCTCGTCCGTGTCCGCGTCCGCGTCCTCGTCCGCGTCTTCGGTCGAGGTCGAGGTCGAGGTCGGAAATTGTAATCTAGCTACCATATAGAGTCAGAGGCAGTCGGAGTCGGAGAGAAAGAGGAGAGAAAGAGAAAGAGAAAGCAAAACTCTGTTCTGTCGGACATTTTACCCTTCCTACCTACCTACGTACCTAGCCACCCAGTTCGCGTTCAACTCTCCAGTGCCTGGCCATGTTCATGTTCATGTTCCCTCCCCATTCCATTCGTGAATCGTACAATCTGTGCATTATTAAACTCGTCATCCCATCCATTCTGCTTTCCTTACCGTGTCACGAAAATCTCTTGGCTGTTCAAGTGTTCAGACGTTCAACTTGTTTACCCTGTTAGGCTGTTAGGCTGTTACCCCCACTTTTATGATATCTCCTGCCTTTTTTCTTCTTTTCCCTTTTTTGCCTGTTTTTCTTTTCTTTCCTTTCTTTCTGTGCCGTTGCCGCGATGCGATCGATTGAGCGAACATGTACATGAACATTTCAGCTCGAGAGGAATTCGAACGTTGGATCCAAACCCGCCGACCCAACCACCGTTGATTCTTTGATTCTCCGACCTACGCAGCTACTTGGCTCCTCTAATCCAAACTGCTTTCCTTCTTACCTTCTTCGCCTGTTCGCCTGTTTGTCCGAGCTTTTGTTTTTGAGTGTTTTTTGAGTGTTTTTCTGAGTGTTTTTGAGTATTTGAGTCAGGTTCTTTCTTTCGTTATCTATACATCGGTTACTCTGACAGTGAATTGATTCTGCAATACCAATCCGCAACTTCTGCAATTCTGCAAGCCAGTACTCAGTACTCAGTCTCAGTTGCAGTCCCGATGAGAACCTATGAGAAGGCGAACGTTTCGTACGATGTGATGCAGGTAGTGGGTTCGGGTCCCTCTTCGCATATTTCGTTGCATGAATGTCAATGTATAGATACATGAGTGATCGCAGGTAGGTAGGTAGGTTTACAGATGTGATGTTATGCTGGTAATCAGGCCAGCCCAGTGTATGTATGTATCGTTGAAGCCCGTTCATGTACGGTAACTTATCAATCGGACCTTGGGAGTAATTCGGGCGTCCGGTCTATCCACCACAAAGTTCGGTCGCTCGTCTCGTCTTCGTCTACGTTTCTCTTCTATCCTCAGCTGTACGAGACTGAGTGGCAGGCTGAGCACAGAGTACATCCTTCGAGTTCTGAGTTTGCTTTGCAGTGCGGGTGGTGGGGGTCGTGCCATGTGTGGGGGGTGCGCTCGAATACACGTAACACAAGTCGGCCGCCGAGCATCCTGGGCACTGGTGCGCCGAACGACGAGCGTAGAGTAGCTTGCTGATCACGCAGCCGGGCATCGACGTCATACATCGACAGGATGCGAATCGTCCGTGGTCACGGTGGACATGTCGGCGAGCATGAGGAGGGGAGCGGTCACGTTTATGTCGGCGAAGAAGAGGCCTGAGGCGGCGAGGGAGGTGAGTGGGGGAGCGATCTGTGCGTGCGCGATCGAGGATGAGTATGAGTCTTATGAATGGAGAGGTGGAGAAGTGGGCGGATAATACTGGGCATACCTTCGCTTTCCTCTTTAGTAAATCAGGGAATCTGACAGAGGCTCCAGTTCTGAGAGCGTGGGATGCCGTAGACCTCAGAGAAGCGAAGACCAGAGAGCCACGATTCGAACGAGCGGTAGCAGTGCTTGTAGGTTGGCGCGGTGCAATAGTAGCAGAGGTGTCGATAGATATAGTCGTGCTGGACGAGAGACTAGACAGGTTGAAGGGGACGTCGGCGAGCTCTGACAGATGGGCAGTTCGGCGGGGCATAGGTTTCGTTCTCCAGCCTGAGAGAGAGCCGTCCAGGCGAGAAGTGGTGAAGATAGACATGAGAGGAGTGTAAGATGGAGAATGCCAGTGTCCAGGGGGGTGGGTGAAGTAAGGTGGTAGTGCGTCTGAGAGGTGACTGTAGGCGTAATATGAGACGGTTGGAGAGCGGATAAGCCAAGGATAACATGCGGAGGTCTCACAAGTAGAGGCAGCTTATGTGGGCCACAAACTTGAACACTTCAGCTGTGGCGATACGTCAACTTGCGCACCGGCAGTTGCCGATGAGTAGACACGATTAAGGTTTTCAAACTCCGCACATGTCATCAAACCGGGACATCGTCTCGTTTCCTCTTTTACTGTCCGCCATCATCCTCTCCGTTTTCCCTCTTTGTGCCAGGTCCTTTGCTCAAGAAATCGACAGACACAAGTGCTCTTTGCTTTCTTTCTGGTCCTGATTACTCGAGACCTATCTGTTCGCACGCTCCCAGAGTACTAGGACGCCACACTGCAATATTCTGTCGAATACTTCTATACGACGAGTGAGCTTCAAGAGTCAATATTTCCTCCGAATGTTTAGCTCAATAACTGCGTCCGACCTCCCTCCAGCGTCGATTCTCTCCAACCTTTACTCCATTTGCTTCGAATTAAAGCGCATATATGCACCCTTACAGTGGCCAGGACAGCTCTCCCGATGACTACAGATCTTCTAACAACACACCTCATCTCTGTGCCGGGGTCAGTGATGAGATGTTCTATGTATCTTCCGTCAGAGACTCCCCTTCGGGCTCGAATGCCGGCTCAGATCATTTCGGCGAGGACGACGTCTCGAGCTCTCCCATAATCGGCTTCGCATCTAGCTCTCCCCCTCTTGTTCCTGCTTCTAGTTCTCCTGCATTTGCCGCCGACACAAGCACACCCGATCTCTCACATGGTTCTTCGAGCAGTCCCATACAAGACCACTCTCCTCACAACGCTGCTCCCTATGGACACCCCATCGCCGCTAGCGAAACAGTTCCATCCCATTATAGTAAACTGGAGTTCCTCTTGCAGGTCGTTGAAGAAGAGCAGAGATCCCTTAGCTCACAGAGTGCTTCTTCCGAATCTTCGTCTACATCTTCGTCTTTGGATGCGCATATATCGACTTTCATCGATGATGCCGGATCTACTCAAGCCGAACATTCTCTTCCTCGTCCTGTCGCTAGAATCTCAAGCTACAGCACCCTCGCCGGCGCTCTTGATAATCGCACCTCGGCCTCTTCTCGCCTCAACGGCTCCATCTCTGCCCTCAAACGGAAACGTTCTACCATGGAAACTATACTCGAGTCGGGAGAAAGGACAATCCCTGCGACTCCGGCTAGACTGTCTCGAGACCACACTCTGCAGCTCTCTCAGCGTACGGACGACTCGTTTTCTTCTCCGACGCGAACAGGTTACGATGCCGACGACGATTCTTCTTGCGGTACCCCGATTATATGCTCCCCTGTCTTGAAGAAACCCAGGCTGTGTCGCGGCAGTAACACATCTCGACATAGACTCCACTATGCTCAGGAACCCGCGGCTCTGCGAAAAGCAAAGTCACTTCGATCTGACGAGTCTTTCAGTATGGGCGAGAATCGAAAATCTCATGAGAATAGGAACAGTCACACGGTAGTTTTGTCCGTTTCTCGAATACTTATTCCTATTGTTGACATTTGTGCGCATACATCCAGGGAATCTCCTCGCCTAGTACGCATTTCTTCGCTGTTACGCCGATGGCATATATTGACCTCTCGTGTAATGTTTTAGTTTACCTTCCGGTCATAATACCCGTCCCTCCACCTGAACTCATACCCGAATTCCCTCTCTGCATTGAAGACGCCGCGGATAGGCGCATACAAGCACTTCTATCCCGAGAAAAACGCATGCACGGCACTTTCGGGCCACCCAAACAGCATACCAACTTTGTTCCGGCTGTCTTTCCGCGTTCCCCCTCCGCGGTAGATGGAGACGATACTTTGACTTACGACGTCACATCGGAATCGGGCTCGGAGACTTTGGCTTCAGAGACGCAATCTGAGGCTTCTACTGCGATGTCACCCACTCGTGATCTTGTCGTGTTGACACCGGCGCCATGGCATATCGAGCCGTTCAAGACAATGACCAGAAGCGAGACAGGATCCCAGGGTACGAGTCTTGACTTCAGTCCAGGTGAGAATCTGAGAGCGGCTGCTTTGGAGTGGATTATGACGGTCAGTCCTATTCTCAGCCGTGTCTCTGCTGCCCTTGCTCTATACCTGACGTTCTGTCGTTTGTGAACAGGTCATTCCTCCCCACGATACCCACCCGCCACACGTTCGAAAACCTGATCTGTATTCTCGTGACCTCTACGACCAACTCACCAACGACTCGAGCACTCGATTCTTAGCTGCCTATCTCTTCGGGAAATATTTCTTCATCCTCGACGCTTCTGAAGTCTGTGCGGCAAACAAGGCGCTTTCCACTTCATCTCAGGAATCAGACGGGTACGAGCAGGGCGGGGACGAGAAATTGAAAAGGGCCCAGGCGCTGAAGAGGGCAGATTTAGAAGAGGGAAGACGAAGGATCGTTTGGGATTTTGCGGTGGCAGCGGTGGCCTTGAGCGTCAAGGTTAGTTGATTCGGTGTTTTTTTCGTTCATTTTCTCATGGTTGCCGATGTTGACGTCGTTGGTTCTTATCATAGATGCTTAGAGACGTCTTGCCACCGTTGAAGCCGATATATGCTCGCGATTTCCTGGTGATGGCGCCTCATGAGATGTGTGACGATGATCTTGAGGTATGCTCGAAACCTTCGTTCCATCCACTTGAAACTTATGCTGGATCATGGATATAGGCGTCCCAACGAGACCTTCTCGACGCATTTTCCTACAACATCGGTTTCCCAACACCTCAGCAATACTTGGACGAACTCTACATCGCTCTTCCCACCTTACGTATTCTGCTCAACTGCAATAGTCTCTGGAGACTCGTTTTGAATGAAACATGGAGACTTCTCAACGCTGCAATCTGCGGTAAGTACAGTATTCAATCGAACTCCCCTCCTCTGTCCATTATATCCGTCTCTGACTCTCACTCGATTATTCCATGTGCGACCTCCACCCTCGCAGATCCCGAAGTCCACAGATTCCGATTCTCACTCCTCACAGTAACCGCCCTCCAAGAAGGCATCATCCGCACCGTCTCCTACAAGCTCCACTCCGGCGACACCTGGACCGAGCCAGATCCCATGAACTGCCACTGTAAGATATTCTGCCCGGAGTGTCAGGGTGGCGATGTGCTGGAGTCGGAGTCGTGGAAGGAGTCTGGGTGGTCTGAGGATTTGAGGATAGATGCGTATGAGGAGGCTGATGAGGTCTTGGAGGATGTGAGGGATTTGATGGGGATTGGGGCGGTGAGTTGTTTCTCTGATCCTTTCCTTTCTTGTCGATTTTTTTTGGTGGTTTGAGGGAGTTCGGATGCTAATTAGTCGTTCCCTTTGTAGGAGGAACAAGAGGAGTGCGATAACTGGTTCTTGGCTCGGATGCTGTGAATCGTGACTTTCGAGATCTCTTGGACCGGACTTTCTTGCTGCTATGTCTCGGTGTTCCCTTGATACCGTTCTGCTGTCTACGCTTTAGCTTCACTGTGATATCCTTGTTATTGTCTTCTTGTCGGTAGCTCTCCATTTGTGCTGCATCTGTCACTTTCTCTGTCTGTGACTTTCTGTAGGTATCCAGTACTCATGAGGTACCCAGTCATGCACCGTATTTATTGTCTCTGTTCTCCTTCGATCGTGTTTGCTGTATTTGTCCATGAACTTCCGCCGAGGAGATGTTGCTGCTTCTCACTTCGCCGCCGTTTGAACGCTGGCCACTCGCCTCCTTGAACACGCTAACAAGCAATCAGCGGGAGTGGATTGAACTGAAGTCTCTGCCAGTACCAAGGGAGATAACCCGAGTCCCGCCTCATACCTTCTTCCTGCTTTCCTTCTCAATTTACGCTACCCTGCTAGTGGCACGATCGTAGAACTTCTCAACCAATCAAGACAAGAACGAAAGCGAGCAAACACAATTGGATTCAAAATGCACCATCGACTCGCAATGGTCGAGGCAGCTAGGCCTCTACGAACGCAGAAGTACTACCTACAAGTACTACTCAGAACAGGGAGGGTATTGGAAAGCAGGAGTAAAAGTAAAAACACGGCCAGAGAACAAAGGAAAAAAAAGAGAGTAGCGCACGGCGTGTCGTGCACGGAATTCACTTCGACGTCCTTTGAAAAGGTTGGGAGACCTTATATCACCTCATCCCATCTAAAGTAAGGAGTGTCCGATTATGAGGTATCATACCGTTCTCTGTAGAATGTCCAATCTCGATGCGGTATGAAGATATTCTACAGATGGAGGGGCGAGTTCGAGTTGATGATGATGATGAGGAGGAGGAGGGGGGGGGGAGGGGAGGGGAGGGGAGGGCGAAATCTAAGCACAGAACGTATGCGTGTACGTCAATCCCAAATCCGAATTCCGATCCGCCGAATAATCCGTGGAACTCGTGTACGCATCATCGGACGAACAGTCGCAGCTGGTGCAGCTGACGGATTGACCGTCCGACACGGTGAGCGAGGTGTCGATGTTGAGGTCAGAGTCGACCATGGAGAGATCCCAGGAGGTGCGTTCGCCGCCCCATTCGGTGCCGAAGTCGGCGTAGCCGAATTCGCTGAGGATGACGCCGGCGGTGATTCCGGCGTCGGTGCAGACGAGACCTGTTGGATTGAACAAATATAAACACAAGGAGATGAGAGGTGAAACGAGGATTTGACAGTCGTTGTGATGCGGGCAAAGAGGGATGTGATCGGTGGGAATGGGTATATTTGTGGAGTTGATGAGGTATTGTGGTGGTGTTTGAGAGGAGGACGGGGATGTAGTACGTACCGCCGACACAAGCACCGGTTTGGCAGTTATCACCGTTAGAATCGCACCCGGTACGGCCCCAAGCGCGAATACCCTTTGAACGCGAAAAGACGCGTCAACCGAAGCTTCAGGAATAGAAGTGAATATCACGTACGGTCTCAGTATCGTCGACGCTGAAGCTCTGGGAGTCTCCGGCTTCGAGCTCGACGCCGTAAGCAACCGAGGTATCGGGAACACCGTTTGGCGCCTTTCCGACGGCGGGCCACACAGCTATCAAGCATAGGTCGAACCAAGAACCATTTCACACTGAGAAAGTCGAGAACTTACTGTAATCACAGTTGTTTACGAACTCAATTGTGAAAGCGGAGACCGACGCGGCGGCGGCGAGCAGGGTAAGGGAAATGACGGCCTTCATGGTTGGAGATGGATGATACGGAGGGACGGTGGTAATGAGTGTCTGGGAGAGCTGATTTGCTCGAAAGAGTGACTGGGAAGGGCTGGCGGACGGGAGGGGGATTCTGGAGGAGAGAGGGGCGGAAAGTTGGAAGGGCGTGAGCGCGTACGGATATTTATACGCAGCGCTTGCAGCTGCGTAAAATGAGATATATGTGACCGGGCCCGGGCCCCCACGCTGATCTGACAGTGGTCAATTCGATCTTCCGTGTAAACGAGGGCGCACAATTCGTCATATTTTGGCCCATAAAGTAACTGTGGAGATCACCCTGTTCCTGGCCGACAGGACCAGGCGAATTCCTATAAATAGCATTCTCCTCCGAGCACTGCTTGTTCGGGGAGTGTCAAGGACCAAACCACAGTATTTATTGGGAGGCCGATTGTTTCAGAGAACAGTCCAAGTGCAAATAGCAGAAGAAACAAGAGTGTTTGGAGGCGTTAGAGCGATGCGCAGCGTCATCTCGAATCAAAAGGGGTTCCATTCACGAATGGCCACGCTCGGTTCCCAGGGCATCCCACCCCGCAGCTCCCGAGAAAGGGACAGGGCAAAGCTGAGTTTATTTATACGAGGAGGCGACAAATCTTCCAAGCAACTTGTCGGTACGTGCTCAAAGCAAGATACGTAGTACTTCGCTCAGGAGGTTCCTATGGAATAGTGAAGACGCGTAGTGATATCGACAGACTTGGAAACGCCTTGGAGTGAACATTGAGGATGTTGAACAGAACGAATTTCGAGCTTGTAGATACGTCACCTGGACCAGCATAGTATTGTGTACCTTAGCATACGCATCGTGGAAGAAAGACGAGAGATATTGTGAGGATACAGCCATCTATGGCGAAATGGGCTAGCATGCCGAAATGGGCTAAACGTCCACAGCTCTTCACTCCCCGCATGGAACCTCTCGGTGTTTTTTGGTACTTTTAGCTGTACATCTCATTCATGCTTCAGAATATTTTCAATCTCTACATCATCATAGTGCTCCTACAAGACATGGATCTGCAAGGACAACTGGTAAATGTCAAAACTTACAGTCTCGCTAACATTGCCAAAACTCTCTCATAAATCGTGAAATTAATCTGGAGGGATATGTATCCATACAAAATGAGATCTGGGTCTTTTCTTCGTGCAAGTTCGACCTGTGTGGTATGTTCTCACTACTTCTGGGTTAGGGAGCAATTTGCGAGGATTTTCAATGCGGCCACATATGGTAATCACACGTCACACCAGGAGATCTCCGAGAGCCTTTCGCGCTGTCGGTTTACCGGACCGCTGATAACCGACGTGACTTCGTCACAGCCCAAACCGTCATAAAACGGATGATAACAGAAATCTCAGCTGATCTCGCATTTCCTGCACCTCACCATGCCCGATAGCTCAGAAAACCATACAGAGTCAATCTATCAAATGGTAACTTCAAATCGTATGCACCAGAATGGGCTCCGAGGAAGGGAGAGGTACTTTCCGAGGTGGATCTTTATTTTGTTAGCCCATTTCGCCATAGATGGCTGTAATTGTCGTGCTTGTTTTTGAACCATCTACCCGGCCCCGGCCGGCATTGACGCCACAGTAAATGTGGCGTCGTCGAGAACGCGTCGCGAACAAAATATCGACTTGACCTTGACCAACGCGTCTGGGCGGGCGCATTCCCCTGTTCTTACCTCTACGACCGACACATCTATCTCATGAATACAACCGACCACAGAAATCTCACCAGCGCCTTCAGCCAGCTCAAAGGCGACAAGATCAAGGAACGGCAGGAGGGCCTCCAAGCATTAAAGACTATCTTCCAACGCTCTCGCGCTGTCGAGAAATACGACAAAGGTGATGGCAAAGCATGGCTCATCACCTTCCAGGCCCTCTTCGAGGCTATCGCGGCCGAGAAGTCTACCTTCTTGAAGACAACCACGAAGGGTGGTTCCACTGCTGCCGCGGAGCGACGACTTGGAGAGGTGGCGGCCACCGTCCGATGGCTGACGGAGAAGAGCTCACCATATCTGAACAGGAAAGTGACCAAGTCACTTATCTCTCATCTTGCAGGGCTCTCCATCAACAACAATACGCTCTTCACCCCGGTCTCTGTCGACTATGTCAAGGCTATTCGAGCAATAGTCAACTATACGCCACATTTGGAACACCTAGATTCCGACTTGTGGGTCAAGCTCGTGCAGCTAGGATTCAACGTCGTTTTGGGCCTTCCCTTGCGCAAGGAGATCTATTATACGGAGGATGACGCAGCTATCGCTGTTGATGAGGCGCAGGAGGAGGATTATGAAGAGGAACAAGGTACGAGGAAGCGGGGCAGACGAGAATTGAGTGCCACACCAGGTCCATCGCGTGTAACATCCAAACTGTCGCATGCCTCCATCTCTCGCGAGCAAATCGAATATATCGGTCTTCTCTCCGATTTACTTCGCTCTCCTTCGTCGCCCCTCTTAACCTCGGATCCAACGCACGAAGGTTTGGCTGAAGGCATCCTCAACCGACTGCTTTCCTTCATCAAACTTTATCCCTTCGATACTTCTCTTCACAGGGGTTATCTTGTGGCCCTATCCGCTACCCTTTCGCACGTCGCACTCAATAGACGCGATGCTGTTACCCACTTTGCGCGTAACTCCTGGAACGGTCTTTTGGACATGTGGGGCATGAAGGACAAGAGCATGAAAGAGGGCATCATTGTCGTCTTGAGAGTCCTCTTCCCATTTTACACCGCTAGCGACCCACGTTACGACAGTTCGGCCCCGAACTTCAGCTACCTCGACGGTGTGGCACGACTGTGGCAGATATTGGACAGAGAGGCAGATAGTCGTTGGGGAGTCGAAGGACTTTCGTTGGACTGCCTGCGGTTGCAGCTTACCTCCCCAGATGCAATAGGCTCATCTGCTTTCGTCGCACGGACATTTCGGTACGGGTGGCAGTTTGATTCGTCGCAGGCTCTTGCTTGGTCTATCCTTGAACTACAAGCGGATTGCGCTCAAAAGGTTGGTTCAGTTGTATTATCCTTCAGTAAACGCATGAGTTGACCGCACTTTCAGCTTTTCATCCAGTCCGAGTCCGTGCTTTCTCCACCTCGAAATTACACGCCGGTCGCACATCGAGGAAAGAAGCTCAGGCTAGATAATCCCATCGCCTCCCTCCTTGACACCATTCAATCGTCGACGTCGACAGTTTCAGCCGCATATCACCTCCAGATCCTCCTCTTCTGCGTTGACCGCCACTGGACCATCATGCACGACAAACCGCAGAAAGAGATCCTTTCCGCCTTGCTCCAGCTCCTGACAAACGACGATGTCGTCATACAGTCTTGGACATTTCTCTGCCTAGGTGCCATTGCAGACCAGGTAGTTTCTCGGCCAAGTCACGGTTCAGCAGCTGATGGAGGGCTATCGGACTTCTGGGATCCAGTATGGACGCATGCGATGCGACGGGCGTCCGTCCCCATTGTCTGCAGATCAGCATGCCACATAGCCCACATCTTCCTTCTCCACTCAAAAACCCTTCTGTCCACCCAACGTGCCCTCATCGAGGTCGAATCTTTCGCAAAGGACTTAGACGTCCAAGGCCCTCCCTTCCCATACGACTCCGTCTGCAGTTTCCTCGTGCTTTGTCTACAAGTCGCGAGTCAAGATATGCGTCTCTACAGGATGCAAATCGAGGACAAGGCCCTCGCGTGGCTCACCGATAGCTGGAGGCTTGCCGTGACGAGGACGACGGGCGGACATTCATTGGACGGTTCGAGGGTGAAGGTGCCACATCCGGTCGTGGCAGATCTTATGCTGCTGTTGGAGAACATTTGTGGATTGTCGAGGAGGAGCAGTCTCGTGTGTAGGACGATTTTGCCGGATTGTGCGATTGTGGAACAGATGGTCGAGGAGCGGAGGACGACCGTTATTCGCGAGTTTTTGCTCGATGCACGATTACCACCTTTTCAAAAATCCACCGACGCCGCCACAGTTTCGACGTCCTCCCAGACATCTTCGACCACTGCGACAGCTTCAGGGTCGCAATACGAGAGTATCGAAGCACAGGAACTCGCAAATCCAGGGCAGAGGGAACGCAAGGTCTCTTCCATGATGCACAAATTCCTCTCATCTCTTCTCCCTGATTGGGAACGCAACGACTCCACCACCGCCCACATGTCCGCCGAACGAGCCCGTCAACTCCTCGACGTCGCCATCACCTGCCTCACCTTCCAATCTCTCCTCGTCTACAACGGGACCAGATCGGACAGGAAGGTCCTGCAGGACGCGTGCAAACTTATCACGCATGTGACGCCGCTGTTGATGACGAGGAAGTGGAGTGCTGAGGAACAGGCGGTGGTGTTGTTGGGGTTTGAACCGTTGGTGAGTGCGGGCGAGCAGGAGGAGGAGGAGCCGGCGTGGGAGGGGATGTTGAGTCCGAATGAGGGGACGGGGATTAGGAGGGAGGTGTTAAAGGGGATGACATCGAGTATGGGGCGGGAGAGGACACAGACGGTGGCTGCTCGGAGGGAATTGCAGCGTATTATATGGCAGACTGCAGAGGTACGTTATTTCGGTCCCCACTCGACAGTTGTATAGAAGCTTATCATAAAACAGATTCAAGACGACTTCGCGAAAGTCATGGTCACGATGAAGGACGTTTTGCGTGCGATCTTGAAGAGTATGGTTGCCGGTCCGCAAACAACCAACATGGTTACGGATGAGGACAACGATGGGTTCGGCGCTATTCGCACCGTAACGGACAATACACCCCCTCAGTCCAAACAACGACAGGCAACCGGACCCGGGACGACATTTTCACGGTGCATCATGTCGGTCTGCACGTCCTTCCTTGCGGTTTGCCCTATCCTACAATCCTCGTCAGGGGAGCCCACGCGTGACCGCGAGCTGACGGAGATGCTCCTGAACGCGGATGGAGACGATTTCATCCTCGCAGCACCCGCTTATTTCCGTAATGTCGAGCATAGGACGCTGAACATCAATGCCACTGTCCTGGACAATTTCCTAGTGAAAATCGGTTCACTTCTCCAACAGTTCATGTACAGCAGAAACGAAGCGTTACACGCTCTGGTAGTCCAATTCCTCCAGGCCACCAGCTTTCTCTGGGTACAAGGCTCCATCGCCGATACCGATGTCGGCGGTGCTACACGCGAGCTGTGTCAGTGGCTTGTGGGAATGTATGAATCCGGAAAGATGTCGTCTTGGAAGATACGAGACGCCTTTGCTATCTTCATGGAGAAATACCTCGTGCTGGATCCTTTCGAGCGAGTGTGGACCACACCGGACGAGAAGGAGGATGGAACGATAGAGGTGTCGACTGCCCCTTCGGCGCTTCTACCGGACATGAGCACCGACGAGGATATTCGAGTTCGTTTCCGGGTCGCAAGTGCGAACGCACGATTGTTTGGCCTTCCGAGGTTGGGAAAGGACAAGACGGCCATGGAGATTTATATAGATCTTCAAAGTCGACTTGGCACGGAATTGGAGAAGTGCGTATACTCCCTCGATATTCTGTATGGCACGTCTAATCATTCCCATTCCTTTCTTTATGTAGATACGAGGAGATGCTCACTCGGTTCCTCACGCTGGGAAACGTCATGGTCGTGTGCTCGGCCGTCCGGCGGGGTTCGTACTGGCATCTTCTCGAGACACTGTGCCATAGCGAATGGTATCCTCGGAACGTGGAGGTCATCTTGCGGGCCGTCGCCGAACGTCTGGGCATGCGAAACCTGAGGGAACTCTACGACACCTACGCGTACTCGATCGCCCAGACCGTCCATGAGAACGAATTGGATTACCACAAGCTGCCGCCCTCCGTCCTTGGCTGTCGTGACATGAAGGAGTACGCCCGAGCATCTTTCAGGCCCTTTGCTGTCTTCAGACTTAGCATGGTGGGCAAGAACGCCGAGGTCCTTACTCGGGATGCACAGAGCTTCAAGAGGCACTGCAAGACGATCGACATATCCGTCGAGCAGGGATTCTTGGAGTGTTTTCCGGAAGTCGTAGCTGTGTGGCTATTGGCGACGGTGGCGGAATGCCCAAACGTTACCGGAGACGTAGAAAAGGCAGCCATCGCAGATGAACTGCAGGCATTGACAGACAAATGGGTCGCGGGCCGCGACATCAAGACTCTTCTTCGCGACAACATCGACAGCGTTGTCTTCGCACTTCTGAAGAATCTCAATGATCAAGACTGCTCTCCGGAAGGTTCAATCGCTCAATCGCTCTCCAATGGCCGGATCAGAAAGCATTTCATAGCGCTCACTATCTATCGCGCTCTTGACGTTGTAGTTCCCCACGAGCCTAATAAGCCAGAGAGTCCGATTGGTATAATTCTGCGCGGTCTCAAGTGGCTGGGTAGCATCGTCACGGAGACCGCTAAGCCTGCGACGACATACCACGTTTTGCACCAAACGCTCGCCGCGGTTCAGCAGTCTCCTCTCGTACACGAGCAATTGCGCCTGCTTACTGGTCTATGCATCTGGATTGCATATCAAACGCAGCATCACTTTGAGCCCGTCCTACTTCATACCGTCATCCACGGTGCTTCCTCGCTTTTGACCCAATTCAATCTCGCACATTCTGCCCAGTCGATCCTTGAATGGGCGTTCGAACAGTACACCAAATTGGACGATGATGCGACCGACCTGCGTCTTCCGGACGTTCTCATTCGCATATCCGTCACTGCTCACAATTACACGAAGGACGCCGACGGAACCGTCGCGACACTAGGTGCTCAGCTTCTCACTTGGCTGGATGGCCAGGTTGTCAAACTAGCGCGGGTGCCACACCTCCTTCCTCTCGTCGCAAAGGCTCTCCCAGCGTGGCCACAAGAACCGTGCGACGAACTGTCCGTTCTGTACCAGAAGCTTTCGGCACAAGACCTATCCGAGATCCTCCAAGGAACCAATGTCACATCTAACAAGTTCCGGGTCGTGCGAAGACTCCGTGATCTATCCTGCGCTGGTCGCTATACAGGCCCTCAGTTTTCACACTTGGACTTTTGGCGTTTAAAGGACTGTATACCGCCATCACATCACCTCCAGGATGTCGACGTGGACGCTTTCACAGCGCTGCTACTCGAACATAAGGGTCAGATTCACAGTTTTGGCACGAATCCCCTGAGCGCACAAGTACAAGACGCCCGTCTTATTCCGCAAGAGGGCTCGCCAGACGGAACAGCTGAAGATGGGCCTTTGGTCTCTGAGCTTTGGATCCTTGAACACCTCCTGACGGCGTTGGACTCGGATTCCTCTTCACGCATTCATGTAGCTTACTCGGTTCTTCGAACGCTCGCCTCCACCGAGTTGCCGAAGATATTGTCATGGTCAACGGCGCATGTCACAGAGGTGCAATACTTCCGCGACTGCCCGAGGCCTGCACTCTCGAGGCCAGCCATCGACGTCGCCATTCTTTTGCGGTCTGAGGATTACAGAACGGCGACCAAAGACTTCACTACATGGATCTCCTCTGTGGCCGCTGTCTTGAGTGACGCATTGTCGGTCACCAATGCCTTCTACGCACAACTAGCCCCCATCCTCCAATCAGACGCCACATTTGCGGAAACCATCCTCCCGATTCTCGTTCACACTCTACTACGGAACGAGCTCGCCTCGCGGAGCACGCATACACCTTCACTACGAGATGTCATCTCGCAATACTTTACTTCTGTTATCTGTGGCCCTTCTTCAGATGTCAAATGCCTTCGTGCCGTAGTCAACACTGTTCTTCACCTCCGTCATTTCAAGCCTCCCCGTAGCCACGATCCCTTGGGATACGACAAATGGCTCGGCATCGACTACCTTCTCCTCGGCCGAAGTGCAATCGCCTGTGGTGCCTATACCACTGCTCTCCTTTTCCACGAACTGGCCGCAGAATACGATCCGGGAAAAGTATCCGACGATGACGGCTCAGAGAATATCTTATTCGATATTTATAGTCACATCGAAGAACCGGACAGTTTCTACGGCATCAAGGCTCAGGACTTTGGACAGTTCTTGATGAAACGACTTCACCACGAACAGCAATGGGAAAAAGCGTTTCGTTTCCATGGCGCTGCTTGGGAAGCCAGCGGGCGGGGTGCGGCCGATGCAGAGGGTGTCCTTCATTCGCTCCATTCGTTAGGATTCGACCATCTCGCATTCGGTGTCCAGCAGGATATTGCGAGCGAAGGGACGATCTCGTCTTCCAGTGTGAGCTATCAGCTCGGGTGGCGAACGGACAAATGGGATCTGCCGGAGCAGAGTACCGCGGAGAACTCGGGAGCGAACCTCTACCAAGCGTTGCGGGCTGTTCACCGTGAACGTGAGCCAAAGGCAGTCGAGAATACCGTCCGGACGGCGTTGTTGCACGAGATGGACCGACTGCGTTCTCTTGGAGACGAAGACCTGGTGGGCATCCGCGAGGTCACCCAAAACCTGGCGTGTCTCAGCCAAGTCAAATTCTGGGTCAGCAACGAAGTCGACGCCAGCCTCCAAGCGAAGCGCTTGGATGCCAAATGGACCAGTTTCAGCGAGATTGACGGTGAATTCGAGTGAGTCCGTCTTTCTTACGCATCGAATATTCCAGACTGATGATACCTCAAAGGTTTCCATCATTGGAGGGCGTCATGGCGACAAGGATCTCGCTCTTACGAGCAGTGCGTCAGAGAGAGCAACGCCGTCAGGTTGGTCAGATCACAACACCTTTTCTGACACGGTTGGTCGATACCGAGAAGGAATGCTTCCTCCGCATCTCCGAGGCCGCTCGCAGTTCTCAGCATCTACAAATCGCGCTGAACTCAGTCATTCGAGCGAAGCAATTAGACCGAAAATCTGATACGAAGGTCTCACTCGAATACGCCAACGTCCTTTGGCTTCAACGAGAACATAAGCTCGCCGTTCAGTATCTGAAGGATCTCAACAACCAAAGCTTCAATAACGTGGACGCTGCCGATGTTGACGGTCGGGTCCAGAAGGCTTTACTACTAGCTCGTCTTGTATGTTCATTCGTCCAGACACATCATTTCATAAGCTCATCGCTCTGATAGGGGTCTTGGACAGCCGAGGCTTGGTTGGAAAGTCCTTTGGAGATATGGAAAAAATACTTCAATCCAGCCGCCACTATATTTGATGAACTGCTCTCTGACGCGTCGAACGCCGACGTCCGCCAGCACGCTGCGATTTACCACGAGTGCGCCGTTTTCGCAGAGAGGCAATATCAGGCCGTCATCAAGAACCCGGAGGCTATTCGATGGAAAGTATACTTCGACCGCAAGAAGAAAGAGGTCGACGATCTTAACGCCCGTTTCAAGAGTATGACCAAAGACGACCAGGACGTAATGAAGCACGACAAAGCCAAGGCGGAGAAAGTCCTCAAGGAAGACAAAAAAAGATACGATCAGCACACCAAGGCCCGCAGTGACTTCCTGCAACAAGCCATCGCCATGTATTCGCGATGCCTGACAGTCTCTGACAAATTCGATGACGACGCCCACATCCGGCTTACTTCGCTCTGGTTTGCCAACTTCGAGGATCCGGCTCTTACGGCCATGATAGGTCCCTCGACCCAACGTATCCCGTCCAGAAAATTCGTCTTTCTATGCCATCAGCTCGTTGCACGACTATCCAAGCGTTCTGGCGTCGCCAAACAGGTCGACCAACAGACTCTCCAGGCGCTGTTATTGCGGATGTGCAAAGACCACCCCTTCCATACCCTCTACCCAGTCTTCTGCGTGCTCCCTTCTGAGACTGTGACTCAAGATCAGCTATCCGGCCAATTTGCACCACTTCACACGCTCTCTCAAGTTGATCGCGGGGAAGCTGCTACCAGCATTTTTAGCCGTCTCCGTGGCAATGATTTATTCGCAGAGCGTGTAAAAAACATCGAAAAAGTATGTCATGCGTACTTGTCTTGGGCAAATTATCCTATCAAGCATATTTCCGACATAAACAAGCGCGGGAAGATGACACTGCCGAGAAACAGCGCTCTCAGGATGTTGGTAAACGTGCCAGTACCGGTTGTGACTGTCCACACGCCTCTAGACATAACGGCGCAGTACAAGAATATTATCTCCATTGCCAAGTATGATGCACACTACACGACAGCTGGCGGGATGAACGTACCCAAGATCAACGATTGCTACGGGAGCGATGGTCGGGAATACAAGCAATTGGTATGCAGTGCGTCTCGCTCGAAATTATTGATGTTTTCTGATTCTTGATCCGCTTAGTTCAAGGGAGAAGGTGGAGATGACTTGAGACAGGATGCGGTCATGGAGCAAGTTTTCGAACTCGTAAACACAATTGTTGGCCGAGATCGTGACACCCGAAGACGCAATCTCAGAATTCGAGACTACAAGGTGATACCTCTCGCCCCTCAAGCCGGTGTTCTCGAGTTCGTAGGCAACACTACTCCTCTAAGAAAATGGCTCCATCATGCTCACGCGAGGTACGTGATTACCATGATTCATCCATCCCATTGCAAAGGGTCAAACTTTCCAACGCTAGATATCGATTTGACAACATTATCGAGAACGACCTCATCAAGATGATGAAAAATTTTCGCGCACGCGGTCTTGGGCCCGAGGCCATAACCACAGAGTTCCTCAAGATGCGCGAAGGCATAAAACCTGTCATGCGGCACTTCTTCAGGGAGAAACACAAGCTACCGATGTCATGGTTTGCGATGCGTCTCAACTACACCCGTAGTGTCGCCGTGACATCGATTGTTGGGCACGTTTTGGGTTTGGGCGACCGTCACACTTCGAATATTCTCCTGGACACCGTAACCGGTGAAGCCGTACACATTGATCTTGGGATCTCCTTCGAACAGGTAAACTCATGAGAGATATTTTGGGCGGACAGAGCACACACATACTCACGACGTCTGCTTATCTTCACGTAGGGAAAGCTCCTTCGATATCCTGAACTTGTACCATTCCGAATGACGCCCGACATGGTTGATGGGATGGGAACAGCAGGAACGCAAGGCGTATTTCAACGCTGTGCCGAAGAGACTCTCCGTGTCCTCCGAGAGGGATCCGACATCATCTTGACGGTACTCGAAGTTTTCAAGCACGATCCTCTTCATTCATGGACCATGAGCGACCAAAAGATGAAGAAGATTCAAGGCAACGACACCGTCAACCATGCTGAGAACATGAGCGCACCTCAGTCAACCTTCGACCCTAGGCCACTTGGTATCAATATTAGTATGAGTAGCGGTTCCGTGGACGAGGCAGCCGACCGAGCCTTGACGAGTGTAGCGCGGAAGCTGGAGAAGACACTCAGTGTGGAGTACACGATCAATGAGCTGATCGCCGAGGCCACAGATTCTTCAAACCTGGCCAACATGTTCGTCGGTGCGTTTTTCTTAGGATAGTCCTAAAAATATCGGACTGACCATGATTGGATGCGTCGGATCAATAGGCTGGGCACCTTACTATTGATCTCTTTTTCCCCTGCATTCGGGTTACTATGACTTGTTTCCCCTTTCTCTCAAATTCTGTGCTTTTATTATTTTTGACTGTTACCACGTACTCAACCATTCACTATCTCTCCCTCCACGATCAACTGTAGCATATACCCGCACTTGCATATATCTATTCAATCGGTACTCGTTTGCTCTGACATCCCTACGCACTTGTATATCATATCTCATCCCTTACTGCTCTCAAACATTTGGAGGCCGAGGTTATCCTCTGGATGATGAAGACTGCTCTTTGATTGCTATCAACCTGTTCAGTGCAGTAGCGTTTGGCACGCACTCCTGGAGCTATGATGCTCGGCAGATTATCTCTACTTTCAAGTTGTCATTTGAAGCTTTCCCTCTTCAGCAGTCGGAAATTGGTCGAAAAGCATATGCCCAGTCGGATATTGTTGCTCATTGCGATTCGGAGCCGCTGAGCGATTGAAGCGAACTTGCTCGTGTGTCCATGCAGGCCAGAAGTATTATACGAGTACATGAGAATGCTATAGTTATTACATCTTGACATCCGAAATACGTGACTCCTCATCGTCCATCCCGAGCTTTGAGCGACGCAGAATAGGGGTTGGGCGTGGACAAGATGGAGAAGTCTCAGACTCAGGCCCGCAAAAAGCCCTATAGATGTACACGACGGCTCGGAAGCAGGGTAGTATGAAACTAATAACGAGAATCGGTGCCCCAACGAATAAACCCAGGAAAATTAAACCCGCTATTATTGACTCCTGCGACAGGGACTTGTTTGGTGCGCAATGGCCTTTCGCGATGGTAGAGTGGCTAGCACTCTCCGTTTCACCGGTTTTGGGACATTTGAAGGTGAAAAAGACGATTATCGAAGCCAACAGTGCAGCGCTGGACAGGACAAGCCATGCCCAGAGTGCCAGTCGGCGGAGGTAGGGGATACGGGAGTTCGAGGGAAGAGATTGTGGTGGTGATGGTGGTGTGATTGGGGTAGAGGTGGATGTTGAAAGCAGTGTAGCTTCCGATGGTGAAGAATGAGGGCGTAACGATGCGTCGTCAAGACTTTTGTCCTTATACGAGTTCGAAGAAAATGTGGTTTCGGTGTCAGAAGACGTTTCAGAGGAGGGTGAGCGAGAAATGGCTGCCAGAGCGTTCATGATGCGCAGAGGGTAGATGTGGATTCAAGTTGACCACCCAGGACTCGGGGATGCTGCTATTTGAACCACAGCAGTACCGCAAACAGCCGGTTCCAGGCGGGACGCAAGAGCTTCAAGACCAAAGTTCCCGAGACATGTACAGCCCGAGCAGGCCCACCAATAACCCTCAGCGGCGAGGATGTTGCGGTAGATTCAGCGTGATCGAGTACTTATTGGCCTTGTGTAGTCAGACATATCCCCAGTCCCTGCGATATGTGCCACATAGAGCGGAACAAAGAGTGGAACAAAGTCGTCGAACAAGCCGCGCCACGACTTGGGGAAGACACGTACGGATATTCCCGGCACGGGCAAAGGAACATCTGGTGCCACATGAAACTTACAAGGCGGCAGGGCCACCCTAACACCGATCCTGCATTTCCCAGTCAGCTTTGTCCTGTCAGAATGCTATCGGGTCTCATACAGCGTAGTCTTGATTTCGTGAGCATTACATTGCTAGAAAATCATTGCCGCCCGCACCAGTCACCAATCCACAACTAATCTGAAACCAGTCCACCCAAATGACTCTACTATTTCTTCTCGTGATCTGGCCCGACAATACCTTCGATGACACGGTCCTTCCCAATAAGACCCGCGGATGCCTCGTCGTCGTCCATCTTGCGGAAGACTAGGAAGTATATAGAATAAGCATCTTTTCTGGTGTACGAAATTTCTTCGAATAGCAAGACTCACATATCCAGATGCAGACTGCAGAGAGAAGGTTTGCGGCACCAATGCCGACGAAAGGCCAGATCCTGACAGGTTGGAGGTCAGCAACCGTCGCCTCCCGGAGATCTTGACATTGATCAATGTCGAATACTTACAGCTTAGGATCCACGAAGCTTGGGGAGACGATTAGAGTGAGTGCGCTGGACAAGGCATTCATGGACAAGACTATGGCGAAGACGAGTCCCTTCATCCTCTGTGGTGCCCGAGTGTACGCGATCTCGTATGACGTGACGTTGATTAGAATTTCAGCGAGGGCGGGGAGGGAGTACAAGGGAATTTGGGTCCAGATGGCGATGGGTGAGACACCTGTGCCAACCGTGCACTCGGTAGCAAAAAATCCGCAAGGCGAAGTCTCGTAGACTTGCCATTGGAGTATGGCGCCGACCACTGATGGTATCTAAGATGAGAACAGTCGACGATGCAGAACATGAAAAATATACGCACCCATACCCAAGGTGGCGATGACGAAGCCTAGGACAATACGTTTGATAGGGGAGAAGTTGATGCCCATTTTGCGCAACCAGGGGTACACGCCGAAATTCAGGATCGGCACGGCTACGATGATTGTCAAAGAGTTGAAATTTCCGAGAAGATCGTTCGGGGCTCTGTTTAGGGACGAACCCGCGATTGTTGAGCAATGGGAGTTTGTATACGAGGGAAATCAAGACATACCCGTTCGTGGTCATGGATGCTCCTTGATTGTTGGTAATGGTGTCGAGACCACCGTCAGCCATAGCGAAGATAGGAATGAAGAGGAAAAGCCTGCAAGCTTTGATAGTGCGCTTGATCTCATCCACAAAATCTATGTGAAACTATATTTAGTAAAATGGACACTGCACAGAACGGGGATATAAGACGAACCGTCATCCCACTTTACCCACCCAGCCGGTTTGTTGGGCAAGCCTCCGGCCGCAGCGATATTCGACTAGTATTACCAATTAAGTCCAAATCTACAGAGTGTAAACTGAGAAGAGCCTACGGGTCGAGCGGTGTCCCAGTTTTCGCCACCTTTCACAAGGCCAGAAACTCCCGCGCGAGAAATAATGGTCCGAATCACGTTTATCGTATCAAGGACGACAGACCCTTGCGGCGGTAGCTTTATCAATCTCTTGTACACAATCACCAACTGACGTCGAAATATCAGCAGTCACGTCCTTTACATGGGTTTCTCAAGATGAAGAAACTCATACTCACAGCAATAGGCATGATGATATACACGATTCCGGGGACGAGATACGCCAGCCAGAACCCGATTCTCTTCTCTGCGTAACTCGTCGCGACTTGCATGAATGCGCCGACGTTCACAGCCCAGTAGTATATCATGAGCATGGACTGAATGGTGGTGCCGGGATCGACGATGACCTTTTCGCCTGTCTTGAGCGTCATGATACTCTGGACCTTGACGGGAGATTGATCGCCGATGATGGGTGCGATACAAGGCTTAATCAGACCCGTTGCCAGAGCCAGGACGAGAACAGAGATGATGAAGGGAGCGATCGCATGCCCAGCTCCGATAACAGAGGGAATTGCAGCTAAAGTCAAACCCAGCCATCGGACAGATGTGGTCAGTGATTTCTCTTTATTATGATGGAAGGAGCTAGACTCACATATCGTCATGATAATGTGGGCCACTGCACCGATTGCAGTCCCAATGCAAATCGTCTTGAATCTACCCCATTTCGTATCCGCAAGAATACCGCCAAGGATGGGGAGAGCGTAGGCAAGAAACTGGAACGTCTTCACGATACCAGTGGCCGCGATCAGTCCAAGTCCGAGAGCACCAGCTGGTTGAGGGCAAATACGACCTTAGTTAGAACTGCCGAGTAGTGGCTCACTATCGTAACTGACCAGTTTCCTGTACGACAGCAGGATTGTCAGAAACGTGGAGCGATTCATAGCAGAAAAACTGACCTGAGTTCCAGCGGGAGGTGCTCCAGCTCCGTTACCTCCCGCAGGCAGAGGGCGTTGGATGAAATTCTAAGGATAAGACGGTCTGATCGGTGATGGTTCAAAAGTGCGCAAAAGGTCGTGAGACGTACTGTGAAGACACCGCTGCACCCATAGTACGATGCACGCTCGGCTAAGTGGACCAGAAAAGTCAGCGACGGCTTTCATGCACGCAACACCGAAAAGGACATACCGAACTCGACCAGACAGATGATATACGCGGCCCATGGGATCTTTCTTAAAGACCGGAAATCCGGCCAGTCAGAAGCAGATTGCGCCATATCTGGTCCACTGAGGCCATGATCCGGCGAATCAAAAATAAACGCACCCAGCTACCAAACGGAGCGTAGCCCTCTCCTCTTCCGTAGGTAATCTTCCGTCCTCGTCTCCGTACGTCAGAGCATCGACAGTAACCGCGTTGACAACGTCGATTTCACCACCAGACAACTGAGAGTGTTTCTCGTTCAGATGGTCGTCCGGACCAAGAACGTTCTTCACGTCCGGACCTCCGGTCTCGAAATCGGTCGCGATGGTTGGGGTCGCTGTAGCACAAGAGGAGTGATTATCGTCAGATGAAACGGTTGATATGAAGAGCATGTCAAGGAAAATTCACTCATGTCGGCTGAAGGGCTGAGCCAAGTCCAAGTCTACAACGATCCGAGCGTGTAGCAGCGAGAAGGCTCGGCTACGGACAGGAGACACAGGAGGGGACGCAAAGGAGAGAAGAGCTATCATCATGTGTCCCTATAAGTACTCGGGCCAGCGCTGAAAACTGAGCGCTATGCCCTGCGCTACCGGATACTATAATGGCGCGATAAGGGAAGCTCGAAGCTAGCTGAGGAGAAGACTGGAGAAGATTGCGGAACCACCGAGGGGTGGGAAACTGTTGAAGAAGTAGCAGGTGGAAGTGCCTCTTGGCAGAAGAATCTGACTGCGTACTGGCTGCCTGCAGCCGAGCTCGATAAGATTACCAGGACCATGTTCGATATGCTCTCCATATAGGCACGTCGGGATACCGATAATTCAGTTCGCGAGGGCATAGCTGGGCAATAGCTGGGTATGTGGTAAGAGGGAAGAACGGAATGGAGAAGCACAGATTCAACAGAGCACGATATCGATCCGAGAGGGACATGTAAACTTGAACTCCGAGTCTCACGAGGAAGCCTGTTGCTGGAAGTACGGTGAGCATAATCAGGAAAAGCAGTAAGACAAGGCTCAGGGATTGTCCACATATTTACTATATCGCTAAAATAAGTAAAAAGCCACTGAGATAAGACACGAACACGAGCTGCTGAAACTTTGTATTCTTCAGGAGTCGGAGAACGAGCGAAAAACTCATATGAGTTGCCGCCGCCGGCGATAACGAGACTGACATGCACGCATGCACGACCTGTGGGTGTCACCGCATACGATCGAACCAGTTGCAACTGGTGGAAGTGGATGGACAAAGAATCAGCAAGGCCGCTTCGCAATTGCGCAAGGCGACTCGCGTCGAATTCAACAGAGTCTGACGAGCGTGGGAAATTGCGTATATGAACTCCGCGCGGTTGACGAACATACTTACGCCACCGCCACAACGACGTCAAATCGTTGGGGACAATAGGGCATAATTGTAGCATTTTAATATCTTGTCTTGACTGTATGTTTTGCGGGGGCGCCAGCGTTGACCAGCGCTAGAAATATGTCTTAATGCGTATGCGTAGGTACGAATTGTATGTGTACATACTCTACACTGCTAAGAAATTCACGTACATCCACTGTATATCAATAAGTCCAATGATGGTCCGAGTTCGTAAAAGAAATATGCATCGGCAGAGACGACGCGAAGATGAAGAAAGCATATGGTAAGGGGAAAAAAAAGGGTGACGAACACAGCAAGCAAAACAAGCAATCGTGAATGGGGCTGCTGCTGCAAAGCTCGAACGAGAACAAACAGGTTCTCATAAATGCACACACACAGATCACGCATCACGCATCCTTCAGCGCCCTCCTAATCTCCCCCAACCCCTCATCGCTCTCCCAAAACGAACTAACCCCCTCCTCCCTCACCTCCCCAATCCTAACCTTCTCCGGCCTAACCTTCATCCCACCCTCCCCATCATCCACCACGCTCCCCAGCCCATCCACTCCCACCTTCAACGGATCCGCTCCGCCCAGCGTCTGTCCCGGTAAATGCGGCTTCCCGACCTCAACGCCCACACTCTTCAAATACTTCTCCTTCACGACTTTAGCCGACGCCTCGACCAACTCCTCCTCCATGCTTCCCTTCCACACCACCCTCTCCAACAGATGTTTAACGGCGACTCGCAAGATAATATACCCATGACTCGCACCCAACGCGATCAACAACGCCGTCAAATACAAATCTCTCGTCCTCGCCAACGCCACCACATCCGTCGTGCCATCAGCAGAAGAATCATGGTCATGGCCGGTGGCGAGACCGCCCGCGGTGAAAGCGTGTTCGCGCTCGAGGACGGTAGAGAGTGGGATGGCAGACGAGGCGGGACGGAAGAGGTAGACGAGGGCGGAGTTGGTCAGGGCACTGAGCCAGGTGAGGAAGGAGAGACATGAGAGCCAGGGGCCGATCGTGTCTGCGCGGTGCGGGAGGGGACGACGGAAGTGGGTTACGATTTTGAAGGCGTCGGAACGGAGTTCGAAGATGTTGTTCACTAGTGCCATCGCTGTACACCAGACAGTTTCAAGTGAGCATTCTGATCATGACAGTTAAGGAAGGGATGAATGGAGAAGGAACGTACCGGGCGCCAAAGGCCAGATAGTCGACCATAAGACGACGTACCCGAACTGTGTCACCATCTCGCTATAATCCGCAAACAGTCCATAATCAGGCAACGCGACCTCGTTCCTCACCCTCTCCAAAAACTCCCTCTCCTCCTTCCCACTACCACTACCACCCTCACCCTCCGCGAACCCGACCCTCTTCTTCTTCCCCGCCGCCCCACCACTCCCCGCCACACTCCCCGAATTCGACCTCTTCTTCCCGCCCGTGACGCCCTTGCCCGCTCTGAACGACTCCACCGCACGCATAATATACGGCATACCGACCTCGAGGAACGTCCCGATGACCTGATTCGTGACCGTGAACGCGAACATCTGGTTCTGCAGCCTGCTCCGATTCAACTTATTCTTCCCCTCCATCACGTCCGTCTCGAACAACTGATGATATTGCCCCGCCGGGATCTTCTCCGATGCGGCACTTAGCTTCCCACCTGCGGTTGTGAGGGTGGTGTTGAGGCCGGTGGTTGGTACCCGCGAGGCGAAGGAGGTGGAGGAGTGGAAGGCGTGGAGTTGGACGAAGGACATGATGGATTCGCCGAAGGGGACGTAGACGAAGGCGGAGAGGGCGAGGCCGAGGTAGGCTACGATGGCGGAGAGGGAGAAGGTCTTGATGGTTATGGAGGAGTCGAAGGAGGATTGGTGGCGGTGGTTTTCCCAGACGGTGAGGCGATCGGCGAGGGACAGGTAAACTGACATGAATTGGGGGACGGCGACGACGAAAAGTATGGTGGGTACAAGTGACTTAATAACGAGAGTCAGCACTGTGAATTCGATAGCGAGCAAGAAAAGGACGACATACGATATATTGATGTCCGGGACCTGTATAGATCGTCGTCACGAATGCTTCGAAGACGAAGATGGCTGTAAGGAGCGCGAAGAGGACTCCGGCGAAAAGAAGTATGACTGGTAGGCTAACGAGCATTCTCAGTTCGCGTTTCCACCATGGAATCGGTTCGGTAAACTGTGCTCTCCGTTTCTCCACGCGGAAGGATCCCTGGGTGCCCCAGCGTACTGCGAACATTCGCTCTTTGATCCGCCACCATTCTGTGAAGACGACAGACCAGACGAAAAGGAAGACGGAGTATGGGATGGAATATGGTGTTCCGAAGAAGTGGAAGAGGACGCCGGCTGCAGCGACCGGGATCAATGCGTGGGTGTACGAAACGAGGAAGGCGAAGTAGAATGCTACAGCCTCGCCGAACTAGGAAAGATCAAGAGGGGTAAGTACGAATGTAAATATGAAAGAATGACCAGAAGAACATAATGAACGTGAATCTTTTCGGTTCTACCATTCATCATACGAATGCTGTGGTTGATTGGTAGATATGTCTCCTGTTCACCAGCTCATATAATAATTGCACATCACTGAGGCACGGTCAGCACTGTGACCGCAGTGTAGTACCGTCCGCTTCGAACGAGTTTAATTCAGTTGCAATCCTCGAGACGAATGATCGTGTGACAGGTTTTTTGCTGCAAAAATGATTGAACAGATACACTGGTTTATGCAGGTGCCTGTGATTGTTCGATACGAAGCACCAATTGAGGCATTGCCATTTCTTGTGCCTCACATGAAAAAAGCTCCGGGCCACAATATGGTACGGTGCTTGTACAGCATTCCGAAGTAGAAGAAGACTTACCTCGCTTCTGATGGTATCAAGCTGCTCGAAACGGATGTGACGCTTGGTGAGAGAGCGCAGCCATGCCTCGTTGAACTCTGGGTCGTGAATAGTCATGATAGACTCTACACGATCCCAAATTTGGGAATCAGGACTGACGCCGAGACCGCCATCGTCTGGGGTTGTGGTGATGTATTCGTGAACCAGCCGTAGACGGTCAGAGGGAGAGAGCTGGCTTGGGTCAAGTTCGCGATCATTTCCAGGCAGACTGGCAGTGCTGAGACCATTGAGAAAGTCGGAATGTCTGTGGAATATTTTGTGCATGAGTTCGGTTTGAAGAATGTGGTATGACGTGACCCCTACCTTTCACGCTGTATTAATTTAGTAAGCTGCTGTTTCGACGCACGAACAAGAACGATAAGCTGTCCCTGCTTCTCGCCCCGACGACCGACGGCGTAAAGGCCAGCATTGTGAAGAGTATCGAGGAGAGCGGTGTACTGAGTCTCCGCCTTTGCGGCCTCCTCACGGACCTGTTGTTTCGAGAACGAGGTGGACGGGGTGGCCTTGAAGACGATGACGAGCTGCACGTCTGGCGACGTGGAGGACATGGTGGTTGTGGAAGAGAAGATGGGGAGCACGACGTCGATGGCGTCGTGGAGGGTGCCTTTTCAGCGTTGCGTACGAGGTACGACAGGGGGTGACATCACGCGCCAGACGGTGGGTGCTCGGTGGTCGAGGCGGGCCCGGCGTAAGTTCGCACGGGTATATCGTGGGTTAATTATGGCGGTTGCCATGTCGCCTCGAGTCGGCGCGAGGCACGCCAAGGACGGAGAACCTTCCTCGTCCGGATTATTTTCTGCCTGTTTTCTGCCGATTTGCGCACTGGCCGGTCCTTACTCGCCTAACAGTCTTTACTCGTCTCTTTGCCCCGCACATATCTTACCGCTCCAGGTCAGTCTCCTCTTATTTTCTACAATACAGCCCAGCTGACGGCCCCAATAGAGTCCCACACCACGACGGTGACCAATTCCTCAGCTAACTCGTACCGTATCTCCACACGTGTCATCCATTCAGCAACAACCCTCTCTCATCCCAGACGACGACGTGCTCTCTCCTTCCGCGCCCGCAGTCGCGACGAACACATTCTCCCGACATCGTTCCAGCCGACGACCGCTTCTTCCCTATCCGGCCCATATACCTCTTGCTCTCAGATACCCCCATCTTCATCACAGCCCATACCTTCACGTCATAATACGTGTAACTAATCGCGCGCTATTCTCTGCTTGCAAACCGCCCGTTATCGTCCTCTATTCGCCTTCTGCTGCTGCATCCTTGACCGACACCCCGCCTGCCGCCGTTAATACGTGAGTCCGTCACACTCTAGACCGTCACTTTCGCATACTCATTACATCTATGCTTTGCCTTTGCCTTTCGTTGATGGAATGGAACCAGTCTTTGCATGTCTATATGTCTTTGACGTTAGCTCTGGACTCACACGACCCACATACATAACCCTTCAGAGGTCAGTCGTCTGCAAATTTTCTCGCCTCTTGCGCCTCCTGTCCCCGTTTCTTCGCCTTCTGCCCATCTTCTGCCCGATGTGATGGGCGCTCTCCTCGTCGTCGAGACTTCTTTTCATTTACGTCCGTCGCCCTCCGAAAATACACCCGGAGATCTTTCCGGCGCAACTTCCGTAAAGTGGCTCCGTGCGGATCTCACTCTTTGAACGCATTCAAAGCCAACCCCACACCGGTGGTTATTCCCCCATCAGAATCACTCGTCAAATGCTTTTCTATCTCTTTTTCTCTTTCTTCTGGCTCTGTGGGTCGCCGTTCTACAGCTTTTGATCGACGATCTTTGAGCACGGTTGTGTTGGCGAGTTGTCGCCACAGACCTCATTGATCACTGATTCTCGTCATTCGCGTCGGCGTTGGTGCGCATCAAGCCCTATTCTAAGCGCCGTCCGTCGCTATGAAACAGGACATACGGAAATCTTGTGACTCCGCCCACCCGCACCCCACCGTGGCTTTCCGTCCATTGGCTGCCTAGTCCGTCTATAGAAGTCATAGAACGAGCCTTAATGGACACGTAAATAGAGAGAAGGTGTTCCGGTCGGCGTGCGTATAGTACTTATACTGCAGCTCCTTCGGATGATGGGCGGTTACGCCCCCACGCCCACCTTTGAGCGGTCGTCGTGCGACCAGACAGACCTGGACTGGCTGGCACGATGCGGGGTAGTGAGCGGTGCACGGGAGGAAGTCGTCGTGAGATGGTGTTGGGTATCGTTCACCCAGGTGCTGAGCTTGCTCCCAGTTCAACTCACATGTGACCTTCCCACCTTCGCCTTTTTCCTTTCTTCTTCTTTCAAAACCTTATCCTCCCACCCAACGTGTCGCTCATACTGACTATACGTCTCTCCATCCCATCCCTATGCGTCAACAGACATAGACACATCCTCAGACTCAGACGCAGATATCTCCGCATCCGCACTCGCATCATACATGGCCTTCTTCACCAACCACGCCGACGAGATGTCAACACACCGTCTCGCCCGGTCCTCCTCCACCGCCTCAAACCGCACCGATCGTCGTCAACGCTCGACTTCCACTCCTTCCAACAACGCTTCATCGCATCCCACCTCCGCCTCCGCCTCTACGAATCAGGCGAATTCAGTCTCCCCAACGCCGACCTCGTCACTTGACCCGAAAGACATCAGTGCCGGAGTCCAGGCGCATGCGCGTGTTTCTGGGCGAGGTGGAGGTGGTGGCGATGGTGGTAATAACAAACCCCCTCGGCAAGGTCCGAGTACCAATAATCATCGAAAGGACCAACATCAACATTCGTACAGGCCACAGACGTCGCCCGTACACGAGGGACACACCCCCTTGCCTAATCCGCACTCCCCACCACCCCAACAGTCATTACCGTTACAATCATCACAAATTCAACACGCCCTTCAGACACAAACACAAGGGCAGCAGCAGCCGACACAGAAATCAACGCGGCCGCGGTATGCGAGTACGACGGCTTCGGCGGCTGTTAGGGGGAGCAGCGCCACGTCAGGCTCGACGAGGGAGCGGACGATGTCGAATGCGGTGAAGGATCGGACGACGGCAACGACGGCGACGGCGACGGGTACTTCGAATTCTAATACTGCGAGAGAACGGACGACTTCGGCTTCTGTGCGGGAGAAGACGACGACGGCGACTTCTGCGTCTGCTGCGTCTGCGCGGGAACGGACGGCTTCGAGTGCAGCGAAGGAACGGACGACGTCGGTTGCTGGACCGAGGGAACGGACGACATCTACTACGACAGCAGCAGCGCGGGAACGGACGGCGTCGACGTCGGTGAGGGCGACGACGACGAACGCTGTACGAGAACGGACGACGTCTACCTCTGGGTCGAAAGTGGCTGCTGCTGCTTCGGCGAGATCGAGTGCGAAGCCTATGGTGGCTGCTTCGACCTCGAGCTCCGGTGCCGCTGCTGCATCCACTAAAGTCCAATCAGCTTCGAAATCACATCGCAAGCCGCCTCCCTCCGTCTCGGTTTCGCGATCATCACCTTCTCCAGCACCGGCCCCAGCATCAGCATCAGCACAAACGGGCGAAAATCCCTCACCTCGTCTGACAGCGTCAAATAATCTCTCTGCGTCCACGTCCACCTCCGCATCCACTTCCACACTCACTCCCACATCTACATCTACGTCTACATCTGCGGGCGCAAAGGGACCGTCCTCGCCTGCTGCGAGGAGGACGTCGTCGAACCCTGCGCTGAGGTCGCGAATCACGACGTCGGCTTCACAGTCGAATTTAAGACAGGCTGCTGCGACCGCGACCGCGACTGTCAAAGCGAATGCGAATGCGGGTCGACCGAGTACGGCCGTCGAGTCTACTACAACGAACTCTGGTGGGGCTGGTACGCCAAGTCCTGGTGCTGATACGACGACGTTGATGTTGACCGATTCGCCTCTTGCGTTGACGCCGCCTGCTTCTTCGACATCGTCACCTGGGTCGTTATCGCCACCGCAATCGGCACAAGTACCTTCTCCGAGGACGTTCTTGAGTTCTTCGAGCGCAACGGCTACGCCTACCACCGCCACACCCGCCAACACAGCAGCAGGAGCAGGAGCGACAGCTCAGAGCGATACCGCACCAGCTTCGAGTTCTCCAAAAGCGACCCGACAGAATAGAGGGCCTCAACCCGTCCCGATACGGGTTCCCGTATCCTCGGAGCCTACGAGACCCAGTAGTGCGAGTACGCTCGTTTCTCCGAATGCGAATGCACAGGGAGTCCGACATCATCTTACGGCGACCTCGCTCTCACTGAACGACCGTCTTCCCTCGCCCGTCTCGCGCTCCAACTCTGCGTCCCCATCTCCCGGACCCGTACAGCCACGCAAACTTTCGTTCCCCGGCGATCATCCGAGTAGTCTGACACCAGGGTATATTTCCGATAGTGGGGGTGCGCATGGCGGGTACTACTCGGGTGGGAATACGAGTGCGTCGGATTATGATAGGGATGGGAGGGAGGGGAGAGAGGGCAGGGAGGGGAGGAATAGGGATAGTAGGGATGTGGCGTCGAGGTTGGATGTGAAGAGGTTGTTGAGTAAGCCGGCGGCGCCGTCGAGGGCGAGTACGGTCAGTATAACGTCGGAGACGGAATCTCTTGTGGGCATCGGGCTGGGAGGTGCAGGGAGAGATAAAGAGAGGGAGAAGGAGAGAGAGAAGGAGAGGGATAGGGGAGCGTATGCTTCGGCGCCGGAAGATTCGAGGGCAAGGAGGGCAGTGGCAGGGGTAGGAGCTGGGAGTAGTGGGGGTGAGATGTCTGGGGGTGAGATGTGGTCGAGGAGTGGGAGTAGTAGTGCTGGTGGTGGTGGCTCAGGGGCGAAAGAGAAGGAGAAGTTGAGTGGGAGTAGTAAGGAAGCCGCTGTCGGTGCAAGATTGTCGCCACATCCGCGCGCCAGCTCAGCGGATGAGAAAAAGGTCGGGCATTCGTCCAGGGAGTCGTCGAGGTCCAGGAATCCTATTCTCGGTGGTACCTCCACAACTGCTATCATCTCCGCCACCGCCACACCTTCCCCCAAGGAGCAACCATCACCGCGAGAACGCAACGTCCTCCGGAAAAAGTCCTCCGCTCGAGCCCAAGCGGCTCAGGCACAACCACCAACCATCCCCGAAGGTGGTTCGTACGCCCAACGTTCGCCCGCCGTTCCTGTCGTCGCCGCTTCTCCATCCCACCTGCACCCTGACGCCACAGGCAGAAGCACGAGCAATAGTCCGAGCTCTAGTCCCGTTCCCCGTGGTGGCATCCCGTCATCATTAATGCCACAACGCGCCAGGCCGCCATCATCGCCCATCGGCCTTAGTCCTATTCGTGGGACGAGCCCCGCCGCCAGGTATAGCTCACCTATACCTTCGCCGAAGCTTAGTCCGGCGGCCTCGATAGCTTTGGCGTATAAGGAACAGGATACGTATCGTCAGCAATTAGAGGCTGTGGCGTCGGGTCTCGAACCGGATCAGGATCAGGAACCTATCATTTCGCGGACGAATCATAGGTCTTCGTTGCCGTTCCGGACGTATCTGGTGTCTCACGAGGCTACTACCGCAGAAGCTGCGAAGAAGAAGGAGGAGGAGGAGAAAGAGAGAGAGAGGGAAAGAGAGAGGGAAAGGGAACGGGAAAGAGAGCGAGAAAGAGAGCAGGAGAGAGCAGAGGGTTTGGAGGTGGTACTGGGCGATGAGGACTCACCTGGCGGACCTTGGTATACCGTTTATGGGGGTGAAGCAGGAAAGGTGGTCGCAGCGGATACCGACGATGATCGAACGTGGACGTATGCCAACGCTCAAGCCAAGGGTGGCGTACATATTCCTGCACCCATCACCAAACAATCCTTGACGAGGAAGGTTTCTGGCAAGTGGAAGCCCAAACCCACGCTCATCACCGAGACGCGGGAGACTACTCGACCTCGAGAGCGAGTGGATCATTCCAGGAAACCGAGTCTGCTTGATAGGAGGTCTGCGACGTTGCCGAGGGAGAGGAGGAAGAGTTTGAGGCTGTCGTTGGAGGAGCCGGAAGATGTGCGAGTTGATTTCCTTGCTGGTGATAGCGTCCCGGCTCTGCCGCCTATCGCCGGTCCGTCAATGTCTTTGCCCAGGCGAGCAACCTTCGATGAGGGCAGTCCCGGATCTGCGCTGAGTGCGAAGTTCGGGAAACTCAGGAAGGGCTTGAAGGTGGAGGACCCGCTGCCGTCGCCTGGAGGGAAACTCTGGAAGTTGATGAAGAGGATAAGTACGGGCGGCTTGAGGGACAAGTATAACCAACCGCCCGAAGACCAGTCGCCTCCACCACCTGTTCCTGCGCTGCCGAAGGACCTGTTGAAAGGGGTAAACTCGAGGATGACGTTCGACGTACAGGCGCCAACTGAGAATATGTTCTTGGTTGAGCCTGGTGCCGTCGAGCGGTTCATCGGGTCCAGAGCCTCGATGTCTGCGGTGCGGCCATCCACTCTCTCAACTCCGTCGTCATCGTCATCTTCTCGACCCTCGACGGGAACAAAACGACCTTCGACAGCGAATCCTCAGAGCAGAAGTGCTGATGCAGGTCCAAGCGGGATTAACAACACATTTGCTCGGCCGAGCACGGCTACCCGGTCGTCTTCGCCTCAATCCTCATCTGACAGGGCCTCCTCGAAGTTCTTCCACCGTACCCAGTCAGCCCGTTCTTCATCATCATCCTACGGCGAAGAACTGCCTCCGCTGCCCAAGGGTATGGGTCGTAATATTATAGCCCATAGTGAACAGCGTCGTCTGGAACGAGAAGGTGGAGACTCGCCCACTCATGTGCTCTCACAGCCCGTGCGCTTGGTGCGTTCTGTGAATGAAGCGTTCGACACACTGCCGAGCTCGTCTTTCAGCTCTCCTAGCAATAGCCGACCCTCTTTACCCACCCCGCCCCGACGCCCCTCACTCAATGCGGGCCCCACTTCGCCTTATTCCCATCCTCAAGGCTCGCCTGATATTGGCCTGTTCTCCGTCTCTGACGCAGTAAATACGTTTGCACCACGGCGGTCGAACAGTCGTTCAAGGGGCTCGCATGAGGAACCCGCCAATGGACGGCCCGGCCTGCGCATACAACCCCCAATGCCACAATCCGACTTCGGACTGCCCTCTTCCACCATACCCACGACCTCCGATGTATCATTATCATTCTCTTCTTCATCTTCTTCATCTTCTGTCCCCCCTCCTCGGCCTGCCCGAAGCACTCGCAGACCGACCAACGGTTCCCAATCGTCTGAATCTTCACGGTCTCCGACATCTGCTTCCGTTACCGACTCCCCAGAAACACCTGGACCTTCATTCATCTCTTCCACCTTGGGTCATCCCACGATCGTCTCTCCGCCTATATATCGCAGCCGAGACTCGACAGGGGCGATCAGCAATGCGTCCACTGCTCGCGTGCGACGACACTCCCCATCGCCATCACGCTCACCCGGAGCAGGGAAATTGAAGTTCAGAGAGATGGACAATGTCCCGAGACAGGCGTGGTCGGAGCAAGAAAAGGCAAAGAAGTGGGATGATTTATTGGAGAGGAGCGCGAAGGCCGGTGGGACGCTGCATATCGGGCAGGAGGGACTCATGTCAGACAATATTCGGTTCTCGGTATCGGAGGTCTCCGACTACTCGGATATGGGCTGAGGTCGTTGGGGCTCGACATACACCGTTCTATTCATGTCCAGGTCAGGGCGGGACATCCATCGTCGCCAGAGATGACGTTGCGGAGTGTTTGGGAGATGTTGTCTCTCGGTGACTGGGCATTTGGGGCTAGTACCCATCTCTTGCATGCTTGGGCTTTGCGGGTTGTTCTATTTTGCTGGTCTAGCCATCTTAGCATTAGAGTGAGTCCATAGCTCATATGCTCTAAGTGTAAACCGTCTACTGACTGTCTTTGTCCTTCTGCAGTATTGTATATATATCCCCTTAAGTTTCCTTTTGCTGCATACACCGTCTACACGCGCACTCTTTTGGCACCTGATGCTTGATGTTCCGCATTTGACACTCGACTTGGACAACATTATACTTATTCTACGTCACGACTCCTTTCCTTTCCTCGCTCTCAACTTGTTTTGTAATTCGCATGGGCACTGAAACGTCGTTCCGTCCAATATCTCCATCGTTAGTACTTAAGTATTTCGCTCTTTCCCGTGTTTCTTTACCAATCACTTGTGTTCCCTTGGTGGAATACTCACTTCAGTCATCGCCCCGTTAGCCAGTCTAGCATTCGGTCATGAATCAAGAAAATATTTCTAGTCAGTGTATCCCTTGAGACACCCACTCGGCGTTTGATACCAGCAGGATGGTAAAATATGATATAACTTTTTGTATTGTGACAGTTTACGTCGTATTGGCCGAGAGACTGCCAAACTCTAGCAAGAAGGGTCGACTGCAGCGACCGCGTAGGCATTAAAAAGCTACAGTATAAGTTGTGCCTTCAAGTTGCGCATGAGAACTCGCCATTGGATGTCGAGTAATAAACCGATCGCGCGAGGCGTGTCGCTCGCAACTCTGCACTTGATAAACTAAGCCTGCTCGCCCGTAAATATTCCTCCGTGTTCCATTTACAAGCCAGAGTGAGCACGGATGTCCAAAACCTGCCGGCGGCGGAGAGAAGACACAACCGGAAGCGGCCGAGTGGAGCGGTAACCACGCCGTTGTTCAGAAGCGGCACAGAAGGCAAATCTTGGCGACAGTAAGTTCAACTTGCTGTCTCGAGAGTGCCGGCGGCTGAGGTACTTCCAGACGAGCGGAGGCAATGGGGTGACTCGATGGAGTGCCCGACGTTAGAGTACTGATGCAGTCGACAGTCACTCATCAGGAGGGTCGTAAAAGTCTGTGGCTAGACTCGTAACCACTGGTATCTACAGCGGGTATGTGTCGGATGCGCGAGTACAAGCTATGGCCCGTGGCGGTTGTCTCCAATTTTCCGAATCAGAGCCTCCCTGGATCGGATTTAGGGTAGATGGTTTTATCCGCTAGACCATGATCTATTCAATTGCTATCCAAGAACAATGTGCCCAAAAAATACGCGTATGGAGCATCGCAACGAAGCATTCAATTTACATCGGAAACCAGACGCAAGGACTAAAATTCAGAAGATAAACCAAGAATAAAGAGAGGGGATACTATTTATGACTTTTGGACCGATTTTCGATGTTGTGCCTCGTGATCAGACAGCATGCGACTTGAAGTCAGTACCATCAGAACTGCCGTGCGCTCCGTACTCAGCATCACCTGCAGGCTCTGACCCTTTCTGGAAGCCAGCGCCGTCGACCATCATGTCTTGGTTAACGTCGATGCGAACCTGCGTCTGCGGACGGCGCGAGTATTGCTAGGGAGACCGCGAAGGTCGGAAGTTATCAGCAAACATGCGGAACTGGTTGAAGGAAAGACCGGTTGTCAGAAAGCATACATTGAGCTTGATAGTTTGGTGGTTGGAAGAAGAATCCTGCGTGGTGCCGACACGGTACTTCAGCCGCGAGTTCAGGGTGGTGAGGACCGTGTTCCTATAGGTGACGCAGAGACAGATGCTCTCAACATCCTTACCAGGTCAACTAGATAGAATGAATTACGCACGTGTAAACTCTGCCCATGCCAAGAGCGAACAGCATGTGGACGTTGCTCGTGGGCATCGTCGTAAGGATAGCTACCAGCGCAAAATGGTCGGCGTTTAGGCGTTATTTGTTCGAAGCTAGTATAAACGTACCCAGGTCACACACCTTCCGCAGACTCGGCGTCAGAGAAAGCTCAAGCGCAAGATGGTACTAGGTAGCGACGAACGTACCGTGAAAATCGTCACCGGAACGGCAGACTCGAGGGATACTTTGATAAGATGTTCGATCATGCTGTCGGTCTTTTGGCTGAAGCCCGTCCGGTTCTTCGTCAAGAAGACAAGTAGCATGCACCTATTCAGAAGGGGGAGTACATTGATACAATAAGTTGAAGGACTGCAGTCGTCAGAATAAGGCGGTGAACATACGTGATGCTAACGTCGCAAGCCGTGGCGGCAGCCAACCATGTATCTGCCCAAGGCAGCAGATTCGTATTATTTGAAACCTGTCCTACTTGCAAAGCCCTGCCAAAACATTTGACTCTCAGCCAGGTACTCTGAGGGGGGAAACTAAACATAGGAACACTCACAATACAGACGCGACGATGCCAGAAATGCATGAAGCCCACGATATAGCAGATACAATGCCAAAGATGATCCAAGACTTCGTGAGCCGTTTGATACGCCACGCCAAGAAGTGCTGAATTGGACAGGATGCCCTGTTTAAGTTCAAGTCGATAGATGGGTTACTGGGTTGCAGTCGCGATCGAACAAGAAACTTACATGACACTGAGGATAGGTACGACATTGTACATCCAGGGTGTGCTCGCAGTGACGGTAATATCTCCAAATCCGGAGACGGTATAGTACCATATGAGGGACGCGTTGAGGCATACGGCGAAGGTATCAAGGATGGCGAGGTATGAGACGAATGTGCTATAAGAAGTCAATTATGAGACAAGAGAACAGCAGGTGTGTATGAATGAGACGCACGTAGTCTTCCAGCCATCATGGAAGCAGGCAAAATAGTACTCGTAGAGCTGCATGATACAGATACCGTAAACGAAGGTGTTAATCATTGACGCAATCACGAGAGGACCCAAGACGAGACCAAGGTTGAGCCCGAGGGCCATAGCATCGTCATACGTATATCCATTGAGTGCGGCAGCAGCAGACATTTTCAGTCGAGACTGTCGGAGGGTGGCCGGAATGGGAGGGGATTAAGGCTAGTCGCACAGCGCTGTCGTCGACGTGCAAAAACAAGAAGGCAGAGATATGGCGGCCACTTTCGAAGACAGCCCCCACATTTGCCATATGTGGGGTCATATAAATCTCGTTCAAGTAATGACGGTGTGATGCTTCCTTGTGACAACGGATAGCGGCGTTGGTGCTGAGCATCCAGAGAAAAATAACCCGATGAGTCCGTATTCAAGGGAACATCTATCCTCCCTTCCGACCCGTTTTTTTCAGAGCCGCTGAGAGGGCATTGACGGTGCACTTCGTGTTGGCAGCGGCCAGATGAATTAAGATCGGCATTGCCGTTCTGGAACAAGAGCCTAGTCTTGCAAACACCAGACAATGTCGAGCCCTGCAGGGGCTCGGGAAAAGACCATAGGGACCGGGGTGGGTTACCTACGCGCATGCCTGAGTCCGAGACGGAGTAAGATGCTATCCAAATGGGAGAGAAGCGACGGCAAATTCCTTCCCTCCTTGTGGGATCTATATGGACCAAAAGCGAATCAAAATCCGCAGCGAAGCCAAGAACACGAACCTTACAAACACGGGTTAAGCATGTTCCCAAAGCTACCGAGATTAGATATATTCGAATCGCGGATTTATTAGGAAGCGCTGGGAAGAGTATGACGACGGCCTTGTCGAGATCGGAGATACATAAGGAAGCGGGGGAATGGGCGGCTGAGGTTGTCACATAGGCCAGGGTGGGCCAAAACTCGTGTACCCAAAGATCTGCAAGAAGGATCGAAGTAAGAATAACAAATATCATAGCTCAGATCGTTTTCCCAAAGGATACCGGTGTGCCTCGCAGTTCAAACGAAGAACTAAATAGACCTTCCGTCGGGCTGCAAGTGGTATCCTCATCCTCTTCCCCGCTCCCATCATTTATCGCTCAAGTCATGACTTCTGAGTTGCGTTTCTCCACTGAAGACGGTGGCAAGACTTTCACACGAAGACTTTTTGGTCTGGAGGCTTTTCTGGGTACAATTGCGCACGTATTTGTGTCTCTGTGCCGTTCCACTGTAGGACTGACTTTAATCGTGTTCGAGTAGCGGTGCCAATGATGGCTTTGGGTTCTTCTCCAACACCCTCAAAGTTTCTTTCCGTACCCAGCCATCGGACATTGCTCTAGCTGCCGCAGTGAAATCCGCCTGGATTCGTCTCCGCCACCTCACGCCCATCGTCGGCACCAAAACGGTCGTTGATTCTTCGTCTGCCTCGTCCTATCTCTATCAGTACCATGTCCCTTCATCCCCTGCGGACGTCGAGAAATGGGCGAGCGAAACCATCGTATGGAGCAAGGAGAAGAAGACAGTCCTCGAGAGGGACGATGGTCTGAAGGTTCACTGGTGGACGCCAGCTGACATGCATTATGACTATGAGCTGCACGTTGGTCCGGACGTGCAGGACGGCGTGTGGCATTTCCTGCGAGTACCTTTCGACCCTTCTCAAACCCTCGAACATCTATTGACGCGTGGCTGTACCACAGGATCATCGCGGGTCATCATTGTGTGGACGCCCGGGGCGTAGTACAACTCTTCAGTCACTTTCTGACCTACCTTGAAGAGCAGGTTCAAGGCAAGGGTATCGACGTCAAAACGCTCAAATGGGGAGACGAGACGCCGCGGTTGGCTCCTTCCTCGATCGTCGTCGCTCTCGAGGCTGCAGGTTTGCCGTTGTCTCTGGACTCTCCTGCCAAACCTGCGCCTTCCACCGCTGCCGATGCTGCACCTCCTGCTGCACCTGTGCGTTAATACTCCTCTCCTTCCTTCCTATTCCTTCCTTCCTCAGATCGTATCATAGTTTCTGACGATACTGCTGGTTGGATAGGTTTTATTCCTCCGTTCGCATCGCGCGGTCGACCCGAACCACCCGACTGGGCAGCGCACGTCCGTCATTTGGCTGACTGAGGACGAGACATTGAAGTTCCGCCGCGCATGCAAGGCCCACAAGTACACCGTCACTCAAGCCCTAACGGGTATTATGTGCCTCTCAGAGGTCGAGTGGGTGCTCAAGCGCTACAATGACGAGACTGAAGAAGAGGCCAAGGCAGAACTCGAGGCGTACAAAAACTCTACCGTGATCCCGAGCTTATGGAACATCATCGATCAGGTGCGTTTGGTCCTTGTTTGAGTCAGGCATGACACAAGATGACGGGCTGATATCGGGGGTCCGTTCAGAGGTATAAATTCAAGGAATACGCTCTGCATGGAAATGAGAAGGGATCCCCCGCTCTCGGCGTCGATGGTTTCCCTATCATGTTGGACATGAACGCGATTCGGAAGGTCGTAAAATACGACGAGAAGAACAGGAAGGTTCTGCGCGACATCAGCCAGTCCGCCCTCTGGGACGGTGTCGTCAAAGCGGCCGCGGAGGGCTATAGCTCAACACCGGTACGTGCTTTCTTCATCCCAAAAGTAAATATCTCTGCTCACCTGTACTTACCGTGGTCGGGCGTCTTCGCAGATGACCTTGGAGAGTTACATCGAACGCGAAAAAGGCAGTACTGCAGCCTCCTCTGCCTGGGATCCACGCGGTTTCCAGCTCCCCGCCTTTGTCGCATCCTCCATCGGCGACATCGACGCTTTCGGTTACTTGAACAAGTTCTCTCCGCGCGTACAGAAGAACGAGCCTTCCTCACTCGTGGTGGAGGAAATTTGGCAGAGCGACAGGATGGCGGAGGCGGTGAAGATGGTTATGTCTTGGCAATGGAATGGTCGCATGGTAATCAGCGTCCAGACAGGTGCGAAATATGTGTCTCAGAAGGCGATGGACGCGTTCATGTCGACTTTGAAAAGTTGGGTGGACGTTGTGTCAACCTGACGTCTGGAGATTTTCGTTGGTGTACCCCCTTGAACGGCTTTAGATGCTAGACAATTACATACCAGTGTCCTCGCAACTTGCTTTGTTTCATGCGTACGCGCACTGTTGACCACCATCGATCATGATTTGGAAGGAAGGACGGCTCAGCTGAGGTCGGAACTTTGTTGCTTCGGAAATGGCAGGAGCGACGAGGTGGCGCGGTTCCGCGGCCCGCCGGCGATATTTCTTCCTTCCTTTCGGCCTCTTCGGCGTTAACTCTCAGTGTGCGATCGGCGATGTGATGGTTTGTCCTCCATGAGCTCGCGGCTAGTCCGAGCCCTCTGTAAGTCGATGCAGCCGTGCTTCTGGAGAACAGGAACTTGAACAGATTACGACTCAGACAAGTTTTCCCGTCGTTCTTGAATTTCTGGTCAACCATCACCATTTCTTACCAGCATCACAGTGCGCATCGTGATCCGTGACTTTAGTGGTGTTCAGATGTTGCCATCTGATGCGGGCTTGCAAAGCCTTGGATATTCTCTGGCTTTGGCGATTGTGTTCCGTTGCGATCTTCCGGATCATGCAGCTGTACAGAAACAGTCTGTATCTAGATCTGAGTGCTTATTTCAATGTGAAATCTCTCGCTTCTTGTCGAATCTTCAGCTCCTGCTTCGGTCGTTACTCTTCCACCGACACATCAAGGCCACTGCGGCTGCCGAGGGGACTCCTTGACGACCGAACCATATCCTTGTGGTAAGTACAGCCACCATTGGAAGGTTGAACTCACTCGCTTAGTTTCTGCACATTCTACGCAATGGCGCCCATGCATCCTAAGTACCACTGTGATCTTACTTGACAGGTACTGTCGAAGAGGTTAAACAAGCTGGGAGAGGTATGGCCATCTTACGATCAACCATTCATCGACATCTCTCGTGACTACGCTTGTTCGTTGATGCTATCGACGTTATGTAAATGCCCTTGTCTACCCTGAAGTGGTCTATCCTTATACCGCTGCAGATCGGAAACGCTCAACGCAACCCCCAGTTCATATACATCCCGAATTCGCCAAGTCTAAGCTTTTCTCGCCATATGAGCACATGAGCCCCAGCGCGGCCATCGCTCCCTTGACGATGTCAAGGATTCCCTCAAGCCTTCTGGGTTCTTGAAAGTGTGGACGTTGACAAAGGTACGCTGACCGTGGTCCTTGTGTAAGTTGTCCGACTCTCCCTCTCTTGGGCGTTGATCGCGTTCATGTTTCAAGTTTTTCCGATGTCGGGATTATTACCCTCATTACTTCTAGGCTGCTGAGGCCCAAACACCCCGCGTTGAACTTGAACGGTCTTCATCCCGTCTTCGTGAGCCGAAAACGAAGTTCACTCAATAGGCACGGTGATCGTGATGGGAATACTGCGCGCCATGTTTTTTCTCGAGCCTACTAACCTTCTGAGAACGACCTGAACTTCCTTCTTCTTCTTTTGTTTTTCCAGAACAGGCATTCCCGCACTGCGCTTGGAAGAGTCTACCATCTTCACCGCCGCATCCTGAATGTTTAGACTGACGCTTATCATTTCTTGTTGGGCTGTCTTCCAACCGTGCACATTATTTATCCATCCTTCTGGCCCATTGATACTCTTGATGAACCCGACGGTGCTTTACGACACGCTCTCGGGAACGTTGCATTTTTGCTGAACACTGTGGCCGTCTGAATCGGACATTCCACCAAGTACTACTACAAGCACACTCCATATTCTGGCATTTGGCTCATGCGGTATATCGTATACTATCATAGCTTCTAAACAGCCTCTCGTCGCTCGTACTTCACTCGGGATACTTCATTCCAGAGCAGCGATTGGTCATACACAAAATCAAAGTACAGGAGGCCATATAAGGAACAAGAAGATAAAAGTGACTGGTTCATAAAAGGAATGGCAACACAGAGGCAACTAATCGTAAGAGGTACAACGGACAATACAGAGGCAATCAATCCACAAGAGAAACCACGATACAGAGACCATTAACCCATGTAAGAAATAAGTAAACAAAGTAACAACCATGTACAACCGAAAAAAAAGATACAAGCATACACGGGCTATTGGCCTTACACGGAGACGATGCGATGCGATGGTATAGTAACAAACAGTACGATTCACACTACCCCCAGCCCGGCACGACTGCGTCCTCTTTCTACCTTCTGCTCCACTCAGTTCACTGAGCTCATATTCTCCTTCTCCTTCTTTACCCGCTCGATGATGCCCAACGCCCTCAACGATATGTTCATACCCTCTCCGCTCCCGAGAGGTGTCTTCCCTCCGACCTTGGCCTGAGACCTGAGCACCTCGAGCTCGAACTGGATATTCTTGTTTTTTGACGCGAGGGAGTTGGGGTCGTAGGCAGGGACGACGATGCGTGGGACAGAGAGTTGCTTGACAGCGATGCGACGGGGACCGAAGACGGTGTTGACCATCTCATAATATACGGACGGTTCTGGAGTGGCGAGAGTTGACGTAGATGAGGCGGAAGAGCAAGATGACGTCGGTGACGGAGTCCTGGACTCGCTGGTAGAGGTAGCAGGAGTGGCAGGGATGGTCTATCGAGAGTTGAATCAATATAGATGCTTGCCTTGGAATAGTACCAGTACAGAGAGAAAGACAGAATGTTACTTACCGTGATCCTTGCGATTGATTGCCCATGCCTCTGGACTTCGGGAGTCGAAGGGGCAGTAGAGGTCGAGGAGGTTGAAGGCGTTTGTTCTTCAGTCTCGACCTTAGACGATGTCTGGACAGGGGCGATTACGACGGGTTTCGTCGTCTTGACTCGTGCGACCGTGGTGCTCTTCGAAGAAGAGGCTTTAGTCGCGAGAGGTACGACGGGCAGAGCTCGTGGGACAGTGACCCTTTTGACGACAGGAACGATGACGGTAGACTTCTTGACCACGGCTGATTTGGTGGCAGTTGCTGGAGCTTTCGACGATGAAGTAGTCGGTGCGCTCCGAGTTGGAAAAGTCGACGGTTTGGATTTGGTGGCAGTTGCAGGAGCTTTCGCCGATGAGGTAGTTGGTGCGTTCCGGGTTGGAAGAGTCGACGGTTTGCGCTGAACCGAGGGACGAGGAGCTGGGCACCGAGGGGCCACAGTGGCGGTGGCAGGCTTTGTGGAGGGTTTGGTCATAGTGGGCCTGGGCAATGCTGACATCCGTACTGGTTTCGGGACGGAAGTAGATGCGATAGGGGCACTTGCTCCGCGGACAGGCGCAGAGCGAGCAGGGATGACCTTTGGTCCTCGCTTGGAGTTGACAGAGGACACAATGAACGCAGCCGGCTTAGATGAGGCAGAAGCACGAGCAGAAGCGGTGGCCTGAGTGGAAGACATAGTAGAGCAGTGTAGTGTAGTGTGGGCTGGAAGGTCCGAAGAGTGATGTCCTTGCAGAGTAGAGAACGTAAGAGTTCAGCGAAGAGTTGTGAACTTGGATGCCGATTTTGCGCCTCGAGAGGTGACGTTTATATATTCTTGAGTAGACCCTGGCTGTTTCTCCACAGCGAAATTCAGACGGTTCCGAGGCGGGCAGGCCTCTACTGTTTCAGACTCAAGTGCGATGTCTAGGAATGTCATCACCTAGTCGAGACATGTTCCGCATGTATCGACGCCACTCTTCCTTGCATTCGACCGACATTCGAGACCGTTCCATTCGATCCCGTGGCGAGTATAACGTCATCAAGAAATAGTTAGACTGGCGCTCCAAGAAGCCAATAGGGGCTGATACTGCCCCGCAACTCTGAGGTGAACAGGACTCAGCCGACAGCTGTCTCTTTAATGATGCATCAAGGTACGCAGGGCGGTGAGGACTGGAGAGAAGATACAGCGTCATCAAGTCTAACAGCGCGTGCGCAAGCGTCGGAGAGGCGATCGTTCGAGTCGGAATACAACTAGGATGTAGGGAGGGTGGAAAAGGGCGATAGTTGGGGCTTTCGCTGACCTCATCTGAAGTCACTGAGTGCAGAACCGTGGTCCTTTTTCTGGCCGCCGCGTCGAAGAGCCTCGAGAAAGACAGCCAGCTGAAAATTCTGAGATCTATAGTCTGCATGATGTGGTAGAAGGTTCCAAGAGCCCGGGCGCGTGAGCAGGGCTCGAGCATCGACTCACCGTCTACTCTGATAACAGTTTCCGTCAAGTCCCTGTTGAGTTCGGCTTCAATCCCTTCAGGTCCGTCCGTCTTACTCTAATCTCTTCACATGAGGAGACATGGTGCTCAAGACCTGGGAGAAGCATCTGGAGGATAATTCGCGAGCTGGTCGACGTTCAAGTTGGTGGTAAATGATAGAGCGAGTATAATTTTGGATTTTGCTCCGTTACAGCGGCCCGGAGCTCCAGGTGGCGCCGCCTTTGCGATCACGTGGGGGTAAATATAGCGAAACATGAACTGCTGTCTTTTCTTTAGCTGTGATATCCCACAACCATTCACTTTGCCAAGTCGGTGACTACTGACCTCAGATGATAAGACTGATAACGACTTGCGAGTCTTATATGACACTTTTTTTTCCATACGATGGGCTCGAGATTTTCCCTCTCCCTCCAACTCCTTCCAACACCAACTTGGCTCCGACAGCGTTCACAGAGCTTGTACAGCGCACTGCTCAGGCTTCGTAGCATCTCGATCGAATAAATGTCTGGTGCAGAATCTCTCGCTTCAATTGACAAGGAGAAGCATCCTCATGGTCTGACGGTTGCCCTTCCATCCGTCTCTGAGGAGAAGCTTCACGAGACCGAGGTCGGATATAACATCTATAAGGAGACGACCGAACAAGGCTTGGACTGGACGGTCAAGGAAGAGGGTTGGATATTGCGAAGGATAGATATCTGGATTCTTCCCTGTTTCTGTCTCACTCAGGGCCTTGCTTTTCTGGACAAAACCGCTCTCAACTATGGCAACCTCTTTGGCATGAAAGCGTGAGCATGTTCATGACCTCGGCTCAGATACGGTGGTTATTCAGTCATAATGTGTATTAGCGATCTGCATGTCACAAGCTCTCAGTTTGTTAGTTCCTGTTGCATCCTTCGAATCATAGACAAGGAGACTGATTTCCCGCAGAGCTGGTTTGCAAGCGCATTCTATCTTGGCGCGTCTCGTTCTTACTCGCGCGATCGATTCCCGTTGATTTAACAACGTACAGGCTACCTCGTCGCGGCTGAGCCTTCCAATTGGCTTCTTCAACGTTACCCGACTGGCAAGGTCATGGGTATAATGACATTCTTCTGGGGTATCATTGTAATGTAGGCAAACACAGTCGTCCTTTAGCCCTGCGCATTTGTTAATAGTCGTCCAGGTCTACAGCTGCATGCCGGTCCTTCCCTGGAGCCCTCGTCAATCGTATATTTCTTGGGATCATGGAGGCTTGCGTGACGTATGTGCTTTCGTTTTCCAAGTATATTCTCATTGAATCAACGGACAATTCATGTATAGTCCTGGTCTTGGTCTGATGACGCCCATGTGGTGGAGATTGCAAGAACAGCCTGTTCGGCACCTGTCATGGGCAAGTACCCGAGCGCTCTTCCACCCTCTACGTTCAGACTTTTGATTATTTGACTCCGTCATGATCACAGTATTGCTTCAACGGAGTGGCGGGTATTTTAGGCGGCTTCCTCAGTTATGGTTTGGGCCACGCGACTCATGCAAGCGTACCAACCTGGGCTCTCATATTCCTGGTCCGTTAGCACACCGTCTCACCTCACTGAAACTACCCATATCTTATCTACCGAACAATTTCGCCGGTTTGCTTCAGGTTCTGGGTGCTGTGACTACGCTCTGGGGCATTTACCTCTTCTTCATGCTTCCAGATTCTCCCGTCAACGCTCGCTTTTTTGACGAGCGTCAGAAGGCTATTGCCGTCAAGCGGGTGGCCGCGAACAGGGTGCGTTCCCCCTCGCTTTCCTCAGTCCAGGGCACTAAGAGCTTTTGGCCTGGTCAGACTGGGATCAAGAATAAACAGTTCAAGATGTATCAAGTCAGAGAGGCTTTCGTCGACCCGAAGACATATATACTCTTTCTGGCCAGCATCGCTGCACAGATTCCGAACGGAGTAGTCAGCAATTTTTCGAGGTATGTGCTTCAGTCCTTCGTATCGTGCTCTTTTCCGTATGTGCAGCGTAACTGATCATGTTCCCGGATGATTTCTCAGCATCATCATCAAAGGCATGGGCTTCACCACATTCCAGACGGTTCTATTGGACATCCCGAGTAGTGTCCTACAAATCGTGTCGTTAGTTGGTAGTGGTTATTTGGCAGGGAAGTTCAAGAACAGTCGCGCGGTAATGATGGTACGTTCTTGCCAGCAAAGATAATGCGTACACAAAATCTCGACTGACTACCTCGTCTGTACAGTTCATAGGAAATTCAACGTGTATCATCGCTGCGGCCTGTCTGACATACGCACCTCAGGACCAGAAGTGGGGGTGAGGACGCACCAGACTTTTTTCGGATGTTTATCATTATTGCACTGACGTCGACAACGGGCTTTAGACGATTAGTCGCCTACTGGTTTACCTCATTCCAATCTGTAGGATTCGCCATGTCGCTTGTAATGGTGTCGGCGGTGAGCTTGTCACACATCCGTGTGCTTGTTGAGTTGATCCGCCTGATCTCATCTGCGTTCAGAATGTTGGTGGCTACACGAAGCGACAAGTCGTCACCGCCCTCACATTCATTGTGCGTGTTTTATCATAGTTTCCCACCTGCCACGACTAGAGGCTTATGTATACTATAGGGATATTGTGTATGCTTCATTAATCCTCCCTCGGCCTCTTCAACATCAATGGCATGATTGTTCTCTGATCCTTTTTCAGGTCGGCGTGAGTATTGCTCCTATTCACTGAAGATGTATCCACGCTTCACCTTCATTGCTCCCAGAATATCGCTGGGCCACACGTCCTCCTCGATTCCGAAGAAGACATCGGATACCCAACCGCGACTAAAGCCATGATGTCCGGGTACGCCCATTTCATCTCAGCGTTCCGTTTCACTTGAATCCGTCACTTACAATCCCTCCTATAGATATGTGGCTAAGACAGCCCTCCATCTCGCTCTTGGATTTTACATGTTCTTCGAGAATAGACGTCGGGACTTAGACGCGGAGCAAGAAGGAACAAAGGTATCGGATGGAGAGAGGTCGAGGTTGGCGGAGGAGGCTGGTATGGTGGGTTTATTCTTTTTCTCCTGTTCTGTGGTCATCGAAAAACTGACGAAACGTCGTCTACTTTGGACAGGCCGACATCACGGAGAGGGACAACAAATGGTTCCGCTATGTCCTGTGAGGCACCCTTACGACTTTTCACGGGTTATGTCTATCATGTCATGTCTATTTTGTATTCCTGTTTGTGGGTTTTCTGTATTGGCTTCGGCCTCGTGGTACGCTATACGGTCGAATTTGAAGTAGTACTTCTGTTCGCTGAGCAGGGGCTTTCACCTTCATTTGAGGGTTCGGGATTGACGCAATTCAGACAGAGGGGCTTGAGGTGAGATGAGGTTGCAGACTGATTGTGTAGGATGTGAGACGGACGATAGATGAAGGCAGAAAAAATGAAACAGAGATGAAAGAATGACGTGATGCATATAATATACGAAACCGGCAGAAAGGGAAGAAGGAGGGAAAAAAGAGAGGACATCCGCGAAACAGAAACAGATTCACATACCCGTAGCCCCAAAAGTCGAGAAGAGTCAAACACAGAACGGAACAGAACAGAACAGAACAAAACAGACGAGACAAGAACGGTTACGCGCGCAGTAGATCCAGAACGAGGATCAAAGTAGGTACGATGGGCCAGGGGGACAAGTAAGAAAGAGTAATGCGACAAAGGTGAAGGAATGTGAACTCACAAGATGGCAGCGGCTGGACAGCGTCCGACTGACACATTATGGTATAACATACAAGCCTCGACGAGTAGATGAAGGCAAGTTATAGATGTTTGAGGTATGGCTGCGAATAATACTGAGGAGCGGGAAGGCTGGAGAAAAAAAGTCCCTAGCGGAGCTAAACGTACGCAGAGAAGAGGGGAAAGACATGTATGTATAAAGGAGGGTGTAGGTATTGAGCGGACATGAAATCTGCTGGAGGAGATACTGATGGCGTTGCGTTGAGGCCCGAGAAAAGTTAACAGGGTCATAAAGGTATGACCAGGCGGAAATGACAGACTGAGAGCTCTGGACAACCTCCACAAGTCCTCGGAGGATAAAATATACAGGAAAATAAGAGGACACCACCTAGATCAACGACCCATTCTGGGGCTGCTGCTGCTGTTTCGACGCATCCTGTCCATACGCACCTCCAAACAAACTCGCTCCCATGCCCGTACCAGCTCCACCAAATCCATTCATCCCCGTCTGTTGTCCAAACATCTGACCACCCGATCCAGCCCCTGTCGCGTTCGAACCAAACGCCGGCGCCGAAGGCGAACTCGAGAATCCTCCCAGCCCTCCGAATCCGCCATTGCCACCTCCCGTCGGCTGAGCGAACATCGTCGCTCTGAACGGATTCGCACCCGGTGCCGCTCCGGTCATCTGTGGCCTCATTCCTACACCTGTCCCAGAGCTGAATCCTCCACTCCCACCACCAAATGCGGACATTCCACCCGCCCCCGTTGGCTGCGACCCTATTCCAGCAGCACCAGGGTTGAAGCTGCTGTTTCCATTCGGAACTGGAGAAGTGGGCTGAGATCCAGGTGTGGTAGGTGCGGATTGGGGAATAGGGGGCAACGATTCCAACAAGCTTGCACCGAACGAAGACGTAGGCTTGAATGCCTTCAGACCTGCAGAGTACCCCGTCGCCTGAGGCTGCAGCGTTGACGGCGTGAAGCTGAAGGAGGGATTGCCACTACCCGTGCCGTTAGATGTACTAGTCGCACCGGTTGGCTGACTCCCAAGAGCGGAGAAGATCGAGTCGGAGAATGTGCCGGACGTGACGGTAGTGGATGTGTTCTGGCTTGTCAACGGCGAACCCAACCCACTGAGGCCAGGCAAAGTCGGCAGACCTGAAGCCGGCGACTTGTTCGCGTCTTCAGAGCCTGAAGGTTTGTTGAACGAGAAAGAGGTAGCAACGCTAGACATGCCTGAGCCCTGCTGTGGGTTTGACGGTGCACTTGGAATGAAAGTGCTATTGAAACCAGTCGGCTGTGGTTGAATCTGATTTCCTCCCTGTCCCGTTTGCTGCTGCTGCTGTAGTTGTTGCTGTTGCTGGATAGCATTGAATCCTCCACCCATGGCCAGCTCCATCAAAGTAGGTGGCTTAGGCACAGGCGGTACATTCTGCACCGGCACACCGAACGGATTCCTAGAACCTGTCTGATGCGTCTTGACAGGCTGAGGTGGCGGGGACGCACTCTTGCCTGCCCCTCCAATCCCGAAACTCGTAATGGGCGTGCTAGCAGGTCGTGCAGGCGGTGCAATATTGGCATTCGGGTTTCCGGTGGGCTGAGCGGCGAAGGGAGAATTGTTGGTCGATGGTGCGTTTGGCTGGAACGCATTGAACGCGGGAGTGGTCGCGGAGTTGGGGAGGGTGACTGAATGGTGAGGAAAAGGCGAGAAGCCCGTGGGTTGCATCGGAAGAGGAGTCGTGTTGCCTGTGGGTTGGAATTGTTGTGGCTGCTGCTGGGGGCTGGGTGCACCGAGACCAAAGGGTGACATTCCTGTGGGCTGCGGCGCCATCATGCTTTGACGGAACGGATTGGCACCCGTAGCCTGTGGCTGCAGCATTCCTGTCGGCTGAGGCTGGAGGAAACTGGAGAACGACGGGTGTTGTTGTGGATGCTGTTGCGGCTGCTGTTGGAAATTTGGCATAGCGGTGAACTGAGGTTGAAGGAAGCCGGTCTGCATTGGCATTTGCGGTTGAACGAAGGGCTGTTGGCCTGGGAATGCGCCTGTCATTTGCTGACGAAGGGCGAACGGGTTGTGGGTAGCTTGTTGCTGGAAGTACTGATTCGTCGGGCTAGTGACGTCAAATACATTCGATCAACGATGTTCTCATATGAATGAGAAAGGAAACCACGGACCTGCCAGTCTGCGGGTTGAACATGGTTGGCTGCTCCTCTTCAATCGCAGAGAAGAAGTCGGCCATGGCCTTGCTGGCATCCGGTTTGGCTCCATCGGCAGACGTAGAGGCTTCCGAGTTCTTCGTTTCCGGCTGAGGAGAAGGTACTGTAGAGGGACAACGTGATACAAGTCAGAAAGCCGGAACCGTCGGTCAGGAGGAATTGCAGACCCTTCGGAGTACGACTACCCGACGGTTTGCTCGTTCCGTTCTTCAGACTCCGTTCAGCCGCATCTTTGTTCGTCTTGTACTCTATCCGGTTCTGCTCAAAGTTGGGATCTGTGAGGTATTCTTCCAGAGCGCCGACGAGTGACACAGGGGCCTAATTTTATGGTTATGACGAATGGCAACACGAAGAAAAAGTGTATGTCCATACGTGTTTCAGATTTGGGATGGGTACGTTGAGGATGTTCTGCAGTTTCTTCGCGACACCGAGATATTCGACGACATATTCAGTTTGCTTGCAGAAATGCCGGTAGATGGATAGGGCTTGCTCGGCATCGACGTGGGACATCTCGAAGTAGTGCTCTACAGTGGCGTCAGTAGAACCGCAGCCATGTGGGACGATTGATGCGCACCTAGGACATTGATAACACCCTCATTGCCTGCCTGGAATAAGATGAGAAGATCCTTCACCAACATCCGCAACGCGGTGACCGACAGCTCGTCATCGAGATTATCCAGGTAAAACTGAACGGTGCACACAAATCAAGTTCACCGGCAAATCCCCGATCATAACGGTGTCCACTCACCCTGCATTCGACCAGAGCGTCGATCATCTTCTGCACCACTCTCGTCTCTCTCAACAGACCTTTCTCTACCGTCATCACCCTCAACTTCCGGCCCGAAATAGTTTTGCTTCTCGACGGTGCTTTCTGCGGGGGAGAATCGTTTTTAGAACGGTTTCGGCGTGCTTCCTCCTCGAGGGACATGGAGAGACGAGTGTCACGGTTGTTCTCGGCTTGGACATGAATGGCGTCGTGTTTGAGTTCGCGGTAGGCCCGTATGCGTGAATTAAGATATGTGGCGTAATTTTGAAGATTCTCCGGAGCGTTGTATCCTAGACGCGGAGAACCACCCACGTTGAGTGAGCGAATGATGAAGAGTGTGGCGCTGCGTACCTTCCCATTGACCGGTGGACACATTCTTCAAGCGCAATACTTCAGATGAAGATAGATATGAAAGGACATTATCCGTTGCGCCGTTACGAATCATGGTATGCAGCACGATGAGCGCTTTGAACACGACCTGTTGGCAGTGCCTGCACGTAAGAGACAGCGATCATTGCAGGACGAATGGAAGCGTACGATGGCATTTGGTTCTCGAAACCGAGGCGAAAGGGCCTTGCAGACATCGTGGACCGCACCATCCTCCGACCATGTTGCAGCAATAATCGGGTCCAGGTACTAATCACGGCGAGTTCGGCTGTGATGAGCATGGTCGGACAGCAGAAGCAGGAGATCAGGGCGCACCTTGGCCTTTGGTGGTGCTAGCTTTGGCTTGCAGGCGTTCTTGATGACCTTCTCGAAGCTCATTGGGGGCCGTAGTCGTCGTCGGCGACGACGAGCTCGAGTCCGGAAGAGATGAACGTGGAATGCGTCCGAATGTGAACGCCCGCGCCGGCAGATCCCGCTGAGCGGGGCCGATTGTACTGCACTCGCTATTTTTGGACTGGGGTACACAGCAGACATGACGTGCGTCGAAAATCCAGCAAACAGCTGCGACAACCTCTTCGCGCAGCAGCCCGGTTCTTTCTCTGCTTTTCCTTCCTTTTACTTTCTTTCATTATCCCATTCGCCGTCTTGCTAGAACCTCGGCACGCTTACGACTTGCTTCACCTTCAATTGCTGCCTCTCCACGGTTACGCCACACTCGGTTTTGCGAAGTACTGATAACAATAGCTCGGCTACATAGTCTTCGCGTGATCTTAGCAAGTATAATTCTAGACGGCTACCTTGTATCTACCGTAAGTCGTCTGTGGTTTGGTTCATTTCTATGGGCAATGGCTATGGCACTCATCGTTCATTTCCCTTTGCAGCCTCGTCGAGAGAGACCGTGCCACATCAGCACACCGGCGGGAGCAATACCATAGATCTGACTGGACTGGCTACATCTATCTCTAGAGTCCTTTCACCACTCCCTCGAGGCTGGTATTTCGATGAAGCTTGCTAGGATGGGCGACATCTTTCTCCACAAATCCCTCGCCATGCGCTACATCGTCCTTCCCATATCCGTAATCGCCCTTCTATGGACATTGCAGTCGTTCTCTTACTCTGACCCAGCATCCTCATCGTTCCCTGCCTCTGCTATGGTCCCCTTCTTCAACCCGGATGCTGCATCACTCCGGCCTGCGTATGACCCACCAAAATCGTGGCAGGACGCGGCGCAGCAGGTCAAGCAAGCGTTCCTGTACTCCTATCATGGGTACGAGAAATACGCGATACCGCACGACGAAGTTATGCCGCTCTCAAGGGCAGGCGTCGATAAGTGCGTAAATTAATACAGACAGTTGTCGTAGGTTTGTGGCGATGGCTTATTGACTGAATGGCATCAAGTTTCAATGGTTGGGGCATTGATTTCTACGATGCGCTGGACACCATGATTCTCATGAACACGACGGAAGAATTCGATCGTGCGATGTTCAATATCCAACAAGCAGATTTTTATCTGCCTCCAGTGCGTTTCTTACACTTGCGCGGCTCCTACTCCGTTCATAGACTGAATATGCACATTGAACAGGAACGCAATGCACTGTTCTTCGAAACTGTCATTCGCCATCTCGGTGGTCTTCTCTCTGCGTATGCTATGACCGGCCACGAACTACTGCTAGAAAAAGCAGATCTCCTCGGCCGTCTATTATCTCCCGTATTCGAGACACGGAGCGGCCTTCCTTATTACGATGTCAACACTGTCACGTATGTACACTTGTCACTATCTACACTCGTGAAACCTGACAAATCTCTCTCCTTTTTTTGACAGAGGCGAGACTAGGCGGAATCCAGACGGATATCTAGCAGAATTGGCCAGCTGCCAACCAGAATACACCTATCTTGCGAAGATTACGGGCAAGCCAGAATACTATAATCATGTGAGTCCGCAGTCAATTCAGTCACTGCGCTTCATGCTACATCAGAAACCGACGAGAGTTAGTTTACTGATTCTAAATGCTCGCATCGTATAGGTCAAGAAAATCTGGCAGACTCTCGACCGAGCCGGCACATCGCAATTCGGTGGCATGCTACCCACGCATTGGAATTTGACCACAGGCCAACCTCTTGATTGTAAGTGCCACTCGTAGCAGTGACGAGGTTATCGCGCGCACGAAAACTCACAATGCTGTCCTATCTAGTCCGGTTAACGGTCGGTGGTCAAGCTGATAGTGCACACGAGTACCTCTTGAAGCAGTATCTACTCACGGGAAGAACTGACAAAACTGCACTCGAGATGTGTATGTACATCCTTCTTCGTGCACACAATCAATTACATTTCGTTTAATGCTGCCGCTTTCTCACTCCTTGATGAACTTTCTACTCGCAGACCTTCGCATGACAACACACGTCATCACCCGAATGCTCTACCTCACTCCCAGCCGTCACATCATGTACCCCTCGTCCACCGTCGGCGAAATGCCCCACGACAACCCCGCCCACGACTTCGAACACCTCGACTGTTTCCTCCCCGGCCTCTTCGCCCTCGGCGCCCATCTCCTCCCCCTCGACAACCTCCACTCCCTTGGCATCGACTTCATGTCCCTCGCCTCTGACCTCCCAGCCGAGAACCGCAAAAACTACGAGCTGCTGTCAAAATACAAGCTCAGCGACGTCCACATGTGGGCCGCGAAGGGCATGGCGGAGGCCTGCACCGTTATGTATTTCGATCAGCCGACGGGGTTGAGTCCGGATATCGTGTTGATGAATCAGGTGCCGACGCCGGTGCTTTGGGTGAAGGAGCTGGAGAGGTGGAAGGAGGGGAGGTGGAATGGGAATCCGCCTGGGGTGGATGCTATTAAGCCGAGGCCGCATTTGTCAGGGAGGAAGAGACCAAATAAGGATTATGGGGTGAGGTCGACGGGGTATGAGTTGAGGCCGGAGGTGAGTTTGACAGTTCATTGCGGAGGATGGCTTTATAGCGAGGCGAGCTTGTTTGCTGATGGAGTGGTGGTTGCGTTTTGTGATTTGTCATGTAGACGATTGAGTCGTTGTGGTATTTGTATCGGATAACGGGAGAGGAGAAGTGGAGGAAGTATGGGTGGGAGATCTTCCAAGCTATTGAGGCGAACACGAAGACGCAAGTAGGGTACTGCTCGATCGAGAACGTCGAGATTTCACCACCACGGAAGAAGGACTCGAGCCCAAGGTTTGTGAAATATGTAATCCTTACTGATGCCTGGCCACTGACTGGTCCTTTTTTTTCGTCGTTCTGCCTGACAGTTATTTCCTGGCTGAGACGTACGTTCTTCTGAACCTCGTTCGCCACGTATCCTACTTGGTGCTCACGATTTTGTCCATGGTTTGTTTTTAGGCTGAAGTATCTGTACCTGCTATTCGACGACGAAGACCATTACCCACTCGATAAATGGGTACTCAACACCGAAGCACATCCGCTGCCTGTCTTCCAGTGGACACAAGAGGAAAAAGAGAAGTTCGGCATTCCTTAAGAACCTCTTCACTACTTTTGGACCTTCACCCATCCTTGTGTATATCATCGTACCACACGTCGTATCCTAGCTCTCTCACAACATATCACATGCGCTCCCCCGCCGCAGTCCACGATTCGGATATACCTGCCCCCCCTGTTGTCTACTCTGTAACTTATCACGCACATGACGGGCAGCCTCAGATTGCAAGAGCATAGACTACTTTTTATCTATTTACTTACCTTTTTCACTACTTATGGATTGTACTCGACTGTGTCTTTGTCAATGCCATTGACGGTGACAACGCCTGTTTTCTAAGGTGTGCGGATAAACTGTGAATTATTGGGTCGGATAGGCATCAGATCGTACTAGTGCATTACGGGCGTAGATTCCGAGGCAGAAAGCTGTGTATGAGTTTGGGGTATATACAGGAGTCCAACTCGACTGATGCTATATCGGTGATGACACAGTGACAAGTGTGGTACAGTAACTTTAAGTATGGTCCGTACGGTGAAGCAGAGCAGGGGACTGACAGCTAATAGACAACAAACAAAAGACATCGACTATCCTACACACAAAAACAACGTCGTATTTCTTTCTCGTACCGCTAGCAACGAGCTCAGAAGCCACCTCTACACGCTCTTAGGACTCCCGGCCAATACGAATAATCGTTCACAAAATCGGAATCTTCGTCGTCCCCTCCGCCGCCTTCGGGATCCTCAGCGTAAGCACCCCATGGTCCAAATTCGCCTGCACGTTCTTCGCGTCCACCGGGCGCGGAAGCCAGACGGTACGTGAGAACGCAGAACGGCTTGTCCCGACGAAATCGTTGAGAGCCTTATTAGTAGAGATTTGTTGGTCGGCCTCGGTGGGTTTGGTGGCGACGGTGTTGGTGTTGGTGTTGGTGTCTGTGGTGCCTGTGGGTAGGACGGCGTAAGTCAGCAACTGACTCTAGATTGGCTGTATAGTTGAGAAAGAAAGAGAAAGCTTACCTCGAGCACCGTCCTTCGAAGGAGTAGAACTCGCATCCTGTCCTTGTCCCTCAACCCCCCTCCCAAACCTCCTAACCGACCTCCCCTCAATCGTCAGACTCCTCCCCGCATCCCCAATCCTCACATCCACATCCTCCTTCCTCACACCCGGCAACTCCGCCTCGACGACATAATGGTCTCCTTCCTCGTTGATCTCGACGGCGGGGCTGCGCAGACGACGCGTGGGGCCCTCGAAGAGGAAGGGTTCGGAGTTGTTGAGGCTGTTGGTTGGTGTTTGACGAGAAGGGGATTGTGCGAGTTGGCGTGGACGGGGGGAGGGGAAGGGGTCGTCGAGGATTTGGAAGAAGGGGTGGAAGAAGGCGTTGAATGACATTGTGGTGGTGGTGGTGGTGGTGAGTAGTGGTGAGTAGTGGTGAGTAGTGGTAGTTTATAGTGTTTGAGTGTTCGAGTGTAGAAAAGTGGTGAATATGAACTTGTCTGTACTAGCAAACCCACCAGTCCTACCATATTTTATACCAAAACCACGAACCCCCATCCAGAACACTCGCGAATGGTCATCATCCAGAGATGAGTCAGCGTCCCTCTTGCCTTCTTACGATGACTCCAGTCCGACGTCAGAAATGCTCGAGAGCAATATTGGTGAAGGCGGAGACCCCAGCACAGGGTAGAAAGTTCGAGAATTTGAAATTCCAGAACATTCGAACACGCCCACGCCACACACCCAGCACACACCCATCTCGCGCCACACCACCAGGTGACCACCCGTGGCTCAATTCGCCTCTAAAATTCAAAAGGTTAAAACCTGTCAAGTGCCAATGGTTCTCCATAGACATAGAACACGAGAACGCGATGACAGCGCCGTTGGTGAGGAAAGTTCAGTGCGCGATGTTAAAACAAGATGAAGATGGAAGAACCACCATGAGACTCAAGGGGAAGTTGACCTGACGGTTCACAAGCTGAGCCTAGAGTGGGGACGGCGCATTCTTCGCACGAATCGTTTCCACTTCATCAAATACTGGCTGTATCATAATACACAAACACAAAACGGAGGAGAGAAACACAGTCAGGAAGAAAGAAAGGCAAAGATCATGCAGTGAACTCCAATTTCGCTGTAAATTCCGAGAATAGGGGCGTTAGTCCATGGCCACTGAACGAGTCGCAACAGCAAGGGGAAAAAAGGAGGGGGAGAGGATGAGACGTACTCTCGTGTTTCTTCGCCTCTGCGACCTTCCGTGCTGCCTTCGTCAGATCCTCCTGTTGTACAAAATCCCTACAAACACAACACCCAGAAAATCAGATCCCCACCTCGCATGCATATCCATCTCAAAACAAGGAAAAGGAGAGAACCACCCACCGATCATCCCGAATCGCGAACATCCCCGCCTCCGTGACCACATTCCTCAAATCCGCCCCATTAAACGCATCCGTCAACTTCACGATCGCCTCATAATCGATATCCCCATGCTTGTTCACCGGATTCGAATGAATCTTGAGGATCTCGAGCCGGGCTTGTTCGTTCGGCAGCGGGACTTCGATCTTGCGGTCGAGACGGCCTGGACGGAGGAGGGCGGGGTCCAATGTGTCTGGACGGTTGGTGGCCATGATGAGCTTTGTGCGGCCGAGGGAGTCGAAACCGTCCATTTGGTTTAGGAGCTGTGTTTGTGGAGGAGAGGGGTTGGGCCACATTGACTTATTTAGCGCCACGCCACACGGAAACAGCTTAGGACGGTTAAACACACCTCCATCAAAGTCCTTTGAATCTCCCTGTCCGCACTCGTCCCCTCACTGAACCTCCTCCCGCCAATCGCATCGATCTCATCCATAAAAATCACACAGGGCTCGTGATCCCTCGCGTACCCGAACATCTCCCTCACCACGCGCGCGGACTCGCCGATGTACTTGTCGACGATGGCCGACGAGACGACTTTGAGGAAGTTCGTCTGCATGGTGGCGGCGACGGCGCGCGCGAGGAGGGTCTTGCCTGTTCCGGGGGGACCGTAGAGGAGGACGCCTTTGGGGGGTTTGATGCCTACGCGTTGGAAGAGTTCGGGGTTGAGCAGGGGGAGTTCGATGACCTGATCACCACGCATGCATACAATTGAGCGAGAAGTGAGAAGTGAGAAGTGAGTGGCTAGGAGAGGGTGGACGAGCAGCGTACCTCTCGGAGTTCTCGTACTTGCTCGCCCAGACCGCCGATACCTGCGAACGTAGCCCCTCCTGGGTCCTCGAGACTCATCTTGTAGACCATGGGGTCGACTTCTCGTGGGAGGATGCGCATGATGGTGAGCGTGGTCATGTCGAGACTGACGCGGGTGCCTGCTTTGAGCTTCGCGGCGGTGAGGGCGGGGCGGTAGGAGACGACGTATCGGGGGCCGGAGGATGCTTTGACGATGACTGCATTCATGCGAGTTGTTAAGGGTATTTCAGAGGAGGAAGGAGGGAGAAGACGGACATCGTTCGTCGTCTAGTTGTTTCATGACTTCGCCGATGATTTGGCCGACGGACTGGACGGCCTTGATGTCATCCTCCGTCTTCTCGTAGTCCTTCTGCAGGTCCTTTAACGAGAACCTTACTATGTAGAGTCGATAGCATGGCAATTAGCATGCAGTTCCTTGATGAATAACAGATAACAAAGAACATACGCGTCTTCAACGTCTGGCTGCTGTTCTCATGGTTCCGCATTTTCTGTACAGAGGTATGAGTACTTCAACATGATTATCTACAGGAGGTGAACTGACGTCGCGGTATGCTTTGAGCGCGTTCTGTCTGCGCTCGTCCATTGCGCCAGAGGATGTTGAGGCCTGTCCGTCCATCGTCGTTCGGAGTGATGTGCAGAGCAGGAGAGTTGGTGAAGGCGAAGTGGCAAGTGCGAGACGCGTCAGCACGCGCGACGCGTAAGCGTGCCACTGAGAGCTGTTGTGGTCGTTTGTAGCAAAGGGGAACCGATCACATCGGCCTGGTGGTCTAGTAGTATGATTCCTTCTTAGGGCTTAACGGCATTTGGAGGAGGTCCCGGGTTCAATTCCCGGCCAGGCCCGTGAGCTAGCCAGTTGGTTTTTTTGTGGACGGTGCGTCATGGTGGATCTGGGGTGGTTGTGCGTGGGACGCGAGGCGGGTTCTGGCCCAGGCCGTGGGTCTAAAGAGGGCCTGACGATTTCCAATTGTGGGTCGTCGCTCCCGCCAGTCTCGACCGTCCAATGAGCGCGCTGGCTAGAACGCAGAGGATATCAGGCGCGAGCCGCCCCTTTCCATTCCCCGTTCCAGTCCACGTCCTTCCCCCATCTCTCCCTGCCGCATCCTCCATTGCCTCTTCCCCCCAGGCCCAGATACCCCCAACACTAAACACTATCACACGTACACATCAACACACGCTAACGTACATAATCATGGCCCGTCGCAAACGCGCGTTCATGGACGACGGCGATTCAGACTCTTCTCCCGACTCCGACGACGGCGTCGATCAACACGAACACGAGCAGGATCCGGACGAACGCGACGAGCGCGAACTTTTACAGAATCCGTACGGACGCAAGCATAAGCGCATGAAGCGGGACGGCAGGGAGGATGCCGTCTACGGCGTCTTTGCGGACGATAGTGACGAGGACGAGGGGTTTAGTAAGCGGCCGACGAGGGGAGGGGCAGGCGGAGCAGGGGCGAGGAAAGAGAAGAGGAGCGACTGGGCAAAGGCGCCGGCGTTCGTGAGCTCGAGCACAAAGGCGCCACCGAAGGCGGACAACGAGAACGGGAACGAGGACGGGGCGGAGAAGGGAGAGAAGGTGAGTGGGAGCGGGGAGGGGGACAGTGAGTCTTCGGAGGAGGCGCTGGAGGCGGACGTGGACATGGACAAGCCACCGTCGCCGCGCGTGCGAGAAGCGGATGACGACGAGGACGACGCAGAATTAGAACAGAGGCCGAGGTTTGGCTTGGGTCGGACGGCCGGGAGAGGCGGTCTAGGGCTCGGTGCTGCTGCCGCCGCCGCCACAACCACCAGCAAGTCGCCTGCTTCCTCCATGTCTTTTTCGGGCTTCACGAAAGCCGCCCCTGGCTCTTCCACTCACCCCTCCGCCATCGAACCTACTCCGGTGCCACCGACTACTACTTCCAGTTTGCCGTCCGCTTTTGGAGGCGCTCCCCGCGTTCAGCGTGCTTTCGTGCGCGATGGCAATGGTATCAAACCCACGGCCAATGGCCATTCCACTTCTCGATCCTCCACCCCTCTACCATCTAATGTCGCTGGCTCCTTTGGTGCCCGCATGCTCTCCAAGATGGGGTGGCAGGCCGGTCAGGGTCTAGGTACAACTGGAGAGGGTATCGTCAACCCCGTCGAGTCGAAGCTTCGACCGAAGAATATGGGTATCGCCTTCAAAGGCTTCACAGAGCGGACGAAGCAGAGTAAGGAAGAGGCCAGGAGGAGGGGTGAAGCTGTTAGTAGTGACGATGAGGACGCGGGTGGACGGAAGGGCAAGAAGGGTGGGAAGAAGGGTGCTAAGGTCACGAAGGAGGGCAAGGAGGAGAAGAGGGAGGATGCTTGGAAGAGACCGAAGAAGGTGAAGACAAGGATCGAGCATAAGACTTATGAACAGATCGTCTCCGAGGCTGGAGAGGAGACTGGGCTGTCGGGCATTGGGATCATCATCGATGCGACGGGCGCAACGGTATGTCCTTCTCCATAGTGTCTCCCGCTCCATACCTCACCTCTAACCTACCGTGCTTTCATTTGGACAAATCTTCTCTTTTACGCCCCAGCCCAGAGAAGTCTCGTCCATAGCAGAAGTCTCGACGGCTTCCTGGACGCCTTCGACTGACCCTACACGTCTGCCGGAGGTACGATACAATTTACGGGCCATCGTCGACCACAGCGTGAGCGAGATAGATAGACTCGCGCGCGAGGCTAGGAAGGGTCGAATACGACAGCAGGCTATCCGCGAAGAGGATGCGAGGCTGAAGAAGAGGGTCACCGAGGAAGCCGAGCGTATGTCCTCATTATTTTACATTTCGTTCAGCACTGACTTTTTTGTTTATCACTTGCGTATTTTTGTTTTGACATTCGTGGTGGCGCAGTGATCGCCCGGCTACAACAAGTCCACCTCGTCGTGGATGACATCAAAGTACAGGCGAAAGAGCTCGCGATGATGGACGGGGCGACATTGGAGCCCTTCGCGCCACATTTCGAGAAACTCTTATCGCAGTTCCCACAAGAGTTTGACCGATACCGGTTGGATTCGATCGTCGTCGCTGCCATCGCCCCCGTCGTAAGTCTTTCCTCGTCCCTTTCCTTTCCTCTCGCCCACCGTTTCGGAAGTGCATTTACTAATTGTGGGTGGCGTCCTTGGCTCCGTTACTTGGTTTGGAATGAATAGGTCCGACGAATACTCGCGTATTGGCAACCACTACAAGAACCCACCCTCCTCCTCTCCACATTCCGTTCCTGGCGAAAAGCACTCCGTATCTCCACCCCCACCGCAGCCAAATCGCCTTCATCCCAGCTCGACGTCTATGGCACCCGAACCACCACCACCACAACGACGACAGTGCAGAATGCGGAAACGGTCATGACGCCGTTCGAGTCGTTACTGTGGACGGTGTGGCTCCCGCACGTCCGGTCCGCATTGAACAATGAGTGGGACGCACGGGACCCTGCGCCGGCTGTGAAGCTGTACGAGTCCTGGGCGGAGATCTTGCCGGCGTTCGTTAAGGATAATATTCTTGATCAACTTGTACTACCGAAAGTGAAGCGTGCGGTGGCGGATTGGAGTCCCAGGAAGAACAACAACAAGGTACCTGGCGTCGGTGTGGGTGTGGAGAAGGCCACAGGAGCAGGAGAGGAGGTTACACTGAGGACACTCGTCTTCCCCTGGCTAGGCCACGTCGGCCTCCGTATGGACGACATCCTCGACGACGCGAAACGGAAACTGAAATCGATGCTGAGACACTGGCGCCCGGGCGAACCGATCCCGTCCGATCTGAACGACTGGAGGATGTTGTTGGGCGCACAGGTGTGGGATGGACTGGTCGTGAGTTATGTGTTGCCGAAGTTGGGGGCGGAGTTGAGGGATGGGTTTGTGGTGAATCCGAGGAGGCAGGAGATGGAGGCGTTGGAGAGGGTGTTGGAGTGGGGTGTTAGTGTTAGCCCGACGAGTTCGAGTGCGAATGGGAAGGAGGGAGGAGGGAAGGAGGGGCCGTTGGTGAGGGAGAGTATGATGGGGCAGTTGTTGGAGAGGGAGTTTTGGCCGAAGTGGTTGGACGTGTTGCATCTTTGGTTGGTCCAGGGCGGCGTGCGGCTTGGCGAGGTGGCGGATTGGTTCGAGTGGTGGAGGGGGTGGATGGATCGGGCGTTGGCTGGCCCCGGTGGAAGTGGAGGTGAGAAGAAGGGGAAGATGATGGAGGCTGTGGAAGAAGGATTTAGGAAGGGACTGAAGATGATGGATGAGGCGTATAGACTGGGCGACGAGGGCCGAGCGAACTTGACGAAACCGGACCATCACCGGTCTTCTTCGACGACCGCTGCACAACAGCAGGCACAAGTAGCCGCGGCAGCAGCGAAGAAGAAGGCCATCAGGGCGGGGTCACAGCAGCCTCCAGAAGTGACATTCAAGTCGATAGTGGAGGATTATGCGGCGAAACATAATCTGATGGTGATCCCCACCGGTCGTGCGCACGAGATCTCGAGGATGCCGCTTTATAGGGTCAGCGCGACGGCGGATGGGAAGGGCGGGCTGGTGGTGTATGTGTTTGAGGATGCGGTTTATGCGCCGGATCCGAATGCGGGTGCGGGTGGTGGGGAGTTTAGGGCGGTTTCGTTGGAGAATATGGTGTTGAGGGCGATGAAGGGGGGTGGCGGGATTGGGACGGGTTAGAGGGACTGTGAGTGGAAGGGACGACATTTGTGATTGTGTGGATTTTCTTTCTCCATCTCTTTCCCTTCTATTATGATGTTGTTTGTTTCGTTTTCGCTTTCACTTTTTTTTTGAATTTTCAGAATGTCTGGCTCCGCTCGTACACTTTCTATCCGCCCGCTATAAAGACTCAGACTGAAGACTGAAGACCGAAGGGGAGTGTACTACGCTGTACTCGAGTATGATATGATACGTTATGTCAGCCTCATCTGCACTCCACCATGATCCATCTCCTCCTTCTGCATGTCCTCCGATTCAGAGTCGTTCTCGCTCAATGGATGGCATGTACGGCGTCTACGCATTTTCCTTGCTCACCTCTAGCTTTTGCGTTTCTCTCCGGTGTACTTATTAACTACTGACTGGCTTTAGAAACATCCCTACTCCATCCAAGCAGGCGTTCAAATTCCACTAGTGATCAATCGCGCATGTGTATATGCAAAGTTTTCCCTGCTCACTGCCTCCAACTCCTGTGTTTCTCTCCGGTGCACTGCTTACCGCTGACTGGCTGTAGAAATCATCCATCCAAGCAGGCCTTCAAGTCCCACTACTGATCGATCGCGCACGATTGTATGCTTGCATTGATCTGCTCGCGTGTTTGTACAGCGTCTGCAGGTTATCCCTGCTCGCCTCTAGCTCCTATGTTTCTCGCCACTGACCGACTTTCAGAATCACCCAAATCGGCGCTCCTGCCTACTTACTCCATTCAAGCAGACCTTCAAGTCCCACTCAGCGACTGATCGATCGCACACGATTATAGGCTTGCACTGACAGGTCATGTAGGTCGAGACCATCCAACGGCGGCTGAATTGGGTGCAGTAGGTGCTTAAGCTTAAGCTTATGCATATAGTTGGCGGCAACGTTTTAGGCGTGTGTATGCGTATGGCCGTGTATGTACGTATGGATCTCTGTTCCCTTCCAACCCTCCCGTTCATTCCTTCCTTTTTCTGCTGGTGGAAGACTCAACTGACGTACTTATTACTGTGTGCGCAGGAGGGCTGGAAGAGTCTTGTGCGCGATCGTCAGTCACGAAGATTCAGCGTGTCGATGGATGGGAATTTTGAAGGTTCTGGGCGTTCATACTTACAGGCAGGTTCGGACATCGATCCTTCTCAGCGTTGTCGGATGTCGGACCCACTACCTCCGTTCGAGTCATCGCTAACTTAATTCGATTCTAAGTATGGCAGGTTCTTTTTTGGAAGACCTGTTGGCCGTCTGGACAAGGTCTTGGAGACCTCAAAGACCCTCTACCGGTGACTGGGCTGGGACCTTGTGTCTGGACTCTGCGGTATGGTCTGTTTACACGCCAGGGTCCTGCGACGCGTCGTGTCACGGTTGACGCCACATTTGTGTCTCAGCAGGTCTCAGCCTGTTGGCAGACGATTGAGCCGCAATGTCTCAATCTCATCCGTGATAGCGTGATGTTTCTCTCTGAGGTTGCTCGCCTTCCTCTGCCTATTGCTCCTGAGACATTTCTCCTCGTCCGGCATGGATAGCGGCCTACTAGGCGAGACAGACTGAGACGTGCTCTCTGTGCAAGTTAGATGTATGGATATACATCGTCAGGTCCTTCTCGCCCCCCGCCTTATTTCTGGTTAAGTCCCTGCCATGGTCCAGGCAACGCTCTGTCTTTTTCCGCTTCTGACGGTCGTCCAGGTGTACTGCTCACCGTTCGCTTCTCCAAAGATGCACATGCATGAGAAGCGAAGTGGTATACCTGCTGAGTTTATCGCAATGGGCGCAGCTGCGCCGAATGAGACGCTGAGTTTGCGTGTGGCGCTCATACAGGGTAAATTTTCGGGTTTGGAGGAGTCGTTGTATGCGGTTAGTACCCCCAGCAGCCCATCATACGGGAAATTCCTAACGAAAGAAGAGGTATGTTCCGTTTTACAACGCTTCCCAATACTGGTTAGTAATGTCTGCACACGAGTCTGATTTCACACCTCTACATGTCTTGATATAGGTCGAGGCATTCGTCACACCATCGGACGCAGCGACATCGGCAGTCCAGGCATGGATCAAGTCACATAACCTGAACGTCGCTGCTGTATCACCCGCAGGCGACTGGTTCAGCCTCGACGTGACTGTTCAACAAGCCAATGAACTCCTTTCCGCCGACTTTAAGACGTACCAACATCATGATACAAATTTGACGGCTGTTCGCACGTTGAGCTATTCTTTACCTGCGGAGTTGCAGCCGCATATTGCGTTTGTACATCCCACGGTCTCGTATGTATCATCCGCCAGCCACACCGCTTAAATGATACGTACTAAATTAGCTTTTGTTTGTTCGTTAGGTTTCCAAGAACGCTATCGCGCGCTTCGCACCGGGGCTTCAGACAGCTCCCGAATTTATTCGTTCCCGGAGCAGTCGGGCACAATAAAAAGAACGGAACTGCACCAGACTCCTGCGAACAGCAAGTGACGCCTGTTTGTCTTCAAGACTTGTATAACATCCCTCGAACCCCTGCCAATCAGAAGAACAACTCCATAGCCGTCACCGGCTTCCTCAATGAGTATGCGAATGAAGCGGATCTTTCGGTTTGTCTCTTTGTCCTTTTATCTGTCCACATGCTTTTCTGTTTGCTGACTCTCGACGTGTCGGTCTACATAGGAGTTCTTGATCAAGTTTAGACCTGATATGCCCGCTGATACGACTTTCACATTTGAGTCTATCAATGGTGGAGTCAATCCTCAAGGTAGTGGCACGGCGGGCGGCGAGGCGGTGAGTTGAACTATCCCCATCTGGTCTTTCTGTTTCCTGCCAGCGAAACTGACTGTTGCATGACGTCCATCAGAACCTCGACGTTCAATACACCGTTGGGTTAAGCACAGGAGTGCCTGTACAGTTCATCTCAGAGGACCCCAATGGCGAGAAGGGAATACTGGACGATTTCTTGGCCACCGTTCAGTTCCTGCTGAACGAGCCGACAACGCCGAACGTGGTGACGACAAGCTATGGGCTGTCGGAGACAAGTGACGAGGAAAGCGTTCCGCTATTGATGTATGTCTATCAATCCCCTTTGACCGCACGTATCATTATGCTGAAGGTGGGGATAATAAAGCAATATCTGCAATGCGTTCGCACAACTGGGTGCCCGAGGGACGACTGTGCTGTTCGCTTCTGGTGATGGGGGCGTTGCTGGGTATTCGGACGACTGTGGCTCTGATTCTAACTTCTCACCTTCGTGCGTGTCGCTGTTTGTACATCTTGGCAGTCCTCTGCTGATCCTTTCATCTTTGTCACATCAGATTTCCCTCGAGTTGTCCATTGTATGTTCTCTATCAATTTGTCCATTGTCATCCACGACCTACCTTTTGCTGCCAGTGTCACTTCAGTTGGCTCTACCACCGGTATCAAGCAAGAACAAGCCGCATCATTCTCCAGCGGTGGCTTCTCCAACATCTTCCCCCGCCCCTCGTATCAGGAGAAAGCTGTCTCCAATTACCTCGACTCCCTGGGCGACACATACTCTGGCCGTTTTAACGCCTCTGGTCGAGCATTCCCCGACGTTTCTGCCTTGGGCATCGGCCTCCAGATTGTCGCGAATGGTTCGATTGAGGCGATTGGTGGCACATCAGCAAGCAGCCCCATCTGGGCGTCGATTGTGGGGCTGCTTAATGATGAGCTGATTGGGAAGGGGATGCCTGTAGTCGGGTTCTTGAACCCGTTGATTTATGAGCATCCGGAAGCGCTGAAAGATATCACCTTGGGTGAGTGCTACGTTTGTTGTCATCGTTGTCGTGCGTGGCGGCTGAATGGGCTTGTGCTTGATTCGTACCTTAGGTAGTAATCCGGGGTGTGGTTCCGATGGATTCTCTGCTGCCATTGTCCCAGGTTATGACCCGGTATTGTACCCCATTTTTTCCACTTTCCAGTACTGTACACTCTAACATTTACATGCTTTTTTAGGTCACGGGTATGGGCAGCCCTCGTTATGACAGACTACGGGCAGTGCTTGGACTGGACGAGAGCTAGTCAATGATGTTAAAAATACTCAGTGGTCATCAGTTCCCTATCATTCTGTCTCTAACATACCCCGCGACCCCACTGGGCCACTTGAAGACAACAATTCAGTCCATTCTACGGTTTCCGAGTCCACATGGCATGAGAGTGGAGATAGTTGTGGAGCATATACATCAGATCCCACTCTCTCGGCGTTAAAGGAGGGTTGAAGGAGGGCCAACATCAATCGGTCGGTATCGTTCATGGGCGGTTGACGGTTTTGGTCGTGCGAGTGGGCCAACGAGGTGCCACATAATGCTTGTGGCGCAGCTCCAGGCGGTATTTCCCGAGCTATACTCGACGTTTTATAACGGCCGTCGCGGTTCGGTCGCGCTCGTTGGGTCCGAGTCGCAAACACAAGTTTGTAACTTACAGGCCGTTGTTTGCTGACCGTATTCTGATTATTCACACAAAGCATCACGACCAGGGATCACATCACGCCAGCGCATGCGCATACCTATGCTCTGACAGAGGCTTGTGGGACTCGGAACCGCTGAAAGTAGAACTCTCCACTCACATGAGCATCGGATTTGCAGGAATGATCCTGGAAAGTCGCTTTCGGTACGCGCCCGCTTACCTTTCCTTCGCCTTATACGCTGATTTATTTGATCTAGTATCTGCCTTTGAAGATCTACACGTCTGCCAACTATGTGTGATATATAGCATCTCCGACTCATCTCTGCAGATTGAATTCATGCACCTTTATTCGTCATCCGACTGTGCCAATAAGATACTCCTTAAGTCGATTTCCGAGCGCCAATGACATTCATAGTAGTTGCCGCGGGATCGGACCTTCGGCTCGTACAAGGTGAGACCATTGCTGTATGAAGCCTCTGGGAGAACAATCCTTGTCCATCATTAGCGACGCTCTCATTACTCAGGCACAAGGTCCCAAGGTTCTCGGGCATTGCTTTTGGCTTTGTTATACACTCGCATGAGTGGTGTTGTTTGGCGTGCGCAGCAAATCTTCACTGTCATAAAGACATCTTCTCTTGCGGTCGAACCACCGACGATACCTTTCCTTCAAGATGTCTGAGGATTTGAACATCGGCCTCCGGCTGGGCGCGATGGAGATTGGGACGATGCTCAGTTCTGTATTACTAGGCGTCACCACCGTTCAGCTGTATATGTACTACACCAAAAATTACCAGGATCCGCTGTGGCTGCGTGCTTTTGTATGTGATTTTCTTCCATCATTTGATCGTGGTTGTCTCACCTCCCTCTTTAGGTTCTATTCATCTGGTCCGGTTTACTCTGGTTCTTCCTCTCCTACAACGCCTTATACATGAGCAAAGCAGGTTGCTGGAAATCACACTCACATTACTCAACTGGGAATATCTCTACCACCTAACAGTCACAAACTACGGAAAACCTCCGGATCTCGACAGGACACCTTGGACAATCAATATCCATACTCTGTTTGTCGGCCTCAGTGGAAGTCTCGTTCAGGTTGGTTGTTACTGCTTACCGCCTTTCAAATTAGCACTACTTACGCGCCTTGCTTTGAAATCTACAAGATGTATTTCACGTACAGGCTTCGTGCTCTGTCCAGGACACTCATCCTCCCAGTAATAGCATGGACAGGGAGCGCCTTGCATCTCATAGGCTCTATTTTTACCGTCGCGTTCCTCTCTAGAATGTCAATCGACAGGCTCGAGTCACAAGCATATCGGTGGTCCATCATATGTACCCTCATGTTTGATCTGTTCGTCGATATCCTGAACACCGTCGGCCTCTCGATGTGGCTCTATGCACAGAAACAGCAAAACGATCTCCCACGGTGAGCATATACACGGCCAACCCCCATACGTTTGTACCTAATTCTTTGTTGTCAGGATGAATCACATAGTGAACAAGTTGATCAAATGGACGGTCCGTGAGTCTACTGCGTGCACTGGTACTCTGTACTTCACGCAGCACGCTGAGACTCCATTTGGACAGAAACCGGGCTTATTACTAGGTATGGCTCTAAGGATGCTGTGTACTTGCTCACTAGCCCGTGCTGAGACTTTTATTTATTTTTAGCATCGCCGCGAGTCTTATGCTCATCCTGGCACGTCGTACCGTTTATACCTCCTAGGCGTGTTACACATCGTTGACATGATGCGATTAGTACCTGGCACTTCCAGATACCTGTATGTATACTTGTTTTCACCTCGAACGTCCGTCCAGATTCCTGATAGGAGCATCTTATATGTAGATCTCTGGCTTTCAATCTCGTGGTTCTATACGAAACGTGAGCTCTCAAGCATCTTTTGTGCATTTTTGAGTGGCCCAAGAGCACTAGGCCTTCTACTAACACAACACCATAGTGTATTCAAATAATCTCCTCGCGTTGTTCGTCTTCTCCTTCGTTCATCAAACAGGCTCCCGATCACATTTGACCAACAACACGCACAAAAATCTGTAATGGTAGGCTCAACGGTCGTCATTCACTCAGGCATAGCGAAGTCAGACCGTCCTTCATTGGTATCCCAAGGCCGCTCGAGATCAGTGTCTCTGTGAGTGCCATCTCGATCTCACTTTGTATATGCTGACGGTCATCCACCATTCTGACTTGTAGACCACCACGCACACGCAGCAAGTGGAGACACACTCGCTGAAAGATATAGAAGAGGTACGGCCATGGCTTCTATCTAATTGTGATGGCCTTCAACCTCAATGATATACCACGTAAAAGGGCGTACTAAACAGCAAATCTTTTCAATTCGATGCAACGGACTCACTGTCTTATTCCCAACAAATACGATCTGCTCCCTGAACTTTCCAAATCATACCCTTGATATTCGTTCTTGTACTTCTATGCAGAATCGTGACGCTAAAAGGTTTCCTCATGTCTACACAAACGTATCCATAGGATGAGAACAACAGGCAGAAGTCTCAAAGAGATCTGACTCGTCCATTTCAGGTAGTAATAGAAGGACTTCGGAGGGACAGAGCGTAGATCCGACAGCCGCGTTCGGAGATAATCTGGTAAAGGCTGAAGCTAGGATCTGCGACGTCCATTCTTGAGCAATGGGAGTCCAAAATTCAAACTAACAGGAGAAGTTGGAATGAGGCGCTACTCTACTGTATGTTCTATGTTCTGCAGAGAATGAAAGCGTTGAGAGGATTTTTGAGGTCAGATAATGTTGTAGTAGGCGTAGTATCAAGCTCAAGGAAGAGATCTATGGCGTCTATGGATGTGTCAGTGCGAATAGAGGATAAGACAGGGCTCGTGCACGATCCTGGAACGTCACGTGCGGATCCAGAAAAGGCTAATGCTCATTTCTGAGGGTGTCCAACCTTCTCGTTTAGCTTTTCCGCCAGTGGAGGTTGTGATACGGTGGGGCATAAGTGTATGTGTCAGTCTGAGAAGACGGGCGCCATGAGACACAGTTCCTTGTTCATCAGCATGAGATCTCTCCGTTTGTGGCCCCGAAAGTGCCACATGGCTCTAGGCTTTCACAGCGCAGGAGTTGTGGCTTCAACATAGACTATCAGGTCCTTTGGCCTTGAACCAACATGTTTCAATCATACACTCACATATCACCGAGAGAAAACATGAACTATGTTGCGAAAAGAGCAGGAATAGCCTTTTATGGAACGTGTGAAACTAGCATGTGACGTTCCAGGATCGTGCATGAGCCCTGTCTTACAAGCTGGCGACGGTGATTTATATGTGACACCGGATTCACAGAGAATAAAATACGGAGAGCGGTCTACGTGAGAGGATGAAAGGTATTTAGATGAAGCAGAGCACCGAAAGTCCCTGAGAATGAAGCCCAAAATATGAACGAGCAAAGTGACAAAACCCATGAAAGAAGACAAAAAATTAGGCATCGACCGCACAAGCATTCACTACCATCTCTTCACATTGCCTGTACGCCTCCACCAACCCTTCGTATACCTTCGTCACACTCGGCTTGGGATCCGCGACCCTTTTCATGCTCTCCACGTCAGCCGCCCTCATCTCCTCAAACGTTCCCCTCCCACCATTCTCAGCCCTCCACCACGCGAATTTCGCCAGTATCGCACCACCACACCCAGCGGCCTCTTTCGTCCCTTCAGAGACATATGCTGGCATGCCAAATAGATCCGCAGCGAACTGTCGGATGGTTTGATTGGCGGAAGAGCCGCCGGTGAGAACGACACGGCGGAGGGGTGGAGCGTCAGCTGGGAGGATCGCAGCGATACGTGACTTGATGGAGAGCAGTTGGGACTCGAGAACGGCACGAGGGTGAGCATCGGCAGGGATAGAGTCGACGGGTGTCGGAACGACGCTGCCGTCTTTAGACTGAGATGTGAAGAAAAAGTCGCCCTTGACGTTCGGGGGGATGATTTCGGGCAGTGGGAAGTAGAAACCCCAGTGTGAATTGTTGCCGGGAGGTGTAGCTTCCACGAGCTCGTTGTACCTGTTCCAGTCATGGTTGGCGTATTTGTCTCGAACTTCTTCACGAGCCAGGGCACCGTTCTTGTAACACAACATAGCGATGTGAGCATCAATATGGGTGGGATGGGAGAGGAGATGGGATGTTGTGAATCGGGTCGGTGGTAAATCGGCGGGCGGAATTGCGAGTAATAACGTTGTCGAGGTGCCCAACGAAAGGATTGCATCTCCCGGAGTGGATAACGCAACCATGGTAGCAGGATTGTCTCCAGTGAACGGTGCGACACAACAATCTGGGCGGAGATGATCAGAGTCGGAGGTGTGAGAACATGTGATGTACCATACCTGGGTTGAATCCCCAACGTTCGACCCACCAGTTGCAGACCTTACCCAGGACAGTTCCTCCGGGAACAGGCTCTGGACCGATCTTGGCACGCAACTCGGGACCGCCGCAAACTTCCAGGAGCTCGTCGTTCCACTTGCATGTGAGAACATCCATCATATTCATACCTATGTAAAGCAGCATTCCGCGGACCGGTCAGTCCAAAATTTGATCACACGAAGATGAGATATTTGAACGAACCACTTGCATCCGAAACTTCTATAGGCGCAATGGCACCCAAGAAGAGAGAGGGCAGCCATGAGGACACCAGAGAGATGCGTGATGTCGCCTTGTATGTTTCCGGCTTCAACCGACGTATCTGTTCAGAGGAGAAAGTGAGATTCAGCCATAGACGAGAGATTGTCAGAAGAAGTAGTACATACCCGCTTGATTTGAGTGCCAGTAAACCGTTCATATGCCCGACTACCGGTTATGTCTGCCAATGTCTGAGCCCCGCCAACAGCCTGTTCCAACTCACGGCATTCGCGTGTCGTCGAGGAGTCTTGCCAAATAGGTGCGTTAGGAAGAGAGAAAGCTTTTGGAGCCAGTTGCGTTGCGAGATTTTTGCTAGGATCCAAACTGGACAGGGCCGAATCCGCTTCTTCGGACCAATATACGGATCCATGTTGCTGTCATAACATAACGATAAGAGCAAAATCAATGGGACCCGAAGGGGCCGGTGATAGAGGGGTGACTTACCTGACCAGCTCCTGAAACGCCCATAATATTATCGAAATTGACACCAGCATCCTTCATGCGCTGTAAGAGAAGGTCCATGGCCTCTAGCCACATCGCAACCGGAGAAGTGACCTCTCCGTCAGGCCCACGAATGGCGCCTTTCGTGGTCCCATAATGTGGGAGGTCGTTATCGAACCCGACTGAAGTCTCATGGACAACAGTAGAATCTTCTGAGATGATAATAGCCTTGAGCTGTTGGGTGGAGAGATCAAGACCGAGAAAAAGAGGATAGTCATCCATAGGGGACGTAGAGCGATCGCTGCCAGCCATGAGTGCGTATAATAGCAGTGGTAGAGTTTCAGGAAAGAGCGAGGGATGCCCTGCGGGGGAATGAAAAGCTTTATACCCATGGTCGCGTCGGAGTGAGTCCGTTGAGAGTCCGTTTGGGCCGTGTGATGCGCTTGGTCAGGGTCCAGAAGTCAATCGCCAGGTTTCGTCTCTTCCAAGGTGGTGGGGGCGCTCGTTGCGGCCCGCGGTGGTTTGCGGGGAAGCTTCGGACTCGGGTTTGGGGGGGCGGGGCCCCGGAATAAATGTGTCTTTTCTGGTTCCGCAAATTCCCGTCCCGCATCATCGCTTCTTGCATTGATCCGGCATTGTGGCGATACAAGCTTTGAAGAACACTAGAGACCCCAGACCGGGTCACAATAACACGGCAAGTAACCCGGTCAGGCGCGCATTCGCCACCGTAAACCTGAAGCAAATTACCCGGTGGCTCTCAGAACGGGTTATTTTCCGTGGGCCAAAACCGGGTTAAAAGAACTTACCATATGCATCATTTCACCCGGTGGTTCTGAGGGAGCTCGACCGGGTGATTTCAGTGCTTTCGGTGCATTAAAACCCGTCATCGGCTGCACAAGTAGCGGCACTTTTGGAGCGGTTTGTTCTTTATTCATTGCTGTTCACATCAGACAGAGTACAGGAGGCAGCTCGATAGTATATTGCGTAACACAGTAACGTACGGTAAATACAATCTACATTATACACAAACAGGTACACATACAACGGAACATCGGAAGCATACCGGTACTCACACAAACTCCCATGACCCCGAGCAAGAAGCAAACACAAAATGAGCACACCAAAATGACTTCCAATATCTCACAAGTATCGAAGGGAGGTCCATGAGCCAAGTAAAGCACCCTGATCACACAAGAAATAGTTAGCTGAAAGAGACGGTTGAGTAATAATTAGAAGTCCTTGCGTACAAAGTTGAACACCTTGAGACTGATCATGACTATGTATACAGTGGGACCGACTTATTGAAGGCCGGCTATCGTCCTTCAACGGAAACTCTCGGATTGAGGCCAAGGGTCATCCGCGAGCGAGTGAAAAGAGTGAGCATACATAATCGTCACGCTCATTAATTGCGGCGCCGACGAGACCTGCGATACTGACTGGGGCCGAAGGGTGGTGGTGGTAGACTGGTAGTTGATGGTGGTACAGAACAAAACGCGACTTGAGCGATGCGGGGCAAACTCGCGAGCCGCCATGACCCACCCATGACATCATGGCCCCACATGTCCTCGCCACACGCCGCCACACCGTTCGAATGCTGTCGGTGAGATAACCCGTTTCTCGATAACCCGAATTCACACCGGAAAACGGGTACCGAGGATAAATACCTCGTCGGACTGAGGAAAACAACCCGTTCTGGGGCGCGTAGTGGAAGATCAACATTCAGATGGCATGAACTGGCGTGTGGCGCGACTTACCTTCCAGAGATCTTGTGAGCTACGACAGAGGTGAGGCAAAATAGCCGTCTTTTAACAATCTAATTTGACCTCAGAGGTCAACCTCCCAGTGAGCGCGGCCCCGGCCCCGTCTAGGTAGTCTGGGACCTTCTGGGAGTTGCAGCCATGAATAGAGTTCCTTGGGAAGATCCGTGAGCCACAGGGGAAAATCGACAGGACCGTGTATATTCATCATGTGAACAATAGCCATCGTTCTAACTTCAGGCATTGCTGCGTTAGCTTCAGCTCTCGATAAGCCAAAGGCCTAGATGCGAGTCGTCTTCATCGTCTTCGAGTGTCAATGATGGTCTGGATGTCCGACCGTCGGCACCGTGCAAGAAGCTCATCAGATAGCAGGAGCTGAAGGTATATCGCTCACCCAGAGGGGCCTAGGAGAGAAGCTTGATCTTGACTATTCAACAGAGAACATGGGGCGAATGGCATCTGCCGCTGGTAAGGAGGAGGTGAGAGAACATAACAAACGCGTGAACTCTACTTATACCACCTACCATGTCCGCCCATTCCACCCTGGGACTAGAACTACCGACCCCTTCACTCACGTCCGAGTCTCCATGCGGTACAGACATAAACGGGTTGAAAGTGAGCGGACAGACTCAATGGGGGCCACGAGGTATCGGCGCCGGAGAGTGACATGAAAGGGAGAAAGAGTGGACGAGAGAACCATACAGATTGACAAATAAGGGTTCTGAGCTCGAGCCCGATATAGTTCTCCCAACAACGATCACATGCAGTAGCATAATATGTTAATAACATTACACGGGCGATACGATGCAGCTGAAGGATATAGTTTGTACAGCGATAGAGTGCGTCAAGCGAAAGACGGAATAATAGAGACGGGATGCTTGGATAGCCTTGGCATGAGTTCGGTGTAAGTGAGAATATAGAGATTGCGGCCCAAGGTTCGGACCAAGGCTCAAGAAATGTAAGAAGTATTCGATAGTCTAGGCATCTTCCTTGTCGACAAGGGTCTCGAGAGTCCTCGCCCATGCACGGACCTTCTCATGCACGAGAACCTAGTAGTGGACGATGATATGTATGAATACAAAGAAGTGGCGAAAGCTGAAATGGGCTACTTGAGCACGCACCTTGTCAGGGTTGAAGTTTAGAACTTGAAGGCCGTCGAGTGATGTGGCACGGGAAAGAGCAACATAGGCTTGGCCTATATAGGAAAATAAACGTCAGCCGCGGCTTTGTGCCATCGAGCATAAGAAAACGAACGGACCTTTCTCAAAGACCCTAGCAAGGTCGACCTTCACCCGGTCAAGTGTCTGTCCTTGTGACTTGTGAATTGACATGGCCCACGCAAGGATGAGAGGCAACTATGAAATAATATCAGACCGCGCGCTAAAACGAATAATGGGACAAGGACTTACCTGCTGCCTCGACGCCTGCACTTCACCATTGGGCAGCTCCACCTTCCATGTCTCAGGCATCACCATAACCTCTCTCTTCCCACCAGGCACAGTGAACTCCACTACGGGCCACATCTGCACATCCACCTTGGACGACGATGGCTTCGTTGGTCCGCCTTTGCTCGCCGGTTTACCTTCCTTATCGTTCGTAAAGGTCGCATCCTCCAGAACCTCGTCCTTATATTTCTGCGGATCCACGAATCTTACTATGCGGCCCATCGAACCGTTGACCAGAGTCTCGTCGACGTTCTTGATGAGCATGACTTGCGCATCGACGGCGAGGTAGAGGACGTCCGGGGCCATGAAGTTGTCGAGCAACCTCTTGCGCTGGTCTTCACCAGCATTGCCGCCGTCTTTGGCGTAAAACGTCCTATTATTGCCACGGAGACGAGACATACGCACGCCATTGGATGAATCGACATCTTCACGACGAGGGAAGCTGATATTTTGAAAATCACTTCAGTAAGGGCTACATGGGAGTAGGTCGAGATAAGATCAACGCACAGCTCGGTGGGTCCCAGACCGTCCTCGTAGATGATATCGCGAGAAAGAGCCTTGAACTTCTGGATGGACTTCTGCGATAGCGTGCCGAAACGCATCTCGTTCAGCATGTCAACGAAATCTGAGAAAAAATATAGGTAAAATTAACGAAACGTCCTGGATCATGTTGAATGAAGGGCACGAACCTTGGTCCTTCTGCCTGAACACCTTTGTCAGCATGAGCTTTCGCTCAACGACCTGGTTCCACAGCTGCGCCTCGAATGCAAATTTCATCTGTCTATTGCCTTTACTGACAGGCGGAAGTTGGAAAAAATCGCCGGTGATCACAAGCTATGATGGAGAAAGCCTTCTGATTAGCATATATCGGCAGACGTGACGAAGGAAGAGATATGGCCGACCTGGATACCGCCAAAGGGCTCCGTTCGCTTTCTCATGATGCTTCCAATCCTCGCAAGCTTGTCAAACAGCTCGCCGTCCACCATCGAAACTAGAGTGTAGATAACGAACTTGTTAGATCAAGGCCAAGGCATGCAACTCTGAGGCTGATGGCAAACCTTCATCGATGATGAGGACCTTTGTCCTAAGCCACCGACTGCTTGACTTCTTGTTCTTTCGAATCTTGGTTGCAAGCTCTTCTGCGCTCTCAATCCCAAGACCGATGCCCGCGAAGGAGTGTATCGTGATGCCTCCGATATTGCAAGCCGCGATGCCTATGATTTGGGTACCACAGATTGAACAGACACGGTTCAACGTATTGTACGGCCGCAGTGGGGTTCGTTTGCATGAATTATGAGCGACGAATAAAAGTAAGAAGGTGGGGTATGCAAACCTGTGGATGCGGTCACAGCCACAGCTTCAAGGGATTTCGCATATTTCTTATGCATGGCTTTGATGATCTCTCGCAAAAGTACGGATTTACCAGTGCCTGGACAAAATCGTGATCAGTGGATGTTCAATTACAAGTTATATGCCAGTTGAAATGGAGAACAGCTATCGTGAGAGACCACAGAGTGGCATGCCGTAAGTTGCGACGTGCACACAGTGTGCATACATCGGCCTGCGGATTGCATTTCTGCCATAACGACCGCAGAGGCTACCAACAAAGCTCAGATCCACACCACTTCCGTAAGAACTCGTATATATGTGCCACGAAAGCGACACATAAAACCCAAAAAGGAGCGACAACGAGTGATGTAAGATCAGACAGAAACACACCTGCACTGCCGGTATAGAAGATGCTCTTTCCATCTTTCACGAGTTGCAATATTTGCTTCTGTTCGCTACTCAAAAAGATCGTAGCCGGCTTCACCGCCGCCTTGGATGACTGAGCCGCAGAAACGACCAACGGCGGAGGTCTAGACGACGACGAGCTTGTTGATGGACCCGAAGAGGTTTGTGACGAGTTGGCGGCTGATGAGCTAGACAAGGCACTGGAGCGCTGCGATGAGTACGAAGAACTTGGAGGCTTAGTCGATGTTGTCGTAGCCCGGTACGATGAGCTTTGAAAAGAATCAGGGAGCGTGCGACGCTTCGCTGGTGGACCAACAGCAGTTTGTGGGGGGCGTTTCTGGGATAAAAGGGAAGCGCTGGCCATGGAAGTCGACCCTCCGTTGGCATCTCTGCTCGCGCATCCCTCCATAATAGCTTTCATGAGAGCACTTGAATCCATGCGTTTCCCGGTGGTCCTTGAAGAACTGGGCTCCGGCTCGTTCTTATCTGTATTGGAGGAAAAATCGCGTTTGACGGTTGCAAGGCCAGACATCACCTGTCTCGATGTTTGGCTCATCTTGCAAGTATCCTATGGTCCAGCGTAAGAAAGAGATGCAGGATAGCAGTGAAGATGTAGGCCAGAAAGTGGCAGAGTGAACCAGAAGCGAAGGAGATAAACGAAGTGCACTGAGCGCGTAGCCTTTGCGTTTGAACGCGATCACGTGGCACGCGTTCAGATTCTCCCACGAACAATGTCTGTGTCGTCGTTGTGGCGCTTGACAATGGCCATATCAGTAACAGGAAAGATCAATGTGTTCTGTCGTTGTATAATGAGTACAGTAAGTCTAGATAAACTCCAATATAATTCGATCAATATACGGTTGTATAATTCGACCGCGGGCACCAGTGCAATTATCATGTTTCATCGAAGCCGCCTATGGCTTTCAATCCCTCGGCCAGTCGCCTGTACTCCATCAATAGGTCTCCGACCTCCGATACCCTAAGATCATCCACAGAGCACTCCATGAACCGCTTGTGAGGCGGCGCAATGCGCATCGGCGTAGGCGAGGCTACTCGTGACGAATCGGGTGTATCGAACCTATTCGCTACAGCATTTGGTACTGGCAGAAGTGAAGAGCGCCTTGAGGGTGGCGGCGAGCCCTGAACGATCATCGTGAGCTTTACATGTGGAGAACAATGTATGAAAAAAGACGTACCACTGCTGGCTGTGTGGCAAACTTAGACAACCCAGGCATACTCGCCAGGCGATCCGAAAGCGTCTTCCGTTTCTTGGCATGGCGTCGTCTCTTCCCGCTCTTCGCCATCATGCTCTCGAAGCTCCTGATACTCCTCGTATCATGTCCACCAGCCACCTCGTCCTCCTCGTCCTCTTCTTCCTCTTCGCCATCCTCCTCCTCCTCTTCGCTCCCCTCCTCGCTTTCGCCTTCATCTGAGACGTATGCGGACCTGATAGATCCAGGCCGCGATGAAACCTCAATCATCATCTGTCCACCCTCCTCCACAGGCATCCCCACCGCCGAAGTCGTCGACTTTGCCCTTTCCCTTCCGGGTAACGACGCCGCAAGGCTCGCGATCGAGAATCCGCTTTCCCTCCTGAGCAGACCAAACGCAGGTCTCACAGCATTCCACGATGCAGCATCCGAGTCCAGGTTCTGTTGCTGTTGGCCGTCTGGCGTTCCGGGAAGGAATGATCGCAACACCCCAAAAGACGAGTCTACGACGCCTGATATCACCTTATTCGCGGAGCCGGCGATGGCGTCTACTTGTTGTTCGACACGGCCACGGAGGCGCGATGGGACGCCTTGGGGCAAAGTCGGGGAGTGTGGGGACAGAGCAGCTTGCGCGACAGGTATAGGCGTCAGATTGGCGGTACTGTATGATCGTATCAGCATGATATCACGGGGAGTAAGAGTGCAGAGTGAACAGACCTCGTGACATTCTTTTCGCTGTCGCCGAGTCCAAGGGCTTTCAGGTCCACGTTCTCCAGGAAATCCGCCACGGCCATCAAGTTGACCAAACAGTAGCTCTCTTCGCCACCGAAACTCTGGTTGCGGAAACGTTGGGTGAACAAAAGATGCGACACGAGGTGCTGGGGATTCGCCCGCACGACGGCGTAAATCATGAGCGGCAGGATGAGATCACCAGAAACTGGGGTAGGGGTAGGTGGCGGTGATACGACCAGTCGCGGTGATGTCGCACGAGGGGGAGGAAGCGAAGAAACGCGGGGTGGTGGCGTCAGAGGATCTGTAGGTACGTCGCTCAACGGGGTCACGGATGGTAGCTCAAATGGAAGGTCCGTATCGGGAGAGACAACGATTGGCGGTGGTGTTTCACCATCCGGTGTGAGGAAAACTGAGGTTTCTGTTGGCATCTCAATTGTGGGCTTCTCTGGTCGTGTATCATCCTCTTCCTTGGGAGGAGGGGTGCCTGCAGTGGTCGTGCCCGGAGTGGACTGGTTTTCAAGTTCAGCCTCAGACTTCAGGCGTATAGGTGGTAGACGAGAAAGTCCATCTATTAACTCTAGAGGTAAGAGTGTAAATAAAACTAGATGGAGATGACGAGGCTTACCGACCAAGATCTTGTGTGCTGCCACAAGAATCGCCGCTTTATCGGCAGGGCACCGACATGCGGACTGGTCGAGCTGGGATAAAGCTAAAGGAACAATGTGAAGTTTGAGAGCCGGATCTTCAAAAGAGGAAGATACTCACTTTCGCCACAGCTCGCGAGGAGGATATCGACATCCGGACCAGACTTGCCCACATCGACTCCGAGGTGTTCTAATCCAAGGTCAAGTTTGTTGAGTGCGGTAATGCGGCCAGAAAGGGCCTTGTCATGAGACGCGTCGTCCGAGGACGGTTGTAGATATAGCCTGTGGCGAAGATCGTCGGTCGCTGCTCATGAATGCTGAGGCGAAAAAAATGCACCATACCTATCATAGAATAGCGAACAGACAACCCTCTCTATAGCTTCCAAGATTTCCTTTGCCCTGTCATCCTCTGCAGTATGGCGTACCGAATCCTTCTCCTTCTCTTTCTCTGCTTCCGCGTCCGAGAACGTCGACGTCCTGGGTTTCGCGGTTATGGGGCTCTTAACAGTCCGCATTTCTTCCTCCAACCCGGAATAAAGGTCCTGGAACTGCTGTGACAGCTCCTCCGACGTCTCTTTGGGAGGGTCGATGACATAAGATGGAGTTGTGGGCGAACCTCCATTCGTCGTGAACGACCCCTTCCCATGCTGAGGGCCCTTAACGAACGGATATAAGCCTGCTGTGAACTCATGTACGTGATCGATGGCCCAGGAGGGTACGCCCGACATCGAGAGCGCCTCCTTCAATTCGGCTTTGATGGCCTTATTGACGGTCTTGTTCACGTCTTTCCGGATGATGCGTCGGTCGATAGAAAAAGCGGATACTTCGACGGCATGTTCCGCTTCGGGTTGTGTTACAGACGGCAGTGGGGATGTGGTTGTAGATGGGGATGGTTTCCCAAAGAGGGAGGCGAATGAGCTGGAGAGACGAGAGCCGGCAGGTGAAGTTCCTGGACGTTGGGATGGCCGGGGTGGGAGTGGCGGTTTGGATGCAGCATGTGGAGGCAAAGACAGCGTAAATGTGTGAGATTCCAACGCGAAGGTTGGATACGTCTGAGAAAGTGGCGAGGACGAGACAAGAGGTAATGGTGGAAGTGACGCGAGTGCGGAAGCACGATTGGTAGGCGTTAGAAGACTTTCAAATATTGAGGACCCCGGTTGAATGGATGACCGTAAAATTAAGGTGGTACTACAAGGCTGTTGTCAGACCAGTGTGGTGAATGAAAAGTGAATTTATTCGGACTCTGTGAGGGTACCTCTGAGACCCGAGAGAGTGACTATGGAGGCGTTATCCCTTGAGTCTCCGTCGCATAGTACAATGTGGTCCTTCATGAAATCGGGAGTGATATTTCCATGTGTGGCCTGCTCAAGAGGTAGCAACAGTGTTCCCTGATCCAAAGAAAAGCATGAGTATCGTTGTCGTTCGGGTGAGTTTGTGGCGCAGAAATGCATAGTCAATAGAATTGTCTCTGAGATAGCAGTGACTTGTAACAGGATTCACTCGTTGTGATTCGAGTCAGAAAAGGAACTGCGCGTTTATAGATATCCGTGGACCCGAACAGGTATCACGAAGCCCAATTGTGGCCCATATGCAACACATTCAGCCGTGCTCCATCTAATTTGTGGTCCTTGCGGTGCATGTCATGTTTCACGGAGCCATCGCCACATCCCATCCATGCATGAACAACTAGTGAGGGGGAAAGCTGATGGACTGACCTTTCCTGTAGTCAGCGCTGACCAGATATCATTCCATTCCGGGGTATGGTCGTGTTCTCCTACGAGTTTCTCTAGCATCTCCCAACCAATACTCCCAGTATCAAGTCCTATAGACTGGGCACTTGCTTTGAGGTTCATGAGCTGCAACTTATTCGTGGCCCCTCCTCCCTGCTGTTGTGGCGCCACGGGCTGGGAGGATTGCAGGGTTGTCCCCGTCGTTGCAGCAGCCGTTCGATGCCTCGGAGTGTATGGAACATATCGAGGAGTCGCGGAAAGATGCGTAGTTTCAGAAGTCGTGGCAGGAACGGTGTTTACTTGAGAAGTTGATGGAGTAGGAGAGAGAAGTGGATGGGCCGTCAAAGGTTCACGAGTGAGAGAGGGCGTTGGTGAGGCCGATCGCTGGAACTGAGGTCCTTGCGAGCGACCAATAGAGCCCGCAGGGAAAAGACTATCGCGTTTGGTGCCAGACATATCCAGAGCTGTGGGTGTTCCGAGTCGGTGCACACCTGAGGTTAGCACAGCTGATGGGGACGTCGAGGTCGACGCGGTAGTGAACGGCGATGGCTATGTCAGAGTCCGCTAAGTGGTTGGTGGGCCAGACCTGCGAAGAAGGCGAGATAGGGATGTCCGCTGGTGATGGATGAGCAGGGCTTCGGGCAACATGCGAGCCTATGCGAGCTCCTGCGATGGCATGTTTGCCGCCGACGCGGTGCGCGCGCCGCCTCTTCCTCTTGACCGCCATCACACCGCTCAACTTGGCTCGTGCTCTCCCCTTCTGTTCAGGCTCCCGGTTCTTTGACATATCGTAGCACTACGCGGTACGCTTTGATCTGCTTCTCACTCCAGTTTGATGCAACCATGTTCTATGTCGCGAAGTTTCACGGAATCCGTGAAACGTGGTTGCTTGATGCCTTCAAGTTCTTGATGGTTCACTGGACTAGGACAGCATCATTTCTGAAACTTATGTTCTCGCCGACACCAGGAGTTCCTACTACCTTTGGACTTCTTCAGGGTCTAGCCAATGAGATATGCCACCAGCAGCACAACCACGCCCGCCACAATGGGATGCAATGGCAAAACATGAATTCGCGCAATATGTCCTCGAGGAAAAAGGGTCATACTTTCCGAGGTGAGCGGTCTGATGGAGCACCCTTTCTCGATCTGGATTGAAGAAACTTATTTCTGCTATCTGCGCTCTTCAGCTTAGCTGAGATGAAAGCTAGTGGACCGCCGAGAGACACAGTTGACGGCCTTCAGAGAAGCATCAACGAGAAGCAGAGCGAGTTCACAAATGATCTAGACAAGCTATACCAGCATCAGGCTCAGCGATACCTCGATGATGCGTATGATCGCTATCTATCGTTCGAAGAGGCCGAATGCGTTGTCATGTCCAATAAGCCTCCTTCAACTCTTCCCAACTTCAGGGCAAGCATTCTCTTCACAGCTTCTTTTATACCAACGTAAACCCTGACGTTTTGTTGTGGTACCAGGATTTTTATCTACAGCAGCGTCGCTTCCTTTCCGGAGGCACGAGAAGTGGGAAGAGCACAGATCCCATCGCGCCCTCAGGTGTGTTCAGCGATGAGGTTGCTCAATACACCGCCGCACACTACAAATCTGTTCATCCCTTGCAAGACCGTTTGGCCCGAGCAACGAAAAATGAGGAAGAACTGCGACGAAGACGGGAAGCGATGTTTCCCGCCACAATAGGAGACTATCGCTCGATACGGAACAAAGACGTTCAGCTACGAATAGCCAGATTCTTGACGGCAGATTCCACCATACAGGGTAAAATGATGACAGAATTCAATTGGGCCTGGAGACAGACGAAGCCGCTCCAGGATGAGTACCTCCACGACGTGGGTTTTTGTTCGATCGTTGCTGTTCCGCTGTTGCATCATTCGCGATGAGTTTGACCACCGCTTCCTTTTGATTTTACCACAGGATGCATTCAAAGCTGAGGTGCAGACGAGGGTGAAAGATGTTGAGGTAAGGGACCCGAGGAGAAAGCCGTCGGCGCCGCAATTGGGATGATGGTCGTGGGTGTTGTCGATGAGAGACGAAGGATCTCATTAATGCTCTTGCGACTCTTGAACTATTTGGTGCTTTGGATGCCGATTTAGATGGAAATGCCGACGTCGCGGGGATGAACGCATCCGACGTGCTCGCATACGACAGAACCGGGTGTATATGCCCATAGTAGCCAGGTGTCCTAGCCAGGTGCCTTCCGTTAGTCTTTTCTTTCCTTGGGACGTCACTGTGGGCGCAGGCGCCGATATCTGTCTTCCAGAATACCATGCTTCCTCGCGGCATGAATGTCATGAAGTGGACTGTGGACCGAGGACAGGTGTAGCTGCGTCCATGTGCGTCAACGAGGTGTCCGGCGAATGCGCCGAATAATCCAACACGGTTACATGCGAAGACAACAGACGCATGATTCCACGGATGAGTAGAGGCCGATACTTAGGAACATCACCATGTCCTCGTCTCAGTCGCTGTGAGCTCGCAAAAGTTGAGCACCGATTGTTTGTGACTCTGAGCGCAGCCAACATTCCGCAGTGCAGCGCGGTGTCTGCACTACTTTCGGTAACCTATACGTGGAAGAGCGGGTGTGTTTGGTGCATCGGATGCAGAGTTCTCAGTGTTCTTCGGGTAGAACATGCGCTATCGCTGACGTCGCTGCACGTAGAACGCCGGCAGATCTTCGATGACTCCTTCCACGCTCCGAAAGGGCGAGCACACTTCACCTTTGTGTGATCTATTTCCATAGCCTGTTGCCCGCGTCCGATCATGCTGCACCGGTTCCCTCCTTACGTCCGCGTTGTCGGGAAGGAAGGGCAGCGCAAATGCTATCGCGAGTTTCGAGTTGCCTGATCAGGCGCATTGCATCTCCAGGCGGTGCAGCATTTGGGCTCCTGCACTTCTCCTGGATGCTGCCCTATCCTTGTGTTTCTGCCCATATTGCTGTCCTCTGCCCGCCCATGCGGCTCCTCGATGTGCATTCTTATATAAATCGCGACGCCCGAACTGTTCAGAGCATTACTTCCCGTCGGTCCTGTCTATCTCCTTCGTTCCGCCCTATTACGACCTCACCTAGCACCCCGTCGATACATTCTTCTTTCGTCCATCGGCTGCGCCCCTCAATACTAGACTGTCGCACGCCACACACATATTCCCTGCATCCTCATATATTCCTGAACAAGGGATACTCGACTCAAAAACCATCTTCTTTCGGAATCTACTTCCATCATGTACTCTCCCTCATCCTCAAGAGGATATTCTTCAGGCAGTGGAGCCTCATCAAGCGGAAGCCGCTATGCCCCCATGCCGGATCGGATACAAACCAGTTTTCCTGTACGTTCATCATTCGTGGTATTGTTGGTCAAGATGGGGTCGAAATCTCACCAAGTCAACATCAATCTTAGCAACAGCGGGGGCCGGACGTACCACGAGCAGTCGCCACCTTGCTCGAGACCACCCAGCAGCTCCAGGAGATGTTGAACCTCTGGAGCGTGCGACGAGTGAACGAGCAGCAAGTCAGCGACGTTTACGTCCGGGTCGGGACGACGTTCAACGAGACCGTCACAGCCTTCGCGTCCATCGCGATCGACCTGAGGTACGTTCATCCTTCTGCGCCACAACGTCCTGTGCGATCGAGATCGAATCCCGCCCTGTTTGTCCCGAAACTTCTTGGGGCTAAGGGATGGATTCATGTCATGGCACGGTGATGCTGATTTGATATCATTTTCTGTGGTACATAATCTAGCGACCTGTACACGATCCCACAGGAACTACGCACAGTGCTCGAAAGCTGTCTCGGACAGGAACCTTCGCCACAGGCTCTGGCATCGCACATGCCACAAGTCCGGAGGATTATCTACAACCTCTTGCAAGGTCTCCGAAACAAACAGCCGCAATACTGGAGGGCTGTAGGAGGTAATCAAGTCCTTGTGCCATGACGCGCCCGTCATTGACAACGATTGGAGATCGTAGGGGTGGTGGAACCGACGCTGGGCCGGCGAATTCGACACAAAACCAGACTTGAAGTTCGTTCTGGAATAAGGGATGCCTTATTTTCTTGCTCAGCGACTGCCGTGACCACTGGATGGATTAGAGACGGCGTCGACTGTTGTATCCTTATTTGCCAACGCCCGGTGTTGTTATATACCTGTCTTGTACATCGATGTGTTGTATTTATCTGCATATTCTACTAGTACTATATCCAGTATTTATATAATTGTTCTATGCCTTTCAGTGGCAGCCACTCGTGCTTCGTCGGATTTCTTTTTTTTTTTAGAAGGCGGGTTCAAAACTCAGTTCCGTCTCTTATAAACGTCTTGTGCTGGAACAGAAGCTATATTAATTCGAGATGGATACAGCGGCCTCCTCGGGGCCACTAGGGCCACTACTAAATCATTCCGAGACTCCGAGACTGTGATGGCCCAGCGAGTCCGGGATTTCGCGAAGGGAAGAAGGAACAGATCCGCCTCGAGACGAATGATCATCACGGGGAACACAGACTCGACAGTGAAACATTCAACCCGGGCGAAAAGATTTCTGTTCAGGATACGAGTCCGCGACGCATCCCAGGCTCACTCGGACCCAACCTGCGTAAAGGCCGCGCTGGCAAGGAGATCATGTCGCAGCTCCAGCAATATCTCGCAAATGAACTGCATTGTACGTCCGTGAGTGTTCACGTTGTTGGATGTTTCAGCTGCATCAGTGGACCCTCGAAGGCGGTTGACTGATAGAGACTGTATGATAGATGATGCACACCGCAGATACCACTGAGAGATGTGTGAGTAAAGGTGTACAAGAATATTTCCCGCTTCCAGTGAACAAATTGATGAACTCGTGACAAAGTATTTAGACCTATCCCGTGTGTAAAGACCAAAGAAAAACCCCGACAAAAAGAGCCTGCTACCCATTAAAACGTAAGTGACCGACGACGAGACCGTGAATGAACAGACACAACTTGAACCTGGTCCACATTGTGGTAAGAGACATGTAGCTCAGTCTCCTAGTGGACTACCATCATCCTCTCTTTACCGCTCTTCAAGAATATTCCACCCTGAAATTCGACAACAGCGTTATAGTTTATCGTGTCGTCGATCCCGTTTCTCAGACTTCCCCATCGTGGCCCGTCCCAGGCTGACAGCGTCAAGCCAGAACCGCCGTCGACGGACCCCGCAAGAAAGAACCCTCCAGCAGTCGCATCCTGATCCGTGAGCTTGGTGGCGTCGAGGACTTCAGGAGGGGCGGGCCACGCGAAATGTGCCGAGTTGGGAGCATCCGGCTCAGGTGTTTCCGTCGGCGGAAGAGCTAGGCTAGGTCCATTCGTGCGAAGTATATGGAGGGCAACGACGTAGGGTAGCGCAGAGTCCGTGAGGCTCTCCTCGCTGGTCTGGTTTTCCTTGCGACGGATGGTGAGCGTAACGTGGACTGGGCGAGCATCCTGGTGTCTGGACACTTCCGCCTCTTCAGCAACGGTCATGAGACGTGGTTGGTCATTTCTCCATAGCTGAATTGTGTCGGGAAAAATCGGATTCATTCAAAGATAGAAGATAAAACTGAAAGCATACATACGTGGACTTTCGAGATTACGAGCGTAACCCCTCCGACGGTAACCTCGCTTTTCGCAGTCTCCTGAACCTCTTGAGATGAAAATGGAGCGCCAGACATGATGAGTGAGTTTGGAATTTCGTCCTACGAGACTAGTGGTGGCATTCTTAGCGCGTGGATGTCCCGTTTATGTAGCAAAATTTCGACGGGAAAAGGGAACTCCACAGGACCGACGTCAGGGGGTGGACGCCACAGGACGCCGCCAGATCGGGACGCTTGTGGAATACTAACGCCACATCGGCGTACTCGGCAATGGTGCGGCGGGGATTGAAATGAGCTACTTCGAGTCCTAGAGGGTCAATCACCGCTTGTTTTGTGACAACTGGGTAAAGTCTTGCATTTGCTCCTGTGGGGTCCTCTATGTTAGCTTTGTTGCTCCATGCCATTTTGCTTGCGCAATACTTAACCTGGAAGTCCGTGGCATCTGCTACAACGTGATAGTAAGAATAGGCTGGGCCACAGTGACGAGTCTTGTCTCACACCTCCAGGCTCCCACTAACCCTCGTCTGACTGATGGTCTCGTGCTTGACTCTCGATGCCCACACTCTCCCCTTATGACCTTGAAGCTTAAGCTTGAAGTCCCACGATAATATTGTAACGCCCCCACTGCCACTTGAACTCCAAGCTCTCTCCTACGTACCTAGTACCCATCAAATACCACCTTGATACAACCGGGCGATCCACCCACGCCTACTCCTCCGAAGTCATGGACATGCCATCCACAACATCTCCCAACAATACAAAGCAAACCCTACCATACGGGCTCCTCTCGCTGCCCTCACCGCAACCTCTTATGTCCTCATCAGAGCCGTCCGAGGTCAACTCGTACCCGGCCTCAAGGCTCGAAACATCGTTCTTCGAAACCACTGAAACCTTCGATGACATCTGGCATCCCCGCCCAACAGGGCCCTTTTCTATCGGGGACGTGGTCGCTCTTGGCTGTATCCTGCTCTCGATCTTCTTGGTGCTCATACTCGTCACTCTCGATGCCATGCAAGCGGCTGCCGATGACGTCGACCTAGGGCGGAGGGAATCGGGCACGATGAGTTTGCAAAGGTTGACGGTGGCGTTTGGGATGTTCTTCATTTGTTGTGCTGGCGTAGGCAGTATGATCCGCAGGACGAACGGTGAACCAACGGTTGCTGGAGAAATCCCAGCTCTCGAGAAGCTCTCGAGCTGAATGTTTGTGAACGCCTTCGTTTATAATTCCATTGCCGCACAATGTCATGCATCGTTACACTCACCTTACTCCAACTTGGTATCGTCAATGACATGTTCGTGCATCATGATATTTCCCAGTCCAGAGCGCTCGTCGCCGTCGCGCCATAGTACTCGACTGAGCCATCCAAACTGCATACGTCGGACGGAGGTAGGATCCCAAAAATTTGGATTCAATAACCGAGACAAACGAGTGTAAGGACGGGTATAAGCAAATGATACTAGCTACAATGAGTGAATCGATGTAGATCAATACAGGTATGTAAATGAGTGTGTGAGTGCTAATAAAAGCAAGAAAATACACAAGCAATGAACAGACAACGAGGCTAACAATACAGTATGTGCGTCAAGCATCGTGCACGTCTCCGGGACAGAACACGTATCATCATCATAATCGAGACCGCAAAAAACCGAACCGAACGAGGTTGGGAGTATAGGGATATAGAGGGGTATTAAGGCGACTGCTTCTTCTTCGCAGCCATCTCCTTGTGCTTCTTCAGGTGAGATATGTCACCTTTGGCGACTGTAGAGAGGACCGGGATCGTCTTGCAACTTCCCCGCCCATCGACATCGTGTTGGACCACCATTAGTTTCGCCTTTGCCGTGAACATCCTCGTTTCCATCTTCTTGAACAACGTCACCGGGACTGGGATCCAGAACTTGACGTACCACTGCCTCTTGCCATCCTGAGAATCCGCGACAGACTTCCACTCCTTCTGTACCACGATACCGCCATCTGGGCTGAAATCGAGGGCAGGGCCTGGGCCAAGGCCAGGAGTAGAGGCATTGGCGGAAGCCAGATCGAGTAAGAGGGAGTTTATGGCGGATTTGGAGAGGCGTTGTCCGAGGAATTCTGTGAAGAAGACAGGAAGGTCGTTGTTTTCGGACGAAAAGCGACCTTCATAGGCGTGCGTCTGACATTGTATATTGAGCGTATGCGCAGGGGGGAGATGCGAAGATCCAGAGGTGAACTGGTAGTCGGTCAATAGGAGGAGACCTTCCAACGCATGGATTGCCCTACGATATTCAGTCAAGACTGCATCAGCACTGAGACTAATATGATCGTTGACGGCAACACTCACGAATCTTGCATATCCCAAAGGTCATTGTGTTTCTTCAGAAGAGTACACCGCAGATCGTATCGCTCTCGGTCCTTCAACGTCGCAAGGCCAATGGAAGACCCCCCTGCATAGTGCGAAACCGACGGTGACGGAGGACCGGCCTCACCTCCATCCTCTGACGATCCACGGCCTTCATCCTCCTCATGATTGCGCGTGATAGCTTCCAGCTCGGCCATAGCCTGCGCAACGGTCATTGGGCGCTTTATAGCACTGATAGCACTGGTCTTGGCGGATCTGGGGGATGAACTGAGACTACCTCGCGTGGGACGGGCTGAAGACGTGGTATTATCACGAACAGCAGGAGAGTCGGAGGAGGGAAGATGGGGTTCGACTGCAAGACGGGGAATGCGGGAATGAGTGACGGGAATGGTCGTCGTCGGTGTCGCGCAAGAGAGCTCAGGAGCAGTCTCTGCCGACTTCTTGAAAATGACTGCACCAACTCTCCGTAAGGTTCGTGGCGTCCCGGTTGTCGGAACTACTGGGTCTGAGTCGGAAGACGATTGGTTGAAGCTCGAGTCACTGAGGACACCTAGAGGAGTTGTCGACCTGCTCGGGCTGCGCAGCGTCGAAGTGCTCGACTGATGAGACAATCTGAATTTCTCAGATCGTTCAGGGCTCTGCGCTCTGATCGTCTCCACGGACGACACAGATCTCAACCGTTGACGCACACGAGGACGAACTCCCGTCCTCTCCGTCGTCTCCCTATCCACACTCTCGTTCTCATCAGCATCGACTTGACGCTCTCGCTTCTTGTTCCGTTTCGCATTGACAGACGTGACCAATGCATTGTTGGACTTGTGCTTTGTATTGGCTGTAGTCTTCATGTCCATAGCATCATAGTAGAAGCGGTGAAGGGGCGAAGCATGCGTGCGCGAAGATGAAGTCAATGATTTAGATGTGACATTGACAGGCGTTATCGAAGCGGTAGTTGGTGTCTTCTTCTGCAGAGGCAGAGGGAGTGATATAGTCGGGGCAGCCTTCGAAGAACGAGAAGACGAAGCCATATCCAGATGGGACGTCTCGTTTCAAAAATGAGAGTGAAGAAATGCGAGCGGGAAGAAAAGGGGGTGAATGATTGATTGAACAAATAGCCAAAGCCTTTATATCATGGGCGAGAAGGTGCCACATGACACATTGGCACTGGCCGATGAGATCTGAACGAAGCGGTAAGCATTCCATTGTTCGATGTTGGCGGCACATGCCCGGTGCTTGATCTCCAGCGCGACGTTCTTGTGGTCGGAAAGTAAATGCCTTTCGTAGCGAATCAAAGAGATGTGTTTGTGCTGCCTTCATCCGCGATCAGAATAGGTGACCGGACCGGAAGGATTAGGTATTTTATTGACTTACCTTGCATTGACCTTTGCCCTTTACGACAGGGATAACAGCTTTATTGTGTGGAAAGTCCTATCGCGGCTGATAAGTAATCAATGAACCGCACTAAGCACTTATGCAAGAGAACAATAGAAAAAGAACACTCTAAGGACAGTCAGCCGACGCGGGATATCTTATGCGCGATGTGTTGGTCAAACAGGTTCAATGATCAAAGCCATGGCCACCGATGCTTTGATTTCGAGCACTTCAATGGGAAACATGGTGGGCATGGTTGCATGTCGCGTTTTGGCATTTATGTGGACAGGTACAGCATGACAAAAAAAGAGCAAGAGCATAGACAAGTGGTAATCCCTTATGCGGAAGGAGCGGCCTTGACGATCTTCTTCGCAACGGTGTGCTCCCTGTGAGAGTCAGAAACCGATCGGAATGAGGGCATAGCCAATGAGCAGAACGAACAATCGAACGCACCTGAAACCGTTCTTGAAACGGCGGGACACATCCTTGAGGTACCGCATCCTGCCAGTGCCAGTGGTCTTTCGGCGCTTGGCCTTCTGCCCCCACTCGTACGACCGGAGCTTTGCGCTAGGGTAGCCACACTGTGCGCACTCTGAATTTGGGCGGGCGAAGGTGATGAGTGAAAGAGTAGCTTGCAGTTGAATGAAACACACCTTTGTGCTGCTTGTGGAAAGCACGCCTGCCGCAGCGGCGGCAGAGCGTGTGCGACTTGGTGTGACGCTTACTGTGGGCAGGAAAAGTGCGCGGTTAATAGAGGTGAGACATTGAGAAGAAAACTGAGAGGACGCACCCGAAAGACGAGGTACCTTAGCCATGCAATAATCCACATGAGCACAAAACACATCGCATGAACAAGCAGCCTGCGAACGAACCTTTTGTCTACAGAAGAGAGAACAAGATTAGTATTCGAACATCAGAGGGGCAAGGTATCGTCGGTCGGTGCGGTGGTCCACTGAGCATCACCCAACGCAGTTCCCCAACATCCATCCCGCCTAGCCTGTCCAACCATTCCTCCAACCTCCATTCCTTCTCTATCCATACCAGAAAGACCACTCGCACCGACGTCCATCAAGAATTCACTCACCATCTCGCCGTCTTTTGCTTGAGGATGTCGTGAACGTTGGCGGTGGTGTTTCCGATAATAGCCAAATAATCGGAGTGGCTGGTTACCGGAGATTTCCGAGGGTCTGCCCCAACCCTAACCTGGGGGCCTCTTGCCACACTTGAACTCGCTTGGGCTTAAAGTCATGCTCTCTCAGGGCTCTTCTGCATGAAATATGTCGTTTGGTTCGTCCACCGAATGATAGATACAGTGTCACTCGAACACGAAAAAAGTCAACCGGACAAAGCATGTATAACTTTTCGCTTTGGGCTCCCGATGCACTCGTGATTTCCAAAACGCCACTCTAGATCTATGGCAGATTCTTGAACTTCCATGGTTCGTTCTCATTCATCATTTTTCAAGCCCATGCATCCACACATAAACTCGTGATCGAAGCGAATTATTCCATTTCATGTTAAATGAGAAGAGAAAGAGAGACCGGTAGATATACTGTCCGATTGTACAGTGAGTGGTGGGTCACATAAGACGGTGACGATGAAGACAAGACATTATACGCAGGCTGTAAACGAATGAAGGTTGATACGCGTCCACTAGTGACGGTCGTTCAATCTGAGACCAAGATAACAGACGGGAAGAATATATTAGTATATGTTCCATAAAACCTCAACCCACCCCCACTGTCTATGACCTTCAAAACGCTCAAACTGAAGGAGGGCGAAACAAACGAATGGAGCTGATCAATAAACCCATAGATAGAGTGCGGCGAATGTTGTCGCCAGGTCGGAAGATGAACAGCGGCGGTATGGTCGGAGGTCACGATTAAACGCTACTGCCACTCGTGATCCTAGACACAATCACTGCTAGTGCAATGAGGACGCCCCATCTCCATTTGTCCCAGACCATCTGCCTCCAACCTGCCATCCATCCGCTACTTCCAGTAGGGTCTCCATTCGACGCACCATTTCCAGGAGTCGCAGCGGGAGCACCATGTACCCTGGGCATTGCTATCTTCCGTGGGCGGACCGCGCCCGTGCCAGTTTTTGGAGTAGCACCAGTTGCGGTTGGCGCACCTTGCGTTGGTACGGATGTTGTAGATGCTGCTGGGTGCGGCGGCGGTGTGGTTTGTAGTTGTGATGAGGTAGTTGTAGTTGTAGAAGGCGCGGCAGGTAGTGGTGTATCCGGCTTTCCCTGGTCTCTCTCTCCCATATTGGGAAGTCCCCGAAGAGAAGGTGTGCAAAACTGTAAGTCAAGACATGATGTATGTCAGTAGTTTGTTCATATGGAAAGAATAGTAGCTCATAAGATCGTGGGAATATTAGGACAGATGGAGCGATATTGTGTGGAACGACGGAGGCAAACACACAGGGAGTAATGGGCAAGTAGGCAATATAACAGCCAGAGTACATGGAGATAAAGGCGAGGAATATCTGACCTCTGGAAAGGCCTCCCTGAAACGCTTCTGTTCGATATTCCACGCATGACTACGGATGGCATAAGTGCGCTTGTCTCCGTCAGACGTGGTCATGGATCCAGTCGTCATCTCGTCGGAGAGCATAAAGGAGACCAGTCCTGTCAAACTGCGGTGGGAATCCTAGATGAGCACGATTCCTCGTAAAAGGGAACAAGAGACGATAGATACGCACATGGTTTGGACGCTCCATGCAGGATTCCACTGTTGAGAGATAACAGTGGCGCAATGATTAAAGGGGTCGAAAGTAAAGTCAATGCAAAGACGTACAGTGCCTGGGTGGAAGTCGGACATAGAAAAGCAGATCTTCTTGTCGGGTTGGAACCTTCCCGAGGGCGTAAACATCTGCGTATCCACGAAGAGCGAACCGTAGATTGTTCGATCAATGGCCCACTCATGAGCGCCATGGTATCGAAGATGGTTCTTACCTTGATACCGGGTGGCTTGAAAGGGTACTCGGATGGAAAGAGAAGTATTCCATGATATTCGCCACCTGCAAAGGGAGAGTCGGGTGGCCCGCGCTTTGAAAGAGGAAGGAGACGTCTGGATTAGGCTTGTGATAGGCGTGACAGCGGGATGATGCATACGATAATGAAGTTCCCTGAACGCAGAGGTTGTACGGTTAACCCCATTATCATCGGACATAACGAAAGTAAACGAGGCAGCGTACAACTGAGGATGTCCTTCTCGTCCGGTGCCGCCCAGACGAAGGGCGGTGGCTCCCTCTGCATGGCGACATACTCCTTCGAAAGCTGAAGGGAACCAATCTCAGCACCATAGATGGCACATAGAGCAGTCAAAAGTACGCACGCGTTTATAGGCAGCTTTGGAGGCCATTATAGGTGATGTGGGCGTGTGAGGGAAGGATGTAGTGGGTTGAGGATGAGTGGGGTCTGTGCTGCCGAGCGCGACTTCGACACGCCGCTGACTACCCCGCCCCGCAAATAAGACCAAACACCCTAAACAAGCAATTGTGAAGGAGTGATTGCCTCGCCGGGGAACAACAGTCGACCAACAGTCGACGATCAACTTTGACAAACTACTGGCGTCCATAAGGGCACAGACTGGTAGCTGCATGTTCTGTCCAACTCCTCCCCTGCAGACTTCTGCCACTTCTAATAAACTGACTTGGGATTGGTTGTGTCGAAGTCTCTGAATCAGCCTGACCGTGACCTCCTCGGACTCGTTGGGTCTCGTGAAGCATGGCGAGATATTGCAAAGCAAAGATACTTGACGAGAACAAAAACAAGGCCGTCTACTCCTATATCACCTCTTAGATCCTCGACCTCCATCCCTAGGTTTCATCGCTTTCTTCCGCTCTTTTTCCTCCTCCCTCGCCCGCGCCCCTCGTTGCCTCGGGTCAATCACCTCATAATCCCTTTCTGCCTTCCGTACCTCTTCATCGTTTCCTTTGGGGAAACTGAGTAGATGAGACATGAAACCTGTATCATCATCCACCTCGATGCCCGGGTCTTCGCCATCTCCAATGACACCTTCTTCTGCGACATCGTCTTTACTCTCTTCCTCATCCATCAACGTAGACTTCAATTTTGTCCGGAAGGTTGTCAGAGCCGCCAGAACATCTGACTCGTCTTTTTTCTTGTCCTTCTTGTGAATACCACGTCCTTTGGAGTACTTGGCCAATTCCTCTTCAAGGTAGGACTTGTTCTTTGCCTTCTTTCTGGCAGGTTCGTCATCGCTGTCATCGCCGTTCTGGCGCTTGGATAACTTGCGAATATCGGCTTCCATCTTCTCAATCTCGGCCTGTCGTGAGCTAGAAAGTCGAGACAATCAGTAGTGAATGAATATTTACGGGAATGAACATAAGTGAACGAGACCTAGTATTCACCTTGATGATTGCTCTTTCGCGTGCTTCTCGCGTATCTTGCTTAGGTCCTCCGTCTTGGCTACGACTTTCGGCTTCTCCTGTTGCGCCCAATATGAATCACAATGTTATTGACAACTTAATTAACAAGCTGGGTGAACATACCTCCTTGGGGCGGTCGTCGTTCTTGGACTGTTTTGGAGGATCACGTGGGACAACGAAGTCAGGAATAACAGACTGTTCAGGATTCGAGACCACTGATGTAGAAGGCAGTACGCTGTTATGGAAATGATTCGGTGGAAGTCACCAATCGTGAGGGGACGTACGATCTGGTCTGACAATGTTCTTCTTCTGGAATACCGGTGCACTGTCGTCTATATCCATGTCTTCGTCTGCTCCGAAACTAAGCAACTTTTTGTCTCTATATCCAACATGATATGATCGAACTGAGTTTGGAGCAAAGATAGGAGAGGAACAGAGACAAACGTACTTCTTGGCGCCTTTCCGCCGTTCTGCGTCCTCACGTTCCTTCATCGCCTCCGCGCGAGCGCGTTGCTGAGCGCGTTTTTCCTCCGCGGTGATACGGGGAACAATGTCGTCGAAGGGATTGTCGATGATTCGAACGTTTTTGATCTTGGGAGGGCTAGAGAACCTCGTCACAGTCAGTAATTTATCCACATATATATAAAAATATCTGGTGTTCACTATAGTGGTCGCCCGTTTTTGTCGAGCTCTGGAATGTATAGGTATGGGCAGCCGAGCAGGTAATCTTAGTGGTCCAAACTCACCCATTGACCCTATCTTCATAACGTCTGGTTTGAAGCACATCTGATTAGGTACGCACGAAAATCTATGCTGCAAGTAACTGAAGCGACCCACTGTATATTGTGTCGCCGATACACCGACCGAACAATGTATGCTTCCCATGAAGTTCATCCGCACGATCTTCGATTGTAATTGGAAACACCATTGAGGTCGCAATGCGTTATGCCGAGGATGGGAGGCGTACCAAGTGTGATAAAGAATTGAGAGTCATTTGAGTTCTTCGTCCCGTTGTTTGCCATAGCCACAAGCCCACGATGTGCAAAGCGTAGCCGCGGACGTATCTCATCCTCAAAGGGCTCTGTTGAGACTCATTAGTAAAACATGTTGCTCAAGAACTAAGCACCATAACGCACCTCCATAGAAAGACTCTCCCCCTCCACCCGTTCCTGTACGATCACCGGTTTGAACCAAGAAGTCGGGAACAACTCTGTGGCAACCCTGATGAGTCAAACTACCAACGCTCACGGGAGCTGCTGGTACGTACCGATGAAATATGACACCATCGTAGTATCCTGTGGGTTTATAAGGTCTCAGAGTTGTACAATTCTTTACTAGCGTGGCAGCCTCTACCTTCCATAGCTAACGCGAGGAAGTTTCGACATGCTTTTGGCGTTTCCTACGAGTTCATGGTTCAGGCTAGGAGCTCGATGCAGTAGAACCAACCTCTGCGTACCTTCGACCATAGCTCAATCTCAATCTCCCCTGCAGTAGTATCGATGATTACACGTCCTTGAGTGGGAAGGGACATCGCGAGATGCAGCGCCCAGGAAGAAGTGAATATTCCGGAAAGCGGACCGCGTCTCGAGTCGCGTGGGCGCGTTGTTTGGCTACAGCCTCTGATCCTAACAAATATTTCAATTTGAGTCGTGGCGTCCCATTTTTTCCTCTCTCGTTAACGTTGTCTTGGTTCATGTATGACATGCATGGACAGTGAATTCACGAATCTGAAACGCCTACTAGAGTCATACTCTCTAACGTGGATTCACTCCCTCGCACTGAGACATGGCACTGCCATTCGAACTACAAGCATCAATTTCGACACCACGTCCCGATTCAAGTTTCCCAGAGCACTGTCTAGTCAGGGCGATCTGAGTACTCATTCTGAACGCCTAAATAACTAATAAATCTGCAGAGTTCCTCCTGTTTCTTTCATTTTGAGGCACAGGTTCTGCTGATCCTCGCGACTTACACCCCAATCATTCCAGTGAAATATGGCAGTGCATCAGCATCATTGATCGCGACTAATACGATTCGTACAAGCGGCGATTACTAATGTAAATATCGTTCAAGAAGCTAGAGATCACGAAATCCTCGGTTTCTCCTCTTTCTCCACAACTCCCACTCGTTGCGGACGATGCCTCGACTATGGCCGCGTCACGGTGCCCGAGAACACAGTCTTACCGATGACAGTGACTTTCGCTCGCCCAAATCTGACTATGATCATGCCATTGACAAAGGGACTGTACAGACTCCAAATCGCTCAGAGACGGTGCATACTCTTCTTCTCAACAATTACGCATGTGGCTGATCTCTATGTTCACCTAGTCCGAGTCCTTGGGAAGTCGGTCTTCAATGATACGGCGGCACATAGCTGCAGTAAATATCTGGCGAATATCGTGCATAGTACTCCATGCCTTTCTAGTCGTGATACACATTGTTCTATTGGGCATTGGCGCTGGAGGACACCCTGAACACCAGATTATAGTCCAGGAGAATAGAGCGACGCTTGTAACCTCCATTCTTGGAGCGGTTACTCAGACTTTCGCAACGGTGAATCTTCCCCACCCTCAAGCTTCGAGTTCAATAACGCTGCTGCACAGTACTGAATGTTTCGTTCTCAACTCTAGGCTTACACGGCCCTCCTAGTCTTGGTGGCCCAAAGACTCTCGATTCGACATAGCCTTCTTTCCTCCCAAAACTTGACGGTGACACACGATCAGACCACGGCTTGGACTGGATTTGGGGCTAGCATCTTGACTGTCTTGCGCCAATTTCAGCTTCCTGCATCTGTTGGGAGCGTCCTCCTCATATCTTCGTACCTGGGTGGTGCAACAGTTCTCCATATCACGACGCCGCAATTCTTCGACTTGAAACCCCTCTATCTTGATGAAACCTCTTCCACTACCACGACTCTAGCAGTGCCTAACCTGACTGCCTCTGCAGCGTACGTGCACATAGAAGCTCTGGTGAGCTGATATTTTTTTGCGTTATTGACATCGTGTGGTCTATTAGGTCAGGAATGGATTGGAGTGACTTCTCGACCCTGGTCCCTATGCTTACGCGATTGAACACGCTATCAACACTCGGCCTTGTGAACAACACCCTGTATGATGTCTTGGACACAAATAACGGCACCGGTGGGGTTCAGGTTGGCAGACATGCATTTTGATCCTATCTTCGTCACTTCCCTCTTGCCTGACATAGCGTTCATTCAGGTGAATTCGACGCGGTTTGAGGTGTCATGCGGCTACGTCCCAGGTTCCAACCTCACCGCCGCGCCTGATGCATCAGCCTCAACCGATGTCAATGCTACCCTATACCTGATCGGCGGATCGGAGAAGCAGGGAGGTTCCGCGTACACCCTCGCCCTAGGTATGCTCTACATATGTTCATTCTCCTGGTAAAAGTATAAATCTGACTTTTCGATGCTCTATGTAGCACCAAACGTGGTCCGGGCTACTGCTGCCTCTAACGCAAAACGTTGGGATCGTTTATTTAAGACCCTGCCATAATGGGCACCATGGCTGATCCTCTTCTTGTTAGACCTCTTCATAATATCAACAACAAATTTTACAGACTCTGCAGGCAGTATAGGCAGTACTGTTCAAGCACAGCCACCCATGCTCTGTGAGTTATGTCCTGCTCTTGAAGTTTGTGCAGTTGGACTGATCACTAGCCTTCTTCCTATAGCAGAGTTTCACGGTAGTGATGTGAATGTTACGAACGACACCATGGTGTGGGCCGTGCAGTTCATCGGCTGCTCGCTAAAAGCAACCGATGAACAAATGACCGTGGATGCCCAAACGAAACTCCCAACATCTCAGGCTACACTTGAGACTGACTCTGGCACCTGGTCTGCATGGAATGCGAGCACGACCGATACGAATAGCGGCGCATTCTATGATGACGTGCGCACTCTTTGGCTAGTTAACTCGTTCCGCGAACTTACTGAACGCGATTGAATTTTCACTCAAAGTGGACAGATATATTCACCTATAGTAAACTGTCGTCCTACGAAGCAGTCTCTGGCTGCTCAGATTATCAGGTCTCACAAGCAGATGCACCACATTGCTATCTCACTACTATGGAACAGTAAGTTTCATCTGCAGTGTTAGGGTTCGCTGTCTCCATCACTACTTGATTCACCGACCATTGCTCGCAGATCACTGTTACAGAACTTGAATCTAGTTCCAGATATCTTCTCCGTTTTACCCAATCAGGCTTCTGGCTCTACAATAGTAAACACTCTCCCGTTGAGTGACCTAGAGAATGCGATAGCCAGCTCAGTTGCAGCTGCTTACTGGTCTGGTGAGCGTATCTTTACCTGCACATCGTTGCTTTTCAGCTTTGTAACCAAACCCCGCTTGCTACGACTTAGCTCTTTATCTCAAACCGTCGAGTATCGCACCCGCGAATCTGAACTCAGGAGGTTCTACGGCAACGAGCAATATCAGGCAGCAAGGGAGAGCAAGTATCCCTGTTCTCAGACCCGCATATTGTTTGAATGTGCGTCTCAATTCATGTGCTTCGTCCTGGTTGTCCCTCTTTGACCTCGCATACATTATTCCAACAGATCAAGATCGCAGGAGTAAGCATCCAAAACACGCACGTAGATTGTCGAACTCTTCTCTCCATACTTACCATTCCTTCGGTTGTCAGGTCAGCGTAGGCCTCGGTGTCTCAATCTTCTTGGCTATTCTCGCCGTCATTCTTACCCGCACGCCGCCCAACTCCGAAACGAACAATCCGGTCGATAGCACAGGGATCCTCGAGATCGGTTGGATATTACGTTCGAGGCCTGAAATCCAGCAGAGATTAGGGCAGGTGAACGAGCCGAGTACGAATAATCTGAGGAAGGCGGCCATGTTTCCTATTGTGCTTGCCCATGTCGGTGCTGGTGAGATGGAGCATGGAGGAGATGTAGACAGAGAGGGCGAAGGTGAGACAGGGTATGCAGCGTACAGAGGGAGCGGTTCGGAATTTGTCCCATTGAGGAGGATTGGCTCGGATAGAGAATGAATGAAACGGGGCTTCATCTTCTAGGATTTCCGCGACTTTATGCATCTCTTGTACGTTCGTTTATTATACCAAGCGCTTTGGATTTTGGGTACCCAACTCCTTACCGCGAAATATCATGTATACCCAGCTACGCGAGGGCACATAGGACGACCTGCTTGTGAGGTTCTGTCGCCACATCTACTTTCTTTGTTACGCCACACACACTTGGTGCGTATTATTTGCTCCATTACCCAGTCAAATTATACGACTTCCAAACGAAATGGGACTCAAGATTCCCCAAGATGAATAAAAAGAGTACAGGTATCGCCGACAAACTCCCACAAGAAAACGACTTAAAGCTTCACCTGTCCTCAACCGCAGACTGCAGTTACCACACCACCTTCACATAAACGCCTGATCATCCCAATATTCAACACCCTCCCCGACAACTCCTTCAACCCGCTCCCTCCATTCCCTCCTATCGACTCTATTCCACTCGATCTCATCATCCAAACATAGCAACAAATCGTCAAAGGATCTTGAGAACGCAAGGTCCATGAGTGCATCGGAGTCGTCGAACCGGAAACTGTGGCGGTTGTTCGGCGACGTAACCTCGGTGCTGTAGTCGTTCCAGGGATAAAGATGCAGGTGGGTGGTTGCCATGTCTACGAATGACGGAGGATATTGGGCGTGGAAGGTGCTCAAGGGGATGCGAGGGGGAGAGGGCGAGTCACTGTTGGCCTTACGCGGCGTGGTGTATGTGTAGACTGAAAGCGGCCGCGTCGCGGTATGCAGGCGTGTGGGCCCGGTGATTGAGACGGCGCGATATTTGTGAACGTGGTCATCCTCGAAGTCGAATTTCTGCAGGCTCTCTGCGCGGAAGGCGGGGGTCTGAAGAAACGGACTCTCTGGCGGGCTTGAGGCAGCGCTGCCAGCAGGGGTAGGGACAGCAGAGGTATCGCGAATGTCGTGCTGTGTGGCATCGTGGTAGTTGTTGATATTACATCGTGTTAAAGGGCTCGGAATAGCAGCACGCTTCTTCCTGGGCCGTACCCGGCGGTCTCTGGCCAAGCTCGGCTTTGAGAACGATGATGATTCTGTAGGCGAAGGGGCTTTGGGTACGGATATGGCGGCGGCGGGAGCCTCGGATAAAGCGGGTATAGTGATGTTGAAGGAGGACATCCCCATGAGAGGTAGCGCCATGTTTAGACTAACGTAGGGGGATGGCAATGCAAGAGTCGGAAGATAGACAGTCGCGGCGGTGAGGGACCACACACTGGATGATTGGGGCTTGTTAGGTCGAGGCTTATATAAGGAATATGTGTTTTGTTCGAAGTCCAACGCCCAACAGAGATGGCAGTGACGGTGACACTTGAGCGTCAGAACGGAGGCAGGTGACAGGTGACAACAGAATAGATGAATTGACAAGATCGATCAAGATTTGAGACCAAACATGACCGAAGCTCTGAAAAGCGACGACTCCGGTCTCGCAGACGCTGGACCTGACGCCGGACAAGGTCACTCATGATAACAGCGTACGACGAACTTGAAAGAGGTCCATTACATTAAGGTATTTGATTGTTCGATACGAGGGGCGCGGACAAAGGATGAAAGCTATCGAAAAAGCTAGCAAAGGACTAGTCGTCGGCGACATTCAGCGGAGAGTACATCAAAGCCTGATACTTCGCTTGCCAGCTGGCATACTCCGCACGATTAGCAGCAAGCTCAGCGTCCAAAACAGAAACGAGGTCGTCGACGATAGGAATAATTTGAGGTGCAGATAATGTGCACAGCGATGATGTGTAGTTGAGACATGGCGCCATCGTAGAGGTAAAAGTCGGGCCACGGCGATGAAGGTGCGAAGCGGCGTCGAGTGTCTCGTAGATTTTGGAGATACTGGCAGGTTCGGCGAGCTCCGAGGTGGTGAATCTCCTCTCCGGAATCGAAGAGCAGTAGGAGTCGGGAAATGATTTAGGCGAGGATGAGATGGCAGAGACAGAGGATGCAGTAGAAGCGACTTCAGGCGAGGCGGCGACATAGGTGGATGCGGAAGGTCGTATTGTGATGGGGATCACAGCGGGATCGTGAGGTCTTTCTGGTGCGATGTAGATAGAATTCCGGGATTCTGCGGGGCGACTGGAGTGGCCAAGAGCGTGGTGGTGGTTCACGGCGGTGGTGGCTGGAGCAGTCATGCAGGCCGCCTGGAGACTGCACCGGCGATAGGTGATATTGGCGAGTATAGACATAAAGAGTTACGGGATAGTCATGTGGGAAACGTGCAGGAAGTACAAGTATCTGAGTTGTTTCTTGAGGGGGCGTTGTATAAGAGGATGATCGGGATGCAGAGATGCCTCCTATGCTACCGTTTGTTTCTGGGCTGGTGGTCGGGTCGGGTCTGAGGCTAAGCTCCCGGTAGAGAGAGGATGGTCAAACACGCAAGGAGCACTCTCTACAGAGAGAAAGATCCAAATTCAACGAGAAGAGCAGTGGTAGAATCGAGAGGATTGACTATGATACAGCAGGTCGTGATGGAAGAGAACAAAGAAAAGCAAACTTGCAAAAGATCAGGTTTGGGTACGATCTCTTACGTAATTGAATGCCAAATTTGTCTTACGCGCCACCAGCGAACTCTCCCACGATTCGCCCACACCGCCCAACGAGCCCAGCGCGAGCGACGACAGAGCCGCCGCAACTTCAACGCCGTCAAGACCAGCAAGAAGACAGCAACCATGGTCAGTATCCCTCTATTCACGCCGTCGAGCCTGTTTCCAGAGAACGGCGTGGCGTCGAAACTGTGTTTGGCGTTGGATGCTGCCCGTTCGACTCGGATGACATCCCGCACCCCGACTCTGTTCGTATGCTTACCCCGTCGTTCTCTAGGGCCGTGGACCTAAAAAGCATTTGAAGCGCCTTGCCGCTCCCTCGTCATGGATGTTGGACAAGCTGAGCGGAACCTACGTACGTCCCAGCAACTTTTCTCGAATTGCTACATCCTCAATGAGGCGATTTTCGCGTTTGCTCGTTTGTAGGCTCCCCGCCCCTCCCCAGGTCCCCATAAGCTCCGGGAATCCCTCCCCCTTACCATTTTCCTCCGCAATCGCCTGAAGTATGCCCTGACTGGCCGTGAGGTCACCTCCATCGTACAACAACGGCTCATCAAGGTCGACGGAAAGGTCCGCACTGACAACACCTACCCCACTGGCTTCATGGGTCAGTTTCAGTCCAACGAGTAATTCACTACATGTTCTCACTTGCGCGAATCTATAGATGTCCTCACCATCGAGAAGTCTGGCGAACACTTCCGTCTCCTCTACGACGTCAAGGGCCGCTTCACCATCCACCGCATCACCCCCGAGGAGGCTGAGTACAAGCTCTTGAAGGTCAAGAAAGTTGCCATCGGCGCCAAGGCCGTTCCTTACATTGTCACCCACGACGGCCGCACCATCCGTTACCCTGACCCCCTCATCAAGGTCAACGACACCGTCAAGTTTGACTTTACTCAGAACAAGATCACCGACTATGCCAAGTTCGATACTGGTAACATCGTCATGATCACTGGCGGTCGCAACATGGGTCGTTCCGGTGTTATCGTCCACCGTGAGAAGCACATTGGAGACTTCGATATTGTGCACGTGAAGGACGCTTTGGACCGTACTTTCGCTACGCGGTGAGTTTTGATCTCATTTGTTGGCTTGAAGCACCGTATTGAAGCTGCATATTTTAGGATAACGAACATTTTCGTTATCGGGGAGGGCACCAAGCCATGGATCTCGCTGCCCAAGGGCAAGGGCACTAAGCTCACCATCGCTGAGGAGCGTGACGTCAGGAGGAAGCAGCGTGCGGCTGAGCAGTAGGCGTCGCGGGGCGGCTGCTGGCTTCTCTTGTTGTTTTCTGCTTTCATTTCCCCCTTGTTTATGCCATGCTTGTATGTTTTCCATACTCTCTTCACCACGCCAAAAACAATGCATGCATCATTATGACGGGCGTCCGGGTCCGGTTCTCTTCGCGCTCTCAAACAAGCAGATGAAAATACGTGATGAGCCTGGGCAGTACGTGCGTAAATCGGCCAGACGATTATGACTGCCGTACGGGTCTCGCGTGACTGCATTCGTCTCACCACAGCAACCATCCGAAGTCTGTATATGTCTCTGTCTATATCGCGTCGTACATTCTAAAGCAACCCTCTACGTAGATCAGAAGTCTATATGATGAAACCTCTCGTGAAGATAGAAAACAAAAACCCTAGGCAGTAGTCTTCTCCTGGACTACTGAGCTGCTTAACGTCTCCTCGATAGCTTTGTCGTGTTCTCGCTCTCGAGTGTGTTGCTCGCTCTGCGGGGTTTGCTTCCCTTCTGCGTCCACGCCTTCCTCGGCGGTTCTGTCCCTCAGCTTCGTCTTCTTGTGCCCCACAATCCCGACGCCCCGAAGGAACAGGATTCCCATGACGGTACCTGCCACACAAAACAGAAAAAGGAGGAACAAGTCAGTAATCGACAGCTTAATTCGGAAAAGAAACAAGAACAGCTCACCAGCAATACCGAACGCGAAGGCAGTCCAATGCGCGCCCTTATATCCCCCCAACAACGCCGCCTTGGGGATGTCTGAGTCGCTCGTGGAACCGGTGACCTCGACGCCGAGCTTAGCGGCTTTGGAGCGGACGATGGCGTTGTAGACGATGGTGCTGATGGAGAGACCGAAGGTGGAGCCGATTTGGGTCATGGTTTGGAAGATGGCGCCGCCGACGGATTGTTCGTGTGGGAGACAGATTTTGGCGATGAAAAGGGTTCCGGCTGTCAAGTGTGCGGATGAGTAATGGTCGTGCGGGTGTGAATGAGTGCAAGTAGGGACTCTTGCCTGCGAATACAAAGTCTATGAGAGTGAAAGGTGGACTGGTGAGTGATTATCAGGAGGGATGTGTGGTGTGTGTTACCTGCGCCTACGACGATGATCAAGGCGGATGGAAACTGGAGTGCCCAGTAAGGTAGAGAGGGGTCAATGGCGGCAAAGAAGACGTTCGCACACCCCGTGAGCATCGTGCCGGAAGCTGCATGAGCAAATGTTCATGAGTTCACGAGTATTGCAGGAACGAACGAGAAACGAACCGATGAGCCACACGAGGGGTACATGGCCGACAATCATGGCCATGACAACATTGCAAAGAACACCTACGATCGAGGTCGGCAGTATTCGTACTAGAGACTCACAACATCAATGACAGAACGACAGCCATACAGTTGTCACTGGAATGACTTACCCATGCTATTTATAGGGGTCAATCCCATATAGTTCTGGTAATACAGCTGTACCCAGTACGACCAACAAACAAACGAGCACCAGTTAAGACAGGCGATAAATTGCATGGCTGCGAATCTCCCGTTCGCCCGCTTCCACATGGAGAGCTTCATGAGTGGTGGCGCGGCCCACCATTTAGAACGCAGTGACTTGAGATGGGCTTCGGCATCGGAGGAGAGTTTCGAGGGTTCGGGGATGAAGCCATGAGTATTTTGTATGCTAGGGTCAGGGTGGAGGTCGAGTCCAAGTGAAGCACGGAGACGTTCGAGGAAGCGTTGCCATGCGAGGAAAAGCAGGATGAAGATGAAGCCGACGATGAGCAGGGCTATAATATCTATATCGAGGCGGACTCATGAGTATACAAAAATTGAAAGAAAAAAAGTGGTAGAGGGAGAGAAGAACTGACAGGGCGTACGCCACTCCTGAGGGGCGGATGGCGAGTCGCTCAGTACGAATATGATTAACACCAGCCCAGTTGTGACCAAACCAGCTCCAATCCAGTCTACACGCCTGTCCAGTTCTTGTGACGGTTGGTCCGGGTCAATTGTGAAATAACCAACGACAATACTCAGTCCGCATAACCCGGTATACAGATAAAATGCCGAGCGCCAGGTAGGGCTATCAGTCGACGTGATCCTTTACCTCAGAAATCATTGTTACACAGGACGAAGGATGAGCGAGCTTACTCTGTGAGCTGGACCAGAACCCCACCAAACACGTATCCGAACGCGCCACCTAGAGGGGCGCCGGCTGCAAAGGTAGAGAAGGCGATAGAGCGAGCTCGTGAGGGTGGGAAGGTGTGTGCAAGAATGCCAAGCTGTATACATTGGTGGGATACGCGCCGAGCGAGAGTGAGAACCAATATTTAGAGACTTCTAATAGAATACTCACCGCGGCAGGTACGACAGCGGCGCCACCCAAGCCCTGAATTGCACGAAGAAGGTCCAACCCTATCTGATCTTAAACGGAGGATTGTCAAGCTTGAGAAGATGAAACATATCATTGCACGACTCACTAGGAGCAAAGCCTACACCCAGAGCAAATGCTCCAATGACGGTGAACCCAAGAAGGAAGACCCTCTTACGTCCGTACAGATCTGCCAGCCTGCCGAACAGTAGGAGAAAACATCCCTAGATTGCACCCGTTCCCAGAACCGGTGAAGAGGTTAGATACTGTGCCATGGGCTATAATGAGAAGGTCAGACGGACCGAGCTTAGGGAATAAGCTGCCGGGAAGAGTCAGTACAGTTCGATGAAATGTCCACAGGTGTTCATCTCACCTGACTGAACCCACTGCAAGTTGGCCGGTTCAACGTCGAGCTCTGAGCTTATGGCCGGTAGTAGTATAGCTACCGCCGCTGAGTTTGCGATCTGAAGCCCTTGTATTTAGACTCGAAAGCAGGATGCATGGAAGATGTGCGGTGGCCGGAGGGTGGCCCAAGAACGCGGGAATCTAGGAAGATCACTCACATTCACGATCATGGCGCTTGTACATACAAGAACGATACATATCAGCCTCCACCTGCTTCTCTTCTGCAAGTGAACCGAAGCATCGTAATTGTGTGATGTGGGCATGGGTGTGGGTGCAAACTCGGCATCGAGACTTGGGCGAGGTCTGGAGTTGGGTTCGTCATCGTCGTGTGTGTTTTCTTTTGGAGTCGTGGTCATACCAACTTGGGACGCCTTCTGTTCCGACTCTGACCCCAACGCCATATATACAGTGGATATCAGGAGGGAAATTCAGAGTAGCGCTGATGTCGAAGACCTCGACGGACTCGTCTGGTACGATACACATATTTGATTTCGGAAATTGTGCAAGACGGATGAACCAGGGATGAACCGTTCATGCGAGGATTTAAAAAATGCAAAAGCGCGGTCTTACAAACTTGGAACTTTTAGGGATCGCCCAGCACGAACATGTTTTCTGACCTACCTGCTTTGCGTCACCTAGCGATAGGCAAAACGCTGATGGACAACGGGCCACGAGGCTCGCAAGGCCCACGAAGCTTCTTGATATTGCGGTCTCGACCTTCTCACAGCGATGGGGAAAAGGCACACCCTCTTGTGCCTGCTCATGCAACGGCGCGGCGCTCATGTGCTATCTCAGAGCTATGAGTCTGCCTTCCCTCTTCTCTTTCTCATGCCTTCCCTCGAGCTATAGTCTGCAAGCTTGAGTATACCCCACGACTTCAGTCCTCCTTCGACTCGTCGCCGCCGTTGCTGACGGTCTGATTGCCACTCGCTTAGGAGTGTTATCTTCGATTGGCGATCTATTACTCTCCTTTCTTCTTACAAGCCACAGTCTTTTTTTCACTCCCTTTCTCTTTTCTTATTCTTGCTCTAATATGACTACTCACCGCTCTTTCGACTCTAGAAGACGTTCTTCTCGTCGTTCTTCTCACCAGGATATTCGAGCAAGAAACCTGGATATTTTAGGCGGCGTCGGGGACCCCACCTCATCCGCTTCTTCCGACCCATCCCCTTCCGTGACCACAGCTGGTTCGAGCTCAGATGCCGTTTCGACGACCTCAAGTTCTACCTCCAAACGCGGACTCCTAGCGGACGTAGTCGACCCTGTAGTGTCAGCCGTAGACGACGTCACGGGCGATGTAGTTTCCGTAGTGGGTGGTGTTGTAGGCGGCGTCCTTAGCGGTGTGGACGCTGTCGTGACCGACTTGACCGGTGCAGCCACGGCCATCGTCGGCGGCTTGGCTCCAGCGGCGACAGCTCAGACTTCTCCCACGACAGCTTCCGACTCGAGTTCTGACGACAATTCCCCAACACCCACCGCGAGTACTGAACCCTGGAATCCACTCGCGTCCATCGTCAATCCCATTGCGTCTGCCGTTGACGGAATCACAGGGAACGTAGTATCCGCGGTCGGGGGAGCAGTAGACGACGTGCTGACTGCCGCCGACGCGGTCGTGACAGATGTTACAGGTCTCGTTACAAACCTAGTCGACGATCTCTCCCCAAGTCCCACTGAAACTGCTGCTTCCGGAGGTTCATCGTCTTCAGCGGGCTCCCCTGGAAATCCCATCATTTCAATTCTTTCGCCCGTGGTTTCAGCCGTTGACGGAGCAGGAGGAGCTGTCGTGTCGGCCGTAGGAGGTGTAGTTGGCGAGGTTGGCTCCGCTGCAGGCGCAGTTGTTACAGACCTAACTGGTGCAGTGACCGGTATCATCGGAGGTCTGTCTCCTGCCGTACCAACTCAGGTCTCCGGAGGTGGCTCTTCGTCTTCCACATCTCCAGGTTCGTCAGATCCGTCGCAGACCGGGACCGCTGGTTCCTCCTCGCCTACCAGCGGGAGTGGCTCAGGTTCAGGCAACAGTGGGGGTTCGAGTAGTGGGTCGCCGGGTGATGGCGATGGGTCAGGGGACCCTGACGCGAGCTCAAGCGGCGACGGTTCCAGTGGGTCTTCTACCGCAAGCACTCCCGACGATGGCAGTTCATCCTCTCCATCCGGAGCGTTGACTGTTTCGAGTGGCACGGCCACCGATGGTTCTTCTACACTGACCGCTGTAGTATCTGGATCTGGGTGAGCGCAAACATACAGCTCCTTCCGAGACCAAACAACTCACTTCGCTTGTTTACTTGTAGAACCACTACTGCTCTCGGCTCTGGAGCTACTAGTGTCAGTGTCAATCTGTCCTCGAGTGGCGCCTCTGGAACGGCCACTACACTCGATGACCAAAACCTCGCAGCAGCATCCATTACCCGCGATCTCGGTGGTTCGATAGTCAGCGGGACAAGCATCCTTGGTGGAAACCTAGCCGTAGGCTCCTCTACTGCTCTCTCTGCACCATCCGGCCTCAGCTCAGGAACTTCGGGTTCGGGCTCTGATTCGGGGTCGGGCTCAGGTGGAGCCTCGGGCAATGGACCGAATGGCGGCGGTGGTGGTAGTGGAGGGACCTCCACGTCCAGTGGTTTAAGTATCGGCGGCATTATGGGACTTGTCATAGGCCTGATATTGCTGCTTATCATGCTGGCCGTTCTGATCCAGCGGCGGAGGACTAGGGAGAAGAGGAAGAAGCTGCAAAATTTCTTCGGGCGCGCTAACCTCAACCAGGTTGGCGGCACTGGCATCGCGACCTCGACATATGGGAGTACAGAGGCGGTCAGGAGAGGTGTGGCGGGGCCTGTTCGGGTTAGTGTTCGTTCGAGCTGGGGCAACTTTGGAAGATTGTCTATGCGCTCTGTCACCCCTCGCGAAGAATTTGACCCCGACATTCCTCCGTCAAGTATCGGGCACCCTACAACCGCCAGCTCTATGATAGGACCTGTCGGTCACCGGCCTGAAGAGGACGTTTGGGCGCAGCCGAGGATGTCTACCGGTTCTGCGTTCGTGGAACATCTTTCAGCGGACTTCACGCCTGTACCTGGTCCCACGATGGCTCAAGTACGCTCGTCGACGATCAGTGCATCGACCGTAAGCGGTCCAATGCTTTCCAGAGGCTACAAGGCGGCAGTAGTAGAAGGGATCCCGTTCAACGCGACGAGGGACCGGAACTCGGCCTATTCGAGCGAAACTTCCATATCTGGCGCCACGCAGAGGGACTCCGCCGGCATGTTGACCATACCGCCTTTGATCGCCGTCCCTGAAGATCCTGTCAGTCCAAGTACGGTGCGTGGTCGGAATGGTGTCGGGAGCCTCGACGATCCACGACCGGAACAACCTCGTACACCCATGTCAGTTCGACCGTTCTCGCCGACGGAGTCCTTCGCTTTCCCCAAGCCTCCCGACTCCAACGATGCAAATGTAGGCTACAACCCATTCGCGGACCCTGTCTCCACACCGAACTATCCGTCCACGATCCCTGGCTCGGGTGTCTCTCTGTTGACGCCTACCCCGTATTCAGCAAATACATCCTCTTCCGTCCTGAATCGGTCTCTTTCGACGCATTCGGGTACGTCTTCCAATGTCTCCGATCCTCAAGTTCGTCGCTCGGCTGCCATCTCAACCACACCGTCCGCCTACGAGACCGCCACAGAAGCGTCCATTCACGAGTCGACGGAGTCTGGCTTGGTGGGTGACAAGGACGAGGACAGCCCGTTCTCGGACGAGGCGGCTTCTGGCGAATCAGGATACTACTCTACTCGTTCTATCGCTCCCGGCGAGAAGATGACCATCTACAGGCAATTTGTCCCCACCTTGTCGGACGAGTTGGCGGTAGAGGTCGGAGAGCTTGTTACGGTCGTACAAGCCTACGACGACGGGTGGGCGAAGGTTAGAAAGGATGGTCAGGAGACTGTGGGGTTGATACCGTTGGACTGTTTCAGAGCGAAGGGGGAGGATGTGCCTGCCTTCTTGGCATCAAAAAGGATCAGTAGCATCTATCTCGGTGTGGCAGTATGATTTGACTTGCCGACGGACAATAGGCATGTCATTCGTTGTGGTTAATGGCACACCCTGACCTACCCTTCTTCATCACAATATTCAATCTCGTTGAAGTATCCCTCCATCATTGTAAACTTCTCAAAATTCCTGACCTCCTTTTCTCAATCCTCGCCTCATGCTTAGGCGTACTCATCCCCTTTAATTGTATGAAGCTTCTACCATGTTTTTACTGTTGTAAAACACGCCCTCATACACGTACTTCGCACACCTTCGCACACCTTCGCAACCTACTCCGTGTTCTTCGATCTTCAATACGCATCATCTATTTCGGCCGGATTGTGGATTGCTTTCATTTATATATACCCCTGCTGAATATTTTGTTTATTTGTTTCCTAGGTGAAGGACCGTGCTCCGTGTCGCCACTTCCGTTTTTACTTTTTACTTTTGGATATACATCGTGCTGCAGGATGAGGAGAGGGTAATATACGATACCTGTTGTTGACGTTTATAGTTGTTGCTGTCTTTGTTATATTAGACATTTATCTGAGCTGGATTGCAGCTGCCTCATTGTGTTCGATGAGGCAGAAGGTGATCACTTTGGCAGATCAGTCTACGTGACGTGATCGAGAACAGTCCAGTATATGTAGTATTGCGGTAGTTCATGATAGAATTAGAGGAGGATATGTACACAGCGACTGGTGTAGCGTGGACAGAGCGATACGTTGGAAAAAGACACGATGTAAAGTAGCTATAGTAAGATGCACAGGGTAGGGAGACAACGACAAGAAGAGTGAGATACAACGATGTGTACAGTCTATTAAAGTGAACATAGGGAGCGACAAAAGGCAAGACGATATGGTAAAAAGCGATTATACACTGTACGTACCAGGAAAAATATGTAGAATAAACGGAATGTAATTGTAGGATGAAGACCTGCGAGCAAACATCAAGCATAACTGTGACAACCAAGACTTCCACAAGCATTAATGCGGCTAGAACACGGTCCTCAACCAAGTCTTCGAGGCCACCATCGCCTCTCTGTCTATCTCGTTTACTTTGGCTCTGCACTCTCCCCCGCCAAACACCTCGAATGCCTCCTTGTCGAGTTCGTTCGTCTCTTCCTTCGTCCACTCCGACACCATCTCCAACAAACCCGATCTTCTCTCGTTGACATCCGCATGTGTCGGATCCATCGTTACGACGTGCCACAGACCATGCCGCTTCACCGCGAACTCGCAATTATCGTTCTCGCCGCACTGACCCCCACCCATCACTTCCGGCGACAATCCGAAAAAGCTCTCCCCATCCGTCCGGCACCTCTTCACCTCATGCCCATGCGGGAATGCCGGGATATCCGGAGTCCACAAGGTTTGTCTGGTATAGAGATAATGACCGGGGACCAAAGGTATGGAGGTAACGATATACCAAGAGCCGTTGATCTTGAGAAGTCTTTCGTTGGCGGCGATAGTGGTCAGGCCGGGACAAGTGGATTGAAGATGGCCATAGGTGGCGTCGGCGCAGGCACGAGCGTGGCCGACGTCGTACAGACATGGGTTATAGGTGTTCGGACCATAATTCAAAGCAGGAGGGGGTATATAGCTGTTACGAGGCGGTATGGGGGTATGGGGGAGATCGGGCGAGGGGATATTGGATCCGCATAGCCATTGACCTTCCGAGATCGGGGCATGCTCGAAGCCCCGGCAGGGTGCATTGTAGTGGTCGAAGCCGTCATATTCATTGCGCAAAATGTCCGCCGGGTATTCGAGATACTCTTTTGCACCTTCGAGTGAGGTCTCCTTGGCACGGGCGAAGGAGAATGGCGTCGATTGTCGTTTAGACACAAAGGGCCTGACCGGGTTAGCGACAGTACGCAGAGAGTTTATCGATTCGGGATATCCTCGGGAGGAGACTGAGTCGACTGCCGTCCGAAGGGTAAATGAATCGACAGAGATTGCGGGTGTGGACTGGGACCTGGTGGTCTTCTATGTACGAGGAAGGATGCCAATGGTCAGCATTCAGCAGACAGTGCGAGCAGATATAAGAGAGCATACATTGTCCGTCCGGTCAAAGAGAGTGAAGACATTGGTTTTCGACCTCTTCTTGTCGGCTCGTGTTTTGATTGGGAGAAGCTTGGCCTGTAATGGGCAAGGGATGCTGTATTTGCCCCTGTCGAGGACAACGGACTCTGCGATGTGTGGCGCGACCTTGAACGCGGGGCATTCGATCTTGATGCCGACCGGCTGGGTCTCGACTTTGGCCTGATTTTGAATGATTTGTGTGTCCGTAATCTCGCTGGCCTTGTTGAGACAGAGAAAGGTGGCCACAGTACCAAAGAAGGCAGAGATCCGGGTAGATGGAGACATAGCAGCTGAGGAGTGGCTAGTAAATTGTCTTCTTGGTAGTCCGAGGTGGTGGAGAGAAAGAAAGACGATGTGCTTCGGTAGCAACTTTCTCAGAGCATAAATTCCAGATTCATTGGTCGGGTATATTCAGTACGAGTGGACTGAGACAAGGGCAGTGTGAGACTGCCAGTTAGTTTGGCGATAGATAGATCGTTAAGATTGAACATATGTTTCGGCCACGGTAAGATTCACAGACTACGTCATCGACCCGAGCGAGACGAGGCAAGCGTTATGTTCCGATTGACAGAGCAGCAGCCTGAGCGACACAGTACCAGCTTCGAAGACTAGCCTGGGAGATGACTGGAAAATCTGGATAACTGCGTAGCAGACGTGACTGACAAGTGGAACTCTAGACGGCCCGGACTTGTCATGGATATGCTTGCTTGCTTGATGAAAAGCACGAGTACATCGGTCAAAGAAGCAGAAGTAGATTTCATTGGAGGAAACGACTCGACGACGATGATAGTTGGAGTGTCACGAAGTGCTCGGCGACTTGGAGATACGGCAAAATCCGCTGGTTACCCACGTGACCCGGAATTTGCGGTGTCCGTCCGCATCGGTTCCGTCTCCAAGCCCCTTTCGCTTTGAACCGTTACTTGTATTCTATCTCTTATTTTTCTATTGCAGACTTGTGAGTACGGACCTCCGACCATCAGTCTTGATATACGTTGTTCTGATTTCGCTTATGCCTATCAAGATACTATTGTTCCTCTTGACTTGTTTCAATCTGATTGTTGCTTGACACTTGGCTCCGAATATATTGGGCGAGCGATGGCTAGTATCTCAAAAGCTCGCCCATACAACAATTCTCAGCACAGGCCTATATCGCGCCCAGCTCCTGCTATTGGGATAGAGCATGGTGAAGACTCTCAATGCCAAGAAGCCGTCTCCGGGAAGCGACTTGCTCGCCCACCAACGATTCGTACCACTATACCTCCACGCCCACCGCAGACAGGAAGAGGAGGCCAACCTGGCAGAGGTCGCGGAGGACGGCACACGAGGGAAAGAGGTGGCTATAATGGCGGTAGGAATCCGAACGGTGGAGATGACAGAGGAGTAGCGGACCCTGGTGCTGGCCGTAGCGAGCAGCCGGGAGCGACTGGGTTTCGAAGGCCCAATGGCGACTCGCATCCGAGAAGGGCGACGTACAGCAATGCTTCCTGGCATCGCAACCATCAGGGATCTACGTCCTCTACACAGAATCCTGTGACAACAGCGTCGACTACTTCTCGACCAAAGTTCTCCGACGGACTCCATGAGTTTTCGATTCATACCCTGCCTCCGCGCCCATCATCATCGTTCAGTGCCGCCCTACATACTGCTGATAGAGGTGGTTTGGGTCAGCCTTTTGCGGGATCCAACGACCGAAGTAGGGCCGGGGAAGAGTCTTCATCGACGGATAAGCATACTGCTCTCGCACCCGGCACACAACCGCAACATCCAGCATACCAGAAACAACATAATATTGGAGATGAAGGAGTTGCGGCCACCTTTTCTGGCATGTACTTCCCTTATACGCGCTTCCGAGGAGGACTAGTCCAACACCCCCCGTCCTGGGCCACACAAACTGTGATGGACCCTGGGCCACAATCCTACACTCAGCCTCTGCCAGCGTTACCCATACCTGCACCATCTCCTGCACCCCCAGATGCTACGACTGACCAGCACCTATTGCCGATACCTTCACCCAGATCGGATGCTGACGACCCACGCCCTGCAAAGCGCCAAAGGCGCCATGGGCCATCGGAAGAATCATCACTGTCTACGCCCCAATCGTCAGCAATGGATTGGCACCCTTCTGCAAGCGAAACTCAAGGAGATTCGCAAGAGATATCTATGCTCCCAGGAGAATATACATCAAGTCGTTCTTCCCCATCTGCTCCCCCCTATGTTCCCCATCTTCCCAAGACGAACGAACCGGTTACGATCAAGCAAGAACGACTCAGCCCCTCTCCTCCGACACTCTTCCCTAGTGCGAAGCAGGTTACGAGCGGCTCGCGACGTCATGCCCCTATGCCAGAGAACTGTATGCGCACAAATCCAGACTATAAGAAGTGCAGGAACACATGGAGGAACCAAATGTGTGGTGAGTTGGTCAGGAAAGGGCTACGGGTAGTTCGAAGCTTCATAAGGTGAGATTCCGCCCTCTATAATTTTTCTTTTCACGAAAAATAAATGAGGGTTACGGCTCCATATAGGGACGACGGTCTAGTCATCGACTGGTAAAGCCTATGTTATGATTTGCCTCAATCATTTCGGGAACTAACGTTCTCTATTACTCCAGGGAAAGTACGGAGCCAGTTATGTCCGACACACTTTTACCACTGTCACAAACGCCCCTACCACCACACACGGAGCAGCAATACACCTCACTTTCTCATCACTCACCTCACTCTGATCCGAAACCGTCGTCCGTTGCACACCATCAGTCTCAGACTGATATGCGACCAACGTCTCGCGATCTGCAAGCTGTCGCGCCAAAGAGGAAGAGAAAGAGAAGGAATAGAAGTATGCGACCGACTATTTCGCCGAGCGACATGTCACAGTACAAACACGTACAAGATGACCACGGAAGAGACGTCATCATGATTGATAATGATGAGGACGTCCAAGAATCTTCACCTACGGTCACTAGACCAACAACGCCGACCATATCATCTTCGCACTCCCTGCCACCGCAACCCTCGACATTGGCATCTTCCACGGAGCCTGACATAAATGATTTCCCTTCCGGCAACGGCCTCTCGCCCACGAACCCGACAGGCTCCCCTCCATTCTGGCTTCTGGACTCCGCCTCGCTGATCTCCTTTGGCGAGGGTACTCGCGATGAGCCTCCACACCTCACTGGAAAATCAACGGGGCCTGTGAAGACGCCGCTGGCAAGGTTCAATGAGTCGCTTGCGGAGAAAAGGAGGGCTCGTTTAGCAGCTGAAGGTGGTGAGACATCTGAGCATCGCGTTGAGGGTAATGACAATGTCGCTGCTGGTACGACCTTGTATCCTGGGTCGGCGGCGGAGGCGGAGATGGACCTGTCTGGTGACTTCGGTAGTTCTGCTTCACACGCGGACGGAGACGAGGACTGGGCTGAGGGCACTGATTTGGAGGATGCAGCATTGGAGTATCTCAAGCGGTATGGTGCTTTCTGATCTGTCGCGGAAGTATCGGGTACTGATTTTTTCTCTCCTGGCTAGGTACATTTTCGCATTCGACAAGGATCGTCTTGCCCTCTCAAAAGCATACTCTGCCGATGCCACGTTCTCTTTCCAGCGCCTGATACCCCGGATTGGTGACGACAAGCCGCCTGCCGTATTCGACAAATCAGAGCTGACACGCGACCGTCACAATATTGCCTCTGTGCTCAGTCAGGATTCTATGGACACGGTCGATTATGGTCCATCCCATCTGAGATTCTGCTCTGCTGAAGAGCCTCTCGACCTCCAGTATGATGTAGTATGTCTAGAGCATTCCAGGGTCCTCCTCGTTGCTCATGCATCGTTGAGGCACACGCAGTTAGGAGCCGTCGGTGACGGTATGGAGGTGGATAACGAACAGGATAGAAGACCGTTTGGTGTAACTATGAGTTTTGTATTACGGAGAAGAACGGACAGTGATGTCGATGGAGTTGCCATGGATGAGTTTGCCGGTGGAAGATTGGAGGATAGGTACGTCCACCTTTCTGGATTGGAGGGGGACTACGCTCATATCATTTGCTTTTGTTGGTCTAATAGGTTATATGGGACCTGGCCTCTCGTTGCTACAGCACATCAGATGATTGTTCGTCTTAATTCGAGCACATGTTGATGCGTTGATGCCTTGCCTCAATGACGACGGTATTACAAGTCCTGGGTCTTACAATGGACCCAGAATAATAAAAGTGATTTAGGCCACTTATACGTGGGCCAGTGCATGTTGTCACCGGTGCATGACATGCTAGTGCCTGCTGTGATGCTACCATTGGGGCGCCACAAATGCGCCGGGCCCATTTGATGGCGTACGTCCATGCGACCACAGTCGCATGTGCTACACCACTGCTGGCGTGCGATGGGTGACTGCAGTTTCGACAGACCCCCTGCTACATAAAACGCAATCATACTTTCTCCATTTTCCAGTTATAGCACATGCGTATCCATGGACGCCAGCGGTAACAACCTTGTGCACTTCTGGGTTCTCACCTCGGAGGCAGAGACTGGGCATCACTGATCACAACAGGCCATTTCGTTCAGCATGCGCTGCAGGTCTCGCGAAGGTTGATCGCCGCAGTGATCAATATTCGAAGTGTTCCTTTTAAAAACCGCGCTCTGGAACGCCTTTCACTCTGACTTATAAACCACGAAACTTGGTTCCAAAGACTCATCTTCCTTCTTCCAGCACACTCCCTGCACGTTCTCCGGAGGCCAATCTGAAACTTGTACGATCATGTACCTTGCTTCAGCCATAACTGCTGCCGCCACATTATCTTCTGGGATCATATTTCCCTTGTATATATATCCCAACGAAAGCTGTCCGGCGTGGACACCAGTGGAAGACGCGTAAGTCTAGACCTCCCCTGGTTCACACTTGTATGTTTGTTGGACGATCCTGATAGTCTTATTGCCTCATCAGGATATCGTCCCATCCGACACTTCCCTTCTGGCTTGTCGTCAATCCCGGGAGTGGCCCGGGGAATGCTGGTACTCAGCCGGACACGAACTACCAAACCTGCATCGCACAGCTCAAAGCGTTTAGCAATGCTGAAGTCCTTGGCTATGTGCATACTTCGAAGGGTACCCGCGCCTCCGCAGACGTTATCACGGACATCGACACATACTCGGGGTGGGATAGCGCATATCGTCCTGTTGGTATCTTCTTCGACGAGGCCGCTAGCACTGCAAGCGAAGAATCCTTGTATGCACAGTATGCCGCTGAGGTGCGCACCGACTTTGGCAGTGACAGTACGGTGAGCAGTTCAGTTGTCGAAGGCTATAGCCAAAATTGTGGCGAGACGCTCATCGTTTGGTCTAATTAGGTCGTCTTGAACCCCGGAACTTCGACGGATTCGAGTTACTTTAGCATCGCGGATATCATCGTTACTGAAGAAGAGTACTACTCTGAATTCTCGTTAGTCACGCATCTTTCCTTTATGATACCCTCTTGACAAGCTGGGTCATACATGCAGGAATAGTCAATTGACCATCGATGCCACGCAGCTTGCATCTAAGCAAGCTGTCATACTTCACGATGGACCTTCCGCCACGGACACGTCGGTGGTCAACCAGCTCGTCACGACAGACAAAGTCAAAGCTGTCTTCCTCACCGATTTTGCGAACGATGTGGCGTACGAAAATATCCCAACGGATTGGTCGAACTTTGTTGATGATGTACAAGCAGCAGCTGGTGCTTGATGTAAAGATAGACTTGACAGAATGAATACGATGGACAAAAAAGGCCATGATACTCATGCAAGTCTTGGAAAATATTAGCCCTCACTCTTTTCTGCCTTACAGTCAAATTCGAAACATGAAAGACTACGTTCCATGGAAAACAATAGTGCAAACAAAGTCGGACGTGTGTTTAAACTCCCTTAATACAAGGGGCATACAGAGGGCCCTGGCTTCAAGATTTCCAGAGCTGCGTCTCTCACTCTGTCATCAATAATCTTCCCCGGGCCTGGAATAATGGCATCCGCAAAATCGAAGTCCGGCCCCGCCCCTGCAAACCCATCCGCCACCTGAGCCCGCAAATCGATACCATTTAACAACGCTAACCTCGACACTTCGAAGTTATCGCTCGACGTCTCTCCAGTGCCGGGAGTGGTAGCAGTGATGTATTGTTCTTGGCCAAGTGGAAGCGACATGTTGAGATCAGCTGCTATCGCGGATATGGAACAATTGGCGTTCGAAGCCAAGAATGCATTGGCTGAGAGAAGCGCAGCCATGGCGCGAATGAGTGGGCTTGTGGTATTAGCGGTGGCGGACTCAATATTGGCATCGGTGGCCACGAAAACCTCGTCGAGAAGAGGACTGATGAAATCAGTTATATTCGCCAGGATGGGCAGTGGAGTTGGAAGGTTCACGGCTTCGACGGCTGTGTGTGGTGTGATCATGTCAGCTCATAAGAATGCACCACGATACAGAAGAGTACACACTGAACGGGTATGTGAGGACCGTTCCGAAAGTAGAGGAGCCGTTAGCAAGTGAGCCATTCAATAAATCCGCGAAACGTGTTGGCGTTCCGCCCACGGTCTGTGGAGAGGATGTCCTCGTCAAAAGCAGTTGTGGGGATCTCAAAGTGGATACAAGATATGCACACCTGGAATGCATAGTCGACACCAAACGCCAAGCCGAATAGAGATAATATCTTGCGAAGAGCGAACCTTATAGAAATTTTAGTAAGATAATGATTGAATCATTCCTACAACATGCGTACGAGTAGCCGGAGGCAGGCGAATCGACGAGGAGCGCCTTTCCTCTGAAGTCCTCGATGCTGTCGATACTGGGAATAGAAGCTATCGCTAGGCCTGCTCCTTGATCGAGCTGTCCTATGATGGAGACACTTTGGTTCTCGTTGAACCGGACGTTATAGATATTGTCGGCCGTGACTGCTGCCATATCGTAGCCTCCTGCGAGAAGATTGGCGATACCGAAAGTCGAGTTCGGTATCTACCCATTGATCCGTGAACCAAAGCAGATTATAGAATACGAGCTGGTGAACTCACCGGAGAAAATGTAACATTTAGGCCTTGGTCGGTGAAAAAGCCGAGCTGTGCTGCAACAGAGAATGTCGCAGTCCTAACAAAGCCACCGAAAATGAACTCATCTAGCGTATCGCTAGTGGCATAACAAAAATCAGAGATGAACAATGAGACGAATGTGATATGCGCCCAAAGGACGAAACTAGACGTATGCATAGTCCGTCAATGGTCTGTGATAGAAGAGTGAATGCTGCGACCCGATGAAGACTCAAAATGCACGGAATATACTGTGGTTAGTATAGATATATATCATGGGAGAGGTTATGAATGGCATTGCTTGTTCCTGACAGAGATGGACAGACAGGCTTCACAGGAACATGCGGTAGGATGGCAAAGACATGGGAAGGACTGCACTTTAATGCGGACACCTGGGAACACATGTCTAGGAGGTGACATACGGTAATAAATCTCACACGCCAGTATTGGGGATTACCCACCCTCTTTCCACGTAAAAGAGGATGCTTATCTCCAGATATTTGCCTCGTACTGCCAGTGAACAGCAGTAAACGCGGTTTTGACGGCCCTGGGTGCGATTGTGGCACGGGCCAAGACTAAGTATTTCAAGTGCAGAAAATGGAGTCGGGACCATCATAGAGAGACTGGAATCCAAATACTGTCCTCAACGTTGGTTCAGAAGGTAACGAAAGGCTCGTCGGATACGGAAGGTGGAAAGCCCTTGTCGGTGTGGCACCAGAGAAACGTGCGCGTGTCGGAGTTTACCGTGACGTCGAACGCGTCGCGTAACGCTGTGACCGTTGAACGGCTGGAATCTTGCACACAACCACGATGGCGACGCGACAAACCCGTCCACAACGAGCGCAGCGCCCTGCTCCTGCTTCACATGATGACTCTGACTCTGGCGACGAAACTGAACCTGAGACTCCTAGGCCCACTAAGTCTGCTGCCGGTCTTCGTAGGCGAATCAGTGAAGTTCAGGACAAGAGCTACGACGATGGGCCACGACCAGCCACGAAGACCGTGAACATCAACGACGATGCAGCAGAGAAGAGACGGAGGAGAAAGAGTACGAAGATTACTGCCATAGATAACGCCGAGGCGGGGCCTTCGGGCGCTGCAGGTGCTGGAGATGCGGATGGTGTGGCGGGGGCGGCGAACACTTCGAGGACCACGACGGGAGGACGCAAGTCCAACGCAGTAGCACTTCTGGAGACGCCTGTTATCAACGTTCCAACCGATGTAATGACCAGTAATTTTGAAGAATGGATGAAGATGGCCATGGATAATGTTTGCACTCATTTCTTGCGTCTTTATCCTTTTTTTCCAGCCCAAGCCATTGACACTATTGCTCGAATTTTGTAGAAAATCAATGCGGCCAATTCCTGGAACTTTGCTCTCATCGACTACTTTCACGACATGTCGCTCTTACGCAATGCGTCCGACGACACTATCAACTTTCAGCGCGCCTCCAGCACCCTCGATGGATGTGTCAAGATCTGGACTAGTCGTGTCGACAGTGTAGGCACAGAGACAGGCAAGCTACTCAGCAATCTAGCCAACGAGGGTCGAGCGGACGAAGACGAGGCAGAAGGATCGGACAACCCAGATTCTCAAGACCCATCGCAGCCACGGAAGAAATCGAAAGCTAAGGCCGAGGCAACCTTGGCGAAGAATGCCGCGCAACTGAAGAGCAAGAAGCTTGATCTCGAGTTCAGCGTCGACCCTCTCTTTAGGAAGACCTGTGCGGACTTCGACGAGGGTGGGGCTAATGGCTTGTTGATGAATCATTTGAGCCTGGGGGTCGGCAGCGAGGGAGGATTGAGGGTTATCTTTGACGCTAGTGACTCTATGGGACAAGAAGACGCGGACGAGACAGAGGATCGAGACGAGCCAGTTGAGGAGGTTGATTTGAGTCAGCTTCGCCGTAAGTTCATTTTTGTTCTATGCTATCGGCCGTCAGCTTATACTCTGTCTACCAGAGAAATATCTCCCGGATCTGGATGCCCTTGACTCGAAAGCTATTTGCCATTCCCTAGATGACTTCGCATTCTCCAAAGATCCGTTCTCATTCGACGAGTCCACTATGTTCCGTGAACCCAGCCAAGCTCCGCTTGACGACGACGCTGATGGCGGCGACTTCGGTGCACCTCAAGACACCTATGGCTCCGCTGTTAACGTGGATGGCGATGGCGCGGGCCCTGCACTGGAGGAGGACTTTTTCGCAGGCAACGATCCCATGGACACCTTCGAAGACGCTGGCATGAGTCCCGAGGGCATGGACGATGGTGCTACCCCTAGCTTCGACAACGAGCAGTACAACGCTGGTGCTGGTGGTGAACAAGGCGGAGGTGCTGGCGCTGGAACCGGTCCATATGGACCGTTTGACCCTCGACGGATGCGGACTGAGAGTGACAGGATTATAGCGATGACAGAGGGCGATGGGCAGGGAGGGATGATCGAGCTGTTTGACCAGTCATTCTTGAAGAATTGGGCAGGGCCTGAGCATTGGAAATTACGCAGGGTTGTTAAACGTCGTAAGTATTTGCTGAGCATGTGCGAGATTTTCACTGTCCCATCTGACAGACGTATCTTTTGGCAGCTGAACCGAATGCGGAGGCGTCTGGAAAGACGAAGAGAGACAAGAAGGAGGCTTTCCGAATCGATTTCCTGACCCCCGCTGAAAAGGACTACAAGGAAACCGCCAAGACACTTTTCGCCCCCGTCACCAAAGGTGCTGGTATCAATCTACCGAAGTCCGGACCGTCGACCAAGACGAGGAAGGGAAAGAAAGGTGGCAAGGAGAAGGAGAGGGAAGACTATACCCTTCCTTACGACATGCACTTTACCAGCAAGAAACTTGATAATCTCTTCTTGAAGCCCGACTTCAGGGTAAGTAGCCTACAATGCCTGTTCACTCGTGCGCGATCAACCTCCTAACACATCATCTGTGCTTGATCACGGTATAGGTTAGCATGCGTCATCAGAACGGTCGCAACAACCAGCAAGGTGATGGCGAAGTCGACGAACATTTCTGGGCTCAGGCAGCTGCAGATCAAGCTGCTGCGCGCAATCAGGATGGCGACGACAGTAAGTCATTATCTACGCTCTTTTCTTCTGTTTCAGCCTTTATGACGCATGACCTATGTAGCTATGGATGAGGGTGGTATCCCCTTCAACACACAATTCTTCCAGGATGACTTCAACGACGGCGCTGATTTTGACGATGACATTGGCCCCAGCGGAATCGATCCTGCCGAGCAAGACCTGCTCGCAGCTACTCAGGGTCAATCGAGGAGAGTACGTCCCGAGAGAGTCAACTTCACGAAGAAGGCGAAGAAGGTGGATGTCAGAAAGTTGAAGGATAATATCTGGAAGAGTTTGGATATCATCTGCCCGGAGAAGAAGGAGGACGATGAAGAGGATGTTTCGATGGTAAGCCATTCGACAGTATACCCCTTAATTTTCGCACTTTGCTGAGTTATGTTTGGCGTGCGGTAGGAAACTGACGAAGGGACAGATCCGAACGAGGCTCGCACGTTCGACACTGTTATTACTGGTCTCAAAGCGTCCTATCCTCCGGACAAACTCTCTGATCTCAGCACCAGTTTCTGCTTCATCTGCCTTTTGCATCTTTGCAATGAAAGAGGCCTGAAGCTGAAGGGTGGAATCGATGATGATGAGGTTCCGTACGACGAGCCGATGGAGGAAGATGAAGAGACCGAGAAGGATAAAGTTGGTAACATCTGGGACATCAAGGTATGATTTGCTCTGACTTTTAGTGCCTGTGCCGGTTGACTGACGACGCGGTGCGCATTCTCTCAATAGGTTTTCCGCGATCCGACTGCTATACCAGCAGCATAAGCTTCCACGTATTCAGAGGCTCAGTGACCTGGTTCTCGCCACATCTGTGGCGTGTAAATATTTGTGTTTCGAGCTATCTTATAACTTTTCCTTCGAACATCTGTATCCATCTATCTCTTTGATTACTCTAAATGACTGCGTAACGACATCTATCCCGCCACATGCCTATCTTCGCATTCCGGTTCAAATCTCTGCTGTCTTTGTTTCCCCTTTCGTGTATATCGTTTGCTGTATAAACGAACACGTGGTCGTCATAGACGGGCCTGTAAGTTCCTGAGATGCCTTCTTTGTGAGCCGTGTGTGTCCATTTGTCGACTTGTACAGAGTCAAAGCACACAGGGGCCAATGTGTCAAATATCAGGCTTAGTACTGCAAGACGATATTACGCAAGGCAAAGAAGATGAATTTAATTTGAGAATATTGGACTGCTCTACAGACAATAGACGGGGGTATCGTGTGTAAGGAACGCATGGGGCACAGCCGGGGTGATATTGATACAAGAGGATGCAACTCGTAGAGTGTGAGTATGACAAGAAACCAGATGATATGCTACAATGGAAGAAACGATGAAGTAATGAGGGGACATAATTGCTAAAGATGAGAGATGAGAGATTCTATGGATACAGTCGCCGCAGGCGTTGATGGAAAACTATAAAAGGGGATAAAAAGGCAGAAATTGATACAGTTTGTGTCATCATGTCATCGTGACATCGTGGCCAGTCGTTATCGTATTCCACCGCTCGTCGTCGTGAAGGCCCAACCCCCAGTGGCCCCTGCCAACACTCCACGCTCACTATCAAAGAAGAGCCTAGTGTGCAGCAGAAGCGTGGCCTCCAAGCATTCATCGCAGCCTCGCCAAACGGTTCAACCAAGCTGGCCTTGAGCTCCTGACAGCCTTGCCACGGACAACGTCATGTTTCCGGTGTGCGTCGCAGTGTTTCGTGAAGTGGGCTAGTTGGCTCTGAGGGAGCTCAAACTCGTAGCGGGCGACCGTGGTGTCGACACCGGCAGACTCGGGAATGACGGCTATGATGTCGGAGGAGGAGATGCGTGCGCAGGGAGAGTCGGTTGCACGGAAGTGCGTGAGGGCTTTGGAGTCGTTAACGAACATGTAGACGTCAAAATATTTTTCTTCTTCGCCGTGTGGACGAGCAGCTAGGAAGACACAAGCGGGAGGTGGCATCAGTAAGGGACGCATACACAATAACAGAAGAAGCACATACCTTGGACAACAACAACCTCACTGTTAACAAGGGCGAAACCAATAGAGCCGTAGGAAAGGTGGAATGACATGATGGTGGTTCGATATAAAGATCGGGGAGTTTAGATATGAATATGGTGTATAAATGATACAGGTGCTTGAGAGCTAGAGTTACTGCAGAAGGAGAAGGAGACGGAAGCCTGCTCTAGAGGAGAGGAGATGGAGGAGCCACAGGAATGAGAGCGCGACGACGTTATATGCGATTCGCAGACTATTGTTCTAACATGGCACAGAAGACTCAGAAATGAAGGCCGGTGTTTGTTCCAGAACGGGCAAACGAAATGGGCGCGATCACGTACGCTGCTGGCTCGTTTAGGCGCCAGCATAATGGCCGGCGGACAGCAGCCGGTCTAAACAAAAGCGAGGGCAATGAGGCGAAGACCACGACAATGGACAGGCCCTAATTAGGCGGTCACATGATGCGATTGTGAACGCGCTTCCATATTTGGCGGGAACCGTGAGCGTGGCGCACTCACAGCGTCGGTCGAAGTTCATTGTCTGCTCTGACCATCATGGGAACAATGCAGCCTCGCGGTGTCAGCGAAACCGCATATGAGCTCCATATGTGCATCCTGGCTCCTTCGACCCTCTTATCTCGGAAATGCTTGTTTTACGTCCATCGTGTGTGCGCCTCGTGATCAACAACTTTGTCGCTCTACTCGTAAATCGGAAGACAAAGTTCATCTTTCAGGTACCAATACAGGCAGCGCAAATGCCGGTCAAGCATTAGCACTCTGCTCTCGACACAACAAGCTCGACAACCCACGGTATACCAGAGTCGTTGGCCAAATGGACCCTGGCTGTTGGACACACTAGAGGCACCGAGTCAGATCGAAACCCTTGCGGAGGCACCTCTTACAAGTGTCAGTCCGCGCGGATACCCGCCACTATCGTTCTGTTGCCCCGAGATACCTGAGATCTTCAGTTCTGTTATCTGGCACGATGCTGTTCTGCTCTGATGCCCGTGCGCATCATGTGGCGACATTTTGCGCTGTGAGCAGAAGTCTCCCGTTACACGTCTGTTGAACGTCAAAAATCGAAGCAAATCTGAAATCCGCCTGCGGTGGATGATGCTCAAACATGAGCTATGGCTGTAAGCCGATGGACCTGAGTAAAAGTGTTTTGTGGTAGTCGAAAGCACTCGCTGAAAGGCATCCAAGACAACACAACCTACTGTTCGTTCTTCTCGACGACGGCCCGGATAGTCTCCTTCACGACCTCAACTGGTAACTCCTCTACGCGTTTCTCCGTCCACAGAGCGTCCTGAGCGAAACCCTGATACAGCATCATCTCTGTTCCCTTGACCACTTCCCACTCATGAGCCTTTGCCAGCTGCGCGAAGGCCGTCCGCACTCGAGGAAAATAACAGGCCTCCAGGACCACGCCTTTCTCCTTTTTCTCCAGGAAAGCCGTCACGATCTCTCTTGCCAACATCTCCCCTTCAGAAACGGGTGGATAGTTGGGCACGGTCCCTACGATACAGACGGGAGCGGCAAGGCTTCGTGCCTGTTCGACGGAAGAGACGTGCAAAAGTTGACCTTTGAAGCCGGTCGACTTGAATCCCGCGACGACGGCGTCTACCTCTGCTGCATCACGGCTGACAAGATAAACGACACCTGCGCCCATCATCTCTCCCACCGCGTACACAGCAGCCCGGCACGCGCCACCGCCACCGATAACTAAGGCTGGCCTTCCCCGCTGTCTCTCCTGTAGTTCAGGATGATTTCGTACGAGCGCTTCCTTTGCTCCTACACAGTCTGTGTTCGTCCCGATGTATCGCCTCTCGCCCGTAGAGGGGTCAAGTCGGACGAAGAGCGTGTTCATGGCACCGATGCGGACCGCGGCGGGTGTTAGATGGGTACATTGTTCGAGGAAGGCGATCTTGTGTGGCATGGTTATTGAGGCGCCGATGAAAGAAGGTGCGTGCATGAGGGGAAGGAAGGAAGAAATATCGGATGATTCATGAAGGGCATACGTCCATGGAAGGCCAAGATTGGTGAAGATTGAGTTGTGGAAGAGCGGCGAGAGAGAGGTAGCAATCGGATCGCCGAAGAGGTAGAGCGTTCGAGGGATGGACGTGGAGTTGAGTGTGGTGAGACCGTACTCCGAGCGGGAGAGGGGTAGACTGTCAGAGGGTGGATGAAGAGATGAGGAGTCGAGGGCGCCCATGATGTTGATGCTAACTGGGCGAGTTTTTTGGACGAAGTGCTATATAGCACTGTTTTGCCGTTTTGCGACAGGCGTAGACTAGAAGGTGACGCGAAGCAATTGATAGCTATGTGATGCGATTGGCATCAATGAACACGATGTCAGCGAAGATTCACCTTCATCATCATGCACATGACGAACTCCAACGAACCGGTGTGATGCACAATGTTGTTATAAGAAGACTACACTCCGCAAGTAGTGCTCAAACTATTGAGAGACCATCAAGAGAGTAGTAGAATGAGTCGAACATAAAACATCTTCAGTTCGAAAGCGAGACGTACAGACAAAAGCTTGAATTTAATGAGCCTGCGCTCGTCCTAGAGTTCTACGATTCGCTCTGTATATAAACGACCATTGAGACGACGAGAAGATGAAATGAAAGTAGACGGTAACGGACATGTCTGGTACACCACAGTAAGAAGACTAGTTTTGCCAGCGCTGGCACTGGCAATGGTGTGTCGGAGAGTTTGCCGACGGCCTCCCGAAACGTCCGATTGATCCTATATTCAGTCATTTCAGGACCGATGTAATTCTCGAAATGTGGCCAACAAAAAAATCTCGAGGACGGTGTGAAGGGACATGATTGTTGTGTCAAGTAGGAGGATGGTGAAAGAACGCGGTTCAAGCGTTCAGAGATATTTGACCGTCAAAGCGCCACTGAGCTCAAGCTCCGTGCCGAAGAGATAACAGCCACTCTACACATATAAGTTTGACGGCCAACCACAACTTACTCTCAATGAAGACTCCATCCATGCCCACAAGTCTTCCTTCTATCCCTCGTCCCGACCTGTAATTCAATCGTCTTCAACCTTTATTTTGCTCTAGAGCTGTCGGACAGATCCAGCGGCCGTCTGTTCTCTCCGAGTCTAACACGTTCTCTGCTACCGTCAGATAGGCCCTATAGGAAGGTCTACGTGCTACCGATGCTACCTCACTTCATCTAAGAACAGAACATGTTGACGTCCAAGTCTTCGAGTACTCTGCCGATGAATTTTGCAGCATCTTTCACTATGATCTTGTGGTCTTCTTTCGAGGCCGAGGCAAATAAGACTTGCCATTTACGGCCGAAATTTGCACGATTTTCCCCGCATGTGACGAGGAGCGGCCGATATGGGGGGATGACTCCCAGTTTAGAGCACGAGTGACGATACTTTTCCTCAAAGCAATCGCTCTTCGAAAAGCCTGAAGTCCCATTCGCATACGGAGGTAAGTTGTGTGAACTCATCAGATGGAGTTGGGCAGAATCACTCATCGAAGACCCCAGCTACCAGGTCCTCGCCTTTCTCCCACTCCTCCTTAGCATTCCCGACGTCGCTCTGCGCCTCAAGTGGTTTCACGACCTGCGTTCGCATCCTCTACACTATTTCCGAGGATGGGACTCAACCTGTTCAACATAAAGGAAGATCCCGCTAGACCGAGCCCTCGCGAAATTTATAACTGGCGTGTGTACGTATTGGCGATCGCGGCTTCGTGGGGATCTGCAGCCTTTGGTTATGGTCCGTCCGTTTCCATTTGTCCATTATCAATGCTCGGTTCGAAACTTATTGTACGCCATAGACTCGGCTTTCATTGGAGGGACCCTGGGTTTAACGTCGTTCAAGAACGATTTTGGGATCGACAGTACGAGTTCGACAGGCTTACAAGCTAGGATCGTCTCGACGTGTACGTCCCATCACACCCTTGTCATCACTCATCGTACGCTCTTGAACGTTTCCTTAATCACATCATACTATCTCCCTTCTAGTCCAAGCTGGATGTTTCTTCGGCGCTATCCTAATATATTTTTTCAACGAACTCTATGGCCGTAGACGCAGCCTACTCCTTGCTGGAACGGTCTTCAACGTCGGTGTTATACTTCAGTTATGTTCTGCCCATCGGATCGGTATGCTTTATGCTGGAAGGGCACTCGCTGGGCTGGGCATCGGCTCCAGTAGTCTTGTCATTCCACAGTATATCTCGGAATGCGCGCCAGCAGGCATCAGAGGTGGCCTCATTGGCATGGTGAGCTGGGATCTGATATGTGGTCCACGTACAATTAACTGACAGCTCTCTTCAGTTTGAAATTGTGAGATCTCTCTCATCTTTTTGTGTTGGCTTCTGCTTCTCGGGAGCCTCTCTTGCACATGTCTGGAAATGCTGATGGTGAATATGCCGCCACCCTGTCACATTCTACGCTCCACTATGCTTCGCCGCACTACGTCGAACATTCCAGTTATTGCAAATCGGCACGGTGTTCGGTTTCTGGATCAACTAGTAAGTTCACCGTGTGTTCATCACTCTACCTCCACTCACGCTGCGTTCTCAAGCGGCGTAAACAAAAATATGGCTGCCACACGCTCACAATGGCAAATTCCCGTCGCTATCCAGTGAGCATTGTTGTTTCCGCGATCACTACCAGACTTCTCATGTTTCCTCAGATTTATCCCTATCAACCTCATGATCATCATCATGTACTTTATGATCGAAACGCCCCGCTGGTTGGTACTCAAGGGAAGGGAAGAGCAGGCCTTGAAGAACTTGACCTGGTTGCGTCAACTCCCTGCTGACCACTCGTACATCCAAAACGAAATGGCTGAATATCGTGCTCAACTCGAGCATGAGATGCACATTACCAACGGGACAGGCCTTGGCGCTATCATCCGCGAGTCCTTCTCTCCGCAGATTCGCTCAAGGATTTTTATCGGTTGTGGCCTTCAACTTGCGCAGAATACGACTGGTATCAATGTCCGTACAACCATCCATTCGTCTAACGTGTGACATCGTGTTCGCTGACCCAATCGTTCCCCTAGGCTATCAACTACTTTAGCCCGAGCATCTTCGAGGCCATCGGCTTCTCGGGCACGTCTGTAGGGTTGCTAGCGACAGGAGTGTATGGGCTCGTAAAGACGGCTTTTTCAACCTTCTCTTTCATCGTTCTCGTCGACCGGTTCGGACGGCGACCACTACTTCTCATTGGCTCGGCAGGATGCATCTTATCGCTCTACTACCTCTCCGGCTTCTCGAGTATTACACACTCTTTCTCCGATTCAGCCACGGGCGGTCCAGCGAGCAGAGCAGCCATAGCTATGATTTACATCTACGTAAGCCTCTTCTGACCCATTAATATTTCGATAGGACGTACCAACGGCTCACCATTCTCCAGGCTATGTTCTATGCTACTTCGTGGAACCTCTCCTGGATCGTATGCGCGGAGATATTCCCGACACGAGTACGGTCTTTCTGCCTCGTACTCACCACCTGCTGGCAATGGCTCGGCCAGTTCATCGTCGTCTATTCCACACCGTACATGATTGAACACATCACCTACGGCACCTTCCTCTTCTTCGGTTCGTGCACCGTCATCGCCTTTTTTGCGATATGGCTCTTCTTGCCCGAGACGAAGGGAGTGTCGCTGGAGAATATGGACTTGTTGTTTGAGAAGCGGGGCTTGGCGTGGGTAAAGAGGAGGGAGTATGATGTGGTGATGGAGGCAAGGAGGAGTGGGACTGTGACGGAAGTGAGCTCGCAGTCGGACGCGTCAGGTGTGGCGGGCGAGCCGGAGAAGGAAGAGAGGAATCTTGTGGAGATGGCATAGGTGCACTCAGTGGTCAAAAGTCGATCCAGGTGGAGGATTGTGCAGTGAGCCTGAGGTGCTCCGACAAAATTGTACGTTACTATGGAACGATGCAGCGGTGAGCCGTCGCCGCACAGGAAATGAACAGGATTAGGCCCAGTGCTGACAGATTCCGTTTACTCATTGGATCATCCAGCCACGGTGAGGACATAAGGTCATGTATACCGAATACTAACATGCTCTGCGTTCGAAGTGGAACGTCCAGGGGGTTGTTCCATCGAGCGATTCCAGTTGACAGATGACACTAGCAGCTATTGTACTGGGGCCTCAAGTGCGGACCCAGTTGTCATTTCTTTAGCCACCAAAGTCCACATCGCGAGGCATTGGTCGCATACCTAATACGGGCTAAGACGGGGCTAACTTCGCGGTCAAGATACCAGGGGCCGATTGCTGTTATTCGGCAATGTGGCGTTCTCGCATACTTCTGAAACATAAGGAGACAGCGTATGCTTGGAGACGAATCCCGGTCGCACCTCGAAAAATTTGCGACTACTAGATGGGCGACTTGGTATCCTTGCACGAGTCTGAGCCCGAGAATTCGCGGCCGACCAAATAGCCCCGAGGACTCATGGTGCCCGAACGAGAGGTGGAGAGACGTGTTGGCATTTCACCATCAGCGCCGACTCCGCATGGTCAATTCCTTCTGTTCGAGAAGAAACCTTGTTAAAATGAAGACGACGATCATAGGAAGAATTGGATATCGTTTGTATTCGGTCGTAGCGGAAGTAGACCTTGTGGCGTGGACGGCCAGAAGGCTTTCGTCAGTTCTCATGCAACCCAATCTGAGCAATCTTTCTCCAGTCGCCACCTCAATGATAGGCCGAAAATACTTAGTCCAGGTCAGTAAAGGGGTTGATGACGCGGAAACATTCTATGAGAGGGAAGTGAACTCGAACGAATCAGACGGCGCGCTGGGTGTGTGGCGCCGCAGCCGCCAACTCTCCAAAATAATCGCATCGCGATACTCACAGGTCCAGCTTCTTGAACGGCGACACGTTGAACTTCTCACACCCGACTTTCAATTATGTGGACGGGAGGTCGGAAGGTTTGAACTCTATCTCCGATTTAGTTCAATGGCAACGCAAATGAAGTGTTTGACGTCGCAATGCGAAGTACGCTTCGCTTTGAAGCCGGCGACGGCATTGTTAATGAAGCTGGCCGAGGAGCAGCAATTTAAGGATATTATAGAGAAACGTGCCCTCTGCTTATGGCTTGTATTTCCATCATACTTAGTATGAGGAAGACTTATTCACAGCCTCTTTGCCACAGCGTGGAAAAAGTCTGGAGTACCTAGCAGCGCTCCGGTAGATCGAGACAGGAACAGAGCCTTGGGAAGCAAGGGCACTGAGGAAGACAGAAACCACATTTGGTAGAGCGGGGAGATCCATCAAGGGTCGAAACACTACTTGGGTACGTGGATTCGCGCCCCTGCTGCCCGATATTGATGGCGGTCCATAGTAAGTAAATTATATTTCTCTTCGGGATGCCAGCCAGCATTAACAGAGATTCCAATGGTGCCGATAATTGCGATGCGGATTCATGGCCGTTTCATACCTGGGCCAACGGACATATGACCTGAGGACAGGTTAAGCTGTATCGGGCTGTCTAGAAACTTTGCGGTGTAATGAGTCTGTGTGTCCACAGAAGACCTGACAGAAGACCTGAGTCTCTTGGAATAGAACAGATGATGAAGACGGACATGCCTCCGCTAGAGCGGGGACCCATCTGCAAGAGAGAGCGGTCTCTGACGCCCTCCGTCTCAATCCGAATCATTGGCGAAAAGGCTTACTCCGCTGGGCATTGACGGCGGCATCCTACCTACCACCACCGCTTTCAAAGCACGAGTACTCGATGGAACTTCGCATAGTACATTGATTTGCGGCTCTTCCCACAACTTTGTTGAGTCGCACCAGATTAAGAGACACGATCAACTCGAAGCGCCTGGCCGCAGGATGATCCAGATATCCTTCTCTCGTATCATGGACGCAAGACGAAGGAAGTACTTGGCTTGAGAAGGACCGCAAAATTGCTGGGCCAAATAAAAGGACCCAGAAAAAGGACCCAGGCCAAAACCGAGTCCTCCTCGCAACACCCACCGACGAAGAAGCTGGGCAGCTTTCGAAGACTGATGACATGAGACTTTGGCCTAGTAGCTCCAGAGAAATTTTGGACGGGTGGTGCAGCGTGTGTAATACGATGCAAAAATATGAAACAGCAGCAACCTCAGGGGTCGGATAGGAAGGAGGATACTGCAGGCCTTGGAGACCCACAGGGTTCTCTCAAGTCACCCCGAGGGGTAGCGGGGAATGAGTACCCGCCGCCACATCCGAGGCACGACCCCAAAGTCAACTCGGAGATCTACCGTCTGTTTCTGATCTCGGCGAATATTTTTGCTAGATCGAATCCCCTCAGGGTTAGAGAAGAGACTTCCATACCTCCGGACACGACGGGTGAGTGCGACGGCTCTAACGAAATATGAAAATCATCGTGTCGTAAAGAGTTTTTAGGCGTTAGCTACTGACAGCGCGACCTTCGTGGGAGACACTTTGTGGATCGAGGCATTCATAGAAATGACCGATATATCATTCAATACTAGTACTGATGTACATACCTTGAAAGAGGCTGACTCGGAGATCAAGCCAGTCCTCATAACCTCGAGGATGAGACCGCGATGACAACCATTGGCGTTATCCTCCCATTGTCAGTGGTGCAAAAAAACACCAATGACTGCCAGTGGTGGCAGACTCGGAGACCGTACGCGCGTCCGTCCCAAGTCCGTCCAGCACTGCGTACGAGATGACGACCGGCGGCTGCACATGGAGAGCGGGATGCTGGAAGGGTATCGAAAGAAGTTGAACCTTGTCGCCACTCGATCTACTGACCGTAGAATCGGAATGGACCCCATTCGCTGCGGTTCAAGCGTTCGAACCCTTCTATTAACACTGCCCTTTTCTTCCGGCTTTTTACGACATTTGTAAACGGCCCTCGGAGGCAGAAATCGCGTGCCCAACGTGTTTTCCTCGTGTTCGGCGGATAGTGCCGCCGGCATGCAATTAGAAACGAAGCTTGGGCACGAAACACTCAGTTTTACCTCTCTTAGGGCTGTCATTTGGTTTCAAATACTCGGACACGCCTGAAGTCCTCATGAGCCGTCCGGGCTGTAACGCGGTGGGGCGAAGTATCGAATAAAGTGCCAGCGATAGCCCGGAGCATGGACATACATACAGCTGTTCAACAGGGTCAGGAACGTCGAGGGCAGTGGGTAAACCCAGCTGAAGTTCATTTACTACTAGATTAGATATATTCCTATGCAAGCCATCAGAATGGAAGTTCATACGTTGGCAATGGCAGTCCGAGGCCTTCACGCTAGCCACGGACCGTGGAGCCTCGAGACGGACAGCCAAGATGACTCCTGCTGGCAGAGATATGACTCCAACTGTCGCCGTTCAGAAGAAGCCAGATTTCCGTGGTCTACCGAAGTCGGACGAAGGGGTAGATGGTCCCCGAATTGCTTTCGCCCCTAGGCTGCGCGTTGTGTTGTTTACATACTCTTTAGTGTACGTTGGGAAAGGACAAGAAATAGAGTGAAGTGCATTATTATTTATTTGACGTGGACGGTAATGTTCTGTGCGAGGATCGGATACAGTAGAAGTGCGAATAGAACGACAGTAGAGAGACAAGAGCGACGGTGAGCAAAATGATTAAAGAGTATTATCCGAGACGAGCAACGAGAGGGGCGAGGTGAGTCAGATACGAGGGGAGATACAGTGCAGTTCCAGGAAAGCGGGCGGAAACCAAAAGCAGTATACACAAGGAATTTGAAGGGACTTCTGTAGCCAACAACGTCCACAAGACTTTAGAGTTGCTATCATGCAGGAAAGAGAGGTGGAGAGAGAGATCGGAGCAAAGAACAGTGTAGTATGTACAACCTGACGAATAGTATCGACCGGATGATGAGGTCGATGAGAAAGAGCGACCATAGTGCATAGGCAAAGCACAAGAAAACGAATGGGGTTGTTCAACCCGCGGGGATTCGACGACAACGACTAGGGACTAGAAATGTGCGCCCTGCGGTGGAGTGCCACGAGGGTGCATAAGTTGAAGCTGAACCTGCCAGCTTCCTTTGCTGACATGCTCCAGATGAACCAGGGCGAGGTCAGAGGCGTGGATCCCGTCGTGTCCTCCAATCTTCCAGTTCTGATTGGCTGCAGCCGAGCCAGCATCACCGTCGTCGTCCATCGGGCGGTTTTGGTGCTCCTATTATCAAAGTCGAGTCAGGATGTGTTTAACGTCAAACCAAGAGGAGACTACGTACGGCGATGAAACGCTCCACGGTCTTCGCGACGTTCTTGGCCAGCTTCGCGCGAGTCACAGGCTGCGGTGGTGTCCTGAAGTCGCGGGTGGGGATTTGCCTTGACCAAGAGGCATAACCGGGCCACTGATTCCCATACGTGCATCAGACATCGGCTACAGGTGGAAGGGACGACAAACTCACATTGATACGAACCGAGATGGAGGGCCCGCAGTCGCTAAGCATCGAATCGTCGCGCCCTTGTAGGCCGGGGATCCGATTTTGCATGATGAGGACAATGGGGATACCGTCGATAAGTTCTCCATTCTTGACGTCCTTGAAGAAGATAGTGGGCTTCAACGCGATATCTTCGACGTAGCGTTTGCGGTCGCTCATAGTGTGGGGCTTGTACTTTTTCTGGGGTACAATGGGACCGCGAGTAGAGGAGTTGACGATGACTGCTCCACGAGGACCAGGAGCGGAGACGGAACGTCCACGAGATGGGAGATGCGAGCCCATAGCGGGTTGCAAGAGATGGGTGGGGGATCTGTTCGGGGACGAAACCTGATACACAGTAAGACAACGCAGCGAGCAGCGTCTATGAGATGACTCACTTCGGACTTGATCGAATACTCAACTTGAGAACGAATTGTCGGCGAAGACGTCTGAGACTGCGTGCCAGACGCGATATGGGTGTACCTTTCGTTTGGGGAAAGGAAGGGTGTATTCGGAGAGTACGCGAATTTGCCGGACTCATCCGTAGTGGACGAGGAATCACCGTAGGAGGGAGTCATAGGGCTCATGTAGGCGGACGAAGGGGTCATCGACGGGTACGGATGGTTGTTGGGGAGACTGGTATCGACATAAATTTGGGGAACGTGGTCGTGCTGTGGATAAGGGTTGATCTGATTCTGAGCGAAAGATTGGGGCTGGGGAAGGGATAGCCCCTGTGCCATCCCGGGCATATTAAGGGCATCGAGAGGGAATTCCCAAGAGTACGCTGAGACATCGTCGTTCTGCGGTATCTGACCAAAATCATCAGTAAGAGAGATGAACGAGGACTGGAAAGTGCTAACATACATCAGCTGCTGAAGTAGCAAACAACGCATCCCCGAAGTGGTCCACCATTCCATCATCAAGGTAGGGCGCGTCGTGCTGGGCCATATTGAGTGCGTAGGGTGGAGGAAGAATTGGGTGGCGTGAGCTGAAGGAGCTACGGATGAGGTGTGGACAGGGGGAGAAGGTAAGAGGCTCGTATCAAAGCAAGCTTGGGGGGTCTTGTATATGAGGGGGGTCGCACTGCTTGAGGAGAAGGCGATGCAAGTTGGGTGGCGGAGAGGGCAGTGTGGTTATATAGGAAAACGGGACCGTGACGGGCGCACGTCTGTGACCCAAACAAGGACATTGCCTGGGTATGGTGGCCAATCCTAGGGTTTGAGGAACATGTTCACACGGCAGCCTGGTTAGGATAAGCCCTAAACTCGATCTGAATCTCATGCCGGATCGCCAGCCCTAACCGGGTATGCGGTGCACTAGAGCTCATCTCGTCGATTACAGGCTTACCTTGCAATGAAAGTCTACAAAGTTCACTTCCAATGAGTAGTGTTTGGGACGGCTTTACGAGGACATGATTGCAAAAGGCATCGAGTGAGGGTCCTCGCCTGGCGCTAGTTGGCTACAGCGTCTATTGATGAGGCAGTCCTCAGAACCTTCCATAGCGAGGGCAGTGTAGAGCTGTATGGACACACAACGCAATAAAACATCGATAAGAGCTGAAATACATCCTAGAACGAAGAGGCAGTGAGTAGAACGTGAGGATGGAAGGGGTGCGGACAAGGCGCGAACGACGAGCGTCGAACGGGCATTCGGATGGGTGCGCGGAGTTGCGTGCCGCGGTGAACGCCGTGCCGGGACCAATATTAGAAGTCAGATCCGATCGATCGTAAGGAATCCCCACAGCTGTACAGTACCACGGGAGACACGCCGTTTGAATGTCGGCCATAGAACAACGGCGACGCCGCCGCCGCACAAAACTGAGCATACTGATTCTCCTAGCTTGTTACTGGACGTCTGCTCCACTTTGCGCCGTAGAACTTTGACTGCGCGCAGAATCCTCAGGATGATCTATGATTCCTTATTTTGTGCATTTGTGACTCTGACCTCCGTGACGACCCGATTGCCCATCCGTGGACGTACACGGAGCAACATGTGTGGCACTCGAAGCATATGACCAGAGTGGGGCAGACTCAGCCGGTTTGGTAAGATTCAAGGAGACCTACGCTATCGGCACTCATTCCACCACCCAAGCCCTCCGGAGCTGACCTCACAATGCTTTGCTCATCCTCATGCACTTCACACATTGTCTTGGAACTGCGTTAGTATGTCCTTGACAGGGCATATCTTCATGACATTAGTGTCAGCATTGTGTATATCGAGTACCGCTATGTGGTAGTGTCCTACCGAAACCGGTAGTGGTCATTCTGTTCTGTGTATCCATGTATATTTTGGCTTCACGAGTACATAGCCTGTTGGCGTTGCCAGCCGCGTACTCAGACTGGTCGACAAAGACCATTGCTCTTAGTTGTTGTATCTCGGGAAGTGAGATAGCCCGGCACATAGCTGAGTTGAAGTAAGCACCTCAAGACACCTCAAGACCGCTTAGAGTTCCGACTTGCTCAGCTCGGATTCAGACTTTGCCGAGAGTAAAGTCAGCTTGCAAGAACCGAGTAAGCCTCTTGTCCTACTGTTCGCAAGATCTTGGCGGCTGCGCACAACTCTTCGATGTCAGAACGTTATGCTCACGGCGACAGGTCGACCTGAGCACCGTCATGACGATTTAATGCGGACATCCTGTATGGATATCTCACGATAGGTCATCGCCCCGCAGCCTTGTCGTTTCCTCCGGTTTACTGGTATTGTTATACTTGCGGAAGCTTGTCATGTCTACCACCCGACTCTTCGCTCTATATTTCGTCTAGCAGCGAATGACAATACTCCCATTGGCAAGACAGGCGCTTTCCGCCGGGTACGGCGTGCCCCCGTCCCATCTAACGCACAATGCACGCTTGACGCCTTTGAGTTCTCGAGAAGCGTATCGAAATGCGGAATATCGGAGGCCGGAATGAGCGACAACGTAGAAGAAGACCGGGTGCGTCACGAAGAGAATAACTTTCATTTGGTTGCATGGATCGGATGAAAGACCACCTCGGACTGAAAAAGCTCGCGGCGTACGAAGCCGGAAGTGGAAACGACCTCTCAGGAAGATGTTCGTCCAGCACGGCCAGGAACAACTCCGTTGTAAATGCAACTCAGGAAGGACAGCACAAGAAAATGTTCAAGAAGTACGGAGAAGGCACAACGTTGAAGGACCGAGGAGAACGGATGGAGACCCGTGTGTGCTACGAGTGGATATGCCTCATACAAGAAAGGTTACGCGGACCTAGTAGGTAACCGGGAAATCGAAGACGACGAGGTAGTACCTGATCGCTCCCCAGGATTCTACTTACGTTACGAACCGTCCTTGTTCGCGAGGGCGCAGCGCGGAGAAAGACGAAGTCTAACAGATGCGACGATTGGCATTTTTTTCTCTCTCTCTCGCGGCGCTTGTAGAGAAGAGTTACACACGCCGCCGCATCCTCGAAAACGGTGTATCAAACGTGCTCCCAAACTTCCCGCTCTACCTTCCGACCGCTGCAGGTGTATCATGAAGAATCCCGCTCTCTCCCCACGCTTCCATCGGTTGGATCTCGTTCACGACCGCCTGGTTCTCGGCATTCTTGTGCAAGAGATTTCGAAGCGTGAAGATCGCATGCTCGCGCAGGTCTGGGGATCACGCAAAAAGAGCTCGTCAATTCAATCGTCCAGGTTTAGCCCCATTGGAACATGCCCCAAATAATCGGACGTCGGGCGAGACGACAACGGATTGACGCAGCAACGAGAAAAAAAAAACAGGTTCGAATCGCTTTGGGACGGTTGGGCTGCAGTGGCAAAGACGAAAAAGGCAATACACGTACATGGGTTACGCTCATCCACAGTGCAAAGATTCATGACCACCGTAATTCCACCGCACCGCCTGACTCGACCCTGTGCATCCCGATTCTCGTGACATAAGATGCCGAGCAGCCGTACAAGGTCGCGTTTGAGATACGCGAACCCCTTCGTGTCAACGTCTGCCCCTGTCGAAGCGGCGTCACCCAAAGTGTTGTCCGAGGTTTCTGAAAGGTCCGCATCGGCAGCTCCGCGGGCGTCGTCTACGTTCTTTCCGAATTGAATTCGGGGCAAAAACGCCTCGAGTTGCCGTAAGTCATCTACCATCGGACCAGGATGACGACGGCGCCAAACGTGAGATGAGAATCAGGTTCCATCAGCAGACAGTTGTAGACGAATCATCCGAAGCGAAGAGACCCTTTACCTATCAAGCACTCAATCAAGCCCTCTTTGCTATCGGGGCTGGTGACCGAGAGCAGGAAGCTTTTTAGGTTGAATTTTGGGGTGCTCCGTTCACTATCGCTCCCATGCTCCTGTTCAGGCTCTGGGGATACGTTGACTTCGACATCCTCGGAAAGCGACATCGAGATGATGCATTGGACAACGAGGACGAGGGCAGCACAAACGGCCGGCATATGGAGATCAAGTGATGTTGACGGCAGCAGTGGCGATGAGGAGGCGCCTGGTAGTTCTGAATCACCTACGCTCTGATTGTTATCCTCTACTTCACCTGTAAACTGGCGGATGGCTTTGTGGAGGAATGCCGAATACGAAAAGAATAGATCGGCCAATATGCAACCAAGCTCTTTTTTGGACGCTCTGGACAGGCCGCCGTGAGCTGGCGTCGGGCTTAAGGAGCCTTGAAGATACGAATCCATGAGCTTCAACAGCGTTGTTTGGGGTGGGGACACGAGTTCTCCCTTTCTAAAAACATGTCGTGAGAAACACGCGCGCGTTACCGAGGTTATGGGCAATGAAGAGCGTACATGGCGAGACGGCGATAGAAGTCTGGGAAAAAGCCTGCCGCAAAGGTGTTCGATAACAACGTGTACCTGTAGAATGAACGCCCATAAAGCCATAGGAGCACGATGAGCAATCCGTCATCATGGAACAGTCAAGAGGGAAGTGAGTTCGTACCCCAGTTCAAAAACCTTCCCCTCCTCGGTCGTTTCGGGGGCATCCAGACACTTTTCTAGTCGGTCAAGAATAGTAACGAGTATCCGATAACCTGTCGCAGTCGAGCTGAAAGAGGACCTGGCGTGGGGGGAAGGTGGTCATGAGCCTGACTTGGAGGAGACAATATTATTGAAGAAAGGCGATAACAGATTGATATTTGATTGAGTAGGCCTGATGCGAAACGGAGAGGTTGAAACGGCAAAATGTCACCGGCTTGAAGTGAAAAACACGAGAATGTATGGAAGTGAAGAGACGAAAGGAGAAACAGGCGATAAGGGCATCTTTCCACGAAGAAGGACAACAGATTGTAACAACGTTGGTTAGAACACCGGAAGGGTATGCAGAAAACTTACATCTTCTCATTGCTACCATGTGTGCAGTTGAGGATGAGGATCACGCTAGACAGCAGAGTCCGAGTATCCTTTGAAGCTAATAAACGACTGCGCAAACACACATGAGACGCAAGGACGTCCTGATTGAGATTCTCATTGTAAGCGTATAGGCCGTTTCGGGTACGCACATGAGGATAGATTGCTCTTCTGGAACACTGAGGTAGGAGCTCCATAGTTTCGTTCGAAGGTTGTCATTGTCTGTGACTATATTCGAGATGGCCTGGACCAGTATGCGGGTGACGAGGACTGCTGTTGGCTGGAGTTTACAAATCAAGACAATTGGAACGAGCGGGAGATGCGCTCACCGCCCTCTTGTCCTTCGAACGTCCAGGACGTATAATGCCGAAGGATCCTTCGCATGTGCGGCTCCATCTCACTGTCTCAGGGACAAGTCCACAGGTAAGTGCTTTCCGTTTCCTACCTCTCAGAAGCGAGAAAGCGTCGACATAGCCAATAAGGGCTCCCCGACTTACAATACACGCTCTTGATTGCTCGGGACGCCAGCTACGAGGTTCCTCGTGAACTTTCCTGCGGATACGATCGCGCTTTCCGTCTCTGCTATGTCCTCTGAGTCGTCGGCTGTGACAGAAGCGTCTGCAGCGCTCCATACACGTCCCAGGGCAGGCCAAATCGAGGGAAGAGAGCATCCTAGATGTACTCTGAATACGTATGTCAGTGCACGGCCGTATCGCAACATCATATATCACGCGAATTCGCACCGGAGAGCACTGTCAGAAGCAAGTCTTTGGGAGAACACATCGAGCGATCCAGGGGAAGGCACAGCAGATCTGTCATTTGACCAGCTATAAACGGACGCAGAGACGATATCTTCGAGTTCTCGCTTTGCCAGCGTGATTGAAGGCGATGTCATGGCGTCCGCCGGCTGTGCAAACGTCCCAGCGTCTTCGCGGGCTGTTATGTCTTCTACCAGTAATGTCCCGCTTTGTCTGATCTGTGCCAACAGTCTTACAGCTGGTGAACCGAATACAGTTCCGACTTGGATCAAGTGTCGGGCGGGCAGTGGTAAGGACAACCAGATGGCGGCCGGTATTTTGTGCGCTGCGGGAACTTTAGTACGTATCAGCACAGAATCGTGGATGGAGCATGGAGAGACACATCTGAAAGAGGCTCTTACAGCGAGATGTATGCGGCGAACCTTGGCCGATGGTCGCACTTCACCGTTAGTGAATGAAGTCTGTGTCAGACTTCTGTATGGGCCACGACATTGGTCCCGCAAAAAGCTGGATACGTCCGGATTTGGACTCCGATCCGGGTACCCGATGTCCTGGCGCCACGCCACGCCACACCATTGTAATTGAATGTGGCCCCATACCTCGTCAATGAGACCTCAGGGTTCAGCATTACAGCCGTTTCAGGACAGTTGACAGTCCTCTCCTTATTTGGTGGTAAACAACAATCAATATAAATGGCCAGACAACGCCCCGCGGGAGATGATCTGGCTTCAGGGTGAGCGTTCGCAGTGCCGTTCATTGCCAAAGGGAAGGATTCGAGAGCGGCGTTGCGTGGTATATAACTTCTCCACAGGGTGCTTGTTCGGTTCACTTTTATGCAGCCTCCTAAAGTCAGAACTATAGGATTGGAATTCGAAGACAGGCGCTCCCTTGTATTATCGGTGTATGATCAAATCGAAAAAGAAGATGGATGTCTATCGTCCTGAAAGCGGCTTTAAAGAATAGTCACCACTACAACGCACGCACAAAAAAGTCATTGCATATCATTTTGGTTTCATGGCACGTAAGTAAAACATTGACTTTGAAACAAGAACCAGACATTATTCGTACGACGCCCCTTTCTCCCATTCTCCATCCCTCATCCCTCATCCTCCATCCTACCCACCCACCAATTCATCCCGACCTCAATCGCACACCATCCCATCCCAACCACACCAACCCTCGAAAAATACGAAGTACGTATGTATGTATGTAATGGGCACAACAGCATGTAATGAATAAGTAACTAGTAGAAAAGAAAATGGATGGATAGAGGACGGGTTGCGATTGCGGTTTGGAGCCGTGAGAATGAGAATGAGAATGAGATGATGAACAAAGGACAAAGGGAAATGGAAAATGGATACAGTGAGGCGTCGTTCAGAAATTTTGGAGATGAGTTCGTTAAAGTGAGGCGAGAGGAGATGGATGGGTGGTGGTGGGAATAAACAAAGACAAGACAAGCAATTGGAATTGGGGGATGGGTGTTGGACACAGATTGGATTGGACGGAGTGGAGTTCAGTGGACGAGACGATGATGGAGCAAGAAACGGGGATACAGACCGAGCTTTTGATGAGAAGATAGAAGAGGCGGGGTAAAAGAGAAAAAAAGAGCTCGTGATTACGTTTACGGTCCGCGATGAAAAAACGATGGAAAAAAAAGGAAAGTCGAGCATCCTCTCAAGGAGCCAAAGGAACAAACGCAAAACGCGCCAACAGCGACGAACAAGAAACAACTCTCGAAAGTATTAAACATTATTAGCCACTCCCTCCCCGCTCACAAACTCAACGGCGGCACCCCTCCCATCCCCCCCATCCGTTGCGCACTCCCCGCCGTCCTCCCCTTCGCCCCATTCCCAAAATGTCCATGCGCATGGAACTTCTTCCCCTTCCCTCCATGCACATGCGGACTTCCTCCTCCCCCCGACGCCGACCCATGTCCACTACTCATCGCAACACCCATCATCGCCTTCTTCTTCGCCATCTTCTCCTGCCTCGAATTCGACGTCTTGTCTTTCTTCCGTTTGCCTGCACTTCCACTCCCGCCCTGTCCTTGTTGTGGTTGTGCTTGCACTTGTCCGCTCGACGTCGACGCCCCACCATGACCATGTCCAGGCGGAGTCCTATCGCCCGATCCCCCCGCCACACCATCGCGCACAGGAAAAATAACGGGCGAAATCGCCGCAGGCCCTCTCTTCTTCGAACTTCCCCCTCCCGCCTTCCTCTTCCCGCTCCTCGGCGTCGGCGATCTCTGTACTCCTCCCCCTCCTGACCCGTTTCCCGCCCCATGATGCCTCGGATTCCAAAGCACGTTCCCGCCGAACGGACTACTCCTAATAATCCCCCCAAGCCCACCGAGTTCCTCACCATCAGAAAGACCAGGCCCATGCGCGCCATTCGACCAGTTCCCGAGCTCGCGCGTACGGCGGAACGTTCCCATAGGCACCCGATCCCATCGACTCAGACTCTGCAAATGTCTATCCTCACCAGCGCCGGGGGTACTAACGCTAACAGAGGGACTGCTCGGCCCCGCAGCACCGCCATCCTCCGTCGCGCTGAATTCCGATTCTGCCATGTTGGACTGACCCTGAGCTTCGCCTTGGTCGTTATTGGCATTCGAGTTTGCTCGACTACGGTTGTGGTTGCTGAAGGCGGACGAGGCGAGGATGGCGTTGCTGAAATAGGAAGGATCGTCGAAGGGGTCGGTGGCGAGGATGGAAGCGTCGAGGACGTCGTCGAGTTCGATCGGTTTCGGGGCGGGCATGGTTATTGGGAGTGGGACGGAGGCGTCTGTAGCGGGTGTGGGATGGGAATGGGAATGGGAAGGGAGGGAGAGTGCGTGGGATGGATCGTCGGAAGCGGAGGAAGGGGGGAGGGGAAGAGGGGGACCGAAGGGCGAGGGTGGCGGTTGGGACCGAGCTTGCGGGAGAGAAGCGATGGATAATGACCTGTCGCGGCTCTGTTTCGAGTCAGCAAAAGAGTGCAGACAAAATAGACAAACAACACATACACCAGTGAAATTCGACCCAGACCACGACTCTGAGGGTCTTCTCGTCCTCCTCGTCCTCGGAAACGGACTAGGCATCTCCTCCTTCTTCGACGAACCATCAATAACCGCCCTCCTCAGCTCATCTCCCTTGCTCGCCGCAAATGTCCCCATCACCGGTCCCCTCCTCACACTGACAACACTCTGTCCGTCCCCCGAGCTCAACGTCAGATTCGCGATCACGCTCGCAGGCGGCGAAAACGTGAAATCCCGATCATGTTCTTCTTCCTCCTCGTCCGTATCATAATAAACTCTCCCCGCGAGGATATCAGCAGGTTTGGGCGAACCGATACCAGAGAGCGAGAGGCGGGGATGATGATACGTCCCGTTCGGATTGGGCGAGACCGTCGATTTGGGATCGATGGCGGAAGGGGTGCCGATAGGCCTGAAGAGCTTCATAGCGCGGGGCGTGGGCAGGCCACGTCCATCGACGAGTTCTTCGTCTGTACTTTCGCCCTCGGTCATCACCTCCGCGAGTCCGTCGTCATCGGACCGCTCGGCGTCAGACATCTCGACGTCGCTGTCCTCCGCGTCGGCGTCGGAGGTGGATTGTTCTACGAGCTGTGCGGCGTTGACTTCGAAGTCCCAGTCGAGGAGGCCCTGACCGTCTTGGAAGTTGTTAGTGAAGACCATGGAGCCGTCCCAGCCTTCGACGACGTCGAAGGAGACTGCCTCGCGGGCGGCGAGGGCCATGGCTTCGAGGTCGAGGACGTTGTCTGAGTCTTCATCGACGGTCTCATCATCGTCATCGACGTCCGCTTCATCTTGCATCGCGGCGTCACCGGAATCAGAGTCCGTAAGGCCAGCGAAAAAAAGCTCGGCGTCGAAGGACGACTCTTCGTCCTCGGACCAACCGCCATACATGACCTTGGCCATCACCCCATCTTCGTCGTCTTCATCCATCTCCACCTCTTCCTCGACCGGGCCGCCGCCTTCGGTATCTCCATCCGCATCTCCGTCCTCGTCCGCCTTGCCATCTTCTTCTTTTTCCTCTTCCTCCTCTTCGTCCTCTGTCTCGTCGCTATCGACATCCATACCGTCTTCACTGGGCCCGACGCTCCCCTTCCGCGGTCGGATCTCCCAGTTACGCTCCTTTTTGTGTGTGTGTGTGTTGCCTCCGTCGTCGCGTTTAGTCCGATGTTTGTCGTGGTGATGATGATGATGACGGTGGCGTTTTTCATTCCGAATGAACGATTCCTCCTCGTCCTCGATCGACGAATCGACCGAGAACTCGCCCTCGTCAGACGAAGAAGACGAAGAAGATGAGGAAGAGCTAGACGAGCTCTCGCTGGCCGAGGAGGATGAGAGCGCCGAGACGAAGGTAGGGAGATGGATGAGCGTGGTCTCATCGACCACCTCGTCGTCGTCATCTGCATCCGATTCGCCACCGCGTCTGGCAGTAGACCGTTGATGTGCGGCGGTCGCGCGACGAGGAACGCCAGCAGGGGTGTAGTCATCGTCGCTCAAGGCGGCGAGAGCCGCCGCGGAAGCCTTATTGCCTTTGCGACGGGGAGGTGCAGCACCAGCGAGGGGCTTGCTGCTGCTGTTCCCGGTCGTGTCTCTGGCCTTTGATTTCTGAACCTTTGTGGCCTTGGAAGCCTTCTTGAGATGTTTGGAGGAGGAGGGGCGAGGGATAGGAGCGGCGGGGGTGGTGGAGGACGAAGCGGCGGCGGCGGCTTCGGCGGCACGACGGGCAAGAACGACGGCCTTGGGGGGACGGCCTCGACGCTTGGGCTGAGGTGGATCTGGAGCGGTGGAGGCTGCTGGTCCTATGGGAGTTGTGGCGGTGGCGGTAGTGGTAGTGGTGGAGATGAGCGCGGCGTTTGCCGGAGCGGGACGGGCGCGGGCAAGAAGGTTGGGAGGGACGGTGAGTTTTATTTTGAGAGGGCCGAGGGACGGCCTGGGGGTGCTGGAAGTGGTGGTGGGGGGCGAGAGGGAGGAGAAAGAGGAGGAGGAGGGGTGGGGGATGATTGTTTGGGGGATGGTTAGAGGACGGGAGGTGGATTGGGCGTTGCACGTGCACTCGCCCTCGCAGACGGGGCATATGTCGTCGTCGTCTTCGTCCTCTGGGATCTGGCCGGTGTTGGAGCCGGTGAGGATGTGTGAGGTGCCTATGGTATAGGCGTGAGGAGGCGACATTGCGGGAGTCTGTTGCTTTTGGGAATCTGGGGGAGAGGATGGGCAGGTACAAGTACGCGAGTGTCAGTCGTGATCAATCAACGAGGGAAAGGGACGGGCGTGAACGAGCGAGATGTGGTAAAGATTGGGAATGTGATAGAGCGTCGAAGGACAGGCGCGAGGCAGCGAAAAGACAGGCAGGTCTGGGCTACTTACTGTTTTGGGTATTTTTGGCCATTGGTTGTAGCAAGTGAACATGGGTGGACTGACAGGATATCCAGCTTTGGGCGAGCGTCGGGCGATGGCTGAGGTGGCTGAGCCCGAGGGCGGTTGAGAGAGAGCGAGAATGCGACCCGCCAAACGAATCTCCATCTATTTCCACCGTGCGACTTCCGCCACGCCTGCTTCGATCACTCCTTCTTGCCCTTTCCTGGACCCCTAACCTCCGCCCTTCCTCTAACCGCTTTGAATTTATCTTACTGTAGTCTATCTACCTTCCTGCCTTTTCTGCTCTCCTTCCCACCGACCTCGACGTCTGTAACGCTCCCCGACGACGCCTCAGACGCAGAACCCGGCTCAGCCGCCCTGCGAGACTCCTCCTGACTGTGCGGCAGCGATCACCCGCTTGTCACCTTCCGCGGCTCCGGAAATTTGTTTCCTCCCCGCCACTCCAACCCAATTTTTTCGCAGTGGCCCCTCGTAATTGCGCAAAATTCGGCATCTGCACGTAGCACGAGGAATTACAACCGCAAAGGACGTCCCATGTCGCGTACGTACTCCACACCATTCCCCCGAAATATTCCCCTTTATCTGTCTTTCCAACACGCTCGCCATACCTACAGCTCACGCACTGACATTGTCATTAATTATGCCACCACCAGGTCTCTCACTCGCACAACAAATCGCGCAACTCGATGAGCCCGCTCCTCTCGGTGCGTCCTGCTTTATCATTTATTCTGACGAAGCTGTAAATGAATGAATGAACTTCGGGTCTGCAGACGTCGATCCGGAAGCCCTCCACTCGGGAGAACCGACTGAAGCTGGAGAAGGCGCGGGAATTGGGATAGATATAGATACCGCTGCGAGGGAACATTATCTCGATGTTGGGTGCGTCGCTGTTTACTTATTTAAACAACGCCTCCCCATATATATATATTTTGCTCTCCTCGCCGCTATGTATTTTTATTGACGACTCTGCGATTATCTACGTATAGACCGTCCATCCTACGCAAAGCCCAAGACAGCATCGCGGATCCGAAATATGACGGCGTGAGGGTCTCGAGGAAGAAGTTGTTAGAGATGGAGGAAAGTCAGAGTGGGAGTGCGGACGAGGGGGAGTCGGGGCTTGAGAATGACGACCTGGAAGTTCCGGGACATTCACATGACGAGGACGATTCTGAAGACGAAGACGAAGAGGAAGAGGAGGACGAGGACAAGGACGAAGAAGAGGAAGAGAGCGAAGAAGAGCCTCACCGAAAAACAAAACCGAACACCAATGGCGCGTCAAATTCAAATGATCCACCAGAACCGGAGCTGCAGCAAAATGTGAATGCGGATGATTTGTCGTCGACGTTAGCACAGAAACGTGAGGAGGATAAGAGGAAGGGGAGGGCGGTTGTTAAGCAGCTGGTGCGTATCATTTTGCTGTGTGTGGAGTTTTTGGTTTTTTGAGCGCGGTCAGACGCGAAGTTGCGCCACGCACGCGAACGTGTGATCGCGCATTACACTTCGCCGACCGTAACATCTTCTGCAGGGAAAATGTAGCCGAAAAGGCAGTGGAAACTACTGTCTTTTCCACCGTGTTCCAACAGTTGAAAAGATGTCATCTTCGGAACAGAAATGAAGGCGGAAAATGTTACTATCGGCGAAATGTCGACATACGCACCTGCGCCACATACATCTCGAGACCCACATTATCTTAAGCGAACATATGCGTTCCGTACGCTCAATACTTACTGCTCTTCTTTTGCTTTTGGTAATACCCAGGCCCTGTGGGATTCCCTCCTCGATGCCCGGATCCGACTTCAAAAGTTCGCCGTCGCCGCGAACAAACTACCCACCGTAAGTCCCTCATCTGTTGTTTTCATCCGTATTCGCCTTCTTCACTTCCTTCACATCCCTGTTCCACACAACATTTACTTTACTTTGCTTTGCGCCCATCCCATCCCAACCTCCCCCCCAACTTCTCTCGATCGCACACACCCCGCAACACAATGAGCTCGCGATCTACCTTATACAGCCTCGATTTCGTCTTTTCATTCGAGTCTGCCTGCCTGTCTTGTGGTGTTGTGCAACGATGGCCTGCCTCGAGGTTTTCATGTTCACTTATCGTACTTTCTCACCTTCTTCGCACTTCGTTCCTGGTTCATCAATCCAATCCGATCCGATTTTTCCTTGTTGTCCGATCCGATCCTTCCTTGTTGCTTGTTCGCGGTCTGATGGGTCGCTACACGGTTGTTCTTTAGCCCGTGTGTGTGATCCGTTTTGTTTTTCATTTGAATTTATTTCTTATGAGGGGTGGGGGTGGCCGTCTTTGCCTTTTATTATTGTTATCATTATTTCTATACTGTTTCGTCTCGCGGGCACTTTCCATCCCTTCTCATTCCTTGTCCAAAAAAAAGGTATCACTCGCTGACGTGCGTTCCATTTTCTAGCCATCCGCTATCCCGCCCTACGTCGCACAACACCCAAGATGTCGCGAGGCGCAGGAACGCCTTGCGAGAGAGACGAAGAGACTGGGGGAGGAGATATGTGGGTTTAGGAAGGTGAGCAGTCATCTTCGTACTTTGCGGTTGTTTTAGTTTCGATCTTTGGATTTCGACTGGGCGTGTTCGTGGCGGGGGTATGTATGTCGCGGCTGGGTGAGTGGGTGGGTGTGATCGCCTAAAGGAGCCGTCTGCCACCCGAGGCATACAGGCATACATGGGCCTTCACAAGACTGCCTGCGATTATCGATGGTCGATGGAAGAAGGCCTGCCTGCATCCGTGCCACAAGACACGAGATGATGAGTGAGAGTCCACATTCGCCATTGTGTGCGCGGCTCATATCACCCATCATGATCATTCGTCTTTTTGCACTTTGCTTCGTGTTCGCTCCTCGTGATTTATGCACACGGACACAACAGACGTACTGATTACGTCCCTCCCACCCTGCGTTTTTGAAAAGGATCTGATCAAGCGCGAGAATATCGATGTGGATCTGGACTTGGACGCGAGGCCTGCGAAGCGGAGACGCGTCATTGGAAATGGAGATGGAGGGGAGGACGAGACGGGGATGGAGGTGGAGGCGGAGGCGGAGGCGGAGGAGCTGTTGAAGGAGGCGAGCGAGGATGTGGTGAGGATGGAGCATGCGTACGTTTCTTTACTTTCTTCCTCTCTCTTTTTTCCTTCATTTTTCTTGATTTGTCTGGTTCGACGGTTTCTGGATTTTCGACGTCATTTGCGGTTCATTTTTCGTCGTTTGGCACGCGGTCATACGCCCAGTTCCTCTTCTTCGTTTCCACCATCACCATCTCTTCGTGGGCTAGACTCACGCGTTTCGAGATTGGGAATAGAGACTCAGATAGGGGCTTGTGGCGGATGGTGTGGCGGGGCGTGGATAGGGGGTGGCGCAGGTGACCTCACGACTTTCATATCAGGCGTTTGGCTTGATCAGTGTGGGTGTCTGTTGAGCGCGCAATGGGTGCTTACTACCAAGTGCAATAGGTGCTTGCTAGAGAGCGCAATGGGACTGTTGAAGTGCTCATTCGCTCGTCACTCATTGTTGGCGGGGGCAACACTTGATTTTTTGGAGTGTTCGGTTTCATGCGGGGCGATCTGCAGGATGTTTCATATTTCCTCGCAGTCCTTGCCGTCGACAGCGATGAGCCCGAACATTCGCGGTAGACTGAACGGGCAGCACTGATTCATTATTAATCCAGAGGAAGGTCTGCAGCCGCACCTCGATGAGCCCCTGTCAGTCTCATGTCTCGATCCGTCCTTCTCCTTATCCTTTTAAAGTGGCGTCGCCCCAAAGCGGCTCTCCGCTTCGTCGAGCTCAGGCCCGGGAGATACTGATTCTCGATCGTTGCTGCGCAGTGTGCACTGGGCGTTATGGGTTCATGGTGCTCCAGCCATCGGAACCCCTGATGACCTGGATAGAGGTTCCCTGATGACTGGATAGAGGGTTCATATCTGCTATCTTCAGCCTTCGCAAGAAGTCGTTCTTCGGCTCCTGTGTCCTCGGGATTTGGTTACGCGGTTCATCCTTAAGTTACTGGGGCTTATAGGATAGGACGGAGGAGAAGTTCATGCGTTGCTGTTGGATCGATCATGATTCATCGGAGGTCGAACCGTAACCTTGTCCACTGCGCCCTGTGCCCTTTTCACTTTTCACTTTTTAATTGATTTGATGGTGACGGTTCTGGTTGGATTCATGTGGCGCGTGAGCAGACTTTGCCTTTTGATTAGATGGGTTGCGTTCGAGCTTCTTTCTTAATCCTATTCTATTTCCATTTCCATTCCTATGTCGTTTGAATGCTCGTTATTTCCGGATCCGAGTACGAACACTGACCCTTTTTCTTCTCCCTTTTTCCGTGGTGAAACAGGTATCACAAGCACCTCACACAGACCCTTCACAAATGGTCCGCCAAAGTCGCGGCCGTGGCGCCCGAAACGCTCCGTTCGTCAAATAAAAACTCGTTCTCCGCCGGGAAAGGCGGGAAGGCATCAGGTGGGGTGAAAGGTGTGGGGGAGCAGGTGGACGAGATATTGAGGGCGGATGGGGAGAAGGTTAGGAAGAGGACGAGGGTGAGGAGGTCGAAGGGATCTAGAGTGCATTTGCATTTGCATTTGGGCGAGGGTGAGGTGGAGGGAGAGGAGGTGGAGAAGGGAATGGGGGTGGATGGGGACGAGGACGAGGAGGTTTTTGATGATACTGATTTTTATCAGCAGTTATTGAGGGATGTGATTGAGGCGAAGGGAGCGGGTGGGGGAGCGGGCGGTGGGATGAGCGAGGATTGGATGATGATGCAGAAGCAGAGGAAGGCGAGGAAGAATGTGGACACGAAGGCTAGTAAGGGGCGCAAACTTCGGTACGTTTTTCCCCTCCAACTCCCTCTTCCTTCTCTCTCCTTCTGCGAGATCGTTCGTGCTGACATCTGTGCATTCGGCCGTTCGGTTAGATATGAAGTCCACGAAAAGATCCAAAACTTCATGGTCCCCGTACCGCTCCACAACGCCTGGCACGAATCGCAGATCGACGAGCTGTTCGCGTCGTTATTGGGCAAAGGGTTCGAGCATGCTAATAATGGGGGTCATGCAGTCGATGACGACGTGGATGGCATGGGTGTTGAGAGGGTTGAGCTGGGTGCGGAGGCTTTGAAAGGATTTAGGGTGTTTGGGTAGTGTATTTGTTCATGTCGTGGCACTGCTCTGATCTTCGTGTCTTGTTCTGTATGTGAACTATACTCGTTCGTACCCTAAGCATAGTACGAGGTTTAGACGATGTCTGCTTGGACCATTCACTTCGAATATCAGGTTCATGTCGGTCACATAGAATGCGATCTCCTGCTGGTAGAACAGAACACAGTCAACAACAAAAAAAAAACCGACCCGAAGAAATTGTAGAACAGTAGTGGGTGACGATCCAGCAATCTACGAGCATTCCTTGAGGCACACAAACACAGACACCGGAGAATCGACTTGGGCCTCCTTACTGAGCATTTGACCCTCTAGGATCCGGGAGGAAAAATCCCTGTGGATGGCCATCCAGTATCGAGTCGACGACGGCGCGATCTAGTCAAAAACTGACGAATAATGTCCTATAATCTGGATCAAACCTCTGGACAGGTCTTGGCAGCTTATAGGCTGGCAAGACCAGAGAATGTGCCGTGACAAATGTGTGTTGCTGTGCTACGGCGAACGGATTAATCATGCCGCTTTGGAACATCGATAGCCACGACCAAGATGAAAGGGATGCACATTTGCCAGCAAACACGCCATAGATACAAGCGCACTACAGTAGTCGTTCATCCCGAACATGATGTAGCGCCAAGGCGGCATTGTCCAATTCCTCCGATTTTCGCAGGCCTGTAGAAGGTCCTGCGTTGCTCTGTTGACCTTGCGAGGACCTTGGGTGCAAGAGTTGAAGTGCGACCTGCCAACTGCTTTTGCTAACATTCTCCAAGTGCAGAAGGACGAGATCTGTGGCTTGAATGCCATCCGGCCCTCCGATCTTCCACTTCTGGTTGGCTGCGGCAGAGCCAGCATCGCCTGCGTCGTCCATCGAGCGGTTCTGGTGTTCCTGATGTCAAAGTCAAGTCAGAATAGGTCAAACATCTACCAAGGACAAGAATGCGTACGGTGATGAAACGCTCCACGGTCTTTGCGACATTCTTGGCCAACTTGGCCCGAGTCACAGGCTGCGGTGGTGTCCTGAAGTCGCGGGTGGGGATCTGCCTGGACCAAAAGGCATAGCCAGGCCACTTATTCCCAAATGAGCATCAGACGTCGTCCACACTGAGGAAGGTGACGAGAAACTCACACTGATGCGAACCGAGATGGAGGGCCCGCAGTCGCTAAGCATCGAATCGTCACGCCCTTGCAAACCGGAGATCCGATTTTGCATGATCAGCAAGATGGGGAGACCGTCAATGAGTTGGCCGTCCTTGGAGTCCTTGAAGTAAATAGTGGGCTTCAATTCAATCTCTTCAACGTAGCGTTTGCGGTCGCTCATAGCGTGGGGCTTGTATCGTTTCTGGGGTACGATAGGTCCGCGGACAAAGGAGTTCACGATGACTGTTCCACGAGGACCAGGAGCAGAAACGGAACGGCCACGAGACGCGGGGCTAAGAATAGAGGAAGATCTCCACGAGGGAGTGGGCGGCGTCGAAGGCGGGTCTTGCCAGAGGGTAGCTTCTGAGGGACTTGGAGATGAGACCTTGAGCGACGAATAAGATAAGTTGAAAACATCATTCCTGAGGTGGATCATGTTTGATTCGAGCAGACACTTACTGGCGACTCAGTTGGCGGAGAGGGCGCCTCGTGACGTCTCTCCAACGAGACGCTTATGTGTGGAGAAGAGGGAAATCGATTTGAATCATCCGTAGAATAAAGAAGGTTGCTTGGGGATACAGTGGCACTAGTCTTGACGGAAACATTGGGAGAGTCCTGACGGTGACAGCTAATATGAGAAATGCAGAAAAATTGGTGATGACCTACACACCTCCTGCAGCGAGGAATTACCGAGCGATGTTGATTTAGGTTCAACCACATCACCCTTGGCTTCGTATTGATGGGAGGCGTGTTCAGACATAGCAGAGGGACGAAGAGGAGGGGAGTGAGTAGAACAAAAGTAGGAGAACGAATCTTATTTAAGACAGCTGTAAATGCAAATGTGATAGATGGTGATGCAAGAATTGACCCCATCTTCCGAGATGAGTGATGGTACATCCGTCTCGAAAACTCGACTGCTTGTCCTGTGGTTGTATGCAAACCAATGGGGTATTATGTATGATGCTGAGTCTGTAACAGGGATGGTATCCATCAGCCCTTCAGCAATGATCTGCTCTACGTCGAGAATATCCCAGCGGCTTTCCAAACCAGTGTTCTGCTGGAAGAAATAACAGGGGTGAGAGTAACAGTGATACGCCCAAAACTGAACACTGGCCCTTTTAGAAAGATGATCAAGATCACCACAGCGTTGAACTTGCGCGAAGACTGGTCGAACAAGAATGGTGGTCAATCGACAACATTGGCTCAACTATACGTGGGAGTCATCGTGATGTCGCCTCAGATGAAGTGGGACAGAAAGATATCAATAAAAACATTCTCTAGGTTTAGGCGCCAGCACGCACCACCGTCTGTCATCGCCCATTTGCCCGTTAATCCAAACTTCCGGTACTAAAGCAACACTCAAAGTCAGACCGCTATTGCTTCTGTTAGCTGATTATCTCGAGCAGGCCACCAAAAAAAAGGAACAATACATCGAACGTGAGAGTGGCTGCCCGGGTTGTACACATTGCCATGATAGTCGAGAAGGGGCTTCCAAGTCAGTACAGTACCCCTGGGCATACTTAGGATTTGTCTCGAGCACCACTGAATGGAAGAATCGACGGCTGAACCAAGACAACGCCAACAATGTTCGATTCGCCAGACGTTTTGCGCGATAGCCCATGCGACAGCTGCAGTAATTTCCAGCGGGCGTTTGCTCTCACGTAATGGACAGCCAGCCGCACAGCAGTGAGAAACGCGACAAGATTCCCGACAAGTGCGTTCAAACTCGAAATCACGTCAAAGAGATCGCATTATAAGTCGAGACGCGATGAAGTCGTCCGGCTCCTGTTATACATACACGCGTGGCGTGAAAATGGAAGGCAAGAATCCGATCGAGACCCTGTAATCATCTCAGCAAGGCGATAGACCGCCAGCAATGCCAACGCGAACCTATAGTGCAAGTCTGGAGCGTTTTTACTAGCAGAACATGAAAGCAACGATGGGGCGCATTATGCCTGGTTTCGGAGGACTGTGGCGAGAATAAATGAACTCAGTTCTGGTAGCTTAGATAAAAGTAAGAATGGGTACTCACTCAAAATGACAGAGTCTCCCCTGTGAGTAAGAAGATGACATGAGAATGACCGATGGGACTTCAGAACAGCAAGTAGATGGGGCGCACCTTAAGAACATCTTACTAATAAACCGATCTTTGTTCACCGGTTTCTTGTTCTTTCCTTTTGGAATTTCTGTCCACATCTGAAGATATGTCAGAAAATGTACCCTGTAATGACTGTACATGGACACACACCTCCTTCACGTTCTCGAGGACCTATACAAGCGCCGAGCTGCAATCAGTGGGCGAAGCACGCGAGTTGGTTAGAGAACGCACCATGTTACTATGCCTATCAAAGGCCTTTACACGCGCCAGCAGCTTTTTGTTGTTGCGGAGGGAGATGAGAACCTGTGTGTGGTTTCGTACCGCTTGTTGAAGAACGGAGAGAGGTCCCTGGCTGATCTCATGCTCCTCCAGCTGCCGCAGTTGGGCCTCGTCAAGCTCGGATTTTGGAACGTGGACGTATTGACTGTATTCAAATAGCTTGTCAGCGCGTGTTTTATATAGATAAAAATATAATGACACGATACCTCATGATACAGCGTTCAGAACGTAGAGGAACAGAGACAGAGCGGCCACAGAGGGGTGCGGCTAAAACATGGTGACGAAAAAGGCAGCTGGTCACGCGTGTGGCGTCTCAGAATTTTCAAAAGTCATTCTGTCTCTTGACTGCTCTCCCGTCTTCTACCCCCCACCTTACGACCTTTACATTTTCTTACAACATGGGACGCTTACGACAGAAGGGAAAGGCTGGTGCAGCGAAAGCCTATGTGACTCGCTCGCTGGCCGTCAAAAAGCTGCAATGCTCACTGGCAGATTTTAGGAGGCTTTGCATCCTCAAGGGTGCGTACCATACCTCTGCGATTCGACCTCTGTCTTACTTTTTTTGACTTCGATATCAGGTATATTTCCTCGCGAACCGCGATCCAGGAAAAAGGCGAACAAGGGGTCATCTGCGCCGACATCATTCTACTACGCTAAAGATATTGCCTACCTTCAGCATGAGCCAGTGCTGAAGAAGCTGCGAGAACACAAGGCATTTGCTAAACGACTCTCGCGAGCTCTTGGGAGAGGAGAATGGAGTAGTGCGAAGAGCCTGGAGGACAACAAGCCTGTATACCGGTTGGATCACATTGTCAAGGAGAGGTACGTTTGCCAAAAGCTCTTGTTTCTGGAGCACAGCTCAGTTTAGAGCGTACAGATATCCAACCTTTGTCGATGCCGTCCGTGACATCGACGATGCTCTCTGCATGATCTTCCTCTTTGCCTCTCTCCCTTCCGACGGCCGTGTATCGCCTTCTCTCATCGAAAACTGCTCACGGCTTGCGGCCGAATGGCAACTCTACATCATGCGCACGCGATCGTTGAGAAAGACCTTCCTCTCAATCAAGGGTGTTTACTACCAGGCCGAGGTAATGGATCAGTTGGTGACATGGCTCGTACCATACCAATTTACCCAGAACGTACGTCTCATTTCTTTTCACTTCTCTATTTCACCACCCAGAAGACTCAAATTTTCGCATACCTTAGATCCCTGCGGACGTCGATGTCCGAGTTATGCTCACATTCTTGGAGTTATACCAAACGTTGCTAGGATTTGTCTTCTTCAAGCTTTACACCGACGCAGGGCTTGTCTACCCGCCTCCCCTCGATGTGAAGAAGCAAGAAGCTGCTGCTGGCGTCGGCGCTTTCCTTCTGCAGGAGGCTACCCCCGCCTCTGTCGCACCTGCGAAAACAAAATCCGTAGAAGTCGATGGCAAGAAAGTCTCCACCAAAGATGTTCGACAAACCATCAAAGCCATCGCTACCTCTAGCATCTCTAACGAGGCAGATGCTGATGTTGACATGCCTATCGTCGAGTCGACACCACAAGACGCCGAAGACGAAGAATTCGTGCCTCAACCCTCTACCTCGAATCCTACCGAAACCGCATCGCTCCCTACCCTTCACTCTCTATCATCCCTGCCCCAGTCGCAGGCCGCAAAACTCTTCACCCCATACACATTTTTCCTCTCTCGTGAAACCTCTCGGCCTATCTTCGAGTTCATCGTCCGCTCATTCGGCGGTCGGATAGGCTGGCCGGCGTCCTCCGGCGGCGGATCTCCCTTCGACGAGACGGACGAATCGATTACACACGTCATCATCGACAGGCCTGTGGTCGAGAGGCCGAACGAAACGGAAGAAGAGCGGGAGAGGCGGAGGCGGAGGAAGTACGTCCAGCCTCAGTGGGTTGTCGACTGCATCAATGCTGGGAAGATCTTGTTGGAGGAGCCCTACACACAAGGAAAGACGCTGCCACCGCATTTGAGTCCCTTCGGTGAGTACCGCGGAGCGTACGATCCTACTGCTGTGGGTGTCGACGAAGATGCTGCAATGGACGGCGTCAGCGATGAGGAGAGCGAGATTGAGGGTGAAAACATCGCGGAAGAGGATGATGAGGAGGCGGAGCAGGAGTCGAAGGAGAAGAAGGAGAAGGCTGCATTGAAGGCAGCTGTAGCGTCGGTTGCGGATGACCCGGCTGCACTGAGGGCAGCGGAGTTGGAGGCGGAGGCGGCTGGCGTGGACTTCGGAACCTTCGAAAAGGAAGTGGTCAAGTCGCAGAAGTCGTTGAAGAAGGGCAAGGCTGCGCAGACGGTTGATGCGGAGCAGGATATGAACAAGATGATGATGAGCAACAAGCAGCGGAAGCTGTATGAGAGGATGAAGTTCGGTGAACGCAAACGCTCTGCCGAGGTTCGTGGATCTATATCTTAGTATTTTTTCTATCATCGCGACTGACAATTTCTTCCATTTGAACAGAACGCTAAGCTCGAAGAGCGAAAGATATCCCTACAAAAAGCCAAGAAACGGCAAGAAAAGGCCCAGTGAGGTCACTTGTTCTCTTGTCGACATCTTCTCGGGTCATAGCTTGTATTGCACATTTCCCTACTTTGCATCAGTTCGTTGGGGTTCGACGGCATATCTCGAAGAAAACCCTCTGTCTCGTTTGAGTACGCAGTGAATCAAGTTTAATCGTATGCAACACAAGTTTAAGTACTGCTAGTGTCCAAAAAAAATGAAAAACGCTGGGCCACCCGCCCGTGCCACCCGGCGGCCCTCGGCATGCCCCGCGACCCTCGATCGAGAAGCCTCACAAGTTGAACGTTCTTTCAAACGGCCATTGTCCCCACAACTTACCTTGCAGATTTATCTGCTCCTTCTTCCTCTACTGCTTCGTATCTTCCGTTGTAACTGAACGCCTGCGATGTCTTCAAGAGAATCTGACCGCATCTCATCTGCGCAACAAACGCTCGACAGTACGTCCACGTCCCAGGCAGACGTAAATCCTCTGCTTTGCTGTACAGAGCTCTTCGGTCTAACTCATGGGCGTGTTGATATCACAAGTCCTTTATGAAATCTCTCAGCTTTTGAACACGCAACTGGATAAAGAGACGTTAGCCACTTGCGTGGGCATGATTGAGAGTGGCGTCAATCCTGAAGCGCTTGCAGTACGTATACTAAAAGATACACCAGCAAATTTCCCGGACTAGCATTGATTGTCACTCTTGTAACACTCCAGGCCGTAATTCTTGAGCTCAGGAGAGAGAGCACGGCACTACAGCAAGGTCAAGCGGCGACGTTGTCGGCTCAACCTACCACAACCAACGGTAGAGTAAGCCGACCCGCGAGCAGATTAGGCACGAGATAATACGACTCTTCATAGTCTCAAGATGTTTTTCTGTACTTGTAAGATATCATCTGCCTCATATACTCTTCATGTCTCCTTGATGAAGTCGTCAGGCTACGCGGGTAGGTCCATCGTAGTCACAACGGCTTTGTTGTGTTCGATCTCACTAGGAAATTAAGAGCCCTCATATACTCAGAAAGAACTCGCATTGCCTGTATGAGAGACTGATCCGGCTTGGTTTGAGAACATCTATCAAGGAGAGATGGTTCGAATCAGGTTCGAATTCGAGTCTTCCCTTCTTGCCACACAAATCGTGTAGTAGTACGCAGATCTAACATGATCTTATCTTATCAATGACGCCACACAGCGGTAATTTGCATATACTTTTACAAGGACATCCTCTGACATCCTCCGCCACTCTTACCTCCAAACCTGTTTCCGCTCTGCCGTCAACTTGCTGTATAGGCTCCCATAGAACTGTCCTTGCTACTACTCACACCTTACCAGCTACATAATTGGACAAGATCTCTAATAATCAGCTTGCGGGTACGTGAACAGTGGTCACAGCTAGCAGCACTGTAACTTGACACTCGTGCTTTCAGAGACATCTTTCGCCCACCTTGTGCGAGAACCGCCGTCAGTCGGCCGCCAGCCCAAAATTACTTCTCTCACACTGCGCAATTTACGCGCCCTTACGAACTCTATGACCGTAACGTCTTCTACCACTGTCGAGCGACGCAAGCTTCAAGGCTACGACTTCTACCGCGAAGTGCTCGGGAGCCCGAAGTATATCGGTGCGCCGATGGTGGATCAGAGTGAACTGGTGCGCATTTTGTTCTATAGAGTCACCATTGCTTGACGTTTGTCGTAACAGGCCTGGCGAAAGCTTTCAAGACGATATGGGGTTCAGGTAAGTTCCAGAATTATGGATTCCACACCACAGTCGTTCACGATGCTCTTCAAAGGTAGCCTACACGCCCATGATCAATGCCAAAGTATATTTCGTCTTTTTTAAGAACGCTTTTCCTGTGCTCAAGCCCAATTTGCCAGATGTTCTCCATGAACAATCGAAAACCATACCGAGAACTCGCGTTTAATACTGTCCTTGGAGAGTCGTCACATCCGACACCGAATCTTCAGACTTCCCTTCCTATGCTGAACCATCTTCATCAAGTCTTTCGTATTCGATACCGGACTCCATCCAATGCACACCACACTCGCATTCCAATATCTCGACATCGTGAAAACCCAGAAGACACCTACCGCACCCAGCGCCATCAAGGGTCACCTTTTCAAGATCCTCCGACCCGCCCTGAATCGAGAAAAGGATTTGAGGGAGAGACTAGGTAGAATAATCGGAAAGGACCAATTTTCCGTCTACCACGCAATCGTAGAGGAGCTGCATGAACGAATGGTACGGGATGTGAAGGAGGCCCTGGGTGAGGACCTGGGTGAGCGATATCTGAAGATTCAAAGTGGCGAAGCTGGCACGGGCATTGAGAGCTTGAACGACGATTATCTGCGAATATTGGGTGACCTGGTGACAACAGATGCCTCCACCAGCCTGAAAACACTACCCCACTGGGTCGCGCAGCCTTACTTCCGCCCTCCGCCGAAACCAGCAGCGGTAACGACGGAAGAGCAAAGTGTCGGTGAGGTCTCTTCACAACCGCTCTCGCGTATCATTCACTTCGTTTCTGATGGCCATCTCGTACGTCTCGTTTCTTTTGCAGACACCCCCGTCGAAGATCCTGTCGTAGTTCTCAGTTCACGGGCCGCGGATGACAATGGAGCTGCTCCCATCAAACGATCACATTCAGAACGCACGCCTGAAGGTGACGGCGCGAAGGGCGTGGAAGATTTGAAGAGGATGAAACTGGACTTGGATGACGGTGTCGAAGGACTTGTTTTGGTACGGGCGGTGTAGTCTGCGGATAGGCAGGTCCGACAAGTGGTCAGGCTTTGTCTGTCTGCGCATTGTAAGCTCTGAGCAGTATTTCCTGACCAAAATTTTTGTGCAGCGTAAAGTGGGGGTTGTACCGAGGCGCACACCAAGGAATGACGGAGGCACTGTGAGCACATTTCTTACTGCGTTCAAGGCTCTTTGTATCATGCATAATCTCACCGGAGAATCATCTGACTTTTAGCGCCTACCTTGGAGACTACAGTAATTGATACTGTTCAGGCAGGGAATGCCTGCTTGTCGATCAACGAGTATAGGTTTCTTATATCGCGAGCTTCCACGCGTTCAGTCTTGACGTAGAATTTGTCATGTTCTGTCCTATCTATCCGGAATTTGTTCCTCTCTCTTCTCGTGAAGAGACGAGCTCGGGAGCAACTTGATACTGTGCTCGCTTCAGGCTACGTCGGAAGGCAAGATAGCGTTGACGAAGACACAGAAATATGAGAAGGAAGATTGGGGAGAAAACTCTCTGATTATAATGTGTTGCATTGGTCGAGAAAGTAATTGATGTGGTCATTAGGCCTCCTCTCTATCAGACTGTCGGTGGTCGGCAACTCGCAATATTCTCATAATAACCCTAAGGCTCCTGATTTGCTCTCAGCTGAAGGAGCCACACTAAAACTAGTTTAAACCGGTTGATGTTTGAATTCGTGCGACGCCGCAACTTAGGCGATGGACCACGGTAACTTACGTTCGTTGGGTTATGCGACTTATTTGAAGGTTATCTTACTAGCCGTGTCAATTGACGTTGTCTGTCACGACATTCGTGCGAGCAATGCATCAATCTGGGCCATCTTTGTGCTGTTCTTCATGCCAGTAATGGTATTTCTTCGACCTGAGGGCAATGGGACAGGTTTTCTCGACATGAGTGAGAGTATTGTTCAACTAAATGGTGTCCAATATGTAGGAACTTGTCGGCGAATGGATAACCTTTACTGGAACAAGATTCAACCGGAGTACTCAATACAAACAAGTAAAGACTTCAACGATACGTATCAAATTCCACCACGACCGTTAACAGTATATAACTTCCTTGGCACGAATCACAGAGACCATCGTACAATTCCTAAGATGCAAGAGGGTCGTCCTCATCATCCTCTTCGTCGTCCTCGTCATCCTCTTCGTCATCGTCATCCTCTTCATCTTCCTTGTCATCTTCCTCGTCTTCATCTTCGCTACCGTTCGAGCCCTCGGTCAGGTCTTCGCGCACAGTCGAGCCTTCATCATCGTCCGTATGCTCGGATTCAGTCGACCGGTCGGTCAAGTCCTCCTCTACGACTGGGCTCGAACTCGGAGTCGAACTCGGACGCGGCACTTTCGGTAAAAAATCACCTTCCTCCTCTTCGCCATCTGTATATCCCCCCAACTCGGACTCGGACTCTAAGCCCTCATCGGGCCACAGGTCACTGTTGAGGGACTGCAGGCGGGTGCGTATCCACTTGAACACAGGTTTGCAACGGTTGATGTCCCTAAGATCGAAATATCTACGATCACCTGAAAATGCGCGGAGCTTCTTGTGACTGTGTAGGATGTCGGGAGGGTATGCCTCTCGCGCTTCCTCCGTGTGAGAGTCTTGATCTGGTGTATATTCATCTGAGTCTCCCGAGGTACCGCGAGCACCCCTGTTCGGCACGACCCACTGGTCATCACTCTTGGAATCAATGTATGTGTCCTGGAAGTGTCGTTTTTTCTTGGGTGGGCCAGGGGAAGAGTGTTGTGTGCGATGAGTGGCAGGCGTGTCTTCAGGGGACAGCTCGTCTCGCACATGTTCTACATAGCTGAAAAAATGGGCAGCAGTTAACAGAACCCCGAGACGAGTGAACTGAGGACTCTCGTCCTCTGCGAAGACGTGGCGGGCCTGGGAGCGGCTTTGCTGCAGTGCTTCTTGCAGCTTGGCAATAATGGTGACCCTGTCCTCATCCAATAAGCCCTTTGCCTCGACTATCATAATCACCCGACTTTCGATGATGGTGAACCTGATGTCGAACGCGTTCTCTCTGACTTTATTAAAGGCGTGGAGAATTTGGGAGTGGTCTGGTGTACGGCGAGAAATCTTTCGAATCGCCTTGCTGAGCTTTTGGGCAGTCCCGGAGTTCGGGCCCGTCGCCGTGGAGAGTGATGGTCCAGTCTAAGATATCGAACAAAGAACATGAAGAATGTCTCAATATGGGCGAAGACGGACGGGACAGCACAGGTAATAAACACATACATTAGATGGACGTGCCTTGCGTTTTCCCGAAGAGGGCGCTGGAGCGGTTCCGTACTCAACATCAACGTCAGAGTCGGGTTCGTTTTCCAGAACATGGATCACTTCCTCGGGGCGTGCGAGGTCGATCTCGCGAGTGCTTGTGAACTGTGGATGTGCAACAGTGTACGAGCGAGACGTGTAGGTTTTGTCTACGGGGAAAATGAAGTCTCCCAGGAGGTATTGAACGGTACCGTAGTGAACGGCTTCAGCCTTGCCGAATCGCAGAGCGGAAGCTACTCTGATTGCTAGGCCAAAGTCCTCAGGACCACATTCCACCGGAACCGTGAACGAGATAGAGCTCTGCAGAGGAGCGCCTGTGACAGGTGTACGAGCGGAGAAGGAAAATTTTCCGACAGGAGTGGTGGACGTTTCGTCACGCTCGTGTTCATCGGCAGGCATAGGCTCGAGCTGTATGAAATCTGATGACGGAACGCCTTCCGAAGCTCCCGTGAACATGTAAAGAGCCGTTCCGGATGGATTGGGTACTCGGTTCGGTGTGGACAGTGAGGTAGGGATATTGATGTCGCCCCCGTGTCCGGGACCAGGAGGACTGGGAGCCCCGGTAGCACGAGCGGCGCGATGACCTGAAGGGGGAGGTGTAGAGTGTGTCGCAGACATATCGCGGCGAAACATCTTGGAGCGTTAGCTGTATAGCACTGAGCTGTAGAGATGGAAGGCGAGTTAGAGGGAAACGAGAGAACTAAGTGCCTTTAGATCTGAACAATGAATGTCCGTTCATCATGTGTCCTCTCCGCGTGACGGCAGAACGATGGATCAGGAAACGGGCCGGCCCGCCGCTTGTGTCAACGATGTCACGTGTACTCCACATAAATGGTTGAGCGCTGGCCCTTCCTCCCTTCTTCCACCAACCACTAGCGCCAATGGCCCAAGCGATCTCTCAGAAATTGGCCCATCTCTCTGTATGTGGTGAAGATCTCCTCTATATCTGTTATGATACTAACGATCTTTGCAGTTAGACGAGTCGTCAAAACCGTCGTCTCCTCCCGCTAGCCCAACCCCTGTGCAGGCCGAGCCTGAGATCACTGAACTATGCACATGCCCACCCTCCCCTAACATGGTCCAGCTCATGAATGCTGGCATCAGACTACCCGTTCACTACTACGGCTTTCTGATCGATGAAGAGCCCGGAGGATTCATTGATTTCGCCCGACGCTACGTCGAACCCGACCATATGCACAGGTGGACAATCGACGATCTCTTCATGCTTGGCCTCCGTAAAATACATCGCCTTGGGAAGCTACGAAAAGAACCAGCTGCGAAGATGGCTTGGGTTGATAACTGGGCGAAGGCTGAGTGTCCGAGAGTGAAGAAGGCGGTGGGGAGGCAGGTGGTGGTGTTGCCCTTGTTCGCGAATAATTTCTCGAGTTACGACGGAAGGCCGACACAAAAACAGGTGGATTTGATGTCGCGTCTTCTAGGACAGCGACCGAGGTGGTGGCAGGCGGCTCCCATGTAGGATCCCACATGTGTCAAGGTGCGCTCCTTTACACCTTCTCATCTTCCATCGACTGACCTCATTTTCATCACGAATATAGCGGTGCGAGTAGTGTTGCCATCCATTTTTGTCGCTATTTTCTGCAAACGCTCTTCGTGCGCTGTCTCCGTCTCTAGTTCTTTCACCTCATTGTAATACCACCCGTATCGCGTATTTAGCCCTTCGTCGTATACTTATATTGCGATGGTCTCATTTCCTCACACCTCCGCACTCTCCAGCCCGTTTTGCCTGTGTATCCGAGTACTTTCACATCGCGGTCCTACATAACATCATCTACATCCTGTCAGCGCCTCGAACGTATCGCTAAGCCCTCTTCTCCGCGAGCTCGAAGGCAACATTGCCGTTTTATCGTCATGGCTCGTATCCTCCTCATCATCATGTCTCCGGGTGAAGTCGTCGGACCAGTGCGCGGGTAGGTCCATCCTGGCAACGACGGCTTTGTTGTGTTCGATATCATTGGACAGTTAAGATCCCTCGTATACATGGGGAGAACCTGTATTGCCTGTATGAGAGACTGGCCTTACATGGTTTCAAAAACGCCTATCAAGTATAGATGGTTCGAATCGAGTTCGAACCCAAGAGTTTGTCGTTCTCGCCACACAAATTGTAGATCTAACTTTATCTTATCTTATCAACGACTTCGCCACTCAGCAGTAAATTGCATACTTTACTCCTGCGCCACTCTTACCTCCAAACCTGTTTCCGCTCTGCCGTCAACTTGCTATATAGGCTCTCATAGACCGTTTCTTGCTACTTGTTACACCTTACCAGCCAAATAATTGGCTAGAATCTCGAATAATTCATTTGCGGGTACGTGAGACCGCTATGGTCACAAGTAGCAGGATTGTAACTTGACAGTGGTGCTCTCACAGACATCTTTCGCCCATCTATTGCGAGAACCGCCGTCAGTCTACGACCAACCCAAAATTACTTCCCTCACACGGCGCAATTTGCGCGCCTTCACGAACTCCATGACCGTAACGTCTTCTACCACTGTCGAGCGACGCAAGCTTCAAGGCTACGACTTCTACCGCGAAGTACTCGGGAGCCCGAAGTATATCGGTGCGCCGATGGTGGATCAGAGTGAACTGGTGCGAATTTTGTTGCTATCGAGCTACCATTGCTTGACGTTTGTTGTATCAGGCCTGGCGAAAGCTTTCAAGACGATATGGTGTTCAGGTAAGTTCCAGAATCATGGATTCCGCACCACAGTCGTTCACGATACTCCTCAAAGGTAGCCTACACGCCCATGATCAATGCCAAAGTATAGCTCGTCTTTTGTCAGAGCGCCTTTCTTGTGCTCAAATCTATTTTGCTAGATGTTCTCCATGAACAACCGAAAACCATACCGAGAACTCGCGTTTAATACTGTCCTTGGTGAAGAAGGTGGCCCAGGCGACCGCCCATTGATCGTCCAATTCTGTGCCAACGACCCCGAACAACTCCTTACATCCGCCAAGGTTCTTGAGTCCCATTGTGACGCTATCGACATCAACCTCGGTTGTCCGCAAGACATTGCTAAGAAGGGGCGGTATGGAAGTTTCTTGCAGGACGAATGGGATTTGATCTTTAAAATGAGTGAGTACCCTTCCCGAAAGACGAGTATTGTTGAATTGTGCTCATTCGACGACTCAGTCAATACACTTCACGAGAACCTCTCGATACCTGTGACAGCCAAGTTTCGCGTCTTTCCTTCCCTCGAGAAGACTGTGGAATACGCGAAAATGCTTGAACGTGCCGGAGCTCAGATTTTGACATGTCATGGTCGGACTCGAGAGCAGCGCGGTCATCATAGTGTCAGTTTTCACTTTAAGGACTGGCTTGCCCGCCTTTGCATGCTAATGTATGAGTCGTACAGGGCCTCGCAGATTGGGCGAAAATCCGCGCAGTCAAAGAGGCCGTCAAGGTTCCTGTATTTGCAAACGGCAATATCCTGTTCCACTCTGACATCGCTAGATGTCTCGAAGAGACAGGCGCAGACGGAGTGATGTCTGCTGAGGGACAGCTCTATAACGCAGCTCTATTCGCGCCCGCCATTCCTCTTACACTCCACACATCGGAGCCTGAATCATCAGACTCCCCTCCTTCTGCTGAACCATCTCCATCCAGCCCTTCGTCTCCACCCGTATTCGACACCGGACTCCATCCCATACACACCACACTCGCATTCCAATATCTCGACATCGTGAAAACCCAGAAGACACCTACCGCACCCAGCGCCATCAAGGGTCACCTTTTCAAGATCCTCCGACCCGCCCTGAATCGAGAAAAGGATTTGAGGGAGAGACTAGGTAGAATAATCGGAAAGGACCAATTTTCCGTCTACCACGCAATCGTAGAGGAGCTGCATGTGCGAATGGTACGGGACGTGAAGGAGGCCCTGGGTGAGGCCCTGGGTGAGCGATATCTGAAGATTCAAAGTGGCGAAGCTGGCACGGGCATTGAGAGCTTGAACGACGATGATCTGCGAATATTGGGTGACCTGGTGGCAACAGATGCCTCCACCAGCCTGAAAACACTACCCCATTGGGTCGCGCAGCCTTACTTCCGCCCTCCGCCGAAACCAGCAGCGATTCCAACGGAAGAGCAAAATCTCGGTGAGGCCTCTTCACAGCCGGTCTCGCGTATCATTTACTTCGTTTCTGATGCGGCCGTTTCGTACATCTCTTTTCTTTTGCAGAGACCCCCGTCGAAGATCCTACAATGGTTCTCGGTTCACAGGCGGCGGATGACAACAGAGCTGCTCCCATCAAACGACCACATTCAGAACGCACACCTGAAGGTGACGGTGCGAAGGGCGTGGAAGATTTGAAGAGGATGAAACTGGACTTGGATGACAGTGTCGAAGGACTTGTTGGTACGGGAGGTGTAGTCTGCGGATAGGCAGGTCTGACAAGTCGTTAGGCTTTGTCTGCATGTGGACCACAATGTTGCCGTACAATGGCTTCGATATAAGCATAGACTCTCATGTTCGAAACATGTGGACCTCACTGAGCTTCCCTTGCGCCCTATATCTCTAGCGAAGTCCCCTTTGGCCTTATCAGCTGAAATTGGAGTTGTGTTGTAGTGCTACTAACTATATGATATATCGGGCATGAAAGGCTAGGTACAGTGCCCTTTGTTCGTCTAAGTCTGCTGGTTAATGCTGGTGCTCTGTGGCATAGACTTTAGTGCGACTTTGCACACAATAGCCAAACCACTGGATCAGCTTGTGTTGTTGCGACCGCTTTCCGCATATTGCTCAAAGGGACAGACCGATGAAGCCCGCGCAATTAGGCCTTGCTTTTCCCTTAGATTTCATCGGTCAGGTGTCAGATAGAATTAAGCTCAGGAGATTACTAGGTTCCTGTTCATCAATCCGCTCCATTGATGGAAATTTATTACGGTGATTATGAAGTGATACGGATGAAGAAAGCCAATAAAGAGTGTCGGTATCCAAGAGTAGCATCAATATGTGCATGCGAAAATTAGGTCTGAGTAAAAATGGTTCCAAAGTATCGGTTCCCGAGTAGTATGCGAATACGTAGCAGTAAAGACTGTGACAGGAGAAGTTCCACATAAACAAGATCTCACTCATCCAGGGCCGCCACACTCTGCGCTATGAGCTCAACGTACGCAGCATTCCGCGGGGTGATTTGGCAGGCGAAAGGAATGGGACGACTGGCCATACCGCTACTATAGAAACGAGGCGGAATAATCTCATTGCCAGCTTCGTCGCATGTGCGACGAATGTTGAAGCAGAGGAGGGTTGTGGCGATCTGGAGCCAGAGTTGTTGCTCGGCTAGGAACCGCCTGTCAAAGCGGCAATGTGGTCAGAAATATGCGGAATATGGCTGGAGATTAGCTATACGTACCCTGGGCAAATGCGACGGCCGAAGCCAAAGGCGATGGTGTTGGGATCACGAGGTGGAGTGCCGTCAACACCTGGCATGAAGCGTTCTGGCCTGAAAGACATCGGGTCGGAGTAAAGCTCGTCGTCGTGAGACTGAAGCGGAGGTAGCAGTCAGCTTCAGGGGATAGAGCCAGGATCGGACGGCCAACTCACCATTCCCCATTGGTTTGGTATCATAGTGGTACCTGCCGGTCTGCAGTCCCAGAGTCAACGCAGGGAGTGCATATAACTAGGAATTAGATACGCACATGAAGTATCCTTTGTAAACCTGCATTTCGTCAGCCATGAAAGCAACGTCGAGATGTTAAAAAAAACTCACATCATCCTGTTTGACGACGTGTGGAACGCCCATAGGAATAACCGATTCCCACCTAAGAGACTCCTTTGCAATGGCCGTGATGTAGGGAAGAGCAGGTCGATCGGCGAAAGTCGGCAAGCGTATGCCACCTGTCACTTTGTCGAGCTCCGCCTGAGCCTTGGTGACAACCTCGGGAGCATGGAGCATAGCGAGGAAGAACGTAAGCACTGATGCTAGGATGGTGTCGGCGGCGGCTAAAATCAATGAACTCGATTAAGCCTTCCTTTGTGTGGGAGGAGTGGCACGGTGAAAGAAACGTACTGGCATACAAAACTGCGCAGTCTTTCTGTATCACCTTCATTTTCTCCGGTGAATGCTGGACGGCGATCCCATCAGGTTCCATCAGAGAAGTAAAGAAGCTGGGTTTTGCGACCCCCTTCTTGTATTGATTCATTCCCCAAACCCATGGCTTTTGTTGAAGGTCTGTAGTGCAAAATTTATGTGGTAGTTTCTTAGAGATTATGAAGTAAAAGAGGATAGAGAATACGGGAGGTTACGTGCCTTGCGCTAGCTCATATCCGCGACGGGCGACACGTTGAAAATTCTGGAAGGTGATATTTAGAGCGTCGGCTATAACGAGCCCACTGATAAACGCACTGCGCCGGGGAACCATTCTGGTACATATCTGAGGATAGGTATCACGTCAACCATGTAGGCGCCAGGACGTGCGGCGGAGACCATAGCAAGTTGCGCCTCCTCGGCGATCCGAACGAACTCGTCGTTCTCCTTGGTCTCATACCCGAAAGCTGCGAATATAATATAGTAAGACAGATGAAAGTGAGATCTGCATAGGCACCTGAGAACGCACCAATCATCATAACAACCGCGCCAATCGTGCTACAAAGTCTTCCGGATAAGCAATAGCGATGGACAGCGACTGAAAGCACGAACTTTCGAAGGTGCTCATCAAACTTCTCCGGATTCTCCAATAACTTCCGCAAGCAGAGAATGATTTCGCGCTGCACGATATGATCAGCGGGGATCATCAGTGTATAAGGTAAACTCACGGTCTGCAAGTGTTGGTAGTTCTCAGATGCCTTGGGACTGAAACCGCGAGTAAAGTTCTCACGATGCTTCCTGTATGTAGGCGTATAGCTCTGGAACCCCATATTGAATTCCCATCCCATTCTGTCGTCGACCTTCAATTAGTATCTCGGAGGCGTGCAGGTTAATAGACTCACAACTCCTTTACCATGACCATTGACGGCCTCTCTGAGTAGATAGCTGACCGCTTGTCGAGCAAATCTAACGCAACTTCCGCAGAGTTGATGATACACATTTTCTGTCCCAGCATTTCGACCATGACAAGCGGGCCTAAAACACAGTCAATGACCGCAACTACTTCCACCATCAGGTTCGTGTACTCACCGTACTGTTTACCCCATTCCGCGAAGGTCAGCCATTCTGTACATGAGCGGGATTAGGTTCGTCAGGGTTGAGTCCTCGAATATGTCCGAACATGCTTGCCTTGGGACGATGGCATGTCAGGGATGTTCCCAACGAACGGGATGACACTTGGCTTCGGTCCAGGAGGAAACGGCAAGCTCTTCGGTTTTGATGAGTGCTTGCGAGCAACGTTGATAGATAGAAATCCTGCAAAGGCTGCCGCCGCAAGCTGCAGGCTGAGCATTGGGAGGGACGCATTGCTGAGACCAAGGTCAGCGAGAATCTTCTCAGCGTACGCAGGCATGAAAGGTCTGAGGATGGTAAGGGTAAAAGAAGCTCTACGGAGGCGACATCGCTCCAATATCAGTCTCTTCAGGTCGCGAAGTACATAACGTTATGCCGGCATGAGACTTCAGGGTCGAGACGGTAGAGGTATAGCGTGGTCGAATAGTGATCCCGTGAGTATTGGCAGCAGATCTTTCCTGCCAAAAGGGGCGCCAGAGTCTTCGCTGCCACTGCACGACTGACTAGTACACCATCGACTGCCATGGGCTCTGAACATGAAATGGCGTGTTATCTCTTCTGGAAAATAAAAACCTTGTCCGTCGGCCACTGAAATCATGTGTAGCTCGGTGAGGTACTATACGTCGCACGCCCCGCGTATTAGAAACGGAAGAGCACCAGAGGCCTATGTAGTCATATAGACGTCAATACGAGTCTTGAAGGGCGCTGTGTAGGAGCCTCTCTCGCAGGAAGCACGAGAAAATTTTGTTGTGATGCATCGGACGTTGAAAGAGGTTACTAGGAATCAGAACGCAAGAAATTCATGAGAGAATTGCAAGAGAAGGTTGGGCTCGAACCCACGACTTGCGCCGCAACTCTGGAAAGTATTCGACCGGCATTGACCGCGGAACCGAACTGCTGGCCCGGGCTGCATAAGACGGTGACCCTCATACTTATCCCCATACCGCTCATACTTTGGACGGAGAAGCCCTGAAGTAAGCAGGGTGACTGACCTGAACTCTCCACTGAAATGGAACCGCACGGAAGCTCCAAGCGTTGTCAAGTAGAGTTGTACGAAAGCATTGATCCAATGTGGGCTCGTTACTCCATCATTGCCTCTCGACTTCGCTTACGGCGCGAAAAGACTCGGGCATGAGAACGCTCAGTACCTGGATAAGAAGCGAATGTTGTGTTACTACTAACTTGCGAGAGCGTCTCCCTCCCCACCATCATAAACTTGCTCTGGAACCTAAGAAAAAGCGTGCTCTTCACCCTTTTTTCGCGACACGTCCACTGCTCTCACCACCGCCATCATGGCTAATGTCACTGTTGAACTTCCCCCAATGTCGACAGTGGCCATTGGCTTTGGTCCGATGGTCACCGGAATGATGTTGCAACAACTTTTCCTTGGTGTCTTGAGTACGTCAATCCATCTGTTCCTCTCTTATGAAGTCCCGTTTCGATTAACTCGTCACGTCAGGTTCTCAAGCCGCACAGTACTATAGTACATATTACGCCAAGGATAGCGTGTTCACAAAAACCATTGTCGGTTCCTTGGTGGTTCTGAATATATTTTTGAGTTGCCTCGATTTGTAAGTTGACATGCACAGTTCCGCCTCCCTCTGCTGACAAGTCGAGGTCCAAAGCCACGTTCTTTATCGCACTGCGGTTCTTCTTTACGGACAATACGATTTCTTTGACCTCCAAGAATGGACGATGTGGATCGAGCCTGGTACCACCGCGATTATAGGTGCTTGACCGTTGGAAACCTTCAGATCCGTCGGGGACTGATGTGTGCCTTGCACAGGTGGCGTCGCGCAGGTCTTCTTCCTAGTCCGCTGTTGGAGGTTTGCCAGGAACTGGTTTATTTTGATCGGTTTGACCCTTCGTGAGCTCGTACTCTGTTCTTGTACTCTTGACACCAATTTTGACCAATTCTGTCTCTAGTCTGTCTATTTGCTTGTGGCTCAGGGCTTTCGTGAGTCTCGATCATAATCATGTACCTGCCTGTGATGTGCGTTGATGTGCTGTCGTGCCGATAGTGTGACCGTCGCTTTCTTCAGAGTCAAGAGATTCAGCAATCTAGCCCTGATACCTACGCAGATTACACTTTGGCTGGTATCCGTGAGTTTCTCCTTGTCATTTTATTGCTGTCATGCAGAGGACTCAGAGGAATTTCCTAGACAAGTGTCTGTGACATTGCTATCGCCGCCATCTTGATCTTTTACTTCGCCAAATCTAAGACGCCTGTGAAGAAAACCGAAGCTGTCATTAGTCGTCTCATCCGCCAGTCCATGGAGACCAGTTTCGTCACCGCTGTCTGTGCTACGCTCAACTTCATCTTCGTGGGTCCTTTTTCTATACATTAGAGTGTCATCGTATTGATCGGGTTGAATCATATGCTACAAAGTATAAGGCTCTGCCGACAACTGCATACCAGTACGTATATAACGAGATGTCCTTTCTCGGGCAATCATTATTGTTAAATTATTCTCGATTCCTCCAGTCTACTCCCTCAATTTTCCATGGCCCGTATCTATAGCATGACCGTCATGTACACCCTTCTCTCGCGCCATGCCTTGCGCGACGTCATGTCTGAGGGCAATGGTACCTTTGCCACGGGCTTTTTTGACAATGGTGTCTTTGATTCAAGCGCTACTCGATTTGGTAACAGCGGCATACGCGTCAATGTGAGCCTTCCTTCAGACCTTCTAGTTGTATCAGTCCATGATCACTGAAAGCCTAATTTCTTTGTAGGTCGAAGCGACGACACGCAGCGATGCTGAAGCCTCAGCGACTCCTCCCAACCGCCAGCATGATATCGCTCTCACCAGAATTCCCAGCGATGAGTGGAAGAAGGCGAGAAACACTGATTTGTGACGAATTTTGTCTCATGTCTGGATGTATTTAGAACTGCATGGACTAAACAAAAGGCACATCGTTATCCGGAATAGTTATCTATATGCTCCCTGAAGGGACTTTCGAGCGAACGTCCATCATTGTTCCATCGTGTGAATCCAAGTCTGCACACATATGTCCATTATTCATAGCAAAGTGCGATCACAATGCATTCTACACTTACCGGTCTCACGCTGTCCAAGAAAAGCTTGATTGTGTGCACTGCTTGTCGCACTCTATTATACTTAGCATCTACGCATCCTCACTGCCTAACTGAGGGCGTCAAAGTGCTGGGCGAGAATCACTACGCGTATGATCACGCTAGCTACGTTCATCGTCGGGGTAGTAGGCAGGGCGCAAGGTCTAGGGACCTTGTTCGGATCGCCTGCACATCGAGCTGAGGTCATTGCTAGCGCATGAACGATCAGAGAGAAGAGGGTTAATTTACAACATTTCCAGAACTTCCACAGCGTACGATGTACAAAACCGATTAAAATACAAGCATACGAACACATAAAAATATTGTGGTACCGCATATCCGTGTGAGGGTACATGATTCGGGGACCTAATGTTACGCAAGCCTTGACAGCAAGAAAATAGCTAAAACTAAACAGCACGACGACGGTTATGAGTACGAGCGTAGATCATACATCAAGAAGATGAACACTTACAATACAGTGTTTGCAGCGTACCAACGACTATGTAGTCATGCCGAGGAAGCTGACTGAAGGGTATTTGAGGTATTGCTCGTCTTGCAACGTTTAATCGGCCGGTAATTGAGGCCAAACCCATTGGGTGCAGTCAGAAGTGTACGCCCTTCGACATCGCCGACAAGGGATGACACCGATGGCACCGTGAGAGTCGAACGAAGAGTCGAGGCGGCAAAGCCTTGCTGTACGCCCGAACGATCCCCTCCGACTCCAAAATTCTGGTCTTCCGATTGAGACTTTGTCGAAGCATTGTCTCTAGAGATTTGGTATGTTAGTACCTGAAGTAACCGCCTCATACAGCACGATAGATAAAAAAGAAACGGACCTTGGGCATCGGGTTTCACCTTCGCACTCATCGTCATCCGGTTCGTATTTTCTCTTCAAACTCTCGTACTTTTCTCTGGTCTCCTTCTCCTTCGCATGCATCTCGTAGGCGTAATTGCGTGCGATTCGGGCGAATGTAGCCAATCCTACTCGTGTGGCGGCGTATGTTTCTGCCCGATGACGCCACTCAGCACAGCTAGAGAGGAGGGCAGCGTTTTGAGCTCGAAGACGAACAAGTTCTCCCACTGCGTCAAGATCTCTGACATGAAGGGCGCGGAAAGACGGTGTGGGCGACGACGTGGAGCTTTTCGAGGAAGAACTCGGTGTGAGAGTTGGTGTTGTGGGTGATGGTGCTGGCGTATCTATGTAGAGGCGGCGAACAGCAGGGAGGATGAAAGGGCGCAGGTGCGCTGGTATAAACTGAGGGTCGAGGGATGCTATTGCGACGAGAAATGAGAATCAAGATGAAGGATGAACTAGATACAGTACCCACCGATAGGGAAGGGTCTTCGACAGGTGGGACAGCTACGATGCGTACTGCATGCAGCGTTTGGGCTCTGCACAGTCAGCACTATGCATTGCTGACAGAATACATGTCCTGCAAACGCATGAGGGTCAGTGTCTAACGTACTTCATAATAAACCATGCTTACCACAGGGTAAAGAAACCGGAGACTTGTAGGTATCGAGGCAGATTGGACAGTTCGACATGGTGGGGAATACGCAGTTTCAGAAACGGAGGAGGTATGGGGCTTTTATAAAGTCGAGGGGGAAGTGCGGGGTAATAGTCATGCTGCATCATCGTAACGCGGGGAGTCCTTATGTATCGTCGTGCTGCACAGTGAAAGTAAGCCTAGTTGGATCCAGCGCTTTCCCCGAAGGCCCAGTCAGCCCTTGTCAAACACCGAGGTAAGCCTGGCCTGGGACAGTGAAATGCCAGTGACCCGGAGTGACGCGTTAACGGGATGACTCGGAGGAGTGCAAGGCGCGGACGACGCTGGTGGGTCGATCTCTCGGCAGGACATCGGTCCATAAATCACTTCGAGAGACACACAACAAAGTGGGACTTCGTCACTACAGCATTACCCAGCTAATCATACGAGGGCCGTGAGTCACCGGCGACGCCGTGAATCACGGTCGGTCATACTAGTCACAGCGGCGAGTCCAGTCATCATTGTTGTTTTTGTCTTGCTAATCACTGCGAGCGAAGGCGTAGTCAGATTTTCTACGCACCCATAAGACAGCTTGTGTCGAGCAGCCAGGACTGTAAAAACGATTCTTGAGTGACAGACGAGGCTGGAGGCAGACAGAGGACGAGAGGCGGCGAGATCGGGTGAAGCCGGATTTGGCCACTCACGGAACAAAAAGGTCCAAAAAGGGTCTAGAAAAACTTGCAAATATCGGTGTTTTTGAACCGACCAGGGATTAACCAGGAACATGCACTAGTTCCTGGTTCAAGGCTTTCAAACAGACGGTATGCAGCAAACAAGAAACACCCCGAAAGAGACTGTAAGATCTAACACGAGTTTCTGGACTCCGATCGTGAGGTTCGAGTGTGGTGTGGCGCGCCACACAGAGGGCCCGAGAAGACCCGCCCCCGACTCTTCGTGTGCTCAGGTGCTAACTTCAGAACCTTTATCAGAACTAACTGCGTACTGTACCTAGAACGAGTCTCCGAGCTTGGCTAGAGAACTCGTATTCGAGCATCAAGCCGGGGACACGGATTGCAGCGATGGGTCATCTTGTTCTTGGATTGGTAAGTGAACTCGGAGGTTCGACGTTGGTTCAATGCCCAGGAGATGCACATAAGCACTTGAAAGCCGGAAACCCGCAAGTTATCGCTATGGATGGATTGAAGATAATGACAGGGAAACTTTATAAGTCGAGGGGTGGCGGTATTTGTTCATGAGCTGAGTATAGACGCGTATTCCTCTTCAGCATGGGCTTGACACGCTGATCGCAGCTACAAGCCTACGACTCACTGTGGCCCCAGAAAGGACATGCAAAATGATGCCCAGATATTTTCACATTGCTCTATCATGGTACCTTTTACATCGATGTGCGACTTAGTCAGACAATATTAGGAATATCGCAAACGCTTGCTTGTTGATGAGCTGATTGGTGATACCGACCGGTACCACACCGATTTTCTCAGAGCTTCGAATGCTGAACCTGAACGATGGGTGATGATACAACACTCAGTACACTTCAACACAGCTCTCTCCTACCGCCAAACTGGTTTAAAACCGACACTTCCGTTGTGATGTGTTGTGATAGAAAAAGGAAAAAGGAAACGAAATAAGTAATGTGTCATGCCTTCTTGCTCGTCACCTCCTCGACGACTTCTTTCATCACGCTCACGATCTTGTCGATATCGCCTCTTTCGCTGTTCACGACCGTCGTGCCCATGTGCCTGTGTAATAGGTGGAGTTAGACGGGATGAGTCAGGTACAGTGGCGTTTGTCGGGTATACGCCGGTGGAATAGCATGAAGTGGGGGAAAGGGAGGAAAGAAAAACATACCCTATGCGGAAGTACGCGTCTGAGGAGAAAGGGCATGATGTGGTAAGTTACGGGAGAATAGAGAGGATCCAAAGGGTACACACGCACCTTTCTGGGCACCCAAACCACCGGCGACGACAACACCTTTCTTGAGGAACAGTGGGATCATCTCCGAGGACTTCACTCCGGGCGGGGTATACACCTTTGTCGAGTCATGCAACCAAATTCAGCCTATCTGAACCATTGCATATCATCGAGGTAACGAAAAGAACTTACAGCAGTCATGCCATTAGCGGCCTCCGCCGCATTGACCGGGACGGACTTGAGGCCAAGCTCGGCCGCAGCAGTTTTGACACGCTGGCTGACTTCTTTATGGCGGGCGAACCTCTCTTCGAGCGTAGGAGAGGATTTGAGGAGTTGGGTGAGGGATTGGTGGAAGGCGAAGATGAGGTTGACGGGCGGAGTGGCGAAGTAGGCGGCTCCGCCACCTTCATAGGCTTTCATGATGGGCAACCATCTGCAAAATAACGACACGAATCAGCGAATGATACGTAGAGGCAAAGTGGGTGTAACAACCTTTTCCAGCTGGCATAGAAAGAGGCAACAGGGGTCGACCTGGTTTCAAACACCTATAAAAATACCCACGCTTTAGCCAAAACTGACTATCCAGTCAACAATACAGCAGTCACACCTTCATGGCTTGCTGGCTAGCAATAATGACACTCAATCCGGGGGGTGCACCGAGACCCTTCTGGCTTGCAGACATGACCACATCGATCCCCCAGTCTTCCATGCGGATCTCTTCGCTGGCCACGGCGCACACGGCGTCCAAGATCACGAGGGTATCAGGCGAGACTTTCTTCACCACCGCTGCTACAGCTTTCGGATCCGAAAGGACAGCTAAATGAATTGGCGTTAAAAGCAATGTTCCGTAGGTGTACTAAGAACCTTAGCGCACCTGTTGACGTGTCGACATGTGTGACAGTGACGAGCTTGTATTTCTTCGATTGCAAGGCCTTTTCGAGCTCCACTAGGCTTGCAGTGGTACCAAAATCAGCGCGGATCTGGTCGACCTTTGCGCCGTAGGTTTGCAAGCTAAAAGTCACGAAGAGCACATTAGCAAGTGTGTGGGCCACAGTGGCGTGTGGCACGCGATAGGGGCACAGGGGCACCTACCAATCTGCGAAGCTATCTCCAAAATAGCCGGTGTTGAGAACGAGGACATCGTCGCCTGCCTCCACAAGGTTCGCTGAAACCTGATCAAAGGTGAGGAAAGAAAGATGGAGAGGATATTTTCCAGACGTACCTGGTCCCAACCAAGGGTACCGGATCCAGAGATCAGGAAAGGCTGACCAGTCTTCGAGAATACTACGTCCCTGCATCCACCAAGTGGTCATGAGCTATTGAAGAAAGTGAAAGGTTTCCGATTGGACGCACCTAGTCATGCGCAAAGCCTCGCCGAAGACAGATGCGAACTCGGGGGCCATGTGCGAGACGGAAGGGTGTGCATTGGCGAATAGGACCTAACGGTGGAGGCACGAAGCCCTTCTGAATGAGTCGTCGGCGTATGGTCCTCTACCAACTAGTAGCATGGCCATAATGGTTGCGACTTTGACGAGGATAATGGGAATAAAATCGGGACTGAAAGTACCTCGTCTGTAACCTCGATTGGGCCTGGGATGCTGGTGATCGAATTGGACTGAGCGCTTTATACAGAGGAAAGTGGGGAGGATGGACGTACACCAAGAGTCTGTTCGTCGGTGACACGTCAACATCCAAAGTTGAAGAACGATCCCTCCAACATGATCTAAAAACGCTAAACACTCACTTATGGGGTGCCTAGAGGAAAGAGATGAACCGCAAGGGATCCGCGATCAGCCATACAACATCCATCTAGATCCAGCCCCTGAACCTAACAATCAGCTGCTTGAACGCTCACCTGCTTGAATTGCTGGGTCGACATAGTGCTATAACTGTGGCTTGCAGATGTACGTCTTTGGTATGGTCTAACGACACGAGAGACGAAAGATCTAGACAGAGAATGGGCTTGGGGGCGTGAGAGGAAGCGGACGGTGGCAGTTGATGGTGGAGGAAGAGAGGGAAGAGGAAGAAGTGGAGGAGATAATAGCGTGCAAGTGCGCTGGAGGGTCCGGAGAGAAGAGAGCATCGTCGAATTTCGCTTTCGGGCCACGGAGTCCCACCCCGTTGCAAATTCGTCCGAGAGATCCTTCACGCACTCGCGAGACTGACACGACAGCAGACTTGGCCCCCGCGCTATAAGTAAAGGCGACAAATATTCACGGGATGTGCGTGTCTACGAGCACGGCGGACGTCCGCTATCATCTCAAGCGTCTCGTTGGACGGAAGGGCGGAAGGGCGCGTGGCGCATCATTCGACTCTACTTTGCTACAACAATTGATCAAACTGTACTCGTCTATCAACTCCTTACCAGATATGTCCGAACAGAACACCCAGTCAAGTTATGGGCGTGAAAGAAACTTTATGGTGAATAAGATTATGTAGAGTGGCCACTATACGGGTATACAATCGTCCAGACCTCCTAAACACGCAATCTAATCCGACCAGCAAGACTTGAAGCTTGACCTCATAGCGGTCGACTCGAAGTCGAACGAGACAGAAGATTCCGCTCGTCTTCAACTACACCGTTCACATGCCCGGAGCCAACGAATCCAGTCGTTGTCTTCTGCAGGTCCAACCACTCTGTCTCTCGAGGGATGGCCATGTCACCGATGTCGTACACGTACAATCTGCCATCACTCCCACCCATGATGGCTCGACGTCCATCCTTATGATCCCACTGCAGCTTGTTGATCGCATGTCCGGGGCTGACGCTCGTCGATACAACGGGAACCTGGTGGTGAAGAAAACAATCAGCCGCCCATCTATCCAATCCTTCGACCAATATTCGGTGAACTCACCTCAGTGTCGATGTTCAAATTCCACAGATCAAACCTACCCGACCCATCCACCGCACCAAACAACGCCGGATGCGCAGGGTGCCACTTCACATCATACACATAATCATCCGCCTCCTCAAAACTATAAATCGGGCCCACACTCGTCGCCTGCGTCGCCGTCACGCTCGTCTTCGCCAGACTCCTCGCCCTCCAAAGCTTAACCGTCCAGTCCACCGAACACGTCAGGAACAGATCTGAGAAATCCACGGGCCCGATGCTGGGGTGGAAGCTCATGCCCATAACGGGCCCAGAGTGACCGCGGTAAACGTCGTACTGGTTTAGTCCTGCTTTGGCGCCGGCGCGGTCGTAGCGGTTGGCTTGATAGAGGTTGCCTTCTTCGGTTCCGACCCAGAATGTGGTGGTTTCGTTGTCGGGGAAGTCGAGGGTCGTGATGGCGACTTCGCCGGTTTTGTTGTGGCCGGCGTGGATAAGCTCGAGCGTTTCCTAAGATGAGACCGCGACCGGAGTCGGAATGGGGAAGGAGAAGCGACGTGGCCGAAAGGAAAGTCAGTCGCTTCATGTGGAGATTGGGTCGGTGCCAAGGCAGAGGAAGCTCACCTGAGGTTGTGCTAGCATGTCAACGAGCCAACTGCAAACCATGCCGTCTGTGCTGCTCGTGATCAGGTTGTGCGCATTCTGCGTGCCTACCATCTGCATCGCGTAAACAGGATGTGTGTGTCCCGCTGCTGAAAGTGGCGTCTTGAGCACTGGCAGATGTTTCGATCGTGTGTCCCATAGCAGAATCTGCCCTGAATATGTTCCTCCGAAGACGAGATTGGGGTGGAAGGGAGAGAAGGTGACTGAGAGAACGTCGGACTGGATGGGGATGGGGTGAGAAGATGTTATGGTATGTTCGACGGAAAATGGAGCGAAGATAGGAGCCTCGACATACCTGTGAATGGAAAACGAACTCAGGTCGTTCGAGGAGGTGCAAATTCCACACGGCGACGATCCCATCTGGCTCATTCAGAGCAGCAGGATTCTTATTGTATGATGCCACACTAAGTTCTGGGAACTATGTCCAGTCATTAATATAAGATACAAGACAAACAATTGGTGATTGAGCGAACCTTTGGCGACCAGTCGACATCCGTTATGGACCTGTTCTTGCAATATCGTTCGTCCCAGAAGGCACATACTTTCTTGACCCGCTTGCCTTCCGAGTCGTCTCTTCAAACGAAGAAATCGTCAGGCCAAATGACAATGGCTCATGAAAAATAGCGGAAGAACATACGTGCCAGTCTCTGCGCCTGTGGTATAATCCTGAATATAGTCGTAACTGTCGTTCAGCGCTCTCTGTACAATTTTTGAAGACTGCTCCACGAAGTTCAAGAACTCTGGCGCGGTGAATATGCTCGTCCGTTCTTCCTCGGTTAGGTCTGCGCCACAGACAAACGACATTGCCGAAAAGTGAATCAGTCCATGAAATTCAAGAAAAGGGTGGGTTATAAACGGACCTCGGATCTCCTGCTCGATCTCCTTGTCAAGTTGTACACTCTCTTCTTCTAACTCTTGCTCTCGTGCTCGTTCCGCGTCTGCTTGTTCACGTTCCCGCAAGACGCGTTCCCGGATCTCTTCTTCGTTCGAGGGTGTGGCGTCGACTTCAAAGTCTGTCGTTTGGATCTCTTTGTTGTACGTTACACGCTCCTAGAGATCCACGGCAATGCGATCATCAAAGTCGCATGAGCGGATGAAGACTTAGCGATACATTGGACAGAGACGTACCCGTTGTGGCAACTCGAACAGTTCTTGCTCGACGTCTATCAAGTCTGGCATGAACCGCGGCGTCATAGTCCTTTATTCGGCATACCATCCATATTAACACAACCCGACTTCAGATATGAATGGGCGATACTAGACTCACCGATCAACAACATTATCCGTTCCCGACTGCGCCAACGTCGTCCCCATACTAACCCTCCCATCCGATCCAAAATCACTTCCTCTACTGACTCTCCCCGAGCCTAATCCCAGCCCCGAGGGCCCCGCTCCGTATCCACCATAACCGACAGATGGTGTCCCAGGGCTCGAAGATATTGGGCTTGCGAGGTCGGGTGTGCGAAGGCGTCGGGGGGAAGGAGAGAGGATACCGCTGCCTTCTGGGCCGACGAGTTGATTAATGAGGGAATCGACATCTCGACGGCCGGCGGTGGGTGCGCCTGCTGAGGCCTTGAAAGCAATGTAATGAGGTGAGATTGGCCGAGGAAAGGATTTATGAAGGAAATAAATGAGGGTTGTGTATATACTTACCTCGGTTGCTCGTCTTTCGAGGTCGTTCTTTTGTCGGTCTGCTCGCGCTTTGCGAAGTTCGGCGAGCTTGAGACGCTTTGCTTCGATCTCTGCTCTCCGTTTGTCTGACATGTTGTGGATATATGAAGCAGGGCCCAGCAGCGAGATGTAAAGCGACAAAGCGGGAGGTCTACGAGTGTTACTAGTGCTTGCTACGCCACAGACGAGTCAAGCACGTGGAGGGAGGCGCGCTGTTGACGCGCTATTTGGCCACACTCGTTCCTTCTTCCTTCGTGAGTGCCACTCACCCACCCCCATAAAAATCCTATGAATCATATCATGGCTCAGACTGACTCTCATATGCATTCCCATTTAGCCTAAAACCAAGAGTCAGATTTATCGTTGACATTGGCATCATGAACCGAGGACGAAGATCTGGTCCTAACAAAGCTGCTGGACGACGAAACGATAATAATCGCATCTACGCTCATCCTCTTCCCCTTCTTTTCACTTCACCTGAACCTATCGGCACTAGCTCTTTTTCTTCACTGCTTGGAAGCCTTGGTCTCGGTGGCTCGAGACTAGAAGTTCTCAACCCGCACTGTGAAGGCGTCTTCGATCCGGCAACACGCTCGGTATGGGTCACGAACGCTAAAGATTCCAGGATCCTGTGGACGAGGGGATTCTTCGGAAAGGGGAACTTGTCGAGGAGCGAGCCTAGCTGGCTTGCGAGGCAGGTGAATGCGAGGAAAGATAGGGCCGCGGGGAAATGTGTGTTCGTCCCATGTTCGCTGTTCATATCCTCCATCTATCCATCCTTGTCCATGTTTTTTCCCTTCGTTCTCTTTTCCATTCACCACCCCTCTGCGCGTGTCCTTTCTACTCCGTCTTCGACTTGTATTCTGCCTTTTGGGGTGTCATCGGTGTTTAATGCATTGTCCTCAATACTCATGCCGTGCCCTTCTTTCTTCTCTCCTTCTTTCTCCACCGCCGGATCCGTGAACTCTTAATGAAATCACCCACGGTTCCTTCCCTCTCCGCCTTCCGACTTCCGACTCCCAACTTCCAAACTTTCTCACTGCTGCAAACAACGACTAACGCCACCACGCCCACCCAAAATAAAAAGCAGCCATGACCTCAGAAGAAGTCACGGCGAAACGCCGTGCGGAACGTAAGCAGTTCAAGGTCGACCGAGCGCGGGCGATCGCACAGGCTGCGGCGGAGGCGGAGGCCGCATTCAGGGAAGGGAGGATAGTTTCGCTCGAGGAGACGAAGGCGAATATACCGTCTGCGGCGACGTGGAAACCTTCGAGCTCTGCGATTACCTCTGCCTCAGTCTCAACCTCCGGTCCATCTACTAATTCAACCGTAATCACGAGCGAGACCTCGAACGCAAAAATTGTGCCCACGGATGGCGAGACTGCCGCTTCCACGGCGGAGGACGCCACAAATATGGGACCTCGGAAGGACGGCCACGGAGGGGCGGAAGGGCTGAATGATGAAGATGAAGCTCCGTTGGAAGACGTGGAACATCTGCAGCTCACCCTCCCCGAGGCGTTCTTCCTCTGTTGGGCATTAGACTGTCTCACCGTGCTCGATCCCAAATCCGTATGTTTTCTCTCTCGCCACCCGTCTGTCCTTCTCATGTCCCGTCCATTTCGCCCATCCGTTCCATCCCGTCCCTTTTTATCTATCACGCCGCCCCCATCTATCCATCTGTTCATCTATCCATCTACGTATTTACACGATGACACGTCTGCGCGTGCCATGTGCGTGTGCGGATAAGAGGGCGAGAGGAGATCCGGCGTAGTCTGCGTGGTGGGGTGTGTCCGGATGTGTATCGCGCTGACGAAGATTCGTTCTCTTGTTCTCCGACCTTGGGACATTTTCGATCCATCCAGATGGAACCGATGACACTCCAAGACATATGGATCGCTTTCCAATCGGCACACCTTCCTTTACCTCTGGGTGTGGGGAGTGTACAGGGACAGGAGACGCTGAGGCCAGACAACCCGTTCCTGATCAACTATGTGTTCCATCATCATTATCGGTCGCTTGGATGGGTGGTGAAGAACGGCATTAAGTTCTGTGTGGATTATTTACTGTATAAGCGCGGGCCTGTGTTTCACCATGCCGAGTGAGTGTTTTCTTATTCTCATTTTTCTCTCGGCCTCTGTTTGTTTGCCCCTTTGTCCTCGTGGCGGCGTCGTGGTGGGAGGTGGTGCAAGACCATCTATCAGCCTGATCATTTGTTCTTGCTTGGCCGACTGCGCGTCCCTGATGACTGACTTTGTTGTATTTTTGTCCTTAGGTTCGCGTTCGTGCTGATGCCGGTGTACGAGGACGAGGAGGACAAGACGAGTTCGCCGTTCAGTCTGCCGAACGTCGAGCCGTTCACTTGGCAGTGGCTGAGCACGGTCAACCGGGTGAACTCGCAGGTGCAGAAGGTGCGTGCTGCGTGTTTTGACATCCTTGTGGCGGAACCGATGAAACTAAACTTTGTCCTTTTTTGCGATGGGTGATGTGTGGCGTTACAGACACTGATATTGGCGTACGTGACGATCCCGGCGAGGAAGAGGATGTCGAAGGAGGTATTGGGGAGTCCTGCTTGTTTTGAGCATTACTCGATTCGGGAGATCGCGCTGAGGAGGTTCATACCGGCGCGTATGAGGGACTGAGGGCGGGTTCAGATGATTAAGTTTCTGTTGTACTTTACCGGAAGTGAGAATGCACGGGACGGTACAATCGTCAAAGCGTGAAGAAATAATAGGCAGAAAGTGAAAGACTCGAGGCGGAAGACAAGGATGAGTGCCGTGTGCCGGGGCTTCGGTGGAGTGCGGGGAGGCCGGGGTCTGCCGACGGGAAGGAAGATGGAGGAGAGAACTTGTTGGTTCACACCGGTCGACTGAACGCACATGCGGACGTTCTCAGCGCCGTGAGCAGCTCTCGAATGTCCTCCCACAACGCACAGCGCGGCCAGCACGCCCTCTACGCCGTCCGCCCCGCCCCTTCCGGCCGCTCCCAGTCCCCAGACGACGACCACTTGCTCCCCATACACCGCCTCTCCCACTGGAACACCCAGCGAGCACAGGACCCCGGCAGCTTCAGTATGCTCGCTGCGACACACAAGCAGTTCGACCCGCAGGACCTGCCCCCGCTCGTCGCCACAGGCTCGCGCCACCCGGCCATGCACAGCGACGACCCGTCCCTCGCCGCGGGAGGTATATCTCCATACCCAGACTCTGCAGCCACAACTTCCAGTGGCCCATTCTCCCCCTCGTCTCCCCCGCTTATAGATCACACTCTGCAGCCGACTGCTCGTCCACCGCCACCCATGGCGCCACAGTCATCCAGCACCTCCTCATCCGCCGCCGCCACAGGCCGTGCCCGCAGAGCACGCAAAGAAAAGCCCTATATCGCACTCGCGGCGGATCAACCGCCGACGACGCAGGGAAAGCCGCGGACGCGAGTCTTCGTCGCCTGTCTCCAATGGTATGTCCGCCCACTTCTTTTGGGCTCGTCTTTGTCGCCTTCGCAACCCCTATTGATCGCTTCGATCTTGCGCCGCCCCCGCCACATGTACAGTCGGAGTCGCAAGATTCGCTGCGACGGCGCAAAACCGGTGTGCCACAACTGCCACACGAGACCGCCGACGGGGTCTACCATGGGCGAGTGTAACTACGATCCTACTCCAAAGCGTAGAGGTCCGGATAAAGTCCAGGGTGCGCGCACGCGGACGACGCATCCTAGAGACGAACAAGGCGAACCACCCAAGCGGAGACGGAGGCGGACGACGACTACAACGGCCCCTGAGCAGCCAGTCGCTCATCTTCCTTCTGAGCTCTTCACCGCTCCGCCACACTCGCAGGGCCCGAGTTCGCACCTGCTCCACTCGCAGACCGCTCTCCCCCTCCCGTCCTTCCCCTCGTTGCAGTCGCACCGGGACGTCGTGACCGACGTGCAGCAGAATCTACTCACTCTCGCCGACGTCAGTCAGAGCCTGTTGGATCAACCTCCACACAATGTTCGATATCCGCCAAGCGCGACCACCTCCGTCTTCTCTCATGCCTTCCCAGGCGCCCCGGTCCATGGCCATCACTCCGTACGTAGTTCATCTACTCTCTTTTCTGCAGTCCATCATCCTCACCGCACTATTGCGCCCGTGCTGCTCTTATCGTCTCAGTCTGACCACCGGCTCCAGAACCAACTAGACTATCCGGCATTCTTCCTGCCCAACTCGTCCGTTCCCGAGGCGTTTATAACGTCCGCGGAAGAGGATGATAGCGAACAGCAGCAGCAAGCGAACCAGGACGGCGCACAACTCGGAGCCGAGCCTTCTGTGCAGTTCTCGCGCAAGTCGTGGTGGGACAACCTGCTCGCGTTCTACGCTTCGTACCACCACAATGGCTCGCAGCAGTTACACCTCACGCAGACGCAGCGTCATGCGAGTTACAGCCAGATCATCACCGACATGCGGATCCTGTTCCAAAAATCGAACTACTGGTTCTCGTTCTTCAACGTCCCCAGGTTCTATAGCAACTTTCTGGACCCGGTGAGGAGGAGCATGATGCAGCCGAGTCTCGTGCTCGCCGTGCTGGCCGTTGCGACGTTTTTGCAGAGCTCGGAGAGTGGGAGGGGAGAGGCGGGGAGGAGGATGGCGATGCGGTTGAGGGACGAGGCGCAGAGTGCGTTGGATGCCAGTGTGCAGGCGAGAAGAATCGACGAGTCGCTTGCGCAGGCGGCTTGGGTGTGTATCTATCTTTTTTCTGACCCCTCTGTTTTTTAAATATTTACATGTCACCCACCTGGCTGCTCTCGTAGATCCTGGCTTTCTTCGAGATATCGGCGCACCCGCATCATCGAGGCGATCGAGTGGCGTCCGCTATGCGTGTGCTGGACTCTATCGTCCGTTCCTTGGCGTTGACATACCTCGACGCTGACGATCCACAGACGTCCAAGTACGCACCTGGCTCGATCCCGACCATCCCCTCCCAATCTTCCACATACGGTACTCCCTCTTCTCAACAATACTTCGCTGGAGCCATGTCCAACGGCTACAATGCCTACAACGCCAACAACAACGGCATGAACCCTCTCGGTCGTAACTCAACAGGCCCGAATCTGACCCACCACAACCACCATAACTCCCTCCCGTCACTCCCTTCCTACCCCACCACCAGTGGTTGCACCTGCGACTCTCTCTCGCTCGGACATCACTGGCCCGAAGCATCCGAACAGACACCGATGTGGGTGTCCTGCCCGGCATGGAACTATGAGTGGAACGAGGGAGAGGTGCGGAAGGAGGAGTGTAGGAGGTTGAGTTGGAGCTGTTTGATGCTGGCGGCGGGGTATTCGAGTTATATGGCGGCGACGAGGGGGAGGACTATTGAGATGTTTATGAATAATCCGAGTAATGTGAGTTTTGTTTCTGGTTCTTGTTGCGTTCTATTTCTTTGAGGAGTATCGGTGTCTCGCGACGCTTGTTGGAGTGCGGAGGACGTTTATGGATGTGTGGTACCGCAGGGGCGGCACGGATCGGGTTCTGTTGGCGAAATACAAATATGGATCTACTCACTGACGCTGACTTTGCCTTCTTTACTTTTTTGCGCGATCGCGTATGCCGTCCCTGCACCCAAATTTCTCGCCTGGCTCCCGGTCCTCAACCTCATCCCGTCGAATATCATCCTCACTGCACCACCACCCCGCCACACCACAGTACGCCCTCCTCTTCCCCGGCGAATCGCTTACCTCGTCACCCTTCACCGTGAGCAACACATCCGGCAAAGAAACCGTCTGGGCGCTCTACCTCCGCGCGGAACTGCTCTGGAATAGCTGTTTGAGGTTAAGATACGATACGTCGGTGAGGGAGGAAGAGAAGGGGGAGAGGGCGATGAAGGTCTGGTTGGAGACGGAGGCGATCGATGCGGCGTTGAATAGGCATTCGTGTGGGGTTGAGAGGGCGTGTTTGTTCATTGGGAGGGAGTATTTGTTTAAGTGAGTAGGAGGGTTTTTGATTTAGGGAGTGGGTGAGCGCACCCGAGACGTCTTCGATGCTGATGGCGGCACTGTGCGTTTTGCCCCTTTTCTGCTATAGCACCCGGATGTGTATCTCGTATGAGTTCCAGAGGTTTATTCCGCAAGTGTACGTCCTCTTCTTTCAGATAAGCCTAACTATCTCCTTGTGCGGGTGATTCGATGCACCCTTCGAGATGACGTGAGGCGGGACGGGTGCAGTCGTAATCTTTAGGGAACTGGCTGGCTGATTCAATTTGCTTTGCTTTGCTTTTTTTGCAATACAGGATTGCTGGCGTGGCTCGAAGGAGGTCGGAAGAATGGTGTAAGTGATATATCCACCGTACCCGACTGTAGCCTGCTGACGGTAATATCTGATTTGGATGTCTGTCGTATAGTGAACGAACAGAAGAAACGGGCGAATCTGTTCACGAGGGCCATGGGCGCCGTTACGGGTAATCGGAACCATGCGCTCGCTGAGAGGCCGTTCTTCGTGTTTTGGTTCATGGGGCAGTTTGCGAGGTTCGTTGGAGCTCCCGTCCGGGGGGTATCGGTGCTGATTTTCCGTTGTCTGTTTTTGTGATCACAGAGCGCTATCGCTTTGGGCGGTCGATCATACGCTTACGATTGCGTTGGATGTGTGCAAGGCGTTCCTCGAGCCGATCAATTTCTTGACGAAGTTGTGGCCTTGTCCGGGTGCGTTTGATGTCTCTCCTTCTCTCTCTCATCTTCGGTTGTACTGACTATGGTGCAGAACAACGGAGGAGGTACGAGCAGCTTGTGGAGCAGCTGCGTATCGCGTGTATGTCTGTCGAGGCGGGCGAGGGCTCCGCTCATAGCAGTTTTTAGGCCGTCGTCGCTTCTGAGTACCTTGTATCTTTATTCCGTCTCTCTTTGGTGTCCAGCGTCGGTGGGTCATTGCTAAAGGACTTTGATTTTATCCTGGTTTATTGCTCCTGTCGTCGTTCCTCTGCTCATCCGTCTGTATGTCGGTTCTTACATCTGTGTATCCATCCATCCACCAAAAGGCACTCACACTATCTCGCACCTAACCACCCCCAATCAAGTCATCGAATCAGAACTTGTACGAATATTGTCCTGTACTCGTAGACATTGTCTTTTGCTCGTTTGTTTTGTCCCTTCGTTTCGTTAATGGGTCATGTCATGTAATTGTTATCCTGTCACTTTTATACACGCGTTCTTGGTGCTGCCGCCTGTAGCAATGTCCTGCAGATGGCAATTCGGAAGCTTTTTATGCTTGTTTTTGTCAGTCAGACCCACAGTTTAACTATAGGCATGGCAAGACGTGTTTGGTTCTTCACCTCCTATTCGTACTGTACGCTTTGACTAACAAAAGCACAGTACGTAGAAATGTGGCCTGACAACGTTGTCCGCAACATCGCATTTTCCCCACTTGGATACTTCTCCGTGATGATGTCACTGATGCAGAGGTAAAAATGTCGTTGTTGTCGTCCTCCAGGTCATGATCTGCAACAATTCTTCTCTGCTTTTTATTATGCGACCGAGGCAGAAAAGGCTCTTGTGGATGTGCGACAATCAGGGAATGGAGAACGGGTGGGTTGCGGGAGCAATGGACAGGTTCGCACGGTTCGATCTAGGGAACGTGCATGATCGAGCCCTCTCTCGCCCCCGTTGGCAGCTGTCCTCCTCCAGGACAGTCGTCCCCAGGGCTCCCCACACGACCTGCTCGCCCTCTGCGCGCCTTTCTCTTGAACGAGCACCATCATGTCTACCTCGCAGCCGTCGCAGTACAGGCCGGTCGGCATCGCCTTGGCCGTATGTCCACTTGCTCGCCTTGCTCGCTTGATATCGTGCTCACGAGTCTCGGAATTCAATGATTTAATATCAGGTCGGGTCTGGGGTATTGATAGGAAGTTCCTTTGTGTTCAAGAAGAAAGGTCTCCTGCAGTCTCAGGCCGGAGGCGAGGCGGGCGAAGGTGTCGCGTATCTCAAGTCGTGGATGTGGTGGATAGGCATGTCGATGATGATCGCTGGCGAGCTCTGTAACTTCGGAGGTGCGTCTGTTTATCTTATTCCCTGCTGCATTATATATTTACACCATTTTGTCCTTGAAGCCTATGCCTTTGTCGAAGCTATTTTGGTTGTACGTTTAAATCGCCTACTGTCGACATGGCACCAGCCTGACTGTTTCTGCAGACGCCTCTCGGAGCCCTCTCGGTCGTCATCTGCGCCATTATGTCTCACATTTTCCTCAAAGAACGTCTGAACTTATTCGGGTGGATCGGTTGCATACAATGCATCATCGGCTCCGTGATCATCGCTCTTAACGGCCCGGAGGAACAATCGGTCTCCACCATTCTTGAATTCAAGAAACTCTTCCTTGCTCCTGGTTTTCTGTCGTATGCCTCCGTGTGCATTGTCATTGCACTCTCCATCATATTTTACTGGGCTCCAAGATATGGCAAGAAGAGTATGCTTTGGTATATCACGGTTTGCTCGCTTATCGGAGGGATAAGTGTCAGTTGTACGCAGGGTTTGGGGGCGTGCATCGTCACCAGTGTGAGAGGAGAAAACCAGGTACGTATGGTTCCTTAGGGTAGTCACTATCTTTATTGATCCTCACGATCCCCATAGTTCAAGAATTGGTTCACCTACTTCGTGCTTGCTTTCGTGGCGATCACTCTTGGTAGGCTGATAACCTCTCTGAAATCTATCCTTTGTCCTTATCATCCACATCCATGCCTTCAGTGACCGAAATCTACTACTTGAATATGGCTCTTGCTTTATTTAACACCGGTCAGTATACAACCTTTCCAACCATAATCTTCAGAGACTGATTCCCTTTTTGGTTGCAACTCCCCGTAGCTATGGGTACGCGTTTGAACACATCTCAACCGTCTCGGAATCAGTCACTGATCTGCGCCTTCGGTTTAAGTCACGCCAACATACTATGTGGTGCGTTCCTACTTCGAAAAGTTGCGGTGTATCTACGGTGTAGCTGACACCTCTTCCAGCTATTCACCTTCTGCACTCTTGTCACCTCCATCATTCTATATCAAGGCCTCAAAGCAAGTGCCGCCCAAATTATTACCATCGTCCTCGCCTTCCTCGTCATCTGCTCCGGCATATTTCTACTGCAAATGTCGCGGGTCGAACCATCGAAACTACAACACATTGACCGTAAATCAACGCTCCTCCTTCAAGCCGCACAACAAGAAGTGAGGCCAGGAGATGGAGACCCCGAGATGGGGCAGATTCTGGATGAGGAGAAGAGGGAGATCGAGGCCACGGAGGATCCGGGGATGGATGCCATCGGAGGAAGGTTCAGTGGGGTTAGCGGATCGGTTGTCCGGGCTAGGAAGCGGAGTACGTTGATTTCATCTTCTTTAGCCTTTTTGCCTATACAACGCTCATTGTACGGGTGTGTAGCGATCATCAGGAAAAGTCACAGTCGTAGCCGGCGGGGCTCGGGGTTCTCTGCTCAAACACCTGCTGCAGGCAACAGCATCGATCTACCCCACGTCAATCGTATCCTTTCCACTGCTAGCTCTCCAAACCGTAATGGCCGTCCCGCCTCAGCGAGCAGCTCAGTTTTCCTGCCTTCTGAGGTCTCGTTCGTCACTAGCACACATCATCACCATCCTCCTCACCCACATCTCACTGGCGAAGAGCCGAGCATGCATCAGCTCCTCTCTGCCGATAGGCTCGTAACCTCCCCAAAGGCTTCGCCCAGCGTCGATCTCAGCGCCGACCAGGATCCGATGGCGAATTCGGACATGACGAAGTCGACGATTACGAGGTTCAACATGCATGAGTGGCCTACGTCGGTCCGGTCGAGTAGGAAGAAGAAGACTTCTGGGACGGGGACGGGGACTACAACGGCTTCGGCGTCTTCGTTACCTCCGCCCTTGCCACAATATATGCCCGCTAATGGACATCCTCCGCCGGCGATGCCGAAACCTGCGCTCGTGTCGAATGTCAATTCACATATCCCTGTGCTCAATCTTCCGACACCTTCACTGCACGTGTCCTCGAGACATCCGTACGGTGGAGACGAGGCTGGGACGGACAGTGGAGTTGAAATCCAAGAAGGGTCGGTGCCGTCGAGACCCAACACTGCTTCAAGATTGGGTTCGCGCCGCGGGATATTAATGGATCAACGACCTGCGACAGCACCGAATCCTCCTAATGCGCGACGATCTCCTTCGCCTTCTCCTCCTCCAACTATCGATGTCGACAACCCAACGCTCGAGAAATCTCCCCTCGGACCGTCAGACGACAAAATAGAATGAATATGAATCGATTCATAACACCTCTTCTCTATCGTATTGCTCGTAACGAATCATCTCTCTCCTCACCGACATATTGACGACCTATCCCATCTTCCTCCTATCCTCGATATCTTGATGATCTAAGACCTGCCTGCCCTTTCGCCTTTCGATGTACATATATACGAATCTGATGTCTACCCTTTCTTGTTGATCGCGCGTTCGTCCTTGATACTCATCCATCTCGCTTGGTGTCATACCCCCACATCGCGCAGTTTGAACCTGTCACTTTACCTGCTACTCTTGTTACCCACAACCTGTTTGTTACCTGTTGCAATTACTTTGCTTTGTTCTGTGGATACGGATGCGGATCGCGAATATCTATAACTTACTTAACGTCTGGCCTCTCCTGACAATGAATGATATCCTCAGCGCAGAGTGCTTCTCTGCTCTTTTTTTTCTGTTTTATTCAGCGCTACATACGAGTACAGTGTGGTGTGTGGCGTAAACTTAGAAATAGATGATTGGACGAAAGGATGACGGCTTTGCAACCCATCGGGACGAGTAAAATATCAAATTCCTCCCGAAAAAGGCTCCCTCCATACTACTACATTAGTTTCTCCAGAAAATCCGGAATTTCCAACCGCGAAAGACACCTGCCTCCGAGTTCTGGGCTCCCGAATTCGGGAGGAACAGTAGGAATGTAACACATCTCGTCGTCCTTGCATCCATCCTTGCATCCGCCCCAGACGCTCCAGTCTAGCCATTCCATCAACCAGGTGACTTCTGATTCCCAGATGGCTAGAGTGCGCTCGAGTTGCTGCAGAGCGGGGTTTGAGTCGTGGTCCGAGTTGGAGGAGGTCGAAGAGTCGATGAGGCGTTCGATGGGGAAGGCGTCGACCCACATTGTGGAGAGGACACGGCAGATCTGGGAGAGAACGTCTTCGATGGAGGTTTGGATGAGGTGTTCCGAGGGTGTGAGGTCCACGGGCAGGTACTTTGTGAAATGTGTATAGCTTCGGGCGCAGAGAGTTGCCATTGGGGCTACCCAGGCCGTATCCGTGCTCGGGATGGAGCCATCGGAGAAGCTGGTGCTGTTCTTAGATGGGACAATGGTTTTGAGCATGTATGGTGTGAGGATAATGAAGAGCCTCTCGCGCGCAAGTTCGGCACGCTCGGTGGTGTTGCGTGTTGTCTTGTCTCCTAGAACGGAGTGGAGGAGCTCGAGGTGTTTCCCGTAACGGTCCACAATGACCTACAGAGCCCAGACCAGTCAGCCTTTTGAGGAAAGACAGGATGAAATTTATCTCGACCTTGACCAATCCAGTCCAGTCTACTCTACTCTTTGGACGCAGTGTGGCCCAGTCCTCCGCATCGAAAGCATCCCTCACATCATCTCTGAAGGCCTGGACATCCGCATTGCTCCCACCAGCTGCACGCCACTCGATAAACTTCTTCCCTTTCCTAAGTTCCTTCAGACTGCTGTATTTCGCGTCCAAGAAGGAAACCATCCTATTCGGTATTTTACATAAGGAAATCTTTTTGACAGAAATAACAGAGATTCTTACCTCGAAACACCAATGTTTATCCTCGTCTCACCAGGAAAATGATAATGATTACCCCCGGCCTGTAGAGTCTCCCACCACGAGCTCGCCCCATCCCTGAGGCTTCCCTCCCAATTCTCGGGGACCTTTGGGATATTATAGACAGGGCCACCTGGTGGGAACGGTGGTTTACGATTTTGTGTCTGTAGGGATGGATATAGGAACTGGGACCGAGTCCTGAGGGTAGACGAGGATGAAGAGGTATATGGGTCGACGGTCGTGGCAGCGATCGTGGTGTTGTCCTTGTTCTCTGGAGGTCGTCGGCTGCCCCAACGAGGAACTATGAGGTTACAAAAAAGAATTTGTTCAGTGGTCCAACGATCTGAGAGGTAACACAGTGGATAGGGGAAGTATGCAAACCGACGTACTTAGTTCGGAATTGCTGATGAGCTCTAACCCGTCCGTAAAATTGCAATAAACGATCTCGCTGTGATGTGCAGGCAAGGGGTCAGAGCCATGATTGTCACATGAGGGATAGAAATTCCTTTAGGAGGCGTACAAGTCATGCTCCATCCTTATGATCCCATCTAAGTTCCATCTTTTACCCCAATCACAGATCTCTACAGCCCTCTCCCACTCTTGCATCAACATTTCCGGCCTCGGCTTTCCCCATAGTAAGAGATCTGATGTGTCAAATGGGCCTGTCGGCAAGTTGGATCCACTTGCTCCTGAGATTTCATCAACAGGACCAACCGTTCAGCGACCATATACGAGTATCAAAGGAAAGCAAAGTAATGCACCGTCAAAGTACGCCAGCCTTATCTCTCTTGTCGTCACATAAGTCTGCAACACGCATGTCCCGGCACAAAATACGTATGAGTGGTCGGGATCAAACGCGAGCCAGTCGGGCTCGTCAGGGATTATCGTGTCGCGTCTGCCGTGGTAAATCGTGGTCCCCGGAGGTATGGATGCTGGCATGATTGCATGTCCTGTTGTTCGAGAAGGTAACCATTATTATTTTGTCAGCATGAGGGCGAATGTTGTGCCATGAGGGTGACAAGAAGTGAACCATTGCGATACCACATGTTGGGCCACTCTTGCAGCAGGGAGGAAACGGCACGGAAGATCATGTTACTCGTTCCGTCGGGATCCGGTTTAGCATCCCAGCGCCATTTGAAAGAGTCGGAATCATCTCCCGCCGTCCCAGACGGCCTCGAAAAGAGAGCCTGTTCGCTCTGATGAGAGCTACATAGTACTCTGTTTATTGGCCCAAACAAAGTGGCAAGGGTGAATGTAGCAAAAGGCGTAAGGAGTCGCATGCGCTAAGATGGTCTAGATCAGCAGTCTGAGATTTGGGAGGAGCGAGAGCAAGATACAAGTAGCCTGAGAGGAGAAAAGAGGGAATCACAGGGAGATCGGAACTCGAGGTCTCGAGCGAAGGTTTATATCCACCGGGGTGGTCCGTGATGATAAGCCGTGTGCGCCTACAAGAGGCGCCATCACACCTACGGATCTACCTGTCGCGATTGCGGTCGAGTCAACAGATTATTGTAAGTGGCATGCACGAGCTTTGACGCTCCACCAGGGCGGTAGGCTCGACGAGTCACAAAGGAACGTTCTGGTTATAGCTCCTGTGGAATTCAAGGAAGTGTGGCCTCTCGAGGTAACCTCGAGAGAAGTACATATTTGAGCTTGAGTGGGCAAATTTCTGACCGCGGCCTTTAAAGAGGAAGCGACACTGTCAAACAGAAGTCATTTTAAGTATCGAAGTATCTGCACTTTAGAGCCTCTGCCCATTAGTTGGTCATTATATGGGCAAGCAAAATCGAGAATCAAACATATAAGCCTACACGTCTAGGGGTTTACAGCGTCGCATTGTGTTTGTGGCAATACAGGGCAAGGGTCTATCGGCAATTAAGCAGTGATACCAGCTTCATTCTCCTTGGTTGCGGCCAAGGCCTCTTGCTATATGTCCACGGCGCATAGTTCAGTTCATATCGTCGGATGAGCAGGAGGCAAAGGGAACGCACCTCCTTCTTCAGCTTCGCCTTCATGGCAAAATAATCCACATGCAAGCCGCACTCCGTCTTCTCTTGCTTTCCTGCCCATCTGCCTGCCCTCTCCGCCTCATCGCCCTCGCCACTCACAGGAACAGTACTGTGCCAGTCTCCGACGCTCTTGTAGCCTTTATCGAGGAGCTTGTTCCGTGGGACTTCGTTTGACTTAATATACCAATCAACGAGATGGAAGTTCCAAGCGAAGAGGGGATTGAGCTTGATAAGACCTGTAGAGTCGATTTCGAGAGGCTGGAGGGTGGCACGGGCGGCACCTTGAGAAGCACGACGACCAGTAATGACGGATTGAACATTCAGTTCCTGGTATGCACGACGTGCAGGTTCAACCTATGGTCGTAGTATTCCGTTAGGGCCAGTATGATGTAGATTGAAAAGGTATAAACCGACGTACTTTCACGTAGAAGTCGTAAACATCCTCGTTCGTCTCCCACAGTTTCTCTCCGTATTTTCTCTCGAAATCCTGCGCCGTCTCGCATCCATCCGGTTTATAGACGTTGACAGGGACATTATATCTCTCCTTGACCTCTTCCACCAACTCGTAAGTCTCAGGGAAGTGGTACAGGGTGTCCAGAAATATCAGTGGCGGAGGCGAAGTCGTGATTTTTGACAGCATGTCGATGGCCACAAGGCCCGTAAGACCGAATGCTGTGGTTTGGTAGAGATTGGGAAGATAGTCGATGGCCCATTGTAAGATTTCTTCTGGTGTGAGAGGGCTAAGATAGGCGTTGATCTTGTCAAGATTTTCCATGAGGACGGGGAGTGTAGCAGGCTTTGGGAGCTCAGGAGCTGCGACGGTCATGGTCGATAAATGTGTGAGAGGTGAGACAATGGCAGTCGAGAAGGAAGGTAAGGTATTTGGGAAGGATAAATCATCGTTGTCTCGATTGCATGACTGTCTAAAAGCCTGGGGGAAATGCTCATCGCGAAATTTCGACGACATCGGTCAGCACGCTCCTTACTCATGTGGCGTCGCTCAATTCGGCGTTCTCGACATCACACTTGAGCGAATCAACGCTTTGGGCCTCATAATCTTGCAAAAAAGGCCCAGAATCAACTCAGATGCGAGAATCTTCTGGACCATGTAGGAAGAAAAAAGTTTGATAAGGTGCTCTTTGCGAGGAATGAAAGCCCGGGCCTTTGTGAATGGGCCACAGGAGAAAAGATGGGCCACACGACGGATTTCTACGCATTCATACTATCCAAGCAATCGAAACATTCTTTGTATAGCAGCAGATAGATAAGCTCGGTATTAAGCCGTAGATTTGAAGAAATGTAATATCTTTGACTTGATAAACTCGTCGTCCTTCGAGTTTGCTCCACCACCAGCTGAAAAACGCCACATCAACGCTACGAAGTCAAAACAGAGCGACGTGCAGGTGTAGGACGTCGGACTGACCTAGATGTCCCCAAACTGTGTCTATCACAGCCAATTCAGCTCCATTTCTCATCCAAGAAACCTCGTTCTCGCTGTCTTCAGGCTATTTTCAGTCCAAATACGACTATGAGTAAGTGCACTGCTAACCCCCTTTGCACCGACATCCTAACAAACGAAACACTGACCGGAAAATACAAATCTGTCTTAGATGGCATGATAAGCCCCTTCGCCGTGATCTCAGAAAGACATTTCTCGAGGTCGCCACCGTGACGGATGAGAGAGACGTCGCCTTGCTGCCAGGTGTTAATGAGCGTAATCATATCATTTGCGTCCCAAGCATCGAGGAAGCGGGCCTCCCAGTTGCCTCGAATAAAACTGTTGAGGTCAGGATACCTGAGGGCAGCGAAAGAAAGGATGAAATCAGGGTTTTTGATACATTTATGTCAATTATGAAGCATGGAGAGGAAGAGCAACGTCACCGACATCCCGTCGTAGAGATACTGCTTGTTTCGGTACCACTGTTGTAGAGGCAAAAAAGGGCGGGTCTGAGGTTAGAATAGAGGATGAATAACCGGACAAGGCGTTCTTGGAACTTACTGTCTGCCCATAGGCCCACGCACTATACACTCTAGCGAATGCGCGTATCCCATGTTGTGGCGTAGTCTTGTAATGGCCGTTCTCAAAATCTTTGGAGGAGACAAGGGCTATCTTTGGCCCTTCGATAAAGCTATGTGGTTTCGTTGCGAGATTAATAATTGAGAAGTACGATCGAGTTGGTGCCATAGCAGAAAATACGCACCACTGATTGTGCGGACTGGTGCGGGCAGACCCACACAACACCACGAAACTAGATGACATGGATTGGGATCAATCACGATAGAGATATGTGCCGAGGGACTGACCGCTCAACCATCTCAGGATACATCACAGGCCAATAGTAAGCCTCGAAAATAAAACATATATCGCCACTGTAAGATGAGTGGCCATGGCCGTGATACATAATCTGAGGGGCAGACCTGTTGGGCGCCCATCGAGAACCCTACCACACAGAATACCTTCTTCACACTTAGATGCTCGGTCAAGACCGCATGTTGAGCTCGACTAGAGGAAACATCGTTGAGTTTTGTCACTAGTACGGCCCTCGACGGGCTTAACGATATACACACACATATTATCCTCGTAGGAGACTTCAGGGAAGTATGGACCGTTGTAAGGCGTGGGCTGAACATGCGGACCGGGTCAGCTGTGGACCCCACCATAGGTGCGTGAGAAGTAGTAAACTCACGGTGTTGGAGGGAGAAGACGACTATATGGAGGCATGTCATAAATGATATGCGTGACACCTAATACGGTTCGAACACGAAACGTACCTCTCCGTTGGAGAACAAGGCAAGCGTAACGATGTAGTACTTCTCCGGGTTCAAGGCCTACATAAAATTCAGCTTGCTCGTCCCGCCTTGGCCTCCACATGAGTCGAGAACATACCTTCTCTGGGCCGATCATATAGTCCTGCCCTGTGTAGAGGAACCAAGAAATATCTGAGAAAAGGAGACGAGATGGGCCCACCTACTCGCAAGTTTGCCTCCAAAGCAAGTCGGGAATACGATACATGGGTTCTCGGGATTCCCATACGTCTTGAAGGCGGTCACTGCGTCGGGTATAACCCCGTTAGAGACTTTGAAGCGTCCATGATGATAGTACTGCACGGCCGGTGATGTGGACATGTTTGAAATCAACGATGCAATGGTAGACGATGTGTTTGAGATGATGAGAGTAGAGGTCTGAGATGGCGAGAATATGATGGTTGGTATCGACGGGACGGAGACGGAAGAGAGGGTTCCGCCATGGGAGCCTGAGTGGTGAGAAGATTCATTGCGTGTGGCAAGTATTGACAAGCGACAAGCCTGGATGAGGTTCATTCTCTCTCGCGATAGCAACAATTGTAGATGCACGGAGCGCAAGATACGCCTAAAATCGGGTCGCCCAAAACCAACAGGCAGAGTTTGGCTATTCTTCTATGGACAGCTTGTAAAACAAGACTCTGCCTTCAAGCTAGTGGACGGCGATATGGTACTAATGAGCTAATTCATTTTCTGCTTTTCTTCGGGGTGCGATGAGTTACTTGTCAGGTTATGATGACCGTTACTCACTAATGAAGGTCAAAGAACCAAAGAACGGTCAGGGATATGGGCTTTGGTCTGTGTTATCACTGATGTCTTAGAGCACGCACAACTCCTCGTCGAATACTGACTTTCCTCTGGAGTTAGAGTCCTGTTTGAGTCCTGTCGTAGAGCACAAGTTAAATTCAACAGTAGTAAAACATGGGAGGAAAAGAATGCAAATAATTCCATAAGCTATTTGCTTCAACCAAAGTTCTACTCACGTCCGATACGCTGCAGATAAACACTGCCAGTTGGAATGAATCTCTTACCGGTATACGTACTAGGGGTGGTGCTTGACGGAAGAAACGCTGAGAAAACGTAGGTTAATAAATCCGGGTGTTGCCGAAGGGATCCGGACCATCCGTCGGTGCCACAGCGCCGCGTATGCACTGTTCCGTGTCTATTTATAGCAGTCCTCCTTCCGCCTTCACCATCGCCTCGACTGTCCTTCAACATTGAGCCAAATATTCTGCACTTACTGTAAGCATCTTTATGCACAATGACCGCGATAAATGTTGCTCAATAATCCGCACGGCGCATGTCTATTCCATAAGGGGTTCGGACCGCAGTCGTCCACACACGGTCAGGCATCCCCAAGGTCACACAGCCCTGCATATAAGTAGATTCACCTTCCCCTAAATCACGAAGTAATAGCGCTACCTTGAGCTTCGACCCCCATCATCTCCTAGCTCATCTATGGATGAGTCTTTCGCCGAATACTTGTCTCTAGGTGGCTTTTTCCCCACAAACTCTAGAGAGCCAAACGCACCCTCTGGAAGCCGTTCACAAGTTGCTCAATTACAACTCGATGACATATCACAGGAATACTTTGATGCCTTCATGACTGATCCGTCTCTGGCGTCGATGTTCACGCCCGACCTCAACGGCTTCTCACAACCCGTGCAGGCAGCCACACCATCCCACGGCATCACTGGAATGTCACAATCTTCACCATCAGCCATGGAGTCTTGTCCAGCCTTCCCGCCCAGTAGCTCGGAAATGAGTCATCCTCAAGCGACATTCTCCGCACTTACAGACGCGCAGTCGAATATGTCCCAACAGCCCCAAGTAGACGCCCAGTTACAGCTTGAGATTCTGCGTGAAACGCGCAGAATTCGAGAGCTAGAGCTCTCCATAATGGAAGAGAAGCGACGTGCCGGTGAAGTTTTGCTCAAGCAACGCGAAGCAGAACTGGCGTTGGTGAATGCTAATCGGTTCAGCTCCCATATGGCCGATCTCCTTCAACCCCCATATCCACTGTCAAATCCTTCAGAGTCCTCAGTCGCCACGTCCCCTCTCGCCTCATACGTTTCCTTGGACAATCTCCCAGCGTCCAGCTCGCCAGACTTGTCTGTGGACGGCCTTGCAGATCCTCCCTCTCCACCTGCTACCACGGCGCATGATCCTGGGCCGTCCACTGGCCCCCGAACTAGCCCTCCCGCTAGTGAAGCATCCCCACTGATACAGGAACCGTCCCCTTCACCGCTTCCAAGCGCAACACAATCGAAGAAAAAGGCGCTAATAGTCGACGAACGTGAAGCTCGCTGCTTGCGCTGTTCGAAGGTTATGGCCAAGCTCCTAATTCGCGGCTCTCGGAGCGAGCTGGATGCCCCGTGTCAACTGCACTTTCAGTGCGAAGTTTGCGAGCCTGTGTTTCACCCTCGGACAACATCGAAAAAGAGGACTAATCAGCTCGAAGATACGACTCTTCCAACACTATGCAGCGTTTGCACGAGAGTACAGGGACAAGGGGGTTTCGTTTCGAAGGACAGGGCCCCATTACTGTTCACGGTCGAGGTAATGACTGCAAACCTCTTATTTCGTCTTTATCATAGTTTGGCTCATAAATGACCCGTTCAGGTCATATGTATTCCGTGCTCGCACAAGTATAAGCGGTAAGAGCATATCATTTTGTGCGTTATAGTTTGCCTGAGTAAAGCTTCCTCATACTGTGCGAACAGATGCAGCAAGTAAGAGACTTCTATTCATCTGCTCGGTCTGACAAGCTAACACGGTGTGGCTTATGATCAGCTGCGGTGGAGGGTCCAGCAGGGCTGGCATCGGGAAATGGAGATGCAAGGAACTGTTCGAGGATAACAGAAAGACCTGCAGTCTGTCGCATGCCAGGCGAGCTGCAGCGCTATAAACTCTATATCACTCGCACTAACAGGTTCTGTGTCTAGACTTGGGACGCGGGATATGGAGCTAGCTGTCTGGGAGCTTCCTCGTGAAGGTCAAGAGCGCAAAGAATTCCCAGCAATGTTGACCGCTTGCGAAACGTTGTGGCGCGAGCATCTCTTGTCCAAAATTGCCATTCCAGAGGTATGTGCCATGCCTCCTGAACTCCCGCAAACGTTGACGTCTTCCAGGTCCTTGAGCACAGTTCGGCGTTGACATCCTTCCAGGATGTTCAGCAAAAAATCATTGCTCGCGGATTCCCCGGAAGAGTAATCTTCACCCAACAACCGATGACACCTTTACACCGCACATATATTGCGTTGACTTGGGCGAAGACTCGACCAAGGCGGGACAAGTCTAAACCTCAGTGGCAAAAGTCTGCCGATAAGACGACGGATGAATGGTATGCATTTCGGCGTCTACCGTATGCTTTGGCTCACGCCTCGTATACTTGCAGGATTGCTTTCAATACGAGGGTAAATGTCGCTGCCTATGTAGATGCATGCTTAGCTCACCTTTTACTGCAGAAATCGAACGTTTTTATGCCTTCTGATTCAATTCTTTGTGGAATGTGGTTCGTAGAATGGAATATCGAAGGTTCGTCGGTTGTCTCGTTCATGCATCGTGCCCAATCAACTAAATCGCCTTAGCTCGTACGCTCATGATCGGCACTCTCACCATGTTCGATAGGTGAGTGAGGAGTTCTTTCGTGATTTTCTTGATGAATCCTTCGTGCCCTTACATGAGACAACCTTCGGTAGAGGAGAGATAGAGGATCGCAGGTAAATAGTGAGATCCATCACGCGATACGGTATCACTGAGAAGACAGCAGCGTTTTCTCCTACAGCTCTATGCTGCTCCGCATCTTCGACGAGATCGAGAAACATAACGCAGAGTTTCCGGAGGATTCATGGCACCCGCCAGAACATCTATGGGTAAGTCCTGTCATACCCTGCAGTGGATGAGTTCTCACAAAATACGCAATCAGGTTGCTCCAAAGGGTGCACCTGATCGTAAGACCACTGTCTTCGTCTCAGGGGCCAACTGACGACTTTCGCAAATCTAGCTATGCGTGGACGCCTAATAGAGTTGATCCAACGACGATTGGGTTTTCTTCCAGGTATTTCTCTTGCTTCTCTTGCGCTCTGGGATGCTTATATCCATGTTTTTGGTCTTCCAGTCGACGAATACGTATCACGCTACCCCAATATCGACCGTACGATATTCGGTCCCAATTCCGGTAACGTCGCAAAAACCATCTCACAACGGGCGTCCGTGGACGGGTATGAAGGCTTGAACGTCTTCGTGCGACATCTTGGAAACGACATCAAGGTTGAGAACCTGAAAAAGATGATGACAATGGAGCTGGCCAAGATTCCGAAGCACGTTGAGACATGACAAATGGGCCATATTACTGTTTTCTTCTGTTCCATGCTTTCTCTGCCTTGCTTTCGTAGTGCGTTCTGCGGACTTGGAGCATCCGTGTCCTGTCCTATCATAATATATAGTTAATCGACATGTTCGAAAGGAGGACAGGAAGTCCTTATGACGAGGGCCCTTCCAGTAATTTGCAATTTATGAAGCAGTGCAAAGTTGATGTTGATGGCACTACTAGGCGGCGTCTTCTCATCGTGACTCGTACCCAAATCTCACACATATACGATATATATTACAAGCCTGGCTTCAACGTGGCCTGTCTGCGCACTTTGTAGGCCCCCCTTCTCTGACGTCCGAATTATGGCTGGACTCCTCGGTAGACTAAAACTCGGTCTCCCAAATCATGGTCAAGAGCGGTACGGGTTGTTTAAACAATGTTTCCTTCCCATCATGGCAAGTCATGCTATTTTCAATCCTTCTAGAAGTGACCAGATATCGGACAAGCCCGTCGAGATTATCGAGGACAAGATGATCAGCGGCGAGTATAACAACTCTCTGGACGACGTATCCGCAGACCTTTCGAGCGACTCGGAAACTGTCGAAGCCAACGGAGTTTACTATGTGAGTGTCTATCGTTGCGCAATTAGCAATGTATCGTGATACTGACTTGCCCGACTTATCTAGATAGACAACGTTGCCCAGGCGGATGTTCTGGAGAAATCAATCGCGAACGGATTTGCTTCGGAATATGTCCCTGACACGATCATGGCTTTTCCCCGCCGTAAATCGCACAGCCAGAGGCAGCACGCGCAAAACATCGCTCAGCTGGTGTTCCCTGACTATTCACCAGAGAAAGCCCTGATCCACTATGAAAAGGCCCTGTCGCATGCACGTCGCGTCGCTCGTCAACGGAAAGAGCTAGAGGTCTTGGCTCAATATTGGCGCTACAAACCTGATGGTCTGCCATCGCTCTTACGGGTAAGCGGGGGTTTTCTTAGATGACAGAACTCTTCATAGAAACGCCATGAAGTTGACTTGTCCACAAATATAACACAGGGTCCATGGCTTGGACAGGAAGTTGACCCGGTATCACTAGATGGCCCCCCAGCATTCCCAATGCCCGTCGAAATTGGATCGGAGGATGACTTTGAGGTAAATACACGTCGCTCATGCCCCACACCCTGTCTCTGATCTTATCTCCCTAGGACGTGTTTAACTTCCTTCACCATAACGCCGACCCCAAGGACTTTCTCTCTCGCAATGCGGACCCGCAAGCCTATCGACTTAAACTGGGAACGGAGCTCAAATGGAACACGCCCATGGTCGAGTTCAAGCGCGGTGTGGTTTACGAAGATGGTCGCCTCGACCTGTGCAAAATGGTCGTCGGGCCGACACATGTCGAGAAGTTACTTGACTCCTTGGAGAATAATACGGTAGATATTAAATTCATTTGTCAACTCGATCATAAACTAAGGCCATACACACGACCATAGATGATCACACAATTTTTACTCGGAAATAACGTGTCTTCAACCACTGGTGCTCGGCGAATCGCTAAGTTCATCGCAGACCATCCAGGTCGGATTGAAACATGGTATCTAGCTGGCAATCACATCCGACCTCCGAGCTTCAAATTATTGGTGGACTCCATGATTTGTAGTTCCCGTATCACAAACATCTGGCTCAAGCGAAACCCTCTGACCTCCGCATCGGTGTTCGATATTCATCGCCTTATTACGAACACACCCAATCTTCGTACCTTGGACCTTGAAAACACAGAGCTTGGGGATGTAGGCGTAAACCAGCTGTTCTCTCAGCTAACGGGGAAGGAAGTGCCCCTTCGGAATCTATACCTGAACTCCAATGGGATCGGAGTCAACGCCTCAAAATCTCTCGCATCATTCCTCGCACATCCCTCGTGTAAACTCGAGTCCCTCTATCTTTCGTCGAACCCCATCGGAGACGCAGGCGCCACACACCTCGCTGCAGCGCTGAAGAGCAATACCTCTCTTATTCGCATCGCTTTCTGCTCAGCTGGTCTCACTTCCAGGGGCATCGCCGACCTTTCCTACGCACTCTCAAATCATCCTTCCATTCGAGCGCTCATGCTCGCTGCGTCGATGACCACCGAGGCACATCGTCAGCGCTTTAACCACATAGCGGACAGCGCCATTCCCGCCCTTGTGGCTCTAATGAGCAATCCATCCATGCAATTTCTGACGCTGGGTAGGGTTGCATTTTCGGTGGATGGCTGGGAGACGGTCAAAACAGCGGTCGAGGATACCAACATCTGCGATCTTGTAGCGCATAGGCTGCATGCACCCGGGGAGGCACCGGAGTGCTCTTTGACTCTGCGCAAGGCGTTGGCAGCAAATGTGAAGAGGCTATATCCGAAGGAAGAGAACTATGAAACGTTCGCGTCTGGTATGGGAGCACGGTCATTGTAAGTGATCTCTTGTCGGAATAGGCGGCACTGTCATTGACCATCATTGCCTAGATATTCATGTGCCGATGTACGCTTGATCGATTCTGTATACAGAACGAGGGATAAGTACGGGGGCGGTCATGTTCAGCAGTATTGGACGCCTGGAGATCCTGTGTGGAAGCTAGTTGATGAGGATTTATGACCACACTTTCCCATTGTAGAGAGAAGGAAATGTCTGGGAATGATGCCCGAGATCGTTGGAGCAAACCGACTCCTCTTCAGATCCACGCTGTCGTATAGTGGTCATAATTATTCGACAAATATACGTTGAAATAGTTATTTCATTTGTGCGTGCGATCACTTGCGAGAGCAGTTTCCAATAGCACCCTCACGTCTTCGTCGATCTGGCCACGAAAACCTTACGAAGCTCGAGATCTCAGAGGACGGTACGTACCGAAATATCACTGTCAGTGAAGGTTCAGAGCTGAGAATGAATTACACGTCACTTGGCGTCTGGTTCATTGACGACTTACCTGAATCGGACAAGTTACAACATGATACTACTCACTGATCATGAAAAGGGATCACCAGTACCGTGCCTAATAAGTCTGTATGTCGTCTTGTACTTCATTTTCTATATTCGACGCATGTACACACATCGATTACAACTTCCCCTTTGTTCTTTGGGATTGCAGCTAGGAAATTCATGTGGTCGGGGCGATCCATTGACATTGTCACATGAAGAACATACAAGAACTTCATCTCTACACCGTGAATGTTGATCCGTACGATTATACAATCGCTAGACGCTTGGCACATGAGTGCAAGTACAGAGGTCGGTGACGCCACAACACGTAGCTACTCGTACACAGAAAAACAGGGGATAGCAAGGAACAAAGCGGCAACAAAGAGGATGGGCAGAATGCGATACAAATATACAACGAACCCGCGCCCGAAGAACCGATCACCAGTACTACACGCGCTTGATGTCGGCCTAAGGCTTATATTGAAGAAGAGCCTAATGCCGTTCAGCAATGCCATTCAGTACTACGCTAGGAATAGAAGAATCAGAGGACACGCACCTGCCAAGAGCCAGAGGAAACTTGAACAGCCCCCAGGATGAGTATATCATTCTTGGTGATTCGGTAGCCTCTACCATTCAGAACAACTGTATGCTATTGATAATATGGAACGTTTGAAACCCAACTTCGATGGCCCTTATAATGAATAGACTCACCGCCAGAAACGAATCTACTGTACGGCCGATATGTTGAATGAATTTTTCAAGCCTAATTGGATTCTTAGCAGGCGTCTCATCCCTCGTCTGAACTTGACGCTGTAGCTCTGGGTATCCCGGCCACTACAACATCCAGCAGACCATGAGAATCGACAGCGAAAATAAAAACGAGTGTCACCTACAAGCACGCGTATCTGAGTCGATGCTTTTGCCACTGGAGAGAAATACGCTTCTCGGCCAGGAATGTCCAAGCAGTTACCTGCGGCAGCATCCGTGACCGATAAGCCTCTTCCTTTACCAGGAAGCCCAAAGAAAATGGTGTTTCCAAGCTGCGGAGCCCATACATAGCGATCAAAGTCGGTGGTTGTTCTGGGTAACCAGTAGAACTGGGTAACGATGAGATGCGGAGCCTCTGCGTAATGGTCCAGGCGGATAGTGGGGTGAGGATATCCAAGGCTATTGGCTTTAAGAAAGTAACAACGACCCTGCCCATCGTAATAGACATCAAGGCTTTCGATATCTCTCTTCAGATAGTCACGGAAGTGTTGGCGAGCAGTATTGGTTCCAAATGTGCGGGCTACGTAGCCGTCAGTGAGGAGGGCGGCCGCCATGTCGCTATATATCTGCGCAACAAGGCCTTAGTATCAATGGTGCACGGTATGAGGATGATCCTAACGCACTCGTTCTCTGGATGCGTAGTCCGACATGCTTGAGGAGGATTTTGAGGGATGGCGAGGTAGAAATTGGTCTGACAGAACGTTCTTTTATCGACGAGAGCCACATAGCTGCAGTGGGTATGTTTGTTGTCGACATGGCCATACGAAGGCGCGTAGAGGTGTGGTCCTGGGGTGAATACAACTGTCTGAGTATGACTATCTCATACCGACATTTCTGACAGACAGAAGCGTACAACCTCTGAAGAGCGAAAGGAGACGTTTACAACTGTGGATTCATAGCATCGCGTATATTCTCATATGGCTGTCGCTTATTCATAGCCATGCGATGTGATCCCGGAACGAAGACAAGCCATGCACAAAGATGCAACCACTCAACTGTGGGGCAAGGCAAGGCATACAGATGTAATCACTACATCTGCGACATACGGCGCAGAGAGCATGGTGGCCAATGCGGCGTCAAACTGGAATGGCGTCTCTTAGTAGCTGTATGCGCGTTGTACACATATTCGAAAGTAAGACGAGTTCCGAGTACACATCACCTGGACCCTTATGAGCTCATAGCTGTGCTCTCGAGACCTTTGCATGATCGGTGGCTACAACCACCAACCAGGAAGACGGGCGACTGCAAACCTTCCTGGTTGGCTCGTAACAGATACAGATGCCCATCTTTTCGCGTCCATCGGAATGAAAGCGAATCACCTGTATCTGGGTAAGCTGTAAGCTTTGAATCGGGGATAATGCGTCTACAACTGTACTACGACGCATACAGGTCGTGTGAGCGAGGCGATACTAGGTTGTGGCTCACAGATGTATGGCTGTAGACATGCGGGCAGACGACCATGCCGAAGCGCCTCTCCAAAGGCAAAGCCACCTGGAGCCTGACCGACTGCGTGCATCACAAGAAATGGCCCCATCAGGATGGACAGTGCGCAAAGAAGATTTTTGCGTTTTCATGCCCACCGCGCTCCCGTTGTAGAGAGAACAAGGGGCGGGACGCATATGGCCAGCGCGAAGGCACTCGACGGCGCGCCCGCCGAAAAAGGCAGCGTCATGTAAAACAAGACGTCTCAACAAGTGGATAGCTAGCTGCAAAGTGCCACCGAAGACGCAAGCTCGTCAAAAAGGCCGGTCATCCAAGAGGAAATCTGATGATGACCCGGGGATCCTCTTGTAAAGCCAACATCTGCAAAATCAATCTGACGCTCTCCTTTTCGGAGCCTTTCAGGATTTAATAAAACAACCACGACTACGGGCTAATGGTATCTGGCGCATGTGTCGTGCCACACACGATTGGTATGGACATCTCAACTAGGACAGTCCTTGCACAAGAGACCGGCTCAATTTCACGCCACGGACGTCGATTTAGGGGCTCAATGGAACAGTGCATGAAAGGACCCATACCTGTACATATTGCGAAAAAGCAAGGACCCACAAAGTTGACCTGAAAAGCCCAAAAAGAGTCAGTGAGGCGAAGTGCTGCCACAAAGTCGTGTCGGAGTTCGTACCAAGAGACCGTCTCGGGAAGCCGTTGAGCTGGCGCGTTAGCCTGTTTGACCTACTTGGACCGGTGAGTCACGTAGTAATGAAGCCAAAAGAGAAGACAGGCACGAGTGTACGTACACAAAGACCACAGAACGCCTGGCATAAACGAAGTTAGTGACGTATCGATCGCCACGACCAGATCAGTTCATCTGAGTTGAATGCGTCGTCTCACCAAACAACGCAATCACCTCAAAAAGATTGTCAAGCGATCAGGGTCGACGTCGGCCCACCCGCGGTCCAAGCGCAACATAAATTGTACCAGGTCCACGGCTGATCACAGCGACCGAAAGCGGAAGAAGAAAGAATGGAAGTACAACATTGGTATCCAAAGATGAAGAAACGTGAGAGTTGCGTGAAAATTAGGCGATTAAATGAGCTATACACGAATTTACTCCCCTGTCCACCCCCACCCGCGAATCGCTCGAGCCTTCCACACACATGCTCACCTCTCCTTGCACAGACGCGCCCACCTATCATCCCACCCGCCTCTTCCCAGAAACACCTACCGCACCTCATAACCCCTCGAAGAAGCTCAAATCCTGCGCTGAAAGCCCACCAGCGCCCTTCGCGTTAGACACAGGCGGCACAACCGCTACAGGCGTCAACGAAGGCGGCGGTGGCGTCGGAATCGTAGCCACCATCGACTGCATTCCATTTCCTCCCCACAGCCCCGAACCTAAAAGCGTGCCATTACCAGGAGGAGAAAGTGGAGGAGGCGATCTCGATGACCCGAATCCGCCTCCATTCACACCTGCCACAGAAGCACCTCCTCCATTCCCGCCTCCGCCACTAGGGACCAACATCGCAAGAGGCGTACTATCCGGCGAAAGCGTCGGTGTCCTCGGCGAGCCCACGGTAGAAGCCGCATCACCAACCCCATTACTTGCCACAGCTGGTCTACCCCGCGCTAACACTGACATCCCTCCGTGTCCACCCGAACCGAGCACAGAACTGGAGGAGCCAGGTCGTGGAGGTGGTGGAAGTAGAGGTGGCGCGGGTATGAAAGGTGGTGTTTGGGCTGAGAGAGGGACTGGGATTGGTGGTCTCGGTCGAGGTGCTGGAGGCGGTGATATCGAGGACGGTCTGTCGTTGTTGCCAATCCCGTTGCTCATCGCTCCCATCCAGTTATCGTCGTCCATGTCATCCCCAAGTAAGCCCAGGCCTGCAGACCGAGACTGGGACACAGAAGACGCGGTCTGCATCCCCGCGAACCTCGAACCTTGTACCGAATTGACGTTGTTGTTCGGGACTCCCAGGCCGTCGCCATCACCCAATAAATCTGTCTCCACCAATCCTACCCCGCTGTGACTGGGTGGAGGTGGCGATAAGACCTCGGGTAGAGGAGATATCGGAGCAGGCCATCGGGCAGGTCTCGACGCTGCTAGTTCCATCAATGAGGTCGTGCGTTGGTGGTTCTCTGCTCTTGTTATCTTGCGCCCAGCGGACATCGTCTGTGAAGAATAGGAGGAGGAAGCGGAGATGGGATTCCCGTGGATGATGTCTGATTCGCTTGGGTCGATGGGAGAAGCTGAGGAAGAAGATGGTGCGTTCCTATTCATTATGTCGACAGGAGAGGTCCGAGAGGAAAGGGGTCGATTCAGAGACCTGTTACGAGTGAGGGGAGGGCTGACGCTGATGCTGAGAGCGGGGGCGGATACGGATGGAGATATTGAACTCGATCTGGACGTGGATGGTGGTCGTTTGAGAGGTTGTCCCAACGCAATCAGTGGGATCATCGGTTTCATTGGTTGTGTAGACAAGGGTGATTTCGCTTGTGAACGTTGAGCGTGGGCAGGACTATTTGATCGCGCAGAAGTCCCCATGAACGAGCTGAACTCGTCATCGAACGAGTCTAGAGACTTATGCGAGACGACATCTGTCCCGTTGCTTGTGACCGATTCAGCGTGAGGACGTCCCAGCCATGCTGTAGATGACGAAGAAGAGACGATGGAGGTCGTAGAGGGCTTCGGTGCATGCGACGAAGACGCGAACGCGGAACGCGGGGGAAAGGTAAACGATGTCTGTGTTGGTTTAGCGGTCGTAACAGGCGATCCGAAGCCGCTGTCGTCGAAAAAGGTCGATGAACTTTGTGCGAGCGGAGATTGCGAAGAAGAACCAAAGTCCGCGAAGTCGCCAAAGTCATCGTCATCGGCTGGCACATTCGAATGAGACTGAGAAGCGAGCGAAGACGGTAGCGACGGCGGATTCCGTACAGCTGCTGCTGCTGCCGACATCTGCTGCTGTGAAGCTCTCAAAGTCGACGGTGAGATGGTGGTTGGCACTGCGGAAGACGTTGTCGGCGGAGAAAAAAATGCGGGGCTCTGAGAGCGCGAGTGCGGGGCTGAAGAGAACGGGGAAGAGATCTTCCCAGCGGCTGCGGATGAAGCTGCTATCGATGCGGTCGACATTGGCCGGGGCACTGGCTGTGAACTAGCTTGAGATAATGCAAGCGACGTCACAGGCTGGGGTGTAGAGTCCGCCGTCGGGGAAGGGAACACCGAAGATAGAGAAGAACGACTATTTCGCGAGGAATGGGTGGGTCGAGGATGACTGGAGGTGGAATAAGATTGTTGAGCTGGACTTATAGGTCGTGACGAAGAGGCCGTAGGTGTGGTCGTGGAGGAATGAGGAGGTAGTGAAAGTGGTGGATTGGTTGATGACGGCGATGAACTGCGGGAGATTGCAGTAGGCACCAGCACGTCAAAGGACAGAGAGGCCGGGCCATTCGTCTTCAAATTATGACCAGCATTATTATTCGAAAGCGTTGACGTGACACGCGAGGGTGCCGGCGGCGGTGGCGGAAGAGGGGCGGGCAGTTTACCGCCAATGGGTTTACTGGCGAGCATGTTCTCCAGAGCCTTGAGATGGGGGTCGTTGCTGTCAGTGTGTTCATCGTCGAGGTCACCATCACTTGCACTGGGAACCATGTCCGACAAGAACTCGAGATCGTCTCCTGAAAGCATCATAGAATTATGAGGTGAAGGGGTCGATGCCCGACGTGAGAATCGATTAAAGAAACGTGTGACGGCGGAAGGATTTTGAGGAGCCTCAGGGGTTTTGTCCTGTGAAGTTGGAGAAAATGACTCAAACGATGGAAGGCCTGCGTCAGCATACGTCGACGCTGGGGGTGATTCCACTGACGGCGCGGGAGGCGCGGAGGTAGAAGGCGAAGTAGAAGACGGGGACAAAGTCGTCGGAGAAGAGACTTTGTTAGTGGTAGCGGTTGTTGAGGACGACGGTGACTTGACGCTTTCCATGCTTGACCGTGCAGTGTCTACAGGAGACTCTGACTTTGAAGACGTGTCTTGTGCTACTTTGGAGTCCTGTCGAGGTATATTCGACGCCCTCCTATTCCACAAATTGGCCAATAATCCTCCGGACTTCTTAGTCTTTTCTTCAACCTTTCCTTCCTGCTCTTTCTCCACTATCCTCCACCCAACCGGGACTTCGTCCTGAACCGTCTCAACGCGCGACTTGATGGATGCTTCCCAGGCGGTCGACCCTCTGCCGGATAGGAAGTGCCCCATTGGACTGGATCTGGAGAGCGCGATATTCCTCGTAAGTTTGACGGAGTTAATCATTGCCTTCCCAGTGAAACTTTGTGTAAAGGGCTGTAACGGGGGTAGGTTCATCTCAGGCATGTAGCGTGCGCGAAGGGCGTCACTGTGCAGGATTAAATGTGAATATCTAGGTTATTTCAAGCCGTGCGGATATTCTCACAGATTCTCAACACTGTCCCAACCGGTTTGCCATCGCTGTTGCCATTCGGGTTCCTCAGGAAGGTCCTTCGGCTCCGGCCAAGCAAGGCTGGACACTTCATCTCCTTCTTTCAGAATACTGGCTAGTAGTTCTGGTGGCTGATGCCGCGAGCGTCAGTATGTTAAATTATATTGATATGGTGGACAGGACTCACCACTCGACGATCCATTTCCTGTTTCATGCGTCTCGCAGCCTCCCATTCGTCAACAGACTCCTGTTCAGAGGTCGTGGGATCTTCTTTGGCCTTGTCCTCCCATGCAGAGCCCCAGGCATTCTCTCCGTTCTCCTGAGCGTCGAAGGGCGAGGCCGAGGCCGGCCAAGGGTCGAGCTCATTTGTGGCGCCGGTCTCGAAAGTACCGAAGCCATCGGGATTTGGGGACGAGGATGGTATGGGTGAATGTGATGGAGAGCTTGGACGAGTAGAATGCGAAGGACTATCCTCTGATGGTACCTCTAGACGTTCTTCCTGTGTTTCTACATGGGAAATAGGGGAAGCGGGGTTCGGGGAAGAAAGTTGGACATCCTCCGGAGTCGCAGGCCGACTAGGCTCTTTAGTAGAATCCAAATCGGGCGCCTTTACAAGCTGAATGTCGCTGAAAGAATGGGGTGGAGACCATCCAGCTGAAGGAGGTACCTGAGACCACAGGGAGCTGTGTGTATCCTGTGAGGGTTCCGCCCAGTTTATACCAGCTCCGGTCGCCCAAGATGGCATGGCAATATCTGCCTCATCATCCTCGGACTCCTGAATATTTTGTTTCGAATTCCAAGTAGGGGTAGTGGGAGACTTGTGAGAGGCGGAAAGGTCTGCAGGGTCGCTCCATGCATTCGACCAGGGATCGTCCATGTCCGAGCGGGCATCCCGAGCGCGTACTGGAAGGAAAGGATGAGAGCTGCTGTAGACGCACGGGAACCGCCACGTGCGGGCCGCGTGAGCGCGAACGGTTGACGGATAGAGTCCGGTAGTGCTTGTCCTCTGCCGACGCTCTGACAGTTTCCTCCAACTCTTACCTTCATGGACAGCCCAGCTTTGCCCCCAGAATTGTCAAGATCGATTCTCGACTGGGACGAGTCCAACGTCCACCTCTTTCTCTCCCATCTCGGCTTCAACCAGTACGAGGCTCGACTCAGAGGTCTCAGCTTCTGCTTCTCTTGTCTCGCTTCTACTCAATTCCATCTTTCACAGAACACGGTATCAGCGGCGATGTACTCTGCATCATAGATGCAGATGGTCTCAAAGATCTTGGTATATCCTCCGTTGGCCAACGACTAGCAATCCTGAAGGCCGTATACCACACCAAACTTGCGCAGAATGTTCCCATCGAAGCAGACCACTATATCCCTCCTTGTGCGCAGAACCTGTCTTTTCTACGCTGGTTTTGTCTCATGTCTCATTCGCTTTACTAGCCGAGAGCGATGATGTACTCCAGAATCTTTCTATGGATAAACTATACGACCTCATACGCGATCAAGGTATACTTCCTCGTTATGCGCCACTATACCTACCCTACTCACCCACAACGAAGGTGACCGACTACGATCTCTCGAGCACGAAAACGATCGACTATCGCAGGTATTTGATGATTGGAGCTCAGTCAGGAACTCTCAGTCCCGAGTGCGTCATTTACCTCTTTCTTTCCCACCCTCCTTTTATATCGACCGACCTTTGTTTCCGTGTTTAGCTCGAGGATAGTCCAATAGCTCGACAAACGTCTTTCAAATGGGCAAACTTTGTCAAACCTCAGGGCTCGCCCACCAAGCCTGAACTCATCGAATCACCCCATCCTTCGCCCCACCGCCTCGAACACGATCTTTCCTATAATCCCACAGCCACTCCCAATTTGAGCCGAACAGCGATGATGAACGGCTCGTCCTCACTTTCTCAACAATCAGCGACATTACAAACCACAGCGCCCCTACAACCTAGACGTAACGGCACGGTTGACAACAGTTTAGCCAGTACGAGTGCAGGAGGGGCATCAGTCAATGCAAATGCAAGCGGGAGCACATTAGCCGCTCCTACTCCGCCAAAACCGGTGAGACAAGAGAGTACGGACAATCTGAAGAGCTTCAAGGTCAGCTTGGAGGATCCTGCCTGGAAAGTCCTCCCAGCAGCGTTGCGCAAGTACAAAATCAACAACGACGACTGGCAGAATTATGCTATGTTCATCTGTTACGGTCCTCCCAGTGCGTTTAAAGCGGCGCAAACAATAAAGTATTATTATTCACGAGCCGATTTATCCGTCCAGGTGCTCGGGTAGAGCGTTGTCTGAGCTATGACGAAAAACCACTTCTACTTTTCCAGAAACTCAAGGACGCACAGAAGAACCCCGTCTTCATGCTCAAACACATCAAAGATATTCGCTCGCCCATCGCCGTCGCCCAACAGAAACAAGCCGCTCGCAAAGCCTCAGGCGACTCCAACGGCTCAAAGAAAACCCCCACGAACCACTCCCGAACACTCTCCCGACCACCAAGATTGCAAGTCCACGCCGCAGAAGCAGCTGCCAGCCATGGTGGTTCAGGCATGGGGCCTGGCTCACCTGATGTGATGTCGCCTGCTGTGGACCATGGTGGGAACTTGTTGTCAGCGGACAGAAGTGGCAGGATGGGGTTGCAGGATCGATCTCCGAGCACTGGAGAGTCGCCGCGGTCGGCCGTACCGGGGACGAATTTGACAGGACTGCCTACCCCAGGAGAGGATCCCAATGCGGGAGGAACACCGGCGAGGGAAGTGCCAGTGACTTCGGCCATATCCTATGCGGTCGCGATCTATCCGTACATGGCTGAACAGGAAGACGAATTTGACGTGGTCGTGTGAGTTGTTTCTATTCTGTGTCTTTGCGCTTCCGCTGTTCCGTCTCGCTTTCTCATAGCTGATGTTGATGCGTTTGACTTTGTCCGGCGCAGTGGCGATACGTTCGTCATCATCTCGCGCGCCCGTGGCTGGTGGGTCGTCCAAAGGGATCCATCAGGCTCAGGGCAGGTCGACTCCGATACGAGTAAACAAGGCTGGGTTCCGGCGGGTTGCCTTCTCGAAACGCGTATTCCAGTCGCAACAGCCATAGCCGAGGCGGCCGCCGCGGTAGGGTCAACGACGACATCGTCAAGCCACCCGTCATCGCCACTGAATCCAACAAAGACACCCATCCTGCCTCTCAACATCGTGTCTACAAGTTTCCCGGGCTATGCCTTGATGGACTACAAGAAGAAAGGCGAGGAGGAGCTCGATCTCGTAAAGGACGATCAGCTCCGAGTGTTCAAGCGGTACAATCATTGGTCATATGTACGCCACTCTCCATCTGTTTCACTTATTAAGTTACAAATTTCCGCCGACACGGACTCTTGCTTCATTCTTAGGCTGTCAAAGAGGACGGAGGAGAACGGGGCTGGGTTCCGGTGAGTCCGATCGACTCCGTGTCACGCAAGTTGATCCTTCTTAATCAACTGAATATCAAATTCCGTTTTTGCTGTGGCGTTAGTCATGGTATATTGGCAAAGTGTCGTCAGCCAGTGCGAATCCGAGCACGCCTGGCGTGTCAGGGAATCCGAACAATGGCCAGGCCAATACGTCTGTCAATTTGGATGATCATTCGAAGTTCCTCACCGGAGATCCTGTAACTGGTCAGCAGCCTTCGCCGATGTCGTCGGCTTTCCCGCCCCAGGCAAGAGCGACGACTGTTGTCTAGCGGTCGAGCACTGGTGTTTAGCCGAGTGCGCTACCGGCTCGTTCCTTGTGTGTCTGCGGTATCTTCACCCTTCGTTCATTCTACTTGGCGCAATCATCATCACATACCCTCCCTTTGCGCTAGTATCCAATCTCCTTCGTTCTGTACTACCTACGCGCTTGCGGACGCCTTACGACTCTTTCCTCTTTGAATTCTGATGATTGCGTCCATTCCATCTTCGTCTTTCGCCGTCTATGTTGACGCGCACATATTTGTTCCCCTTCGTTTTCGTTGGCTTATGGTTATTCCTTCGAGCACGCTTCGCTTTCGTCTTGTACCTCAGTCTCGTCATACAGTATACATATCGTATTCATTCCGTAAACGGCTCCGCCGCCCTCCAACCATTCTATTACTTCTCCCGGTTTCTCGTCACATAATTTCATCTCTGCGTGGGTTCATCCGTTATGTCCGGCCTTCTTGGCTGCTTTTGCTGCTTCCTCTTCCCTTCCCTCATCTCCCTTCGTTCTTCACACTCTCATCAAAGTTTTCACACGGCAATCTCATGTACACTATTCTACATAGCACTTCTCTTCTTGTTTGTTCCGTGTTTTCGGTGCCCTCCCCCCTGAGTTTTCGTTCGCCCTGCCATTCGCTTTCGCTTGGATTTTGATAATGATGATGTACATCGTGAGATGTCCTTTGAGGATTAGGACCCCCCCATCTCTAGATCACTTTTATGGATCAACTGGATGGGGGGTTCGTCGGTATCGTTCAGGGCCCGCCCTCGTTGTGGCGTCCGGCCATCTCGAGTGGTTGCTGCCTTGATGCCCCGGTGCATTCAAACTGCACTACACTGGTGAGTGCCTTCTTCCCTTTTTCGAACTTCAGCGCTCCGTGTTCGGTACTTAGTGGAGAGTGCCCGTCTGTCTATAGCGCTGGTGGCACACGCTGAACAATACTTCCACCTTGCTTCCGTTCAAGTAGAGGCTTTGCCGGACATCACTGTTGTGTTTGATATGGAGATCATCGCATGGCTCTTCAGTGCGCAACGTTCATTCACTCGTGCATAAGCTAATGCCCGTTGGGTTCTCGGCGTTGTTCGAGCACCGTACGTGCTTTCAAGGCTCCTTGGAGTAACTTCAATTAAGCTCCTATACGTTTTTACCGGATTACTATGCGGTCAATTTACGGCTGTCTTCATTATCCGAGCCGGTGTTTTTGTCGATGTCAAACTTGAAGAGAACAATGTTCATCGGGACCGCGCAAATGAGCGGTATTTTGCTTTCATTCGTACTCCTTCTACCGCCATTGACACTAGTAACGGTCCTCAGCCCCGTCGTAAGGTATTGGCCTCTAGTCTTCTTTGGGAACAAAGGCGAGGCAGACATGTGGGAAAAAGTACACATGGCGAAGAGGCCGTGCATGTGACACTGGTCCCTTGTAGTTGAAGTTCGGGGCCCGCAAGGACTCAGCAGCCAACTCCGATCATTTTCCAGGGAAGGACTTTGCCGTGTCCTTGAAGCGCTCTATTCGTTCGCTTTTTTTCGTCTTGCGCGCCACGGATCTGCCTCCACATATCTTCCTGGGTCGACAGTACAGGAGGAGGCTATGCTGTTGGTCTCGAAACTGTTCCGATCTCTCATTTTCGTAGTTTGCATCGTGCGCTGTTGATGTCCTGTCGCTTTGGTACCATGTGAACACGTAAATTTTCACGTTATCTAAGACTCATGGGCGCTTTTCTTTTTCGCTCGAAGCCTCACCACCGTTCGTACAAACGGTTCATCATCCATCAATTTTCGCTGCATTATCGTCCGTTGTCCGTCACGGAATTCTCTTCTTTACTTGTATCGCCAGGCCAAGACCATTGGCGACTAACAGCGGTCGGTGCTCGTCTGCAGGTCATGCCGTGAAACTGGATCTCGAGAATCACTGGCAAGCGAGCAATAAGGGCATGATGAAGTCCTCGCGTTGATAGATTACGGCGCTTCAGATGTGGTGCGGCGAGGTTTATTTGTGGACAGCTTTTGGCGCCGATGGCTCAACGAGGCATCTTCACGCCACCGCTGCGATCCCCAGCTGTGGTAGAAGAGGAGCTGTAGTGCAATTTTAGTACGACCAGGCGCTACTGGCTACTGGCATAGCATTTCTGCTCGAGGATGTCGATTTATAAGCCCCTCGGATGAAAATGACGGTTGCTCGAGCTACCCGGCAGTTCACCTACCTGTACCGGCTAATGACCAGTACCATCGGTCAAACCCTGTGCAAAGCTGGGGAATGGCTGACGTGATAGCTGCCAGTGGACAACACGAGCCTTGGAACAACTGTTACCAACATTGATATGCCGTGCGCATTGTACGGTTCTTCTCGACGGCCCCTCTCCGTCACCTGTTCTCCCTCGCGCCGAATATGTAAACAGATCTCTGGCCTCGTCGCACATCCGAATCTGTTCTCTGGGTGCGCGTGCTCGCGTATCGTATACATTCATGAACGTCAGAACATTATGGTGCACTCTCGCAGAGCCTTTTTATCGTCCTTACGCCCTCCGCTCGAGTGTTATAGCCTGTTAGCGGGCGGGCGCCGGGCGTATAAGTACTTACTACTCAGGGCTCATCTGTTCGCCCTGGACCTGTTTCAAACGTTATGGTATGTACCCTTAGACCGGTCTGTGAAATAGAAACGTCACCTGCAAACAGGGTGTAATGACTTCGAGGCCTTGGACAGCAAGAGGCTATGAATTATTCCAGTGATCAGAACGTCTTCCACTCTATGATCCGTTGGCTGAGCCTACTGGGTATGGGAAGAAAAATTCTGAATGACAATTATAGGTCGTTGTCTGTTGCGCAACAAGTTTTTTTATGGGCAGGAGTCCTTCGTCTGACTAATGGGCCACTCTGCCCCTGATGTTGGGAGGCAACGGTGTATGGTGTCTGTGTTTTGATAGCTTCCGACCGCGTGTGGTGGCAATGCATAGCACTGGCCCATACTCAGGCTTCGGCTTCCCTTTTCTTTGCATTTCTTCGCCTTTCAAGGCGCCCCCCACGCTTCGAACTGTGCACCTGTCGGAGATATCATTGTTGTCGCTACTCCTGCTTCTCACTGTTTCAGAATCTTGTTGGGCTTGAATGTGGCAAACTTGACGTGCTAGCAATTGCTCGCGGTCCTATGGAGGAGATCTACGATCTGTTTGCGGGTCAAACTTGTGATGTCTGAATTCCTCGAGTACTGTCAGGGCTCACGACTGAATCTTTCTCTCACGTCGACTGTGATCCACTGAAACTCTATCTCAGTCAACTCTTTCATCATTACGGTCCATATCACAACAGTCACCATATATATGGAGATCCCTGTCGCCCTCATGCCAACTAGCCCGTTGCATTCGAAAGATGGCGATTCCCCAACACTACCAAAACTACAAAGTGGTACGTCTTGCTCCCGATCTCTCTTCAATTACAATCCTTGACCGTATCCATTGTCAGGTCTACGAGCGCATGAACCAAGCGCTCCTGCGCGATGGTCTCTTGGCGCGCTCCTTCGGCGCCGAACAAGCTTCGCTCCATTTCGAGAATCTTCTCAACACACCGCTCCACAATCTTTCGGTTTGTTACGATGGATCCAGCGGTTGTTTTTTCTTACGGAACGACGCTCTGGGCCATACCCATGTCCCTGTGCTTCTCGACTACTATGCAGCCTTTGCACCGCTGGTCATCGGCCAATACTACTGGTATGTTATATGCTTTGATCGTACGACCACCCCCGCCTAACCTCGTCATCACCCGTCCGTTAGGCAGCCACGAGCAGAAACGGACAGACTACGCTATGTACAGCAGGCGCGCCTGGAGCTTTCCATTTTCCTTCGTCATGCTGTCGGTCAAGGGTTGGGCGTACTCGCGACGGACGCAATCGCTGGCGATTGCACGCATATTCGGGGATGGAATGACCCCGCACCTCTTGGAGAGAAAGCCTGTATCCACCTTCGCATAGAGGTACGCACTGTTCGCTGTCGTCCATGCCCTAGTTGTGTATTGACCGTAAATACGCAGTGGCCGGGTGGGGCACCCTACAACCGCCGCGTCCCCACCAGAGATCAGACGAGGGAGAGAAGACCTATAACGCTGCAGAGGTTCTTGCTACAGGTTGGCCGTGCGGTTGAAGAGTTTTTGCAGGTTCGTGGCCGCTATTTTTGTGATAGTGGATCAATTCTGACGCCGAGGGGATGTTGGAATAGACCTACCCACGTTATTCTAGTCAAGGTCGACGTCTTGATTGTGGCGATATTATGATCCTCGGCGTCGTCGATGTTAGCGTCGGATCTTGGCAGCCAGTCTGTTTTCCTTTTGCTGTTTTTGTACGACCTCTCGAGACCTATCTTAACCACTCCATTTCACAGATCTTACAATATAGACCTGGCGTCTGATGCCTGTGGAATTCCTCTTTCTCTTCGACCTATCTCTTCCCGCTCTTCATACTCCTTTCGTACGTTGACATGACGAACACTTGACAATGTATCGGTGAGTCAGCTGCTTACTAGTCTCCTTGCTTGGTCGAACGTCGCCGACAAAGTTCTCGAACGCTTTGCTACGTTCCTCTGCAACAGACTCGACATAGAAGTCTTGCTCCACTGTTCGCCGGACTGACCCTTCATAGCTCTCTCATCGTGGCATTCTTAGTGACTATACATCTACGAGACCAGACCCGGGGAAATCCTTTCACCATACTGCGTCTTTGGGGACTTTGGAAAGATGGAATGCATTGATGCACGAAATTGCCGTTCTGTCAATGTTCAATGTATGTGACATAGCGACCCTGATTGCCTTTGCCCGGGACCTCTATGGAGCATCTTGCGGTCAACAATGTCAGCACTATTATTCGCGAAATCAGTGCGCGGCGGCACCATGAGCATCAATCATTTTGAATAAGTAGAAGGCCAAGGCTTGTCAATGATGAAGCGCCTATCGGTGGACCCCGTCTGGATGATAATGACTGCGATCGTGTTGGGCGGCGTTGGGAAACCTGGTCATATAGAACTCTGAATGCAATGGCCAATTGCGAACCAATCTCCCTTCCCTCATCATCGTTTCCCTGACTACGTTGTTCGTACACATATGGGGTTTAGGTGGCCAGTAAGCACCGGAGACTTGGATTTGGCGCTCGGTACGGCTTTCCCACCCTAAGATTAGCTCGGAATTAACGGATGAACGACTGTCCACCCATAGATATATTATACATTCCACGCGACTCATTGGCGACTTCGAGAAGAGTGCCTCATGAGCGAGCCCATCTGTGGGGCTCTACAAAATGTACGTAGGGTTCGTCTTGTCTAACATTCTAACCTACTAGTATTGCTCACTATCTCCACTCATATCAAACAGGCTGCCAATTCCATCGTTGAGGCTAATGACCCAGAGCGTCAATACCGCTTTCCTCAGTTGTGACTCCGTGTGAGAATTGTTGCTTCAGTGCATCTTAACACTGTCTTGACATTCGTCGCCAGCACCGTGACGCGTCGAGGTATTTTCGTTCCGTGATGACCACTTTAAGCCTCTTTAAGCCCATCCAGAGTAGGCATCCCACGAGTCGGGCTGATGCCAGCATTCGCTCTTTACCGAAAGAGGTCTATCGATGAGCCCCTGCAGCTGTACTGGTTCGCATCAGACTCTTTCGAGCCTAGGCTCGCGATGAGACTCGTGACCCCTCAGGCTTTCTTCCGAGGTGTAGATGCGTGTATACAGCTGTAGGCGTTACAATTACACCTCCAACTGAGATACATTCTAAAAAGTGTAGCGAGGCCACCATCGCCTCTACTTGGTGGCACTGTCAGCGTCGAGGTATATAGAACGGGGCCCTCTCACTCGACGTGTTTCGAGACCTACGGGGTGAGTGCTTTTAATTTCTCTAGCATTATGCTCGCGTTTGTCGAAACTGATGTTTATCTTTCACCGTGGGCGCTAATGCACATGACAGCTGTAAGTTCGACCTTTCACACACTCTTTGTTATAGCTATGGTGGACTCATAGAGCTGTACTGATTCCATGGCTTGCTCACCGACCCCTTGAACGCTCTTTAGGGATGACATAGTAGGTGTATATACGCCGACCTTCGTCATACGCTTCCAGTTGCATCAGCTTAAGGAAGCATGATGCCGAGCCCTTCACCTGTATCCCCCCAGCTGTCAAGCTTCTTCAAGTGGACAACTATAGACATCGTCTGTCGACAAAATGCTCACTTTGCGCTCCCCCAGCTGTAGGCCTGCCTTGTATGCAGCACGAAACGGCACCCGAACATGCACTACTTGTCATTCGTGGCTTTGACTAGGACAACAGCTCTTCATTGGCATTGTGAGGTAGGATAAAACGCAGCGCGGATGAATTCGTTTTCGACAATGCGACATGAACTCCTCAGCTTCTGCACAAGACGCTCCTATGACTTCACAGGTGAGAGCGAATTATTCTCTCTACGTATTCTTGAGCTCACCTCACTTCCCAATCATCGATTCTCCAGACAGTCGACGGAATCGACACCAAAACAGCTTTACTTCACGGTGGTTATCACGCATTGGCATTCGGAACAGACTATGCACGCCTCCATTTCGAGAACCATACACGCCCCCATTCATTCGAAAATGCACCCGTCGACTACGACGGCTCTACCCATTATTTCTTTATCCAGAGTAATGCACTCGGTTATCCTCACTTCCCTGTCTTTCTCGATTTTTATCGCCGTCCTGCTGCACCGACGGTCATCATTCAGAAATACTGGCAGCCTACCACCGAGACAGATCGTGAAAGGTTCGTCAAGGACGACGAAGTCAAGCTGGAGGATACCATATTTCTGCGTCACGAGGGAGTCGAAGGGGCTCTGGGGGTGACCGTCGAAGAAGCAGTGCATGGTGAAGGAACACACTTGAAGGGATGGAAGGAGACAGCGAATCTTGGAGACAAAGCGTCCGCTCAGATTCGATTATGGGTGAGTTTGAATCTTTATTCTTATTCGATTTTCAACGAGAGTTCTTCGGTGGCTTACTAGGCATGGGCTCTCTCTTCCGCTGCCATCTTGTTCTGTAGTTTCCTGAGTGCAAGCCATGGAGACGTCAAGTGCAGACTAGAGACCAGACGTCCTCAAAGAACCCCATCCTACTCAAAGGGTTCGTTCAACACATTGGACGATCTATTGAGGCATACTTCGAAAAGGTATCTAGTCCTCTTGACCCACGCTGATGGCTTGAAGATTTACAGGTCGCGCCAGACGCTGACGCGACATGTTTCTCTTCAGAATCCAGCCCTTCGCTCATTCTCAGGAGAACCGCTCACGTCCAAGGAGCTCATCATTCTCGGCGCGGTTCATGTTTCGGCAGGGAGCTGGCAGCCCATCTTGGCGTACGATATGCGCAAAATTATCGAGGGAGGTTTTTGAAGTCAGGATACAAGCGGAAGATGGTGGAGGGGACGAGTCTATGGTTACTATGTATTTGATGTTTGATTTGATTGAGCTAATGTGTACACAAGATGACAATAATATTGTATTATTTCGAATTCTTGCACGTGATATTGCAGACCGTGGAGGCATCGAACGTCCAAGTTGAGTACGAGTTAGCTTGACACCGTAGCCAAGTAAGTTCAACATTCTCGTCGGAATTTGAATCATAATCACCGTCCAGATCGCGTGGCGTTCTCGATCGTTGTGGCCCAAGGGCTAACCACGACTTGAGCCTGAGGAGCTGGAGCACGAGGTCCGAGATGGCAGAATACATTTCGCGGGGGGTCATGTTGCTTGGCACCTCCTATGTTCCTGTCTATGCGATGTGCCGCAGAGGCTGCCCAACTTTCGCCACATATTGTATCGCACGCAGACTGCACTGTGTCGGCACTAGATGATCATATCTTTCAACTGGCGAAATACACACGAAGGAAATAAAAAGAAAAAGGCAGGAACGAGTGCGTGCACAAGTCAAGAAGAAGAAAGAAAAAAGGTTGTCCACATGTCACATGCGTATCCAAAAAAAATGAAACGGAAGCACCGTACGGCGTACACCCCGTCGCCACAATCCGACACCACACACAACATGCCACGCCACAAGCGAATGTTCCTCGCGAATGTGAATAAAAATACGTCTTGCTGACCGCTCAAAAAGAGATTAATTATTACGACAGTCATCGCCCGTTGATAGTGGCCGTCGAGTCCCGCCTTGTCATCGAAGGACCGGCCGAAGCTGGGTCATTCTCCGTGATGTCCTTAGGTAGTTGATTCGGGTGGTCCGGGATCTTCGCAATTTCTTGCTTCGCGTCCTGCCATGCTTCGAGGTTCTGATCGTCCAACAAAGTTCCATGCACATCCGTCAGCACGATATTTATAAGCCATTGTGTAAAGGTGGTGGTAGGAGGGCGAAGAGAGACGACGAACCTTCTGACACCAATCTCGGTGGCTTCGCGCCATCGAGATAGCCATTTCCCGCAGATCGGCGACTTTCTGCCTTTGGAACCTGTCCAAGTCCGCTTGAATGGTCGAGCTGGCATACTTCAGGTCCTGCGCTGACAGGTGTAATGCATCCTCGAGCTACAAAGCAACACCCATGAGGAACGTCCATAAAATTCAATCAGCGCCACATTCCATGGTGGAAGGTGAATGCGAGAGAAAGTGGGGGATGGGGATAGACCCGACCCACCTGCGAAATATTCTCCCTCGTCTTACTGATTCCATTTCTCCTCGCTGTCTCCGGATCGGCATCCATCATTCCATGCAACGTATAGCTCAACGCGCTCAACAGTCCCATACCCGGTGCCCGCCTCTTAATCGGACTCGGTCCCGGATGGGGCGGTAAATAAGCCGAGCCCAACTGAGGCTCGTCGTCGTCTCTAACGCTCCTCCCATTCATGCTGTCAGGCGACGGCGCCTCGACCTCAACGGGCTGACTATCATCGCTCCCCGCATCCGTCCCTATACTCCCACGACCACCTTCATGGCCGCCCACGCTCGCGCTCGGCCGCAGTGTCGACGCGCCGTACTGTGACTGAGACTGCGAGCCGTACTCCGATTGGGATTGGGATCGACGCGGGGATCCGGAATCGAGCCCGGATGGGGACGTGACGCGACCTCTGCCGAGGGCTTCTTCCAGTCTTCGCGCCTCGCGCTCGGATTTCTCGAGCTCGGTAAGGGACTCACGACGGGCTTCGAGCGCGTCTTGGGTCATTTCGAGCTGGACGTGCTTTTGGTGGCGGTAGACGAGGAGTTTCTTGATGATGGAGGCGAATTGGGAGTATTCGTGCAGGGGCTCTTGCCAGTTCTGTTCTAGGTCTTGCAGCTGCATTTCCGAGGCACGTATGAGGGGGTTGGACGGACGTGAGTGAGTGAGTGTGGATGACGAGAGACTTACGAGACGGGTGGTGGACATGTATGTGGCGTCGATGGCTTGTCCTGTTTTCTCGATTGCGCCGGACAGTTCTCCTTGTTCGTTCAGACTAAAGCCGTTCCAAGCCGCTCCGAGATCCATATGGTCCTGTGCATAATCTAGTAGAAATGTGTCAGAGACGTTCTTATCGAAAAAGAAAAGAAGGCAAATATAGACAAAGACAGACCTGACCACCGCTTCATCGTCCGCCTCGTCACCTTCTCCATGGGTCCGCTCATGTGCGCGGCGAATTTGTTCGTGAAAACCTCCGAGTCGAGGAAGCGCTGATCTGGCCTCCGTAAGGGGTGCGCAGCAGAAGGATTGGGTAAGGCCTGGTATGCAGCAGAGGCCTCGGGGTCGGTCGGATTGTGAGCGGGAGCCTTGAGAATGTTCTTCGGTAGGAGGGAGAGTGGGGGAGAGTGGAGAACTTCAGCCTAAGGAGAGTAAAGGGTTAAGGATAGAAGGCATGATCTAGTTGCTCGTACGCACCCAAGAAACCTCACCGTCCAAGAAGCGATGAAATACGTGCTCGTTGGCCAGGATTGGATGGCGTGCGATGCGGTTGAGGAAGGTTTGAAGCATGCGACGTCGGCGGGCTATGAGCGCGGCATCCTCCTTCGCCTTTCCTTGTTTAATTGCATAGTCGCCGATCGTTTGCTTCGAAGGGATTGGTGGAATAATCAAAGTGGGGTATAATTTGGTGAGGTTTAGTCTGAGTGACTCAAACTCGGAGTAACGGTGTCGGGATTCAGCATTCTGATGATTGAAAGTATCAATTGAGTTAATGCGAACATAGAACTGATTAGGACAGGGAAACGTACCCCGGCACGGATGACGTAGGTGATATACGGAGAGGTTGAGTTCTCGCTCGTTTTGAGCGCGTCAACAATCTATCAAATAATACAGACGCTGTTAAAGAGACTTGAATGGATCTTCAGTAAATGATAGCGCACCAATATTTCAGCATCGTCCCCTGAATGTAGCCACTGGTCCCGATAACAGCAAAAGTCGCTCTTCACTGGCGGAGAGCGTGGGACGCTGGCTTGGACTGGGGCCACCGGTGACCGTGCAAGGGTTGGCGACGAGGGTATACGGGCTGGATGAGAAACTGGAGATGATGGCTCAGACACATCTATGTGTGAGACCGAGTTGGAGGAGGCTGAGGACGGAGGCTGATCTGAAGAGAACGGGTTCTCGTCTTCGAAGGAGTCCATCGTTTACAGCAGACCAATAACAGGAAATATCGAGATAAAAATCGGCCCTTCGAGTTCAAGCTTGTCCTGTGAAATGGTCAGAAGAAAGCTGCGGCTGCGAGTGCTGTGCAGAGGGCTAAGGACGGATGTGAGAGTTGTTGAAGAGGTGCCGGTGACGACAAGGGCAGTAAGCCGCCCTTCCTATTTCGGGAGAGGCTGCGTACGTATCAGGCCAAGTTCGACGCGCCACTCCAATAGGCCACCTTCGCCGTTTCCCTCCTGCTTCCATGTGGCCCATCCTGGCGAACGTTGTTGTGCATTTTTACATGGATTATCTCGACTCTCTCGATCAAATATACTCAGGCTGGCTCAGGTCTCTCTCGTGATGTTCCTGGGGCGGGTTTTCCCTTGAAATTTTGCACGACATAAGCTTTGTTCGCGATATAGCGTTCACGTTCTCTTCGCGGCGACACTTATCCCTGAGCTTGGTACAGGTTCACGATTTTCCAGGGGAGATGTGAATGCTGCTGTTCTTGTACAACTCTACAATGATTGAGGTCGACTTAAACTTGGCTGCACCTGGTCTCCGAGACATGTCGCACTTCTTGAACCGCACGGCCGTCTGGAACCACCTGCGTCATATACATCAAAGGACGTCCTCTTCTCCAGCTCTGCCTAGACTCATCGCATTTCTCCCTACTTTCACTACACACTCACGAATATCTCCACCATGGCTTTCGTCGGCCAGTCCTTCCACCACATCATGTCCACCCTCTCAGACCACTGGCACGTCGAAAAAGGCAACGCCCACCCCAACGTCACCACCGCCGTCCGTGACCGTCTCTCCCGTCGCAACGCCCCGCACAAACCACACGAGTACCCCGAAGACTGGCAACACCCACACAAGCTCTCGAACGACCAAAAGCGCGCGCACGCGCGCAACGGGACCTACGTGCCCCATAACGTCCGGCGCGTCGAGAACGGGGCGTATGAGAATGAGTTGGCGAGGGATATGGACTTTTTGTGTGCGATGATGAGGTGGGAGACGGCGGCGGGGTGGATGAGGGGAAACGAGGCGCCGGTGGCGACGCATTTGGAGGTGGAGATGGTGGAGGATTTGGGGGTGTTGATGCCGGAGCCTGAAGGAGGCTGTATTGGGCTTGATGTGTCGCATTGGGACGGTGGTACGCTCTCGATTTTTACGCTTCCTGCCGTATCCTCTCACTGATGTATTGGTTTTTCGTGGCTTTCAGTCTACGACCCGAACCAATCCGGCCTCCCACGGCGTTTCCACCACTTTGATGTGCAATGGAAGCACGATCATACCCAACCCGACCTAGAGAGCGACGACATCTCCATCCACTCCCTGGAGAGTCTTCCTCAGAATCTCACCAGTACCGAGCGTGCCGGCCCAGCTGCTGCACCCGACTCAACCACGTCCGATCCGTTATTGCCTTCATCAGAAAGCATCGAGATGCAGATGCTCAAGAAGATGTTCGACATGAGCATCATCGAGACTCGGTTACAAGAAATGGTAGATCGCAGGATCGCCGACTTGCTGAAGGACAGAGGGAAAGATCAGTCCGAGTCCGAGGAGGTACTACTCAAGACTCCGACGCAGAGAGATGATGCGGGTACGAAGGGGAAGGGAGTCAGCTTTACAGCTGGTTTTGGGAAGTCCACGAGCGCTTGGCTGCCTAAGATCATGGAGGATGACGAGGCGGACGGGAAGGACGCACTGGATGTGGGCAAGGCGGGCGCCGGGGTGAAGACTGTAAACCCTTTGGATATGTCGGCCTTGCACAAGTTGATCGCGGAGGTCAGGTCCGTGGGTTAAACGCTAGATGGTTGTATGGACACGCTGTGGCGCGCGCTTGTAATGTGCAATATATGGCATTCCTTTGCTTTCCATGGTTAACGCATGTAGATTTCATTTATGAGAGTCGATGATCGTCGTACTTCTACCACATAATCTCGTCCTCCAGCGCCCGTCATATCATATCATCGGAACTATCGTAAGTAATTGGTATATGTAAGTATTTGATTGTGGCCATAACCCATGGAGTGCAAAAAATGAGGAGATAACGACACAGCAATCGACAAAACATACTTATACCGGGAATGGGATGTAAGCAAAAGTAGAAATACACAGTAATAGATGCGCTATATCCAGAGACATCGTTGATGCACCTGACCAAAATATGCAACGAAAAGAAAATAGTGAGCGATAAGATCGTGTGGGGAACGATCGTGCGGGGAACAGTCGTGCGGGGAACAGTTTATTGAGAGGATCGCAGCGTATCCAACTGTGCCATCGTGCTGTGAAGCATCGCGTTTACCCCCTCGAGCAATGTCCGTGCTTCAGCCCAAATGACCACTGCCACCAGGTTGCGCATTGGAATGGGAGGTTGAAGGGTCATATCCCTGCTGCCATACACCCAACGCCTCAGCCCACTCTTGTGCATCCTCATGCGAGAATTCGTACTGGTTCATCGAAGGAGCAGGCTGGGGCTGAGGTTGAGATCGAGAAGTGGATGGCATTCTCGATCTCCCGTCGGACACCCTGCCGACACTCTCAGGACGGTAGGCGATGGGGACTGGAAAATTCTCGGCATTGGAGGTCGACGCCTGCGACGACATCCTCTGGCGCTTGTGATTGTCGACATCGGCGTATTGGGGGACATAGTTGACGTTGGGATGTGTACCGAAGGAGTTGTCAGGATAGGTGGTAGTGTAGTCTGTGCTCGCCCGTTTCATGGGAATGGCGGTGACATAGGACTGGGCAGGGTCCTCGACGACTGGAGGGGGCGGATAACTAAGCCACACACCGCATCAACAAACTGGGCATCATTCTCGTACGAGACCTGCACTTACCTCATGATTTTGATTACCTGTTGGGCCTCTCTAATCTGAACCGTGAGATCGCTGATCTCCTGCTGCTTCTGTGCCAGTATTTGGTGGCATTTTACCCTCGTGTGCGTCTCTTTCGCCTGCCATGCCCTCACCTCGTCATGAGAGGCTCCGCACTGTTGAATGAGCACCTGTTTGTCGTTTGTGAGCGAGTGAACGCGCTCTTCGAGCGCGGAGATTCGCTGTTGGTATGATTCGAGTTGTGGCGAGTCGACGTAGACCCGTCGTAAGGGAGGGCTGAAGAATGGGCGGTATTTCGGCTCTATGAGACTGGGATCGGGTGTCACTGTGTTCGAAAGAGCCAAGAAGGGGTATAAAGGCCGTATGATGGACGATTGTAGGAAGCCGTGTGTCAGGGCGTCGAAGCGCCGCCCAAAAAGAGGCAGGTTACGCACCTATCGAGAACCTGGCACGACACGTAGGGCATTCAGCCCAGTGAGGGTCCTCAGAGAGTCTAATGTAGTCCTTCAGACATTCCTCGCAGTGCACATGGCCTAGCGACCCGCACAAAATCTCAAGATCAACATAGTCTCTGGGTGTCAAGGTTGCGATGGTGGCTTACCGCATGGTGTCGCGACCGCGTTCTTGAGGTCGTCGAGACAGATTGGACATACGAGCAGGGAATCCTCGAGAGGTGGTGTGTTTGTTTGGGGAGAGCGTTGGCCCTCGGAGGCCATAGCCGAGGAAGGGGTGAAGGGTGCAAAGAGAGATGATGGCGGTGGAAAGCAAGGTCGAGGCAGTCCAAAACCGGACAAAACGCGCTTCAAAAGGCGCCGTACGTACATGAGTCGTGACGGACGCGACTTGCCATGTGGTGGCAGTGCTGTGGCCCGCCCCTATTCGCGTGTGACATTGTGGCCCATCCGACTCTCATACATCTCACCAAAGTGCTCGGCAGTCACCAGCACATCGTAGGTTCTAGAGACACGATATTGAATTCTTGGAGTTATATGAATGGGACCAGCAGACAATATCGTACAAAGCAGGAGAAACAATAGGTACAACTGTCAAGAGCACACATCCCGTCGTTCGGGATCCGAGAAAACCGAAAAGAAATGCTCGCAAGATCAATTAGATATACACCGTCTACCTCATCAAACCACCACCGGCGACTCATCCCTAAAATCATCTGCCATTGCAAAACCACCAAGTTCCCCCGAGAATGTTGTTGTCGGCAGGATCATCACGGCTGTACGTAGGTAGCCGCAGTTTCTCTCACGCGCCGTTGTCCCCTCCGATAACCCTTCCATTGGTTAAAAATCCATTGTTTAACATGACTTCACGGAGACGGGCAAGGTTCAAAGGTGGAGGGGGTGGTGGGAGGGGGTGGGAGGCACGCCTCACCCGCAAACGCGGCAATGGGAGCGGAATGCCTCGAGCCTGCAGACGCGGTGTCTCAGTCCGAGTGGATGGACCGGCTTCGGGCTGGGACGATGGCGCACGCCTGATGATGTGGGGAGCGCCATTCACAGTGATTGGGCGCGGTGGGTGACCGGCTTCGGGCTGAGTCGATGGCCGCCTGATGATGTGGGGAACACCATTGACAGTGATCGGGCGCGGTGCAGTGGCGAAACTAAGGTGTGCGTGGTGGGTTCTGCTACCAGAGGCGAGCTTGGCCTCTGCATCGAGTTTTGCGCGCTTTGCGTTGCACATGAAGCGTGGGAGAGGAAGGCGGTCTCGGGCGGACACGTCTGCAACAGAATCATCGTCGAGCATCTTCCGTTTGGAGGCTCTGCGACTTTCCAACGCTGCGGCGAGGACATACCGCGACGTAGTATGTGGCATGGGGGGCGTTCTGTCACTATGAAGGAGCACACCGTCGTCATCCAAGGCCCAGTCTGAGATGAAAAGGAGAATAACTGACGCGTTCGCCGGCTTTGCCTGCTCATACTTATGCTTCATATCCTCATACTTCGCCTTCATCTGCTCGTACTTCCCATTCACCTCCTCAGCCCTCCCCCTCGCCTCTTTTTCCTTGAGTCCCATGACTCTGTTCGCCTCCATCGCGGCCTCGCATCTATCCATCAAACTGGCCTTGTCTTTGCTCAATGAGGTAACGCGAGTCGATAGGCCAGCGTTAGATTCCGTGAGTGTGGTCACCCGTGTTTCGAGCTGGGCGATTCTTTCGAGGTATGGCTTGAGGACTGGTGTCTCGATGTAGATGCGCCGGACGGATGTGTTGAGGAAAGGATGGCATTTTTCGGGGACGAGGTTGCGATCGGGAGACACTAGTGGATGAAGAGTATGAGAGAAGTCGATAGAGCCTTAGCTATGGAATGTGAGGTCTCATGGCGATGTGCCACTCACCGATGTGGAATTCGGTCCTGCAGGTCGGGCAAGATGCTTTCATGGGGTCTTGCGAGGACTGGATATATTCCTTCACACATCTATCGCAGTATATATGCCCTACGTGATTCGATCCAGATAGAGTGCACGTCGAAGGGTCAGACATTCTTTGTCCAAGACGGGGGTCTATGTGACTCGTCTAAGCCACTCACCGCATGGAATCGACACGGGATCTTTCAGATCTTCAAAACAGATAGAACAAGCCAGCATAGACATGTTTGATAGGCTGTTTGTAAACCGAGGCAGACGGTGTAGAAAAAGAGGAAAGGATAGAGACGATGCCTGCGATGAGGGTAGACCTGGCAACGCCGCTACGCAGTCGTCCGAAGCGAGGACACAATGGCCAGACAAAGGACCAGGTCACGCTGCGTGCGGACACAATGTCACAGAAAGTCACACGAACAGTTGCGCCTTTGTCACACCGTGACGGGAAAGGAGGCAAGTTGCAACATCGTACATGGCATGATAAAACATAGTGGAATTAGTTGGTACAAATGTCAAGATCCCTTCGTTCGCAATACAAGAACAAGAACGCTCGTGGATCTCCTGGATATACATGGTCCACCCCATTGAACCACCACCAACGACCCATCCCTAAAGCCAAACGCCAAAAAAGAAACGTCCGATCCATGCCGAAAATCTTGCGACCATCGGAGTCACCGCAATCGTCGTTGGCCATAGTCCCGCTCGTCTCACCGCTACCCTCTACCAAAACCCTTCTAACATCTGAGGTACCACATATACTATGGGGGAGAGCGCCTAGACGAATCGAAGGGGCCGGTTCCACGCCTATCACAGGTGCCGGGGGCGATACACTAGGTGCGCGGGATCTTCAAAACGGACGTCGACTTACGTGGTCCTCTCTCTCTCTCTCTCCGTAGAAGGGCTACTTGTTTAGACGATGATAGACGCGCGCCGGAGGGGTCAAAGCGCGTTGGCGTGATGGGGGATTGACGGTTTTGCCTATGCGAGCTGCTACCGACCTTGGCATCCGGAGCACCTAACCTACGGCGCTTCGCGTCCGGGACGCTTGTGGAAGGCCGGGGAGAGACGCGTGAGTCCTCATCCTCATCAGAATCTTCAAAGTCAGAGAGTAAATGTTTGCAACCATACGTCCCGCTCTTAGATGGGGATGGGATCTCGGCCTTGGGCTGTCGTACGGGTGCACTGTGATTTTGAGGGACCACGTCGTCGTCATTGTCATTGATAGTCCGATCAGAGAGAAAAGAACAATGACTCACGCATTGGTTCGTTTAGCGGCCTTATACTTACGCATTAAACGTTCGTATTTGGTCTGTATCAACGTATACTCATCTTGCACCTCCCCAGCTAGCTCCATCGCCCCCTTTTCCTTGGACTGTAAGTCGACGTTCGCCTCCATAACCTCCTTGTATTCATCGGTCAGTCGCTCGTTATCTGTGGTCAGCGCGGTATTGGATTCTGTCAAGCTGGCTATTTGGGCCTCGAGCTCGGCGATTCTTTCAAGGTACGGTGAGAGGGCCGGGGTGTCGAGGATGATGGATCGGATCGGGTCGTAGAACTCCTTTTTGACGAAGCCTGTGGGACCTAGTGAATGAGGAATATGGGAGAAACCATTGAGGCCTTAGCTATGGAATACGGGGGACAGAAAGTTGTCACTCACCGCCCGAGATGGGAAAGTAGCTACGACAGGTCGGGCAAGATGCGGGCTCCCCAGCTGATAAGGACTGGATATAGTCTTCTAGGCACTGGCCACAGGAGATGTGGCCTATGGAATTCGACGCAAACAGACAGGCGACGAAGGATCAGACACGATACGTCTGGCACGACGAGCATATGGATCATCTGAGCCACTCACCACACGGGATTGAATATGGTTCTTTCAGATGGCGAGAGCAAATGATGCAAGCTAGGATAGACATGTTTTCACCGATACGCTGTTTGTTAGCGGGGGAGTGTGAAGAAAGAGACGGAAAGACGAGGTCCAGTTGTGAGCGCCAGGAAGATATTTATAGGCCCAGCAACCAAGCTCATCTGAACCTTAAACCTTATTTACATGGATACACAAAGTCACGTGCTGACGCGTCGTGCGGCGCCGGGTGGCCGGCGCCGCGACAGTCTCTCTTCCGGGTTCGTCCCAGACGCAGCGATATCTGATATTCCTGCAGGAGCCCCGCGTAAAAACTGTATAAGTCTGTCGAGTAAGTAGATGTAATGTAGGGCAAAGGAATTCTAAGACTCAAACATCGTTTGAGAGAATGTATACATCACCTTCCTGCACCCGACCCAAAGCGTAAGGGCGAATGTAAGGGTATATGATTGGTTGTATAAGAGCTCCTGGCAGAGGCGACCAAGGCCAGGAAGGTAAGAGAGCTACTGTAGGTTGCAGAAGAGTTTGTGGTGGTGATAGAGCTAGCGTCGGCGTGGATAGAGATGGTAGAAGAACCAAAATTAGAGTAGAGGTAAGCGTAGCAGAGTGAACGTTAGAAGTATTGAGCTTCACATGACTAGAAGGGTTCCAAAGTCGAGGGAGATGATACAAGAGTCTGATCCAAAGGGTTGAGGCTGAATCTGACCTAAGGCTGGCGGCAGCCTCGAACCTGTATATACCCTGGTGAGTCCATTTGACCGTAGAAGCAAATATAGTTTGATCGGCAGATGAAGGTAGACAAAGAGTAAAAGGGGCTTCTGAGGTCGTCTATGAAGAAGGTATGGGTGATTCTGAATATCCTGCCGGGTAACGATAGCTTTGGGGTTCGCTACTCCGGCGCGTGGTGTTAGTGCGGATGACATCGGTCTCGTTCATGAACGAAGTGCGAGCAAGAAGAGGAAGGCGGGCACGATATCTAGAAGTTCGAGCAGGTAAGCTCACCGAGTTTTCGAAGACGGCGGTTCGCTGGACTGACAGCGAACTCATCAAGAAGCCTTCATAGTTCCTCTTCCATTTTTCAACTTCCTGATACGAAGGAGGTCTAACATGGGTGGTTGGCTAGCACGCCGGAGAGTATTTTGAGGATATCCAAGCTGATCGAGCAAGCGAGCATCGTATATGAATCGCATTCGTTAGCGAGTAAGGTAGACATAAACATGTATAGGCCGGCTACAAGATGGCGGGAAAGAGAGAGACGTGCGTGACAGGCTTTGACGAACACGGGGATAACGGCGGTGACAGGTGTGACGGACGATGTCGATTTACGAAAGGAGGTCGCTTTGGCTTGGAGCTGTCTGTGCTTTGGGCCACTGCCGGCCACATCATTCGTGTTCACCATCGTGCTTGACAGCGACGACGACGGGCGTTCTCGCATATTCATTCTTGGTTTAATCCGTCCATTCCGTACATTTCTTGTTATTATCGTCTACTACCACTACAGAATATACCCTTGAACATGCAACAGCTATCTTCGCTATCCTGGAGCCCGTCACGGCCGTCGTCGTCGTTATCTATGCGCTCCAATCGCGCTGGCAGCCCGTCGTCGTTCTCCGTTGATGATCCCGGTCAGTCTCCACACGGAAGACGCGTCCGTGGGCCTTGAATTTGTCCGCAGTACGCACTAACCGACTTTGTGCTCCAGTTGCCATTCGCAACCAGATGTCTAGCCTCAGGCATACTATACGCCACCAGCAAGGCCAGCTCCAGCACCTAGAACAGCTTCTTCAGCGCGCCCCTCGCCAGCCCATCTCTTCCTACTCTCCACCTCCATCCCCCACGCTCTCCGACCTCATGTCCGGCACCCCCCTCGTAAGACGAACGCCAAGTCGGGACTCGCTGCAGAACCTCGCTGGTCCGGACTCGAGTCTTCCGTTGCCGCGGAGAGGAGGAGAGATGTTTGGGCAGGATGGTGGGATAAGAGAGGGCATTCCTATGAATTTTGGATCGAGTCAATCGGGCAGTCCGGCAAAGCGAAATTCAAGTCCAACTCGGACCCTCAGTCGTACGTGTCTTCGCCCCTATTTTGTATTTTTATTTTCCGCCCCAGTTCCGTCGTTGACACAAAATTGAACATGCAACGCGCCCGAACTGTAATCACCGCCCCCGCCGTCATCGCTTTTACATATACCATATGCGGCATATGATGGCACCCGGCCGATAGGAATACCCGTCTCCTCCGTGGGTAAGATTCCTGCTTTCTCTCGGCGCTCCATCCATGTCACCTCCCACCTCTGACCACCACGACCTCTCTACCCCTCCCCGTCCGTCCTCGGCCTCGTCGACTGTCACAGGCAATGCTCGTGCACTCGCGGACGACGGTCACACACCACCACGCCATCAGTCGCTTAATCCGATCGATCCGTCGTTAGCCAACTCTACATCGTCATCCAATGGCGCCTCATCCTCGTTGTTGCAACCACCCTCACCGAACACCGCGCGTCGTATATCCCTCACACCGGGTGGAACGACAAAGGTGTTAGCGGACCTCCAGACGGGTGTCATCCAAGCCAAGACGGCACTGGAGAACACCAAGGCACAGCTGAGGCTTTCGCAGAGGAGCGTGGCGCAGCTGACGAGACAGACGGAGGATCTGAAAGAGGTCAGGGAGAGGCTCAGGTTGGAGAATGAGGGGCTGAATAATGTGGTTGCTAGGAAGGAGCGGTTGCTACAGGAGGTACGCATCACTCTTGATCGCTGTGGCCATCGCGATTCCCTTCGTCCGTCTATACTGTTCCCTTTCTCGTATGTGTATCTTTTTTTGATGATGCTCACATCGACGCATCATGATATGTACGTGTGTGTAGGTCCTGGAGCGAGCACGAAAAGCCGAAGCCGACGCGACCACATACAAGTCTCAGCTCAAATCCGAATCGTCGACCACTAAAAAGACGATCCGTGACCTCGAGGCCGCACTGCAAGAGTCGACAGCCCTCTCATCCAAGTCCGAACGCGAGTACGTTACACTTCGCGACTCTCTCACCTCCATGAAGTCCGCGTGGAAGTCCGATGTCGAATTGCTGAGGGAGGAGATCAAGAAGAAGGAAGAGAGGTGGCAAAAGGCGGATGAGGAGCTCGGGGGGAAATACAAGAGGTTGCTGGAGGAGGTCGCGAAGGGTACGGAGCAGAGGGAGAGCCTAGAGGAGCTGAAGAAGAAGGATAAGGAGTTGAGGGAGAGCATTGAAGGAAGCTTTAGAGATGAGATCTCAAGATTGAGGGAGGAGGTGGAAAGGGAGACAAAAGAGCAGCAGAAGGCTAATAAGACTGCAGAGTGCGTTCTTTTAACACCTCTTCTCCCATTTCATGACTCTCATCGACGTAAGCAGACATCTTTCGGGCGAGCTCGCACGGATACGTAGGCTTATGCAATCTGTCGGTCAACCGGAAGAAGAAGATCCTCCAGCATGATTTGTCTGGACATTGCTCCATGCCGTTTCTCTGCATTTTGGTACCCAGCTTATTCTATTCTCTCCGGTGGTCAACCTCGCATGTCTTCGTCATTGGACTAATCTCTCGCTCACAACCTCACGCATTGTAATGATCCTCCATCTACCAACCATCTCTGCCTCCCATATCTATCTTTCATCACACATCTGCACAGCCCGTCGCTCACGATGCAATCTTGCGCTCCTACTTACCGCATCATCTCACTCACTCTCATTCTCACATTATTTCCAGCTATCGCCACACCGCATTATCATTGTCGCCACGTACATACAATCGGTTATACCTCTTGCCTGCCCGCTCGTTCTTGCTTTGCTTTCTTTCCTCACACACCACACAACCCATCTTTACTTCTCGTTTTCGATCTCAACACCATCTGGTTACTAGTATCTATTACTTCGTAATTCTTCATGTCTAGGCCGACCCGGGGTCGTAGACCTGGTCTTATTGAACCTCCTTATGTCAGGCAATCCAGACAGAGTATTCCGACCGCGAGAACACGAGTGCTGCAAGAGTCGTCTGCTCAGAACTCGACGTGGCGCAGAGGGTAGCATCACGCGCCACTCGACGTTCAGGTTCCGGCGATTGAACGCGTCCGACAGCCGGAACATCTCATGTCGCCGACCGATTCAAACAGCTGTGTACCCCGCGAAGCATATAAGAGTCTCATGGCACTCCTTCCTCTCCTTGTTCCATACTACCCCTCGTCACCGCTACCACCACTACTACTACTCTCGAAACATTAAAACATAAGGAAAGTGAACAGGATGTCCGTTATTTCTACCCCTATTACGGAGATGTTTGGGATTAAGCATCCTATACTCCTTGCTGGTGCGTTCTATACGTTCATATTCATGTTGTTCACAAGAGTTGACCTTCATCCCTTCAATTCGTGCATGGTTCTGTCTTGGTCGTGATCATATTACTACACTTTTCATCTTGCCTCTGGTTGTTGCTTGTATGATCACGGTCACTGCTGGCAGGTATGAACGTCGCTGCTGGACCCGAGCTGGCCGCTGCGGTCACAAATGCAGGAGGTCTGGGAGTTATTGGAGGACATGGATATACGCCAAAGGTCCTCCGGGCACAGGTCAGCAAAAATACCCTCGCGAATTGAGCCGCTCTTGCTGACTTGAATTCCGTCTGGAACACGCGGATTCACCTTCCTCCTATCACTCTCCCATGGTCGTGTGCCACCTATTCCTCTGGATGTGCTCTCGGTGTTTGGTAACGCCATGACCTGGCCTCGATATACAGATTCAAGCCATCAAGAAGGATTTGAAAGATAAGAACGCACCGTTCGGTGTCGATTTGCTCATCCCCCAGGTCGGCGGAAACGCTCGCAAGACGAACGTACGTAAACTTGCTCACCGGCTTTTATATTCCTCCAACTTCACCTTCTATCACACCGGCACAATCGCCCACGTCAACCTGCGCCCTCGTCATATTGATTTCCTATGCATGGCTAACGGACTTCTTTGCGCTCGGTTATACTTAGTACGACTATAACAAGGGCAACCTCGGGACACTGATCGACATTATTATTGACGAGAAGGCGGCTCTGTTTGTTTGTGCGGTCGGAGTGCCACCGGAGGAAGAGGTCGAGAAGCTGCACAAGGCAGGCATTCCCGTCATGAACGTGAGTCGGTTTCTGTCAACTTCCTCGTACCCGCGTTGCGTCGTGTCGTGTCATGTGCAGCGCGCTGATAGACGGACCGGACATGTGTTAGATGGTTGGCCACCCGAAGCACGTAGCGAAAGCTCTAGCGGCTGGTTGTGATATTATCTGCGCTCAGGCTGGTACGTCACCTCACTTCCAACTGTTTTCCAACAATAAACTGACTTTCTCTTCACCACAGGCGAGGGTGGTGGACACACTGGGTAAGAAGCCCTGTTCCAATCCGTTTCGTCTCACGATACACCCCTAACCAAATCACCCCAAACAGTGACATCTCGGCCTCAATCCTCATCCCCGCCTGCGTCGACGCCGTCAAGGGCCACACCTCCCCCCTCACCGGTGGGCCCGTCTACGTCGTCGGCGCCGGCGCAGTCTACGACGGCCGCGGACTCGCGGCCAATCTCATGTATGGCGCGCAGGCCGTCTGGGTCGGTACAAGGTTCGTGGCTTCGACGGAGGCGGGTGCGAGCCCGGCACATAAGAAGGCGGTGTTGAGCGCGGGGCATGGGGATGTGTTGAGGACGGTGATTTATACGGGGAGGCCGTTGAGGGTTAGGAAGACGCCTTATGTTGAGGATTGGTATGCTTTCATGCTCATTTTCATCTGTGGGGATGATGTGCGAGGTGCTGATGGGCTTCTCGTGCGTGTATAGGGAGCTGAACCGACAGGCGGAGATCGCGGAGCTCACGGCGAAGGGTATCATCCCTAACGAACACGAGCTCAAGGAACATCCAGAGAAGTATCCAAAGGCGATCGCTTTCCTCATGGGTAACGTCGCCGCTGTCATCAACGATGTGCTGCCTGCTCAGCAGATCGTGGATAATATGGTTGCGGAGGCGAAGCAGCAGCTGGAGAGGGGGCATTCGCTCCTCGGCGCGAAGGCGAAGCTTTAGGCTCGTCTGGGTTGACCAGGGTGTTGTGTACGGTTTGATGTGCGGGGTTGTTGTATGAGATCCTACTTTTTATTTGCGGAACATTGACTATCATTGTACTCACGCGCCAGTCCGCGGGAAGACGACGAAAGTGGTCATAGGAATGCGCACACTAAGGACAGAGCTGTTCAACGTTCTTTTGCATTCTACTTGGGCGCTAGGGTTTTGGCGCTGTGCACGGCCCACCCTCATAATATATAAATACTCATATCTTGGTCCAGGGGGGCTTCAATCGCTCCTTCTCCCCTTCCTCTGATCAACGGCTAGTTGCACTCCCTATCGTCTCATGGCAGACCAAGCGCAAGGCGACATGTTCGTATAAATTGCTCGCTTCTGCATGCACGTCACGGAGAACTGAAACTGTTTCCTGTTTCGTGCTGCTTTGGTTAGGCATCATCAGGCGTCTGGACAACAGGTAAGCATCATCACGCTCGTTATACGGCTGTAGGCTTACCTCACCACGTCGCCACCGATTCTCCAGACAGTCCATACACTCGATGGAGTCGATGCTAAATCGGCTTTACTTCGGAGGGGTTATCACGCCTTAGCATTTGGAGCAGGCGATGCTCGCCTTCACTTCGAGAACCATACACACTGCAGCTCATTCGACGACGTACCCATCAGCTACGACGGTTCTACCTCTTGTTTCTTCGTCCAGCGTGATGCTCTCGGTCGTTCCCACTCGCCTATCTTTCTCGACCTTAATCCCAACCCCGCCGCACCGTCAATAATCAGTCAAGAATACTGGCAGCTTAACACCGAGGCAGACCTTGGAAGGTTCGTCAAGGGCGACAATGTAAAGCTGGAAGATACCATCTTTCTGCTTCACGAGGGAGTCGAAGGCGCTCTGGGGTTGACTGTCGAACAGGCAGTGCAAGGGAAAGGAACACATTTGAAGGGGTGGAAGGAGACAGCGAATCTCGGAGACAAGGCGTCCGCTCACATTCGATTATGGGTGAGTTTGAATTTGTTTTTATTTTATTTTTTATTCAATTTTCATCAACTTGAATTATTCGGTGACTTACTGGACTACGCCCACTCCCCTACTACTCCTTTATCCTACAGTTTCCAGGCCGCCAGTCGTGGAAGCGTCAGATTCAGACCAAGGACCATACGTCCTCAAGGAACCCCATACTACTCAAAGGCTTCGTTCAACACATTGGACGATGTGTCGAGGCATACTTCCAAAAGGTATTCAGTCCTCTTGACCCACGCTGATGACTTTAAGATCTTTACAGGTCGCGCCAGACGCTGACGCGACATTCTTCTCTCCAGAACGCAGCCCTTTGCTCTATATCAGGAGAACCGATCACGTCCAAAGAGCTCATCATTCTCGGTGCGGTTCACGTATCAGCAGGGAGCTGGCAGCCCATTTTGGCTTACAATATGCGTGAAACTGTTGAATGAGGATTTCAGAATCATGGTTCAAGCCGGAGTTGGTGAAGTGGTGATGATCATGATCATGATATTTCGTTATGTACTATCCTCTTTCGGTCTCATCAAAACTTGTGTCAGGTAGTGAATTTCGCGTGCTGGGCCGTCTTCGATGTCTGTTAGTTGTCTTCCCACAGTCATACGCTGTTCAGCAGGGTGAACCGCAGATGCTCGCATCCTTGATTCGTGCATGCCATCGTGTTGTGTGGCGTGAAATTGAACGGCCGACAATAATACAGAGCAGTGGACTTGTAGCAAGTTAGTGCTTCGAGGACTTCATACTCAATCGCAGAACGAATGTGCTGCATTTTTGAAGCAACAAAAATGCAATATTTACGGCCATGCGAATGCGTAACTTGAATCCATACACTTATGCACTATCGACTTTCAACTACCAGTGATACATGATTGCACGGTTCTGTGCGATGTCACAAATTCTTTCCAACTAAGCAACGCAAGATACCCAGAATTCTCTGTCGCTCATAATCCTACGTCATACTATAGACGATGCACTTGGTCACTGAAGAGTTTTAGGGAGAATGGGAAAATATTCGACGTACAGTCATAACCTAGAGCAGTAAGCGGATGGGCAACGGAATATATCAATTGACCTGAGCAAGCAGGGATCGGACCTTGATGTGGTTGTTGACGTTGAGGACCCCATCCTTCTCGACATCATCGACGAACGTGATGTTGACTTGGGGAGCGAAGAGCAGGACGTGCGTGGATCCACCGAACTGGAACATCCCAATCTCCTCGCCCTGCCGGACCCGCTGTCCCCTCTCCACCGACAAGACACATGTCGAAACCTCGACCATTCCAACGCCGATGAAACCGACCGTACCAACCTTTGGATTATCAGCCTCGATGAAAATGATTGCACGAGTGGCCGACTGGGTAAGCCAAGCTTGAGAACGGATGAGGGCGCCGTACGGGGCACCTGGCTCGAAATCCGGATCGCCCTCCTCTGCACCTCCGTCGGGAATAACGGCGCAGTAGGTGCCTTGGATCACCTCGGCCTTCACGATAGTGCCGGAGACGGGAGCGCGCCAGCGATGGTAGTCGTAGGGGCTGAGGAACGCCTGATAGACGGTCCCACCGGTGAAGTACTCTGCGGCTCTTTCATCACGATTGAGCATATCGTAGAGAGAGTACTTCTGGGACTTGAGCCAAAACTGATCGTGGGCTTTGACTTTACGGTCGAGGCGAAGCACCGCGGACTCGCATGCGCTGAAGATATTGTCCGGGTTCCCGTCGGAGAGGATGGGGCGGACGTCATCCTGGAGCTCGCGAGTGAAGAAATCGTTCCAGGACTTGTATCCACGATCGACTTGGTTCGGTTTTGGGCATACGTATGTCGAGTTGAAGTCGCCGCGACCCTTGTCCTCCAGCCTCTTTAGGCCATCGATGCTGAACCAGCCCCCTTCCTGGTCGGTAAGCGTAGTGTTTGAGTCGGAGGACTTAAGAAATGTGCCCCAACTATCGAGTAGATCCTTGCAGGCGGTGTTGAATTCGGGCTTTCGAAAGAGCTCGTAAGCTGCGGCGGTATTGCTCAGCAGGTCAAAGACAATGTAGACAGGGACCCCGATAGGCTGCCCAATGTCGTTATCGATGAAGCTGGGGGGTTGGACAAGAATTGTGTCGAGGCAATGGAGCAGGGATTCGAAGTCGTCGATCTAGAGAACACTCAGTCTATTGGTAGGGAATAGAATAGCTAGGTAGATGGCGTACATGGTTCTGAGGAGCGGCCTGGAGAAAGATCTGCTGGAACAGTTCGACCATCTCGGGTTCGGCGTTGATGGCATTTTCGAAATCGTCCACCGCCCGAATATGAGCGGACCCTGCCTTGCGACGCGCAGCAGCTTTCTTGTTCAGATGGTGGAAGAATTTCTCATAAGTATTTTTACTGTGAGGCAGCCATCCCTCGTAATGGACGGTAGAGGTCTGAGGGTACAAGTCTGCTGATGGCATTGTTCTGGAATAGTCGTCAGCATGTGTCTATGGAACAAATATTATTTCCTCGGAGGAAGACTCACAAGATATACGCTATTTCCCTGGTGCTTTGGTAGATGCGGAGAGTGAGGAGCCAATGTCTGGATCTCCCCAGCTAAGGTCTTTTATACGATAACGAATATTTGTTGACGCTTTGGAAAACAAGTCGAATCCTGCGTAAAATGAAGAGTCACAAGCTCTACTCGAAGTAAGCAAGGTAAAGCCATTGAGTCAGAGTAAACACGACATTCAACTGGATCAAGCGATCGTATTCGGTGGAGGACGATTAAGTCCGAACGAGCATGCTATGTCAAAAATGCTTCAACAAGGATGGATACCTCCCTAAAGGCCACGCTTGCACTACTCAGTGTCAGGGAATGACAGTCGACATGTGATCCTGCGATGGAGAATAGCCATCCCGCGGTGGTGGGCGCTCAGAATGCAACAGCTTTGATGAGGAATGCATATGTGTCAGTTCATAGACCGGAGAATTCGTGTCGTGTTGACATCGACCAGAGCTACAGAGTTGTATCACGACTGTGAAAATATCCCTCCACCCGAATAGTTCAGAAGCGTCCAGGTCGACGCGCATCCACTTTCGGGCACGGAATCATGACTAATTTCACGTCGCACGTCGAAGAGTCTTCACATACATTCTGTGAAACTGAACGTATGACCACGTATACGGTCGATTCGCCGAACGGGATCATATCTTCCGCATGAACATCCACCCAGCCTCGTACTGGGCCCGCTTGACGGCGACTCCCAAATCGTGAGCAGCCTGCATGGCCCAGTGCGGATTCCTAATAAACGCTCTCGCCAAAGAGACAACGTCGGCCTCGTTCGCCTCAACGATGGCATTGGCCTGAGAAGACGTCTCTATGAGGCCCACTGCGCCAATGGGCATATTGGGGTATTCTTTCTTGATCTCGGCTGCAAAGGGAACCTAAACAATCCTTTCAGCATTTTGAATCCTTTGCTCAAACGGAGAGGAAGAAAACCTGGTAGTTCGGACCCACGGGGATATTTTGTGCGGCCCAATTGCCTCCAGTCGAAACGTCGACGAAGTCCACACCCAACTTCTGCAGCTCTCCGACCAGCACTTTCGTCTGCTCGATGCCCCATTGGATCCACGTTCCATCCTCCGCCTTCTCTAGGCCTTCCGCCCAGTCTGTGGCACCGATCCGGTAGAACAGAGGTTTCTGGCCCCAGGCCTCGCGACAGCGTTCCACGACGCGAAGTGGCCATCGCATCCGATTCTCCAGAGAGCCACCGTAGCTGTCGGTTCGGACGTTGGAGAGGGGGGAGACGAATTGGTTGAGAAGATAACCATGCGCTCCGTGAAGTTCGATGAAGTCAACTGATAAACAGTGTCACAATCAATGCATGAAGGGTTTGATGACCAAGAATGCAATATTTACAGCCAACTTCTTCGCATCTTTTGACAGCAGCGACGAAGGCATCCTCGACGTATATCATGTCGTCCTCGGTCATAGCATGAGGAGTATGGTATTCTTGGGCATACGAGAGCTCGCTAGGTCCAAAGACTGTGTATGCTATTAGTTTTCGAGTGCGCCTCGTCACAGAATATGCGCACCTTTGTCGGGCCAGCCTCTTTCGTCCTCACTCGCAGCCCAACTGACGGGCTTTTGATCCCTAAGAGCTTGGTAATAAGCCCACGGAGCGAGGGTCGAGGATTTCCTGCCGGCGTGCGCCAATTGGACGCCTATCTTCGTTCCCTGCGAGTGAGCGAAGTCGACGATACGTTTGAGAGGCGCAATCTGGCTGTCCGCCCATAGTCCCTGGAGAATCCTATATGAGGCGGGACGATATGTCGATAGAGGTACAAAATGGCATACAGCGTCTTCAGGCGAGATACGTCCTTCAGGAACAACGGCTGTAGCTTCCATGCAAATCGCACCCACACCACGCGTCGCAAAGCCCTAGATGTGTGACAGAAACGGTAACGTTAGTGAGGCAGGGTAGCGTGAAGCATAGTTAACATACACCGTAGTGAACGAAATGCCAGTCAGTTGCATCGCCCTCAACGGAGCTGTATTGACACATAGGTGACTGCCCAATCAAATAAATATGTCAGCCCCATTGTCGAGGTCTGACACCCAGAAGAAAAAAATTACCACGAAAACGCGGTTATGAAAGGTCACATCACGAATGGTCAGTGGCTGGAAAAGCGGTGGTATGTTCTGGGACTAAAGATCAGATATTGTCAGGTCGATAGATCAGCGCTAGGACGATACAATTCTTAGCGGAGTGTGGCGCCTGGACGTACACTTGGTAGCGTGGCACCAACGCCAGGTTCGTTCAGAGGATAGAACTCCTTTGCACCTGGTACGGCTTTGTTGATGTTGGGCATCTCGAGGAGGGGAGGACGAAGAAAATGTGGGAGGATGGACGTATAACAGCACAGAAGATGTGCCGCCTTTATAGACCAAGACTGCCTCAGACTACGCATCAAAGCAAACACCATCCACCTAACTCAACATACTACTTGCCTTACGAACAAACCATGACAGTGTTTTTCTCCGGAATAACGTCGTGACAAAGAAAGATTCTTGTCCTGACTCGCTCATACTGTATCCTGTAGCGTTGACTCGAATGCCGGGAGCGAAGCCTTGGTCGTCTTGAGTCTCCGACGGTACGTGGCAGTGATGATATGGTTATGACTCGCTTGCAACGCGAATAACTTCAAATGTTGGGTATGATGGACCTGAAAATACAATCGTCAGCTAAGCCGGTGGGTGCCATACTGAAAGGACTTACGACACAATGTTGAAAGAGGTCAGGTTAAGCCCAAAACTTTTAGATGGCACCCTAATTTCAAAGATGCCAGACGAACGGAGCGTTTGAGTCTGACGGCGTCAAGCCCAATATGAGATTCAAAATGGGGAGTCGATTCCTACAGTGGTAAATATACGACAGCGCGACAAGGGAAATAGACGATGACAAAAAAGATATAAGATAATGAAGTAAGGGTAAAATGCATCCCAGCCAGACCCCGAAACAAGACGAAACATGAACCACCAAGGCAAGTGAGTAGATCAAATGGCGCCCTTGATCTGCACCTTCCGATACTTCTCCTCGAAAGCCTGTGCGAGCGGCCCCGACGCTGTCTTACAGTCGATGTTCTTGTCCGGGTCAGGACTGCCTGCGTTCTTGAAGATAGCGGCATTGTACTTCTGGAGAAATTCGCGTACTTCGGTGTAGTTGTCGAAGGCGAGCTCTTGCATGACAACATGGAGGGATATTTGTTGGTATCTGTAGGTAGTGATTTCAGCCAACGAACCACACGCGGAGGATATCGATGTAAAAGAAAGACACGTACGATTTTGACATTGAAAGTAACGCTCGTATACGTTCTCTCTCTACAAAATGATCCATGATGTAGCCGCCCATGTTCGGTGCTTTCAGGTACTGGTCAAAAAGTGCATGATAATTGCCCATCGCAATGGATCGCTGAACGGCCAAGGCATGTTGCACCGCCGGTGTTCCTTTCAACTCTGTCGTTAGCTGACCTACGTAAAGGTTTAAATCTGTTACAGGAGGAAAATTAGCGGTAACCAGATTTAATGAAGCAGACGAAGGGTCAGAAAGAAGCGGGACATACCGCTTCTATTGTGGCCATGAAGGAGCGTGAGAATGTGATAGGCCGTGAACTCTGAGATCTTTCCAGGTATCCCGAGTTCGTACAACGTCTTGAGGGTTGCTTGGCACGCATTATACTCTACCATGTCACTCTACAAGAGAAACAGTACGTACGCCACATTAGCATCATGGCAGCGAAGAGAAAGGAGGGCACTCACCGATTCCAGAGCCATACGCGCGTGGATCTCGTAGACAGTAACCGTGAAGTCGTTCTTTATTCGCTGCACCTATTGCAACAACGGATCAGGCTTAGTTAGAGAAAATTGTGGATATACTCACTGTGAGATCTTGCCGCAAGCTCTTAAGTTGGCTACACATCCAGTTGTAATTGGTGCTCTTTGCTTTCCACCGTGTCGTAAGTTCCGCAAGGGTTCTTTTCAAGACGGGGAACGGCCGTATCAGTTCAGGTTTAGGATCCTGTGAGGTACGTCTAAGTTGAGAGGCACCCGTGGGGCGATCAGTAATGCGGCACTCACTGAAGTCAAACGAAGATAGTCTTTGAAAATTTCCTGAGATGTCCCAACGATTGTGTGTTTGTCCCAATTGGGCACGTTCTGAAGAGGCATGCTCCATTGAGTATACATTCGGACCGTGATCTTGCAAAGATGACTCACGGGATCTCCCTCAGGACCGTCCGGGCTCAGGAAAGGAGAGCCAGAGCGTAAGTGGTCGTACAGGTGAGAGTTGCGAGGATTATTTCTGAAGAGCGAGGCCTGACCACCAGTGTTATACGTAGGGGTGGCCTTCTGAGCTTCAATCTGGTGCTCTCTGGCGAAACGCTGTGCCCGTCTGTCTAGAGCAGCGCGATCGTTTACATCGAAAGAAGTATGGGCCGCAGCCTTTGCCATTTGGTTCTTCTTTGCCTTCTTATTGTTGGGAGAAATGTTGTCTTGGCTGATCGGCGGGAGCGTGGTACGAGGACGGAAGGGCATGAGACGGCGTGTAATTCGGGCGGGCACATAAGCGAACAGACGTACAGTTTGCGTTTCAAATTATTAGCAACGGGCAAGGGTTTGGGAAGAAGACTTCAGATTCAAGATCAACTCTGTGAGCAGTAGTGCGAAGGTGTCGGCATATCATGAAAAATACAGCACCTCTGTAACTGCACGCCGGCCCAGTCCGTGGTCCACAACGCCTTAGAGTTGTAAGCGTCAGAGATTACCTTTCGTAGTTCTTTCTGGGCCTCGTCCTTATTGGAATCTGTCATCTTTCCCAAGCAGCCTGCGACCCATTCTCTGAAGCAAGTGTAAACTGGCATCAGTGCAAGTCCCGACAGCAAGTCAGCGAAGACCCACTTCAATGCTGGAGGCCACGATTCAGAAGATGCCATGACTGAGCAGTGTCGGTTTTCAGAGGGTTCAGAGTAGAGAGGTTCAAGGGGGCTGGGCGGTGAGAGTGTGACGAAAGCTGAAGTGCAGAGAATATCAGTGTCGAGCGGAGGTATACGGACGAAAGAGAGGATGACGGTCAACGGCGCTGGGTAGCGCTAGGTCAACTGGCCGTGGGAAATTCGCGGCAACGGCCATCATTCATGATGATTCATCAGACACTTCGGTGGCGTTGGCCGTTGTTCTCTGACGCTGCGTGGACCAGATGCACTCTGTCGCTCTCCTCTCGGGTCTCTTATACATATTCTGGACAGTGATGGGCAATAATCCTAGTGATTACTGGAACAGTAGTAAAAAAAAGTGATATATAAAATATTACAGAGAAATTTGTCGACAGAAAACAAATCGATAGTAAGGAACACCATGATCAAGAATCCAGAAAGTAGAATGTGTCACAGAGCACAAGTACGAGATCAACCCAAATTTTCGAGACCAGATAGCCTAGATTTTCGAGGCACTGGGTCATCATTCGTGAAGGAGGCCGAGGATGTTCGCTTCCGTTTTCCTGAAGACTGCGTGGAATGCATCATGGTGAGCGAGTGCAAAGCTTTCCAAAAGATCAAAAGAACTTACCGAATTTGTACCGCACGGGAAATCGTCCTGGCGCAAAGCATATGTGAGCACTCTTGATGTGTATCAGCAAATGAGCGGTCCCACCTTATCGACGACGGATCGCGCACGACATGTCATCCGTGTTCGTGCTGAAGACAACGATTCAACCGTAAGAGACAAAGACGGGAACGCCGAGGTAGACGAAGACGGAGTCAAAGATGCAAAGGCAGACAGCGATAAGGACGAAGCAAGCGAGGTCGACGACGAAAGAGATGATAGCGCCGAACAGACTGAGCTAGACGAAGAAGCCGACGACAAGGACCAAGATGAGGATAGAGAGGCGTTTTGTGGGCCTTCGAAGCTTGCTGAAGAATAGAAGGTCGGCGGAGCCAGTTTCTATGAGATATTATAAGCGTCCATACCTCCCGAGAATATCGACGGTATGAGCTACGCACAATTCTTGAACTAGATTTTTTGGGCCTTCGTATCTCTTTACTTGCCTCCAGCAAGATGCTTCCCAACTCCGCAGGGTAGACATACACAGGATCATAATCCAATGGAGCTTGATGGTAGTAAAAATCTGCAGGATGGCCCGACCAATAATTCAAAACAACTCACCTCCCCATATTGGCGAATTATCCGAATCTATGGAAACAACTTATAGTCAACACGCGATTGGCAAAGATTTCCTTTGGAGCGTACCTTCTAGATCGTCTGAGGAAAGATAGTCGATACCACGCGAACACGACTCGTCCTCTGAGTCGGGGTCGCTCAGCACGTCTGTGGCCTCGGTCTCCGATTCACCCTCGTAGCCAGCGTCGTCGGTGGAGTTGACTTCATCCTGGGGCTCAACTATGCCTGGTTTATGCTGTCCATAGACATGTTCAACTCTGAATCCGTCTACGATCCAATCGTCTTAGCCTCGATTGGCTTTTCGGAGAGAGAAACACATGAGTAAGGGAAAGAAACTAACTCTCGTCTGGACATAAAGATTGTCGTTAGCTCGACCCCATTATGAGAGGTAAAAAAACTCACTATAGGCCCGTTGTGAGACGACGTCCTTCATATCACCATCCTCGCACTGTCGAAGAGGCAGAGGTCTTTCCTCCAGGGCGATCTTTACCTTCTTCCTATAGCCGCAGTCAGTCATAGCTATGTAGAGTACACGTCAATGCCCACTCACCTATCGGCCAAGCGCGTGATAACATATACAATGACCGGCTTCAAACAGCTCTCTAGCAACCTGATGGTCTCCACCGTTCCCTGCTCATCAAACAACGCTTGAACGACCATCTCGAACTGTTCTGCACGCTTCTTAACCATCCCTAGTGGGAGCTCCGACGGGCGTTTCTCCAGCGAGCGTATTGCATGGATGAGAGAGTTCGGGTCTTCTTCAGAAGACGTGGGCGGGTTGGCAAGTTCTGCAAGGATAGCGAGGGTTTTGTTAGTGATGAGAATGCATTGGGCTTGCTACAGCATAAACCACGTAAGTACAACTAAACCAAGGGTATTGTTTAATGGATATGAACATACAACAATGAAGCTCGTAGGAGCATCCGGGCACCAGTATGTTAGGAGACCGAACATGAGTTCGTCGAGGAGAGCATCCCCGCCGACTTCCATATGTTGGTTCTCGGTCAGGGAAGGACATATTTCGATAGAAGAGCGGACTTCGACAGGTATACTCGACCAAATCGAAGACGGCGGGCAGTCAGCGAAGACGATGTCGCCAGTGGCAAGAGCATAGACAAGGTCTTCTTGGACTGCTTGTTGGAGCTCTTGAGAGATGCTCTGGTGAGGTATAGAAGACATAACTGAACAAAAGAATGAATGACGGAGGGAGGTTTCGCGAGGAGCCAGTTCCAGCCTGGGTATTATGCGTGATGAAGAGCACAAGTCCAACTGACTGATTTTGAGTTGATTTTGAGGAATTAGACTTGACGCAGAATGCGGATCCTCGATCACGCCACATCAACTTCTGTGGCGCCAGCGAGTCGGCTCGTCGCACTGCACTGTTTGCTTCACTTTAGTCGCAAGCGATTCACGCAGTTACAATTGCCTGAAACGTAGCGGATGAGAGCAGTATATGACGATGATTGATGATAACATGCGGTAAATGTCCAAACACGATGAGCGACCCTCTCATGCAATATTATTTGTCTTGTATGATTAGTCCAAGCCTTCAAAAATACATACGACACGGCCGGCAGCCTCTTTGATCCCACAGAGATGACTATCCACCGGTAGTCCCAGCGCATAATGTTTGTCGCAGTATAAACGTCACTGGATTGATCAAGTCTGCAAGCGATCTGGAAATTGATAATATGTGAGCATCATGGAAATGCTCGAGCAGAGATTAGGTACGAGAAGTGGATATTGCCATTCAGCGCTGTTGACCCTGAGCTTTTCATGAGCATCATGTGCGTTCAGAAAAATGTCAGAGACCCCAGGCAACCCATCAGTTTTCCGTTCTTGATAACAACCGCAAACGGTTCCTTCGTCATGCCGCTGGCGCAGTCACGGAGTCTACCAGGATGAAGTTGCTACCTTCGCCTCAGCGAGGGAAGTCCTCTCTGCGAGATCGTGAGATTGTCATCATTTGGGTGTGTGAATCCCGGGGAAAACGCAGGCTGTAGTCTGCTGTAGTGTAGACAGAAGATCTCTCGACATAATTCGTAGCTGAAGGGGTCATGATAGAACCGCGCCGTCGAACGTCATAGACATTACGAAGAAGTGCGCCACGAGCAAATTCTCTGCAAAAGTAGAGATGGCAAACATCACTTACCCTTCTTTCCAACCCATTGTCCATAAGCCAGACATGATGATTGGGGAATCGCAGCGTGGTTTCTGTTGGTATTCGGGAGAGAATTCCTCTGGTGACTCTGCTAGTGAGTATGAGAAGCTTGCGCGTGGCTGTTAGATCTGAGTTCAGTAGAGCTAATTTCACCAATCAGGAAGAGACGTACGTCTTGAATGCTCTAATGCGAGATCATCTAATGCGTGGTGAGGTCCATCAGTGATCTTCCTCTTCCTCTTCCCCTTGATCAGGATTTAACTCTTGAGCGACAGTCATGAACCTGAGGTCAGTGTCAGCATGCAACAATCGACATAGACTAAGATATTGGAGAATTATGATAATAACAAACTTACTGAGAGGCATGAATGCCAGCCAGTGTCCTCATAGAGTCCAAGTCCCGTTGCATTTGTCCAAAGAGATCAGCTGTCTGGCCGACTGCCTGAGAAAGTCGAGTGAGGGAGTTGGCTAGGTGGGCGTAATGGCGCTCTTTGGCCTGTGTGGCATTGGTAGGCTGAGACTGGCTCATTGCGTCAATTGTCAGAGTTCGGATCCAACAGTCTCGATGCTGTTCAGAAAGAAAGAGACGACTTCAACCTGCGACAAGACAAATATTTGTGACATCCACGATCTTTGTGACAAATTGTGACCTAGCGCGTTTTCACGCGTTGACTGTCGACGCGTTTTCGACGCGTCCATCATTTGCAAACGCTCAGGGCCATACCCTGTCAATCCAAGCAAACCCTTGCTGTCTGGCTGAACTTTGGTAACATCCTACCCAGCACATATATTGCTCACTGGGGATGGTGGTCACTTGGAGTATTAAACTCTCATGCTGCCATTGGTCGCCACAGAGTGGGCCACAATCTCCGTGATAAGATACCGAAGGCGGTACGCGACCCCGTCTTTTGACTCCAGTTTCACCCGCCATCATCTATGCAACCGATTGAACAGACGGAGCGCCGCCGCTCAAGACAGCGCATCGACGTCTCCTACCTCCACGACCTCCATCTACTTGATAGTACACGTGTCTAATCAGTTCGCGTCGCCGATACTCCAGAATTTTGAACAACTTTTGTCTGGGATGTTGACCCGACGCGGTCTTCTAGCTTGTCACGTCCGCCCTCAGGTTTTGGCTCGGACATGTTCATATTCATCACGCCCGCCATCACTAGGTCTGATTCGCGATGCTCTTCCTGGGTCACAAGTCAGAGGCCAGCCTCACCGATTGTTCGCCCACTCTGCAGTACGCTCCGAAGAAGGCGCCATACCGCACGACTCGAGCTCTTTTTCCAGTCTCAAGGCGAAAGGTACCAGTGATGAAGCGGATGGAAGACCAGAGCATGCTGTCATCTCTACCTTTGACTTGTTCAGTATAGGAGGTGCGTATGCCACCATGTTTGTTGAATACAAACAGGGAAGAAGGCTCATTGGTTGAGTTAGTGGGACCTAGCAGCTCTCACACCGTCGGTCCTATGCGTGCTGGAAAGATCTTCATCAATGATCTTTGGGATCATGGTCTTCTGGACAAAGTGAGTTCAGTGCAAGTCCGATTATTTTGAAAGCCGTCTTAGCTGTGTAAGATAGGTTAAGACCGTAAAAATCGTTTTGTGAGCCCTTTCAGTCCAGTTGTGTTTCAAACTATCTTCTAAGATCTATTGCTCCGCATAGATATGGCTCGCTGGCAGCAACTGGTGAGATAGTGTAACATATCTGGAATGAGGATCAGACTGATGACAAAATCCTGTTCTCGATGAAAAGGCAAAGGGTTGGTATATTTAGTCATCCATATGTCCCACGTAATCTGAGTGTTCTCCTCAGACATCATACCCCTCAAGCCATCTTACTCGGTCTTGAAGGCAAGAACTCTTTCATTTCCACCTGAAAAGGCTCTAATTTGTTTTCAAATTCGTACCCGTAGGCTCAGATCCAGAAACCATCGATACTGGAACCATTCCCTCTCGATACGATGCAATACTAGAGAACAAAACTCTTCTTCTCAATGGAACTCATAGAATACAATATGACATGGATCGCGACATGCTCTGGCGTTGGGATCAAGTATTAAAAACGCACCCTAATGGTATGAGGTTCTCGTGCTTTGGTCAGGAAGGAGAGTTGTTGGCCACAAACGAATACTTCAGGTATACTTGGCACTCTTTACCGCCGGTAGGATCTTATGGCTAAGGTTGCATCATAGTGTTGGTGGTGGTTTTGTCGTGAACGACAAGACCAAAGGTCAGGATGATACCTCGAGGTCATTTAGACTGTGCTGATCTTTGCTGTTCCATAGTCGATGAAAACCTGTTCTACAAAGGCGTAGACAAGAGTGCTGTCTCACCTGCGCGCCTGCAGCAATCTCATTCTCTGGCCGAACCCTTGTTAGACGCTCCATCTCTGGAAGGACCTTCTGGTACCTCAACCGCACCAGAGACTGACAACACCGAAGATGTTCAGCCATTCCACCCTTTCACAAGTGGTGATAGTCTCCTAGGGTTGACGCGAAAACACAATGTGCGCTTTTCGATAGCGTATGCGTCAATATGTGCAGGACTGATACCCTCCGCCAATTCCTAGATGACGATTGCACAGATCGTCTACGACAACGAAAAGAGCTTCGGCCTTACCGACGATGAGATACATGCCAAGGTAAAGTGTCTTCTCTCTTTGTATCGGGATCATAGAACTCATTACCATCGACCATGTACTCAGTTGATGCGTATATGGAGAGTCATGGATGACTGCATTCGGACTGGAGTACACACTTCAGAAACGACCCTGCCCGGTCGACTGAGACTTCGACGGAGGGCACCGATGCTATATCGACGATTAATGCGCGGTTTCTACCCTGGACTCTCGACTCCACACTTCGCCGCAATAGGCGCCGGTTCAGCCATGGACGGCAAGCCAGCTGGCTCCATTGACGCCCCAGAGTTCGCACGACCCGGCCTCGCAGGATTTGGCCCGTACACCAGCACGGCGCAGGAACCTCAGCCGCAAAGTAGTGTTCATGATCAATCTGTCAGCGCGAGGAAGTCAGCTAGGGCCACACGAGTTGTTGGTCAGTTGGACCATGCGGTTCTGCCTGAGCCACCTGTGAGTTGCCTATTGATCGATGGCAAACACGATACTTTGGTGAGACTTACGACTTGATAGAGAAAAACAATGATCCCCGCGATGGATTTCTTGTCGTGTTATGCTATCGCGGTCAATGAGGTCAACGCGAGCGGGGGAAGAATTGTTACTTCTCCCACAAATGGAGCTGCGGGTGTGATTCCTGCAGTGCTGAAGTACATTGTGGAGGTGCGTTCATTCGACAAATCTAAATTTTGCCCATGCAAACAGTCGTTGAAGATCTCTGACCTGTGGTTTGTCTTAGTTCGTCAGCGATGATCCGGAAAAATCGGTCATCACGTTCCTTCTGACCGCTTCTGTGGGGTTCTTTTTGCACCTCGCGCGCGGAGCAACTTCTGACATACAATTTTGCGCTTCACAGGCTATCGGAATGCTTTTCAAACGAGGCAGTACAATTTCAGCCGCAGAAGGAGGATGCCAGGCGGAGGTCGGAGGTCCGCTCCCTGCTTCATCGTTCGATTAGACTCGGTGGTGACGAGTCCCCGACAGTTGCTTGTTCTATGGCCTCTGCTGGTTTCGCTGCTTGTATGGGTGCTTCTCCTGAGACCGTTCTTCAGGCAGCTGAAATCGGAATCGGTCAGTCGTTTGCTATTGTCATAGGTCCTTCCCAGCGGAATACTGATCACGCTATACGGATCCTTTTCTAGAGCATAACCTCGGTCTTACCTGCGATCCTATCGACGGGCTTGTCCAAGTACCCTGCATTGAGCGGAACAGCCTCGGAGGTAATATACGATCTCCCCCCACCTTTATGTCACTACGTCTCCTCTGGCTGACCTGGTTTGTACTGCTCAGCCGTCAAAGCCGTCACCGCTGCTCAGCTCTCTATGGCCGCTGACGGGGTGTACAGTGTCACGCTGGACGAAGCTATCGAAGCCATGCGCCTTACGGCCGCAGACATGAGTGTGAAGTACAAGGAGACAAGTCTTTCGGTGAGTTAATAGCTGCGAGATCTCCTGTTTGCGTCTACTGAGGCTAACTACCATACATTTATCGTAGGGGCTTGCGACGACGGTGAAGATTCCGTTGACAGTGCCCGCGTGCTAGCGTTGTCATGTAAGTCATTTCGACAACACAGTGGATGCGGTTAGGACGATACCGATATTTAGCGCCTTCTATAGAGTTTTCGCCCTGCGATGCATCTCTGTTTTATCTTGCTATTTCGTGTTTTCATTTACATAGAAGATACCGATCGTTCTCCGGTTTGACGTTATGGATACGTATGGGTGATAATTTAGTGACCCGATATCGTCAGGAGCGACGTCGGGTATGATTCCGAGAGTTGCTCCTCACACGACTTACCACCGCACACAGTGTGCGACCGCAAGTCCTGACTTTCATGACCGTCGGCCTTTTTCAGCCAGGCCAACATGACTGACGTGCGCCTATGTGGTAATCCCATTCCGACGTTACGCGACGGCTCACCTCGTCACCACTGATCAGCTTATTGTCTGTCGCGAGCATCGGGCGGACCTGACGAACATACCGCCGGAGGTCTGCTATTCCTGCGGCTGTCGAGAAACACCGGAACCCGACAGTTGGATTCCGTTGCTTTGTTGACTAGGATCGTCCAAGTATCTTGTGGAGTATGTTCAACTTGGTACGGCTTTGAGATATTTCAAATACGAAAAACGTCCGGCTTCGTCATAGCTCCTCCTGTGGAAAGGCAGGCAAAGAACTCGACTGAGGCCAGTGTGCGACATTCGGAAACATGGATGGGGAAAGTCAAAGAAGATTACTGCCGTGTACAAACTTCTGGAAGATGATCAATGTCAAGTGGTGGATGGGAAGCCACGGAGTCCTCACGAGGAGGTCGTTGAATCTGGTGGCGTCGCTTCTTCAGCTGTAAGAACGGGTTCAGCCGTAGCACGAACCATTCTTCACACTCGACGACGTCCCACGAGAAATAAGGATGTGAGAATGCATTGCTGGTCGGCTGTAGCGACCCCTTGTGGGTAAGGAGAGCGGCAAACTATTAAGCATACGAAGTACATCCGCAAGACGCGAGATTCACGTCGGCTACAAGTCCCTGCTTTGACCGAATTAGTCGAACAAGAAGAAAAGTTTATAGATGGCAGCGTACTCTAGAGTCTAAAACAGTATCGAGGGTGACGTCGTATTTGACAGGCCCACGGTGATCATTGCTCGGCTCAATTAATAACATAACCAAACCCCACCGGCGGTACAGAAATAGAGACCCCGGACGGTGTCTTCAATTTCGCTCCCACTCGCACAATTGTCGATCACGACACAGTATTGAGATAGGGCCGCGCGCTCAGCCATCAGGGTGGAAAACAAGAAACGTGGATCCAAAAATATACAGCGAAGGTCGAATGCGAGTGATCATACAAATGAAGAATACTAGGAACGGAACTAGAAAATGAAAGTTGCGTGCGCTTCTCGATCGTGTGCGTTGCGGCCACGAGAGGCCAAGAAAGGAAAATATGGAGAATTAGAATCGAAAGTCGAAGACGAAAGGGCTGAGTGCTTATATTGTAGCTGTGGCTGGCGAGCGCGGGAGAGTCGATTCTTAAGGAGGGCTGTCGGACGAGATGGCGTGAGTGACCGTGTGCAAGTGGGTATATGTAGAGCAGATGAAACTTAGAAAGGACTCTGATGTAGTCGTGATCGAGAACTTTGGAAAGCGTACATTCGGGCCCCTTGCTGCAAGAAGAATTCCGTCAAAGGCGTTTGTGCTAGAGTGACAAATTCGTTCAGCAGGCATCTTACAAAGCTCGACAATGACAACTGGTGCTTACGAGGCGCAATATATGTGGCTCGCTCCCGGACTTCAAACGGCTGTGTTATGGTGTACGTCAAGACCGTGCCACTTTGACCGACCTGAACCATCCCTCTTGCGTCCACACTAGATTCGCTAAAGGTGAGAAGCTCATCTGCCCTGCTCAAGGGGAAGTCTATCGTACCTAGAAAGCCGCATCAGAGAAATGCGCAGAGTGTATAGACCGCGGTATCGGACGCTGACGTCCGGAAAGAGAAAATATATGCCGGGACTGCCATGCAGATTGCGCAATGAGTGGGGCGACGAGACGATGTTGCCGTAAAGCAGACGATCAGGTGGGAAAGCCCCGCTACCGCGCCGCTCGTCCAGCAGAGTCCTGCCATCTCCGCTATAAAGCGAAAGATGTGCGATAAAGAACGGCAGGTCCGGCTCACTGCAGATTTCCATCAGATGGGTTGAAGGATGAAAATCGTGCCCTGCCTTACTTCTCAATGACATTTCCTCTGAAGTCGCGTATGATGAGTTGTACGAAGAGCGGAGGTGCAATCGGTAGACGAGACAGGGCAGCAGCCCCGAACTCTGCCGTAGTCTCCGGTTGTTGCACAACTTCCAGATGGTATGTTCTTTGGTCCGTCAATATTGTAACGATTAGAACTCGCTGTACGGTTCTAGAAAGATGGGCAGGTCACCTAGCGTCTCCAGAGCTGGAAGAAATTGTGGTAGGAATCTCGCGTAGGCTGCTTGACGGTAAAGGGTAGGAAGACACGCTTCCGCGTAGTGATCTGGAGGGACCGCTCCCCCACGAAGATGTCGAACCGCCGCTCGAAAAATGCTGGGGTGTACGTCCTGAGGTGTGACCGCTGGTGCGACCACTTGCAAGACGTGCCGATGAGGTATCGCAGAAATTTGGAAGTAAGGAAAGGGATGCCGTGGTAGCGAGTGTGCAGCTATGGAGAGGCAAAAAAGCTGAACAGAAGATCAAACATATATAAGAGCAAAGACTGCAGAGTTGAGACTGGTCGAAGAGTCAGCTTCGAACACGTTTACATTCAGTTAAGCGAGACATTACGCACGGTCAGGGCACAAATTGCGTTGAGAATCCTGACGACCTGGAAGCAGTCATTCGAGAATGCAGAATCTTCAAACGGCGCCCTCCGGGAAACCTTCGGATTATGGAAGGAACCTTTCGATAAGTGAAGAAGCCGAGGCGGAGAAAGCATTATCGTGAAGTGCGCCTTCGCCTGGCGGGAACAATAATCGGCAGTGGCACGGTCACTCGTCGATTCAGGGGAGAAGCCTTCACTCATGTTATATAGGTAGTTAGCCTCGGAAGTACGGAACAGGAGAGAGCCACGATAGTCTCAAGCTTTGATGCAGACTTGGATCTGGCAGACCCGGTATGGGGGAAGGGGAATCCGTGGCAAATGGGGATCTCTGCTGAACTCTGTTCGATGTACCCGCTGTAACCGGGATGACAAGTTTCGGAACCTGTGCAGCGCATCAAGACTCAGTGTTCTTTTTACGAGATGTTCATGAAGGGTCTGGAATATATACAGTTGCGAGATTGGCGATGAAAGCAAAAGCGATGCGCGGTAGAAATGATGAGGGGGGAGTCTAGATTACATAGGGTATAAAGTACTCAAACGCGTGTCTTGACATAACTCCAAGCACCCGCGAGACCTGCGATCACAGTCCCGGCAGCCAATGCAGGCTTCACCCCGGCTAAATGAAGAAGGGCCATGAGAGAGCGTTCGTGACCGACACACACGACTGATCGCACCTGTGGATTTGTAGAGTATACCTGTCATAGCACCAGCCGACATACTGCCCAATGCGTCGTGCTTTCCCCGTACGGAGTCAATGGTCGAATTTATACCGTTGTATGCCAAAGCTATCACAGAGCTGTGAGAACAAAAGGAGACCGGAGGAGATGAAAGTAGACGGACCTAACACGCCGGCGGAATTGCCCAAGAATGTGCCTCGCCGTGTAATGGCGTTCAGAATACTATTGATTCGCAGCCTAGAATTGGCAACAGCCAGTGGACGTCGAGCGCCCTCGCGAAAGCCCCATGCACCACCAAGAGCAAGGCCTACAGATGGGAGATGAACATGTGATGGTGGAAAGACAATAAGATGTGACGATAAGGTGAGATTGATATGCGAGTGCCGTGGTCAAGCATGGAAGATCTAGGGCAGGAGACGAGAAAAGAAATTTATAAGAAGAAGGATATGCATACCGCCGAGATACATAGTCCCTGTGCCGTAGCACAAATCATCGCTCCAGCCTCTAGATGGAATTGCTGTTCCTGAGCCGGGCAAGTCGTTCGTTTTGTCGTCATCCAATAAAAGGTAATCGAGCTTGTCTCCAAGCCCTGCCATGGGATGTAGCTTCGCAGGGTCATAGGCACCCAGGAGCACATCTGACGCGGTGACATTTTCGGGAAGAGGTGCAGCAGAGCCGTCTGCACGCGAGAACTGAGCTGTTCGGAGAACGTCAGCGGGGTCTTGGGACGTTGAGGATGATGCCTGAGACGACATTGCCGGTCTATGCAGGAATTAGGATGGACAAGACGGTGAAAGGGCAGCAGAAAGGATTATTCGTCGCCGTTGCGGACGACGTCGGGCCTCGGAAACGATGACGGAGCAAAGGCAAAATTTTGAAGCGGCGCGACAATTCGAGGATTACACGCCGGAGTCCCGGGCTGCACGCCTCACGGCAATCTGTGACGCGACGCCAGTGGGCGACGTCGCCAGTCTACACCAGAACAATTAGCTTTACGAACATGTCCTTCGCCCCTCGCCCCCTCACCCGCCTCTTTGCGGCATCCACCAGATCTATATCACAGCGTGCCCCATCTTCTCAAGCTACCCGCATTAAATTTTCCGTTGGTACAAATCCTTTCAGCCCACGACTTCTCCTGCCATCATCCTCGTCCAACTTCCCGGGGCAGGCAACTTTCTCTCAGAAACGTACGGCTTCTCTGTGTTCTGATCCCAAAATGCTGAACACGACGCTTCTTACCTTTTCTAGGTTGGGCGACGTCGTCGACGCCACAAACCACTTCCGACCCTGCTGAAGTCGAAGCCGCTCAGTGCCTAGAAGAAGGCACCCAGAAACTCGAGGAAGGCGACGTCAACAGCGCTAAAGTGTACTACAGACGTAGTGTGGAAATTAAACGGACAGCAAGTGCTCTTTTCAATCTGGGAGTCACCCATTATCACCTCAGTGGGTCCATCATGTCCTTCCTCGTGTATTTGGCTTCCCGCTCATGAGAATTCTGCTTATTGTCTTGCCAGAGGAATTTGACGAGGCTATCTCCGCATGGAGTCGGTCGTCTCTTTTTAGCTCTATTGAGGCCCGCATCTCACTCTAACTGACTAATTTCACCGCAGAGGAGTCAATAGACCTCCAGCCTTCGAGTGCTGATGCTCACACAAGTCGGTCTCAGGCTGTCTTCCCGTATTCCGTTCAACGCCCTCATTTCTCACCTTCGCAATCTTAGATCTTGCCTCTGCATACATCATATCTCCAATTGCTCGTCCAGATCTAGCTCTCCAGCATCTGAAGTATGTACACCCGTCACTACTTGCGGAGACACCTAATCTCATCCTGACCCTAGAATCGCGTCCTCTCTGGCGCCAGATGATCCCGAGATTGCCTTCAACCTGGCAGCCGTCCTCGAAGCTTGTAGGTTTACCTCCGCTGACACTGTTACCATATACACCTCGCGTCAATTCACGGCTGTCTTGAATCATCTTTACAGGCGGCAGACTAGAAGAAGCTTTAGAACACTACCGCAGAAGCAAGGACTACGGCGTAGATCGTGCTGCCATGCACATAAGGAATGTAAGTCATGTTCTCTCCATCACATAACTGAGACTTTCACATTCGATCTCTAACCGACTTCACGTCATTACTCTGCTTGCAACAGGTCAGCGCGAAGATACTTGGTCAAAAGCTAAAAGCGGAAGAGGAAGCCGCGAAAAAATCGGGCTCCTCCTGAGCCAGGGGTTATCTATGTCGCTTATGGCGTCCACCAGCCACGCTATTGTCTTTCCACCGCTCGCTTTAATTCATTGACCAACATCATAACTATACATATTGGTCCATTTAAACACCGTCTCTGGGCGCCTCTCGTACGAAGACGAAGCCCACTTTGCTTCTCAACGTCTTCTACACAGGATGTCCCAATCATCGTTTGCTGCGAAGTTTTTAGTAGCACAGCGGACGAAAGAGATCTTCGCAGCCTCTCACTCCACGGAGAAGGGATCAGTTGCGGAACCATCTCCTTTCATGCCTGAGCCCTCCAGGACTGACGGGGTAGTTGCATCACCTTGGTCGGTGACATGCACTGAGCTGCCACTGCGATCGTAACGGTGACTTCCGAAGTGGCCTCTGCCTCTCGTATCTGGGAAGCCCGCGTGAACAGCTGCATCGTTCGCCGGGTCATTGCCGCCTGGACTCAAAATATCACCCCCTTGACTGTCTCGTCCAAATGATCTCTGCTCTGGGGAAGAGCTTCTTTGCGAATCCGACCTCCAAGATGACGAGCCGTCCTGGGTTGCACGGCCATACTGCCCTCGGCCTCTCTGGAATCCCGATGAGAATCCGCGACGCCCATTGTAACGCCCCCTGTCGCCACTGTATCCTCGACCTCTACCTCCCCTTCCCGGAAAAAATTGCGTGAGGGGGGCTTGGCTGAGAGCCGCCGTGGTGTCTATTGGTGGCGAATTGCGGACACGCTCGAGAATCGCTAATATGTCTTCATGCGTATAATTGGCCGATGGATGATCGGTTGGGGTCAGCCGTAGCAGTCGCTCGTGTCCTTCGTGAGGCATGGGTGGGCGAAATTGTGACGAGAAGCGTTTTAACACTTGGATTCCAGTCTCCGCATCTTTGATCGTAGGATGATTTAACCCTGCTTCGGGTCGACCAAAAACACGTTGTTAGTGGGCCGTCGCTCCCAAGCTAAACATATATAGGCAAACTGACGGGCTTGAATTCTGGCAACACAGATCTGGAATAGACAAGAATTTTAGCGGTACACTCCGTTAGACGCTTCTTCGAGACTCACATTATAGGGTGTGTCGAACCAGAGAACCCATATGGGGACGCTGTTTCCCGGCGCTTGTCGCGCAATCGAAATCCAGTGCGCTCGTTGTCTGCAGCAAAGTCGGTGGTGCACTTAGTATTATTTAGAGGGAAGAAAAATATGCCCGGGTTATGAATTTATGTGTGACCTACGAAGCATCAAAATTTGTTCGATCGATGCAGATGGACATCCCGTCTCGCAAGGACGAGCGTGCAAGCTGTTCGACGGCTCGACGATCGCCTAACTCATCCTGATTGCACCGTCGAAAATTCGGAAAATAGGTTTGGAGCGCCTCAGCAAATGTTGACTAACAAGTATGCCTCTCCGTTAAAGACCTGAAGCACATGCAGCAAGCGAGACAAATAAGTGGCTCACTTTGCCTGATCCTATGAGGCCAACGAGAATAAGCACAATCTGTGGTGGAATCCCACCGGATTGGGCGACCTCGGAGCTCATAGTTAGTGTACTATGTGTGATTCAAATCAGGGCCAATGAAACAAGGACGAGCTCAATCCACTGCACTTACAGTATGACAAAATGAGGCTTGTTTTGAGTGGTCCGAGTTCAGCTGCAGCTCGGGTGGCCTAAGAAGGTTCGAGTCGGACCGAAGCGAACATCATCGGAGAACGCCGCTTGAAGTTCTCAGGAAAGTGTGGCACTGAGAACTTCACTCTCATGCGAGCCACATCATTTGTTGAAGTCTGCTTCGAAGTACATACACACGCACCTCTCACTTTCCCTGCGATAGTTCCGCTTGTCTATTTTAATGTCCTGTATGCGCTTATAGCTCTGAAGCTTCATGCCGCACGGCGCTATTGCTAAACCACAACCTTCCTAACATGGATATCCTTTCCTGTTGCTGTTTGGTCTCAACGAACTCGAGCTCTGCTCGGTGCTAGTAGGATAAAGGTCTACTGCCGTTCAGTGCTCTTGACTAGCCACTGATTTCAAAGATGTCGAGACCATCAACTGCCGCTCATGATAGTACTCGCCAAACCGGCAGCCTTGGACGAGACTTCCGGGTCGCTATTGTGGGAGGAGGAATATGTGGACTGATTGCCGCCATCGGTCTCAACAAATCCGGAATACTCGTCGACATATTCGAGTCTGCGGTGTGCCTTCTCTCCTTGCCTCTCGACCGTATACTTATCACCAAAACCCCTACTGAACTTGAACCACTGATCGCAGCCAAAGTACGGCGAGGTGGGCGCGGGAGTCGGTCTAGGTCCCAATGCGATTCAGGCTATCAAAGAGCTGGGCATCCTCGACGAGATCATCGCGCGAGCGGACCAGACGCTCTCGCGGCGAGGATTCAACTTCAAGTTTGGTACGGGCGACTGTGACTTCATTTGGAGTGTGCGTGGCCGTTTCGTGGTTGTACTGATTTTTTTTTGCCAACTAACGCGGGATTGCACCGTGCAGTATCCTACTACTGATGATGATTACGGCTTGGGAATTCATAGGTCAGTGATATGCTCAGCGATTATTCGCTTACTACAATCTCTGTTGAACGGGTCTCTATGTAGAGCGAAGTTTCTTGAGGCATTGGCTGAAATCATAGATACGACACTGACTACCGCGCACTTCAACAAACGCTGTGTGTCCGTCGAGAACTCCTCTTCTCGCCCAATCATCTACTTCGCAGATGGGACCACCCATGAGACTGACCTTGTTCTCGGCGCGGATGGTATAAGGTCGGCGCCACATCTGTCTTTTGTTCACAGAGGGTTGCGGAATTTCTCACCCTGGCTACCCCAGGAGTACTGTACGTGCGGCTGTGGTCGGGGAAAAACAAGCAGAGGATTCGCTGTCGTTCAGCAATACCGTCGCATATCGTGGACTCGTCCCCACCGAGACTCTGCGATCTCTCGGGGTAAAGACGGATATGGTGGCGAAACCGCTCTGCTGGGTGGGGGACGGTAAAGTATGACTTTCTCCATCGCCTATCAGCTCTGTTTGACCTTGACCTGGTTGTACTCAGCACATCATTACGTTCCCGATCAAAGAGAACACAGTCGTACGTCGCTTCTCCTTCTTTCACTAGCTCTCACTCACGCAGATCGCACCAACCGCACTATATTATACCTCAGATCAACATCGTAGTCTTCGTAAAGGATTTCTCCATCCCCATCGGCTCCAAACGTCTCCCTCCCTCCGAACCCTGGGTGACCCGCGTCTCCCCCGACGAACTCCGCTCACAATTCGAGAATTGGGGCGACGACCCGCGCATCATCATCTCCTGCCTCCTCGAGCCTTCGAAATGGTCCATCCATAGTCTTAATCCCGAGTTGAAGACCTACGTGAATGGCAGGATCGCACTCATGGGTGATGCGGTACGTCTCGACGTTCTCAGCTTTGTAACTGGTTGTCGGAGGGATAATCTCTGATAATATCACACTTAGGCCCATGGCATGCTACCCCATCTAGGCGCCGGCGCCGGTCAAGCCATCGAAGACGCCGTCCTCCTCTCCCAGCTACTCGGTCATCCACTAACCAGCTCAAGCAACATCCCCTCCGTTCTGCTCGCCTACGACCGCGTGCGCGTCCCCCGTGCTACGATGGCACAAAGAGGGAGCCAGCGCTCAGGCGATATATATGATGGGCATGGAGAGTCGGGGCTGACGCAGGAGGGGATAAGGAAGGATGCGGAGGGGCAGTGGGATGGGGTTTGGCATCATGATTTGGGAGAGGATATGAGGAGGGCGGTGGAGTGGCTGAGGGAGGAGGGCGCGTTTGGGGAGTAAGTGCAGGTTAGACTTCAGCAGGTTCCATGGCTGTTGCTGGATTGGTCCTCTGAAGGAAAGTAACTTGTAAGAATGGAGTGAACGACTATCCGTGTCTCTGGGACAGGCATGGAGATGGTGGTGGCTCGTGACCGGAGACGATACGTGCAGACGCAGCCTGGATGACATATTTTAATCCTAGGAGAATTTCGAGACCATACGAAGTCGTGACCCTTCATGAGCGCCACCCAAGCGCCACCCTACCGAGAACATCACAAATCTCTGAAGGGAGTCCCGAGGGTCGTCTATCACGAAAGAGAGTCCATTCGAAGAGACGATAAAAAAAAAGCCGAGGCGAAATGGGTAGAATGCCCTGCCATTTCTACTACTAACAAAAGAATTACAGGGACCTGGTCCGCCATGGCATGGGCATGCAGACCCTGTTTGATAGTAAATAAAAGTTCCGACCACGTCGCCCAGGGCCTTTGCGAGTCCAAATATCAATATCCAGGTCCATCTCTCTCTCCCCGTCTCTAGTGTTTGGAGGAGGGCGGGTTGTACACTGCAGAGGTAGATAGGGGAAAGAAAAGTTCAAACGCGTCAGGATGTCGATTCCGAGAGCGGAAACGAGTAATGGGAGACGCACCGAGCTTCCTGTTCTTGATGACGGTCCACTTGAAGCGCTTGACGTAGAGAGAGAGCGCGGTCAGGGTGGAGAACAAGATGACGGCCTTGATACCGATCTTCTTCCTGTCATCGTGCTCCGGCTCGGCGGCCCAGTTCAGGAAGGTGGTGACGTCCTTGGCCATTTGTGAAGTGGTCGAGGGAGTACCTAGAAAATGAAATTTGACGCGTCAATTCGCGTCAAAAGTGACGATTCTGAGTGTGTTGTTGAGGACGTACCATCCTCGTACTCGACGAGACCGTCGAAGATGACACGGGGCATGGAGATTGCACCGCCGGGGAAGTAGGGGTTGTAGTTCATGCCCTCACGGATCTCAACGCCAGCTGGTGGGTCGACGTAGCCAGTAAGGAGGGAGAAGATGTAATCCTGCACGAGATTGCACGACCGTCAATTATATCACGTAGGAAGAAAGAAAGAAAAAAAGACGTACGGCGGCACCATGGCGAGCCTTGACAATCAAGCTCAAGTCGGGGGGAAGAGCACCAGCGTTGGAAGCGCGTGCGGCTTCCTCGTTAGGGTACGGTGGTGGCATGTAGTCCGAGAGCTTTCCAGGTCTCTGGAACATCTCGCCCTGGTCGTTAGGGCCGTCGGTGTACTCGACCTCCTCGGCCATGGCCTTCACTTCGTCTACGGTGTGGGAGACACCGACGAGATTGCGCCAGGCGATACGGTCGAGGGAGTGGCAGGCGGCACAGACTTCACGATAGACGGCGTAACCTCTCCGGATGCTGTGGAACCGGTTGGAGGTTGGCGGGGTGGAGACAGGAAGGGGTATGGTGGACGTACCTGGCATGGTCGAAAGAGTCAAGGAGGCCTTTATGAGGCCAGGGGTATGCGGGCGGGTGGAGACCGTCCTCGGCAGGGTCTGAGGCGTAGACTTGACCGAGGAAGGGGAGGCTGCCGTAGAGGTGGGTGTACCATGCAATGGAGCCGACGCTGAGAAGAGTGGCCGACGCGAGCGTGACGCGCGAGTTCACTAGTGACTGGAACACATAAACACCCTCAGAGACAGCGTTCACACGAAAAAACAAGGCGAAGAACGCACCTGGAAAGCACTCGAAGACGCGGTGCCCGAAGACGCAAACCGGACCTGCTAGCGTTGAATTCGGTGTCAAAAAATGGGGAAAAATTGGACATGAACAAAACATACCTGGCTGCGAGTTGCGGCATTGCGGGCTGTTGCCAACGCGCGGGCGGAGGGAAGGGCTGAGGCGTGCAGCCTCGAGAGCATTTTGGGCGGTGGAGGACTTTTGGGAAATCGGGGAGGAAAGGGTCGCAGTCACGTCTCCGTCACGGCCAACACTCCAGCGGGTCGACTCGGGTCCCCTCCACCAATCGCGCCCCCCAGGTTTGCCCCCCCGGCCGACGCCGAGCGCACATCTCAACCATCCACCGCGATTTCTTTCTGATTTTCTAAATTCTTACAAAATACCTCGGAAATTCAGACTATTATTCGCACATTTCAACGTGGATGCCGCGTGTGTCATGTCTGCTTACTCTTAACACAATTTCGTCCCGGCTCTCTCAAGCTACTTATGAGTATAAAACGAGATAAATATTTGCAGAAGCACCCCATTGGGCATCCATACGTGAAACAGCAAGGCGAGAATCATAGACATGGTAGGAGTCTATGCACGACATCCAAGAACGGTCACATAGAATATAGGCACCTAAGCGAATACAAAGAGGCCGCAAGCCGATACTGAGGAGAAAGGTAATGATAGGACACAATAGAAGAAACCCGGACACTGACAGAGTCCACGAGTGAAATAAAACGGCAATAGCTGAAGACGACGGATAGAAAGGAAAGGGAGTACAGGCGAGAAAGGCGTGCTGTTCGTTGTCAGGTCAACATCGGTGTTCGTCAACCATGGGCATCGTGGGAGGCATCTCTCCGAGAGAGCAGGACGTGTTTAGAACAAGCATTCGCAGAGCTCTGTGGAGGCAAGGAACCCGTCAATATCAAACGACGGCGCTCGTGACGACAGATGGGAACGGGGACGCACCTTCAGCGCAGCAACAGAAACAGATACCAGCGAGACAGGCAGTACATGTTCCTCCTCCTCCACTATCCTTCTGCTGGGGCTGCTGACTGTAGGATGGCCAAGACGAAGTATAGTAACACGCGGGGTCAGCGCTTTAGCCTGCCTGGACGGATGAGAATAGGGCGGGTATAACGGCAACGCACACGTAAACTGTTTGCGGTGGAGGTTGGGGCTGGTAGCCTGGCTGGCCACCGTATCCACCATATGCCTGCTGAGGCTGTTGGGGGTAGTATCCCTGCCCACCTGGTGGAGGACCTACGAAAATCGAACGATGTACCGCGTAGGATTCGGTCAGCACGTGAACGAAGTACAGAACAGAAAAGACGCACCTTGGGGAGGATAATATTGGCCCTGCTGCTGGGGATAGCCCTGCTGTTGTCCGCCGCCGTAGTAATCTTTGTTCATGACGATGGAGTGTAGGTAAAGTTAGTGGTGACGGATGACGGTGCTGAAGACGGCGAGTATTTGAAAGGAGTTCAGTGCACGAATGCATCCGGCCCGCCTTATAAGCCTCCCTGTCGGCATGCTGCGGCTAGAGGCGGTGCAGCGCCACACAGCTTCGGAGCCACACACCGAACACAAGGAACGAAAGCATTCCGCTGACGAGACGTGCACCCGTACTGTACATTCTCTCCTTGACTCGAACAACGATGGACTGCTGTTATTGTTGCCCTGTCTACTTGGTCTAATCTCCATCTACTTGTTACCTGGGGTTCTGCTTCAATGTGGCCTTCAATCGCCCTCGGACGGCCCATTAGGCCTCGCTGAGAACCTCCTCGGTTATCTCACATCGCACTGCCTGCCGTGCGTCTGCCAGGAGCATATTTGGCATTAGATAGCTCTCCGACTGCGTATACTAGGACAGCCTAGCTCTGCTACTAAGCATCTATCACTACTATAGCGCTTGACCCACATCTGAACCATCAACACGAGTCGTCCGGATGTCTTGGCTAATACACCCTCGGCGGACTCTTCACCTCTGCGCAATGTTTATTCTGAGATGGTGGACTGGTAGACCGGCATATGTTTGTAGCTAGTTCGGACTATAGGCAGCATGATCAAACCAGCTAGATCGAACGGAACGGGATGACTATCGCTGCAGGTCATCCCTAAGACCGACCGTAAAGCAAAATCTGTTGTGGTCAAGCCCTGGTTAACCTTGCGCCGTTCCAACATCCTGTCAGTCCTCTTTGCAATAATTCGACTTGTACGACGTTTGCGTACCAGGAGGCGTGAATCCTCTCTTACGCACCGACGACTGGCTCGCCGTCTGTTTCTTTATATTCAACAATTGTTGTCCCTTGACCCATCACGCTCCAACTTCTTTGAGTCCGACATCACAAAACATCGCACACCAACTATATATTCGCCTCTCAACCCCACTCTCCTCCCAGCACCCCACTAGCATCTCTCTTCCCTTCAAAAACCCGAAAAAAACCATGCGTACACGTCACCGCAGAAGTCACCGCCGAAGTCTCCCGTCTTTCACTCGTACCGTCACCTCAAGACTCGTATGGTGACCCTTTCTGCGAGCGACTTTTTCTGGGGGAGAGTGGGAGCTACGGCGTGACCATTTCGCGTTGTTGGGCGCGCATGCGTTGACGTTTGGCGTGCGTGGAGGGCTGGTGGCGGCGAGGTATAATAGACCGGTGGGATTCGTGACGGTTAGTTCTCCGATCTATGTTTCAGGCTTGCATGATTACCGATGCAAAGTGACTGACTGGAGACTTGAATGGCCTACGTATAGGTCATCACGGACTCCCTCATGTCCAACGAAGTTCTCCGTCATCTCGCCATAATCATCGAGCCCCGAGTTCTCCATACCTCTCGCGTCGATCCCGTCAGCTATATGAAACTGTTCGTCGGGAGGTTAAGGAAGCAGAAAGGCCCATACGCTGTGATGAGATGGCTGGCCAGCGCGTGAGGAAGGCTCATACCGGTGGCTATCAGAGCGTATCTGGAGTCGTGAGTTCTGTCCTGTTGACTGGACTACTAGTCTTGTCCGTTATGGCGCTGCGATTTACTATCAGTCGCTGCTGATTTTTTTTTTGATGTGGAGTTTTATGTAGGGAAGAGTTGATGAACTAGGAGCGGATTGAACGGTTGAAGAGCGGAGGTCGCGTACGGCGTAGTGTCGTTGCAGGTGTCGAAGGTACGAAGAGACCATCATCACGATAGTCTCTTCGGAATGAGGCTTGTGACCACGGACTTGAACGAAGCTTCGATTTTGGATCTGCATGTGTAGTCTACTGTAATGCCCTATTCAGTACTAGTCTTTCTTTTCTTGGTGGATCATGCTCAAATGATCCAAAGCGATCACTACCGGTAATGACCAGTCAAATCACGCCAATGCAAGACGAAGGCCATATTAAAAACCACTAATAAGTCCTCAAACAGACTATTCCACACATCTATCTCTTATCATGACTTCTCGGCCCCCACAACAATCCTCTCAAGCACCGCCGTCCACTCCTCCAATAACCGGTGCATCTCCTCCCTCGGATTGCGTACGTAGTTGAAGTTGAGAGCAAGCGTGAGGAGGCCGTTCCAGGAGTGAGAGCGGGCGCCGACTTTGGCCCAGTTGTCGCTTGGGCAGAGTTGGAAGGATTCGAGGATGAGGGTTTGAGTGAGAGGGGTCGAGGTTGAGGTTGAAGATTTGGGGAGGGCGAGAGGGTAGGACGGCTGGAGTTGGAGTGAACCGGGTGGGTCGGACACGAAGTACTGTTGAGGAAAAGCAGAGGTAATCCGGGACAGGTCAGGCTGCGTACGAATGCGTGGGGTTTGGAAGAGAACTTACGGGGCATGTTTGTGGTTTGGGAGGTGGAGTGTTTGCTTCTTCGATGCTTGCAGTACTAGATGATACAAGAACCAAACCAGTTCCTCGACCGTCAACATTAGAGTTGTAGGGGGGAAAGAGCAAGAATGTACCCCTGCGTTTTCGCCATTTCGACAAACTTGCTCAACCACAATTGTCCGTTCCCGATCAGGCCTTTCTTCGTCTTCAGATCATCATACGACTCCTTGATTCTCCTCGCAATCCTCCAAAACACGACCTCTTCGCTCCTCACACTCTCGTTCTGATTGTGACCTTTGTCGAACAACGACACCGGTATGTCAAAGATGTGCACACCCGTCGTATTGAACACGTAGACATTCGGATCGCAATATGGAGGCCTGATACGCCCGTTCCTCGGATCGACCGCCGACGCGTAGACATATTTCTCCGTAGGGCTTGATCTCGGACCATCGACGAATTCGGACGCTGAGGCGGCAATGTTGGTGGAGTGGACGACGATGGCGAGTGCGGCAGTGATGAGGTGGGTGATGGTCATTCCGTGGCTGCGGGAGAGTGAGAGCAGAGAGGGGAGGAAGGAAGGGGAGGGGAATGTGTGTGAGATGACGGCGGAGCCGCGGGTTGAGCGGGAGGTGGTGAGGATTGAGGGACGGTAGAGGGGGAGACCTCTGTCTGGCTGTGGAGAAAGTCGGTTTAGCTCTGTGTTAATTTGTTGGGATGAAGAAGACGTGGGTTCGGGTGTTGAGGTGTATCGGGACTTACGAGCACGACTCCGGCCATCATATCCATGACGGCCTTATCATCTACGTCCTCCTGGACGCCTGCTAGCTCCTCATCGGTGGCGATGTCGACCTGGGCTGGCATCAATCCGCATTTAGCCTCCTCGCCCCATAGGAACTCCTCGGAAGCTCCAAACGACGAGGAGACAGAGAAAGAGGAGATGATAGAGTGAAGAACGGTCTTCAGACCGGGTCCATCCGCGAGAGCGTGGTGGATATGAAGCAGAATGTCGAAAGACTGCACCGGATCGGAGTTAGATGCGAGCTGCGCAGGATCGACGATGATATAGAAGAAACAACAATCCCCATCCCTTTCAGAGGGAAGATCGAATTCGACAGATAGTTTCTCGCGGAGGACCGTCCATCCTCCTTCAGCTACGATGACCTTGAATGTCCTGTCCGCCCACCTACCCACAGATGCCTCGTCCTCGACTTGGTAGTACATCATCTGTGAGCCGGGGCCGCGATCTTCGAGCTGGAGTTTACAGGCCACCATAGGATATTGGTAGCGCGTCTTGATCCAGGAATTGAGAGCGAAGGCTTGGAGAGTAGAAAGTGTTATCCCTGGTGCAGACTCGGACGAAGATGAGGTGGGGGAAGAGATAGAGATATGTGCCCCGAGAAATGGCTGGTTATGACCTGGCATGGAGCGTTCGATGAGAGCGTACATCCTCTCCATGCCTGTGAGGGGTCTGCTATAGACGACCGCTCCGGGCGTAGCTGGAGGATCTGGGGACAACTTCCTCCAAGAAAATTCTGAGCCAGGTGTTTCCATGTCGCAGTCAGAGAACGAATCAAGTGTGGGTGCCCGAGTCCAAGCTAAGTCTAGGAATAGGTCTTTATATGTTTTGGATTGTCCATGGCGTGCAGAGTGGTCGGCGCCGTGAGGCTTGTTAGCGGAGTACCGCCACCAGGAACCATGATTTTCTGCTTCACGGCATGCAAGAAGCGATTAGAAGCCCAGTCTAGTTACAAGCTGATACGTGTAGACACCCCGGAGGGTTGAAATGAGCGCTGGTCCTTGGGTGACAAGTCGATCCAAAAACGAGCATTAGATTGGGACAATGAGACAGCCAAAAGACATCCGGCGATGTTGACCGTTGAAGTTGAGGACAGGAGGGCCACGAGAAGTTGAACGCTCTGTGGCGTGAGGAAATTGCAGAGCTGCGATCTGAGTCGCCCATTGCCTCCTGTACAGGAATTACTTCGCTTTTGAAGCGACCACCTCTTGACGTGTGCTATTTCCGCTCTTTACCTTCATCCTCTTTCAAGTCACACCGCTCACCGTACAGACGCCTTCACTCTATCCCCTCGCTTATCTGTTACACCAACGAATTTGCTTCCCTTCTTTTGACGCGGCACACCAACAACTTGGAGTACTGTGCGCCCAATGACTACTACAACAAATGGAAATCTGGAGAGGGGAGACTACAAAAATGTCGCGCTTGAAGAGGAGGACGTCGTCGAGATGAAGAAGCAGTTGGCCACGGGGTCTTCAAAGGAGACGCACCAGTCTGTATCTTCCTGTGAGTGCTTTCAGTCTGTGCTGCGCTGGCGAGATGTATGTTCTGAACGGCTTTTTATTCTTTGCGCTACAGTTGCTCCCATAGCGTGCTACTGCGCTGCATCCATTCTCATGACCGTCGTCAACAAGGTTCGTCCCGTTGAGTTTGGGTGGACAGCGCCACAACGAGATTCAACATGTCTTTACCCCACAGTACGTCGTGTCCGGACGCAATTTCTCCATGAACTTCCTGCTGCTATGCATACAATCTTCCGTCTGCGTGGCATGCGTCTTAACCGTCAAGAAATTCGGTATCATCTCCATCCGCGCCTTCGATGTGCAGGACGCAAAGGCGTGGTTCCCCATCAGCTTCCTCCTCGTCACCGTCATCTACACCGGTTCCAAGAGTCTAGTGCGTCCCCTTTTGCCTCTATCGCTGGTTGTGTCCAGACCGCTCATTCTCGGTCGGGGTTCTTTCGGGCATTCTAGCAATTCTTAACCATCCCCGTATACACTATCTTCAAGAACCTGACCATTATTCTCATTGTGCGCATCATTCCTCGTGCTAGGTCATACTCATCACAACTCATTCTAGTCCCATACGACAGGCTTATGGAGAGGTTCTCTGGTTTGGCGGTCGTGTTACCGCATTGACACTGGTTTCCTTCCTCTTCATGGTACGTGTCGTCATAACCCTCGGCCGTAGAGCGTATCGCATCTGACGCTTACGACATCTCTTGACTTAGGTTGTCTCCTCTGTCATCGCAGCATGGTCAGACATCTCCAGCGCCATGAACGACGCACTTGTCGTCGGGCAACCCGCTGCTGTAGCCGGTGGCCTTACTTCCGTCACCAACGTCGTCTCAACCCTCAACGTCGGCTACTTTTGGATGTTCGCGAACTGTTTCACCAGTGCGGCATACGTGCTCGGTATGCGCAAGAGGATCAAGGTGACAGGGTTTTCGGACTGGGACTCTATGTTCTACAACAACCTGCTCTCAATTCCTGTTCTCCTGTTGTTCTCGTTCATTGCCGAGGACTGGGGTTCCGAGAGCCTTAACCGTAACTTGTGAGCTATATTTTCTGTTTTGATGCTTTGTTCAAGTGACGCAGGTTCGTCCGTGTGCTGATGCGGTTATTTAGCCCTCCCGAGACGCGCAATCTGCTCCTGTTTGCCATTGCTTTCTCAGGCGCCGCCGCCGTTGGTATTTCGTTCACAACAGCATGGTGTATTCGTGTCACGAGTAGCACAACCTACAGGTACGTGCCGTTCCGCTTCGCCCCGCTCTCAAGTTGTCTCTCCGTCCATCCCGCTGACGGATTCCCATTGCTCCTGTTTTTCCCGTTTGTTGGGATGTTTTCTTACGTGGTACAGTATGGTCGGGGCACTAAACAAGCTGCCAGTGGCGGCTTCCGGAATGATCTTCTTTGGAGACCCAGTGTCTTTCGGGTCGGTCTCTGCTGTCTCTGTTGGATTCTTTGCTGGGATCGTGTACGCTGTGGCGAAGAACAACCAGAAGAAGGCAGAGGCGGCAGCGAAGGCACCTGAGAGTATCATCCCCTTGTCGACTCGCAAGCCATGATACTGTATTGGATTGTGTGGGTGTATCCTTTGCGTGTGTTTCGTTGACGGAGAATGACGGAGCGGCTTGGGTGGTATAATGGACGTATGTATGCTCGCGGTCAGGCGGAGACCCGAGTGTAGCTTCTTGTGTTCGGTTATCTGGTCTCTTTTCACAACATCGGTTTCACTCCTAGAGATATTATACATGGATTTCGATTGGTTCGGACGATGTGCCACGCTATGGATTCAACGTTAGTGCGGAATTGACACGAGCCTTGTCGATGGTGGGGTCTCCTTCGGATATGTTCGGCCTAATTGCTCTAGCCAGCGCAGTCGTGACTCGTCTCTGTCTGTCGATGGTGGACACCGAGGGCATCGTCGAAGGCCTTGAGCGATACAGACAAGTCGGAGGCCCCTGGGAGATATGATAAATTGAATCTGTTCGGATGGTGAAGCGAAAGAAGCTCGATGAACGCCTCGAGGACGATGTGCAGCTGAGAATTGCGGGGGGATGACGTTTTCGAGGACGAATTGCGGCTGAAAACGCGCCAAATCAGGTGAAAAGCGACCGGCGATCATCATCTTGGCCTTGGCTGCTATAATCCTTCGCGCCCTTCATCCGCTCTCTCTTCTTCACCCCATCCTTCCCCCATCCACCGCTCGTCGTTCGCGACGCGCACCGCTTGGCCTTGACATCTTGTGCTCGGCCATAGTATCAGCTTGGCTCGCAGTCGCTCGCAATCATTATATAAATTCAACCGAATCATATCCTTGACCCTAAAGCCCCTCTTTCCTCTCGCCACCATCATCCAAGACATCTATAACCATGACCACTCTTCATCCCCCGAGGCTTGCGCCTATATTCGCGGTGACGCCTAGCGCACCGGGAACACCAGTGCACTCTATCCAGACGATGAGGAGGAAGGCTGCAGGACACAGTGGCCCTTTGACCAAGATCCTCGTCGCGAACCGTGGCGTAAGAACTGTCTACATTGTTTTTGAACTGCGATTCTAACGATGCATAAATATCGTACAGGAAATTGCTATCCGTGTCTTCAGAACCGCCCATGAGCTGGCGATGCACACCGTCGCTATTTACTCGTACGAGGATCGTATGTCGGCCCATCGTCAAAAGGTACGTACGGGGCAGAGATTACTCCTTCTGTCTGGGGCGTCCTGTTGAAACGTTCGTGTTAATCCAGGCGGATGAGGCTTATCGCGTCGGGGAGGGCCTAACCCCTGTTGGCGCCTACCTCGCCCAGGACGACATCATCAGAATTGCGTTGGAGCATGGCGTTGACATGATTCATCCTGGGTATGTCTCCTTCTGCTTCCATCCTCTGTTCTTTGGTTCTGACATGTCAATCTATTTTCCCCCTCATTCCTCTTGTCCTCCTTGGCATCTTCCCGCACCGACACCGACAATGCTGCTGCTTCCCTCAGATACGGGTTCTTGTCTGAGAATGCTGAGTTCGCCAAGAAAGTCGAACAGGCCGGTATCGCCTTTGTCGGTCCCACACCAGAAGTCATCGATGGACTGGGTGACAAGACAAAGGCCCGCACGCTCGGTACGGTCTCCTTCCGCTTATGTCGGGCGATTTGTTTTGATTGACAGCGCGTTAATGTCCGTTCTATAGCCATGAAGGTCGGTGTGCCCGTCGTTCCCGGCACTCCTGGGCCAGTCGATTCGTACGGCGATGGCGACGCCTTCATCAAAGAATACGGCTTCCCAGGTTCGAAATCTACGCCTTTGTTACTTCTACTTCCAGCGCTGACTAGTTGTGTAATCATAAGTTATCATCAAGGCAGCCATGGGCGGTGGAGGTCGTGGAATGCGAGTCGTCCGTGAGCAATCCGACTTCAAAGAGTCCTTCGAACGTGCTGTCAGTGAGGCCAAGTCTGCCTTTGGTGACGGTACCGTCTTCATCGAACGTTTCCTTGAGCGCCCGCGCCACATCGAAGTCCAGATCCTTGCTGATGGTGTGGGGAACACTGTGCACCTCTTCGAGCGTGACTGTTCCGTGCAGAGGAGGCACCAGAAGGTCGTCGAGGTTGCACCTGCCATGCACCTTCCGGAGGAGGTCAGGCAGGCAATCTTGTCGGATGCGATTAAACTAGCGAAGAGCGTGAAGTATAGAAATGCGGGGACAGCAGAGTTCTTGGTTGACCAGATGGGAAGGCATTATTTCATTGAGATCAACCCGCGTATTCAGGTCGAGCATACTATCACTGGTGAGTTCGCTCTGAAACATGTGCAAAGTTGAACGTTATGCTGATGGTAGGTGCAGAGGAGATCACTGGACTCGATATCGTCGCCGCGCAGATTCAAATTGCGGCCGGTGCTACCCTCCCTCAGCTCGGTTTGACGCAGGAGGCTATCACTAAGCGTGGTTTCGCCATTCAGTGCCGTGTCACCACCGAGGACGCGTCGCAGAACTTCCAGCCTGATACTGGTAAGATCGAGGTGTATCGCAGTGCAGGTGGAAATGGAGTTCGTTTGGACGCTAGCTCTGGTTTCGCGGGCGCTCAGATCACTGTAAGTTTTCAAACTTCTTATGTGACGTCTCTAGCATGGATGGTGCTCACGCAACTGGGATGCCCCCGTCGGTGGTTTGCAGCCTCACTACGATAGTTTGCTCGTCAAGGTGTCGGTTAGTGGGACGACGTACGAGGTGGCCCGTCGTAAGATGCTTCGCGCGTTGGTCGAGTTCCGTATCCGTGGTGTCAAGGTACGCCACATCATCCTGTTCTTTATGTCACAGAATATTCAATAATCTCCGCAATAGACGAACATTCCCTTCTTGTTCCGTCTGTTGACCCACGACGTTTTCATTGGTGGCAAGACCTGGACGACGGTATGCGTCCTATGTTATCCGCACATTTCTCACATAACTAAGGCGACTGTCATAGTTCATCGACGATACTCCTGAGCTATTCAAACTCGTGGCTAGCCAGAACCGTGCTCAAAAACTCTTGGCATACCTCGGCGACGTTGCCGTCAACGGAAGCTCTATCAAGGGCCAAACTGTACGCTTCCTTCCTCGATTGACAAAAACTACTCTAACATACTTGACACGTGTAGGGCGAACCTGGCCTCAAGGACGAGATTGTCATCCCTCCATTCCAGAGCCGCGAAGACCCAGAAAACGGCCCCCCACTTGATGCCTCCGTTCCCTGCACCGTTGGTTGGCGCAACATCATCGTCGAGCACGGTCCCGAAGCGTTTGCCAAGGCTGTACGCGAGTACCCCGGTACGCTTATCATGGACACGACTTGGCGTGATGCGCATCAGTCGTTGCTGGCGACGAGGCTGAGGACAATCGATATGGTGAACATTGCGAAGGAGACGAGTTATGCGTTGGCGAATGCGTATTCGTTGGAGTGCTGGGGTGGCGCTACGTTCGATGTGGCGATGAGGTTCTTGTATGAGGATCCTTGGGAGAGGCTGGTATGTATATTTCGCTTTTCGTGCAGGCTTACGATTGGTGCTGAGGATAGTGTTGATTTAGCGCACGCTGAGGAAGTTGGTGCCGAACATCCCATTGCAAGCGCTTGTGCGTGGCGCTAACGGAGTCGGATACACGAGTTACCCGTGAGTGGCGTCGACGGTGTGGCGAGGCGGGGTGGCTAACTGAGTGCTTTTGCAGCGACAATGCCATCTATGACTTCTCGAAGAAGGCTGTTGAGAATGGTCTTGATATCTTCCGTGTCTTCGATTCGCTGAACTATATCGGTATGTCCCTTGTATCGCAACAAAGTGACCCATATTTACTAATACATTTTCGTCGACAGAGAACGTAAGAGAAGCTATGACCAGTCTTTACTCCATGTTCTATTGGTCTGACTGGTTGCTCATATCCAGATGAAACTCGGTATCGACGCTGCCAAGAAAGCCGGAGGTGTAGTCGAGGCCGTCGTCTGCTACAGTGGTGACGTCGCAAGCAAGAAGGAGACAAAGTATACCCTTCAATATTACACCGACTTTGTTGACCAGCTTTATGCTGAGGGCATCCACGTCCTTGGCATCAAGGATATGGCTGGTCTGTTGAAGCCTGAGGCTGCCCGTCTGTGCGTAGCATGATTTTCAGGAACCTCTTCGCCGTTTTGACTCGTTTTGCGTGTTCAGGCTCGTCTCTACCATCCGCGCCAAATACCCCGACCTACCCATCCACGTTCACTCTCACGATACGGCTGGTATCTCCACAGCCAGTATGATCGCTGCTGCTGCCGCTGGAGCTGATGTCGTCGACGTTGCCATCGACAGTAAGTAACTCTGCCTTAATCCATGCATTTGCAATCGCTCAAAATGTTCATATTACCAGGCATGTCCGGATTGACCTCCCAGCCACCAATGGGTGCCGTCTGCGGTGCTCTCGAACAGACCTCTCTGGGAACGGGCATACGTTACGCTGATATCCAAGCATTGAACCTCTACTGGACCCAGGTCCGCCTTCTTTATAGCTGTTTCGAGGCCAACGTCCGCGCGTCCGATTCCAGTGTCTTCGACCACGAGATGCCTGGAGGACAATACACTAACCTGATGGTACGTGGCGTCGCTGTCATCGACCATCACTAGTGTGTACTCATGGATACAATGCACAGTTCCAAGCAGCCCAGTTGGGTCTCGGAACTCAGTGGACTGGTGAGTGGCGTTGCGGTTGTGACGGCAACTTGATGGCTCACCCAGCGTATAGAGATCAAGAAGAAGTACATCGAGGCTAACGAGTTGGTACGTATCCACTTTTGCACCATTACACCTCTTCGTGACATTTCAAATGACTGATGGACGTTCCATATGTAGTGCGGAAACATCATCAAGGTTACGCCCTCGTCCAAGGTCGTTGGTGACTTTGCCCAATGGATGACGCAGAACTCTGTCTCGAAGCAAGACGTGCTTGACCGCGCCGACCAGCTCGACTTCCCATCATCAGTCGTCGAGTTCTTCCAAGGATACCTTGGTCAGCCCGTCGGCGGTTTCCCCGAGCCCCTTAGGTCCAAGATCATTAGGAACAAGCCGAGGATCGATGGTCGTCCCGGGACCAACCTGACGCCCTTGGACTTCAAGAAGATCAAGGCCGAGCTGAGGAGCAAGTTTGGAAAGCACATTACCGACGCGGATGTGACTTCGTATGTGATGTACCCTAAGGTCAGTAGGGCATGGAGGGCGCACCTGTTCCTCGTGTTGGGTTGGTTTTTGGGTCCGGGTCATTGACGCCATGTGTTTGACAGGTTTTCGAAGATTACCAGGGCTTCATCGAGAAATATGGTGACTTAAGGTGTGTGGCGATCGTTCCATGTAGAATGCTCGTCTGTGCTATCGCTCACGGCGCGCTTTCCTCCTTTTTTTCACGCTTTGTTCTCGATCACTTGCAGTGTCATTCCCACACGTTACTTCTTGGGTCGTCCCAACATCGGCGAGGAGATGCATATCTCCATCGAGAAGGGCAAAACCCTGATCATTCGTCTGATGGCTGTCGGACCTGTGGTCGAGGGCCGTGCGCAGCGCGACGTCTGGTTCGAGGTCAATGGCGAAGTGAGTCCGAAAGAAAAACTGTCTTGCCTCGCGTTTTTGGGCGTGTCTAATTCGTGTGGCGACAGGTCCGTGCTGTCTCTGTGGAGGACAAGAACTCCGCCGTCGAGACCGTCTCCCGCGAGAAGGCGACGTCTGACCCTGGGTCTGTGGGTGCACCAATGTCGGGTGTCGTGGTGGAGGTCCGTGTCAAGGAGGGCCAAGAGATCAAGAAGGGTGATCCTCTGTGCGGTACGTGCATGTCCCAGTCTCACGTTCGAGCCTCGTACTGAATGCTTTCGCTTTTTTGTGTGGGGCATTCCGCTTACAGTCCTAAGCGCGATGAAGGTAATGATATGTCTGTCTGCATTTAGACGGACACGCTTGCTGACAATGTCCTGCTCTTTCTCCAGATGGAGTCTGCCGTCACTGCCCCAGTCTCTGGCCACATCAAACGTGTTGCGGTGCAAGAAGGTCGGTGCCGTGGTCGCATTGCTCTCGTGACCCTTTTTCATTATGAATTGTATTCTGATAAACGCTGTTTCCTCTTCTTTTTTGCTCCGGCACAGGTGATTCCATCGCGCAAGGCGACCTGACGATTGAGATCGTCCACTGATCGAGGGAGACGGATGCCATAAACCTTGGAAGACCCTTAGCGCTTTTATTCAGGAGAACGTTTTACGAAGGATGGCAAGTTAGACGGGAAGTTTTCAAATGAACAATGTACCAACACTGTTACGATCAGTGTGTACTATACATGCATGCGTTTGTGTCGTGTCTATCCTTGTGGTGTGTTTGATCATGTTTTGTTGTAGAAGTCTCTCGAACAAATTACCAATTGTATTGCTCAATGCTCATTGCTCACCTTTCTGTCGGTCGTCGTTCATGAGCCTCCTATGCGTGTGGTCTGGCCTGTTCGTGGAGGGTGCCGACGTCGTCTACACGCTTAAAACTGAATGGACACTTTGATGGTCCACCGGACTATCCTTGTCTTTTGCGAAGGGTTTCCCCGACATGTCTTATTTTTGAGGGGGCTGTGGATCTTCCGAGCTGCGAAGGGCTCGACAAGACGGACATGGGCCGTACGCGCGGTCGATGTTTGGGTTTGTCTATTTTTGCATGATGACGACTGTGTGCACAAAGGCTGCGATGGGAAGCGTAGTCGAAGTGATTGTGGCCGATAGTCTGATCAGGTTATAGGTACGTGAGGACGTGTACTCTCCGACTTCGCTACTGCGTGGAACCCCTGCCTATCTGGGAAAGTCGGGCAATGATGCTCTGGCCTGTATAGGGATTGAATTGAACCCTACGGCCCTCGAGAAGAGCGATAGGCGTAACTTACAGAGTTTCGCGCTAGACATCCGTAGATGAAACAGTTAGGGTCCGATGACGATGTGCTCCTCCAATGAGATTCTTGCCATGAGAATGATTAAATGGAAGGCATGCGCCGCTGGACTTGCTCACGGATCGTCATGGATTCGAGGGTCTGCCGAGCGAATCCGAGCCAGTGGGTACCCATCCTAGTCAAGGTAAGTACAGGAATGGACAATCTAACCGCTTCCAAGTCGTCATTGCTGCCGCGTCTCGTACCGAAGTCGCTGGAAGACAAGCGTTGAGAAAGTCAGAGTGTGGACTGAATTGAGCGGTGCCCTGTCCAGATGACGCAGACGGCGTCAATGCGATAACAAGAAGAGATAGAAGCTGATCTGAGAGGAAAGCTGGCGGTTGAACATTTGCAATGACGAAAGTTTGCTCAAGAGAAGCGAGTGTGTGAGTGCATCCGAGTTGATGAAGTCCAACGTGTCCGTGTCGCGAGTACTGTACCAGTGACGATATCGAACGGTTGACTCGCTAATACGATTGGAGAGAAGAAAGAAGCGGCCACACACAAGAGATAGAAGTTATGGCTGAGTTCAAACGTTCGTATTATGACGACGGAGGACTTTTTGCGGTGAACGTGCCTGCAACTTCCTCCGCAGAGAGGCGTAATCGAGCGTGCGCTATACTCAGATCGTAGGAAGCTCGGGACGGCTATGAAGGATTTATAACCTTAAATATGCTCACACAAATGTAGATATCGCTCGACAGAGTGTGTACGAGAGCCTCGTTGATGAGTCTAGCCCAGGCCCCCTTCAACCTATCCTTACCAATGAGAATCGGTGCGTACTGGTCAACGGCGGCTACTGCAAGACTGTGGACCACGACAAGGTTTGTTGACTGTCGTAAGGTCTCGTCAGGACATTGAATGTTGATTCGGCAGTAGATAAGGACTCACTGTGTTCTCTGAGTCTGGATCCTTCGTCTGTCCATGGCCACGATGCATGGGAAAAACGAACTAGAGCTCTCTGTCGTCTGAGGCTGAGTTAAGCTGTCTGAAATCGCTGAACAGCACAATGAAAATGACCAGAAGGAGTAGGTACATAACACCTTCATTTAGGCAAATAGTGACGAGGCACTACTCGAGACACCTAGGTAGTAGACTGAAAATTGGCTGGACTTGACAGGTTGTTTCGCGGAGGATGCTATGAATAACACAACGCAACGAGGAGGCGAGGCATAAAACAAAACAATGACGCGCCATATACCTGCGCAAACGGCCGCAAAATGGCGAGTAGAAGTGCTTCCTTCGAGGAACCGGGTCGAATGCTCATGGTGCATAGCTGACGCCATCCGTGAGTTCTGTCAAGCAAAGATGCTATCGGTGCCAGAGGGACAGCACTCACGTACAACGAGGATCTGGCCTGGGTCTAGTGCTCTGGATCGAATCTCGACGTCTAGGGCAAGCCGATGCCAGCAAAGAGATGGAGGACATGCAACGCCACATGCGGTCGCCACCTCTATGATCAGTGTCGCATAAAACCAACGTTCCCTCATGGAATCGATACCAGTCCCAATGAGAGGTAGAATGGTTTGAGATGAGGTACTCACGACACGTAGCAGACGTACCTACCTCCACAAAATCCTTGTTCTGTGTTAGAAAGCCGGAGGGTGATCATGTTAGTGAGAAAAAGGCTGATGCGTCATAACTTGAACTTGAATATCACGAGTGGTCGGTTTCCATATTCCCGATGAAGGGTGGAACGTTTTGTGCAGAAAAAAGAAACTATCGCAACCAATTCGAACATGCGGTGTGGCTCATTGACCCGGTTCGACATCGTGGTCGAAGTAAGATGAAGCTTGTCCGGTCGGAGTCGGAAGAGCATAATATATTCGAGACGCGTATTTGCGCGTGTTTGGTCCGAGTCGCGCTGCAGTGAGCGCGGGGTGTGCACCACGTCCTCGACGTTCCGTCAAGCGTAGACTGTACCCCATCCTACTAGTCCAACATGGTATCTCTGTCTTTTCTCTTTGATTGTTAATCGATGACTTACATTCACTCTGTCTTTCTCCATACAGCCTCCCCCAAAATCGAAAGGCGGTAAAATGCTCAGTCTCATCAACTGGAGACTGAAGGTCACGATCAACGACGGACGAGCCCTCACCGGCCAGATGCTCGCGTTTGACCGTCACATGAATCTTGTCCTTGCAGAATGCGAGGAGTTCCGACGTGTCCGACCGAAAAAGAAGGCAGGGGAGGCAGAAGCAGGGCCAGAGCAGGAGATGAAGAGGACACTGGGGCTCGTCATTTTGCGCGGTGAGACTGTGGTGAGCATCAGTGTAGAAGGGCCTCCTCCTGTTCAGGACGATGACAAAAAGAGCTCGGTACGTCTCTCTATCTGGTCTCAAGGTATACGGGAAAGAGGAGGGATTGTACTGATTCGCGTGTGGCGCACATAGCTGCCTGCCGGTCCTGGTCGTGGCATGCCTGCGGGGCGGGGTATGGGAATGATGCCTCCTAGTGCGTTTTTCTCTAGTCATTGAACACATGCTTTGATCGAGCACGGCTGATTCGTGGTAAACAATATTAGTGGGACCCCCATCTGTCGCCCGTCCACCCATGCCGTTTGCTCCTCCTGGAATGCCGGGGGCACCACCTGGTTTCCACCCTCCTGGTTTCCCTCCTCAGGGTATGCCCTTCCAAGGTCCACCACCAGGCTTTGGTGGCCCTCCTCCAGGGTGAGCCTCTATGTCTTCCTTCTTTGTCCACAAGTACTCACTCAATTTGTGTCTGTACAGTTTCCAACCACCCCCGCAGTAGAATCTAAAAATTTGTATCATGCTTCTTGTCGTGCACAGCGGATCCTGGTGCCACGGCAAACTCGGGCTGACCTCTTGATCGACACGAGAGGGTGGGTGTTCTCTTTTTTCTTCAGTCTGCCTGAGCCCCAAACTTTGCAGGCGCTTATGGAGTCCGGTAATAACGGTGGCGTCGACTCTAGCAATGCTGTAGCTTCTTGCGTGTTTTGCACCCGCTATGTGTATGGTCCGACGACTCATTCTTCCTTTACCTCGCGCTGGGCTCCTCTGGCTCTTCTTACCCAATAATATCCACAACTTTTGTTCGTGATGAAAACCGATGGCGGGTGTGCGTCTTGTGATAGATCTTCTCCAACTTCAGCGATCTGATTCGCTTTTCGTGCGTCCATTATGGAGCTAACGTGCCGGTAGCTCAACGGCATAGAAGATGATTTACATGAATCCTCGAAATCTTCACATCGCACGGAACAACCAGTGGTGCGCATTCCCACACTGTTCTCTCATCAGCTTCGTTGGTGCCATCTGTACCGAGAAGATGTCGGTCAATCCGGGGCATAGTCCATTGAGTTTTGCTATTTTAACGTGGTCCAGGCTCATGCCACGGTTCACGACTCTGTGGGGACTGTATGTAGTGGGGGCTTCGCTCGTTTGCATGGTCTGTGCACGGATCTGTGCAGAACGCACGTAGCAGCAGAGTTAGCAGTATCACGACGTGGCCGTTTACCACACTCCACCGCACATAGCCTATGGCGAACGCTATGTTCTAAGTATAAAAGGTGCATAGATTGGGACAGGGCTTGCGCCGTACGGTTCCAGACTGCACATGAATGGCCTAGGCGCATGCTCATATCTCCGTCGCTGTTCTGTAAGGGCTTCCCTCTTTGTCTTCTCATGGCTCTAACGACCGTCCCATGGGTCTGGTCGTTTCGCACTCTGAGTTTGTGCCTACCGCTCCTGGTTCATACTGCCAGATATTGGCCAGATCCGTGCCCAGCAAAACTAGTTATGTATGGGGCTTCTTGTATAAAACTTGGTCACCAGAGGGTTTCGGAATACGACCTCGGTTGTTGGTTGCCTCGTTCTGTTTCACACAACCTAAATAGCATTCATGAATCTCATAGTATGAACGTTCCATCAGATCCCCCGTCTATATATGCGTATGTCGAAAGATTTCGACCCTCAAGTCGACGGCGACCTGCATTTTGTTCACGAGAAGTCCTCCTTGCCACCTCACCGTGGGCAGGTGGCACCTGGAGGATCCCTCCTTGGTACGACGGTGCCGGAAACTTGGTCGCGTGGACCACGATATCTTTCTCCATTTATTGCATAATGAAGGTCAGACACGGATTTCCGACTGGCTGGGGCTTCGTTTGCGTCCGAAGCCAAGCCCGAGCCGATGACTGATGGCACGATCTGGACGATGTGCCCATTGTTCTCCAAATGTGTCAGTGTGCGGCATGCATCGTAGTGTTGCGTGAGTCGAACTTGCCGTGGCTCCGACGTTCAAAGCGTCGATCGGCGAGATGCGGGCCAGGTGCAAAAAGCAAGAAACTAACAGGAAAATATTATGGGTCATCTGTGAACCCATGGCTCAATGATTTTGCGGAGACCTCAGCGACCTGCAAGGGAAGTACTTTTCGACAAACATTGGAAGTGTATATCCCAGGCAGTGTGGCAACCGGTACCATTACCTCTCTCGGAGACACTTATTCAGCGTCCAGAGGATTGATTGTCAATCCACTTTTGCTTTTCCTTCGATTCAAACCAGTACGCCATCTGTTGCTCGCAACAGTTATCATCCTCTTGAAACGTGTCTTGATTCTCCTCAACAGATTTCCACTCACTGCTGATGACGCTCAGACGAGCTGGTCTTTCGTATTATTGACACCGAGGTGGTCCAAGGTCCACCACGCACCTCGACTGTGCAAGTCGTTTGCAATAAGTTATCTATCGGCTGGAAGGTATTTGTCCTCCCGCGATACCTATGGTATCGGGCACACAGCGGGTAGTGGGCGTTCCAGATTGTTCCCGGGAGAACAACAACGTTCGATTCGCGTATGACGGCGTGATCGTGGCGCTCGTTTTGCAGTCGACGACGACGGAACCATCAGAGGGCGTCGGACAATTCGTCGTCGACCATACCTGTGACCCATGCGAGGCACCCGGACTTTCGAAGGCTTATGAGGCGAGAGGAATTCGAAATACGAAATACTTAGCGTGCATTTATGTTTTGATGCGGGGTTCCATGCATCGACGACCGACCGAGCAGCTTATGGCGATCACTGACGTGGAGAAAGAAGAACACCGGGATATCCGCGCTTCGTCTGCTCGTCTGGTCGGCCCGACGGTTGCGTATGCTTGGACAGCGCCAGCCTGGATGGTTCGTTCGCCTGCTGACTGCTAGAATCTCCTGATTCTCGAGGCAATTATGGACAATTTGTAATGAGGCCTGCTCGGCGCCGAAGGGGACGCACGGCTGGCAGACCTTGGAAGCTCTTGGAAGGTGTTGAGGAAGAACACCGGTGCATGACCGGTGTCGTCGCGATGAATGTGTATGATTCGTCATAAGATAAATTGTACACTTCGTCTTCGGCTGTAGACGGTTTCGGAAGGGGGTCGACGAGGAAAGCGCTACCGGTAGGGGGTCATTCCAACGTCTTCAAGAGCGCTGAGGTGATTATGAGGCGGGATAACAAGCTTCAACGTACGATAGAGCGCTCGGTGCTGACAGTCTAAAGCGGTCCCTCGAAGACGATACTCCATTCAATCCAACAAACTATAACCTGAACGCTACTATGATCTACCAGCAGGTGCATAGAATTGACCGACGTCTACTATGTGTCTCGCGCTAGAAAGCACCGCTTAAGTCTCTTTTCGAGGCTAGAGAGAACACAGTAAGCCCGGATATTTGACGTCGGGAGGGAGGAAGAGAGATCGAGACAAGGACTTAAACGGATGCTTATCTCGCCGACGTAGTAATATTGCTTCCTTCGCTAGCGGAAGCTGCATAGCTTGAATGTTCCTGATTTACCGCCGGTGAGTTGCCGCTCAGCAAGAATCCATGTCGTGGCCAGCTTGCTGCATCCCATGAGAAGTGTCCTAGAGAGAAGCAAAGCAGATGAAGGGCCCGAAGCTCAGAGAACGAGCTATATTTTTGCGAAGAGCGCGAGTGACGTCTGTGGCACAGCATGGATTCTTCTGCTCTGTGCTACTGCCAGTGCTCAGACCACGCGAGGATGTCGAACATGTCCAAAAAGTCTGATCATGAATCTGCTAGTACTTACTTATGCTGGCGGCCAGACCGGGCATGGTCTACGGTGGACCGGGAGTAGTTGCCAGCGAGGGACTAGCAGATATCAGAAAATGTTGACAGGTACATCGGTCGGCGCTTGGAACTTACTTTTCGATTGCGATTCCAAGCGCATGACAGGAAGATAATCGAAAAATTTGAGTGAGTAGTGAGTAGGTTAGTGGGAACTATTAGGGCTTGAAGTGATGGAGATAGCGTCGTGTTTGCTCCAGGGTGCTCCGGGGGTACGATGATGTGGGAGTATGTGGCGTGGTGTAGTCGCATCGTGTTTGTTCGTTCGAGGGTGCCAGCCGGAGGAGAGATGAGTTACCGTCGTATTCATGACTGTGACATGAATGAAAAGCACGCGAAAGGATGGTACGAGACGTCAATAATGTATGATCGTACTTGAAGCTCGAGCCCTGTTCTAAGATGGGTCATATTTGATGATGAATGAACAGAGGACTCGTAAACCGTGCATACATCCACGCCGGCGGGAGCGCACCACTGAGCGTCTACCAGAGGTCACCTGGACCGTCGTCGGCCTGGAACAGAGTCCAGCTGGCCACCGTGACCGCACCTCAAAGCGGTTTATTGAAATCAAGCGATCATGAAAGCTTCAGATGATAGTATGCGAAGGTTGATGGTGGCACTGTGCGCGCGCCATTCTTTTTCCGGCGGTCAGAGGCTTCCTGCTTATAGTAAGTCTGAAAAAAAGTAAATGTTGCTGAATACCACTGGTCAGTTCCAAGCACCAAGGCACGGCGGTCCCGCTGGCACTGGAGAGAGAGAGTCTAATCTCGTGGAGGAAGTCCTGCCCTGAGAACTGAGAACATACGACAAGTCACGCCACCGAGCATGATCCCCACAGTAGCTATAGTCTGCCACTCGGACCATAAGCTGGCAACGAAGCGAAGCGGAACAAGAAGAGACTTTTGTTGCTCCGCCACTGCTGACCGTCGTCACGTCCGTGCCGTCGGGATATCCAAACTCTCGAACGCCACCAACACTTCCCGAGATAAGTTAGGCAGGCACAGTCGCACTTATCTGGAGGGAACGACTGTCGTCCCGTCCTATAGGTCTGACTGTGGGAGACTACGTCCGCACCGACGATAACCCCAGGTGCGAACAACTGAACACTGGGGAAGCTGGGTGCAGCTGGTGCAAAGTCACGGAGGGAGGAGAAGCACGCCATCGCCATGATCCATCGAAGCTCATTCCTCCTTGGGCTAGGCTGCATTCGGGATAGCTGAGTGCGAAATGAGAGCGGTCGCGGTGTATCACTTGGCTCACTGACCACTGAGGGCATACCGGAGCAACGAGACGCTACCGGCGGAGTCGAATCGAGGTCTCGGAGACAAAGACCGTAGGCCGTATCGTACTATCGTATATTTCGTCGAGGAACCGGTCGCAGTAACACCACGTACCCTGAGGATTAAACTTCGACCTTTATATTATTAGAAAAGCAGACCGTCCGGCAGCGCAGTGTGTGTGGTACCGATGTACGGAGCGGGGAGACCGCCCAACGCTTCGAGCGGATGACCAAGCGACGGAACCTACATACGGATGAATGGACGAAGTGGCTTGGAAGGGCTTTCAAAACTAAAACTTCAAACTTCACGGAGAACGAGAAGCAGCCTCATTATCGAGTGCGCGCGCAAGCGAAGGGGTTTCGAAAGCTTGCTTACCTTTACGCTTCGAAGTTCGCGCAGCTGCTATCAGTATCAGGATGCCTATACTAATAGTGGGCGCACCCGAGAGAGAAGATTCACGCAGAGTCAATTTCGTCCGGACGATCTTCTCGATGTTGATCTCTATTCTTGAGAGAAACCATGATGCATCTATCACGGGCGGGTGCGCACTTACAATGAGGTGCGTGGTTTTGAGTTTGCCGCTGTGAGGTCGAAGTTCTTCGATGAGATCCTGCGCAAGGGGGTAGTAGTGAGACACGTGAGGGGTGGAAAGCATATTCATGGACAACACGTTACGGACTGTACGTTACTATGGATGGCCCAGTAGTTCGAGGGAATCTTGAAAAACCGGTGTCTCCCTTCACCTTCGAAAATAAAATACAAAATCTGGGATTCCAGTATATCTGCATCTTTAGATGACTCCTGGGTGGTTTCTGATTTTTTCACAAGAGGGAAGTATGTGCCAGTTCGATGCCGGCGAGGAGGTGGTTTGGAGGGGAAGTTCGAGATTTCTTGGCGCCAAGGCCCACTCAAACGAGTTCGAGGGCCCTTATTGTCACGCCTTCGTCACAAGCCGAAGCGGGCGTTGCGAGAGAAGTTCGAAGCCCGCTTGGGCGCGCATGGGCCGAGCCATGCGTCGGAGATCGAATTTCTGGCGAGCCGCGATTGTCACGCTCGACCCTCACATTTCGAACATCTGGGTTGGTACCATGTACATGTGCATCGGGCTCAATTTGAGTACCCAGATACACTTATATACATATCAGGACTCTACCTGATTATTGTCATGATTTCAGGAGGGCAGGATCTTTGCATAGGCAGAAGTTCAAAGTTGTTACACCTATGGAAAAGCAGGGTTGCACACATCTTCCATTTTCTCCACCAACAACAACTTTCCGTGCGACCTCAGAATTTTGCACATGTATTCTTGAGATGTGAGCGGCGTCGTGTGCATTTTTACAGAGACAGTGAGGGACGGACTGTACAGGGAGAAAAAGATTTCGACGAATCTCGAACTACTGGGTCACTTCGAACTACTGGGCCATCCATAGTACTTGTCCTTCATTCTTGAATCTTCGCACCCAACGGGCTCTCTTGTGCGGGATCTGCTACGGAGGCCGAGAAATTCTTCGTGGACGGAACATGCGACTCGTCAAACAAGACCGAACCTGCGCAACATACGAATGACACGGCGGCCAAACGCGGAGCGAGGCGGATAGAGAATAAGTCATGCCCACTTCGTGATAACTGACACAAACCCCTCCGAGTCCGAGACCGGAGCCTGCTAGCTAAGTCCTCAGGCTCCTCCGAGTCCTACCTTGTCTTCTTGTCGGTCGGTGCGTCGCGTTACTGTGCCTTGACCCCATGTTCCCCATGTTCAGAGCCTAAGCATGCCAGTGCCCATAAGCAGCCGTCCATATGGGGACAAAGCGGCGGGAGAGAGAGACCCATGACAAGGCGATGAGATGATCCAAACTGTCCATGTCTGTTTAACTCGAGTCTCGAGAGGTCCGAGTCGAGAAGTGGAGTCCGAGAAAAGAAACCTGCACCGCCCCTCAAGATCAGTGCGACTGTCCGCACGACAAGACTCGGATCTCGCTCTGACATAGGGGACGAAAGAGAGTAGGTTCATTGCTTGTTAGGAGGATAGAATGGGTTATGTGGGAGTTCTGATGCGTCCATACGGGAGACGTTGCTCAGCTGGACTTTTCAAGTTGTTTGCCAAGGACGAAGAAAACGGTAGCACGAGACCAAGCTCATTTACGGGTTCCGAGTCGGTTTTCGACGAACGAGGAGGAGACAGCCAAGCCAAGAGTTTGCGGGAGGCAGTGAAGTCAAAACAGCTACTGTATAGGAGTGAGCGTAGCTTGTAATTTTTGGGAAGTAGGTGCTCACCGTCGATCGCCGTGGACCAAGTAATGGGAGTGAATGGGGACACGGAAGCAGATCATGCATGGTCCTCGTCTTCCTCCTCGCCGCCGGAAGCACATCTCGATTTGTTGCGTCCATTGTTCGCACAAGGAAGGACTTGTTTCCAGCCTGTATGCTCAAGCTATGAATTGCGACGCGGTGATCCACGTCGCAAGAGTACCAGAAGTGTGCATGTCCATGTAGCAGCCAGTCTCTGCTACCTCGAATGTATACTTCTCAATGAGGTATGTTCTGACGGAGGGGCAGTGCGAACAGAGTTGATGGACGATTTTTGCGAGCCTTGACTCGCACGAGAGCAAGTCTTGCGTGCGCCCTGAGCCGTCCCCCCGGCTCCTCGTTCTAATTTCAACAACAACCTCTTTCGAACTCAGCACCCAAACAAAGGGACCCCTGTTCGACTGCCTCCAGGGGTCCTCCTCCTTCCTTCGCTGGGTCAGAGTCTGATGATGTGCTCGGCTCCCAATGGGACTTCCCGGGGGTCCTGAGAAGCTTGAGAACCGCATCGAAAGAAAAGCGAGTGAGCGTAGGACCGAGGACGAGGCTCGAGCCAGGGCTTATCTGGCTGGCCTCTCGAGTGTGCAGCTTCGAGAACGGACGAACAGAAGGATTTCTTCTCGAATGACTTGCGCATCCGGCACGTTCGTAGGTACGGATAGAGCAGTAAGCGACGGCACGCGACAGACAAGCTTTGAGAGCGCGGCAGAGTGGGTGTTTGTGGAGCTCAGCCCTCCATCGCCACTAGGGCTGCAGAATCATTCCAAGGACAAGGCGATGGTGCAATTGCTGAACTCTATGGGTGAGGCTCGATAGATAGTACAAATAACGTAGTGTACAAGGGAGGAGAAAGATGCTGAGGGGGGTAGGACGTGAATGCAGAGGGTAAGCGGGCCTGTAACGTGAGCCGGACGCAAAGAGAAACTATATATCGACAAGAAGCTGAAACGGGGGTGGGGGATGGGGGACGCTGTCAAACAGAAAGTGGAAAGAGGCCGGTAGAGTAGCCAGGACGAAGTGCGAAGGGTTGAGTGGATGATGGGTAATTGCGACGAAAGAATATACGGTGGAGTGAGAGATTTGATTGAACGGGGGATATGCGATGAGACGAGAGCGGAGAACGGTTGATATGCGAGTTGTATGCGATTGAGTGAGAACGACCACGAAGGGAGGACCTTTTGGAAGAACAGGAAGTTTTTTGATCCTCGGGTGGGAGAAAGCGGAACGGAGTACTAAATGGAAAACATAGGAAGGAGTGGGACGAGATGGAGCATGAGAGAAAGGAAGTCGTGAACATGGGGGTATGGCAAAAATAGAGTGGAGAGACGAGTCCGCAAAGAGTGTTGATCGTGCGTATGAAGAGAAGAAGAGAAATCTAGTTGAGATTGAAGAATAAAATCAAGAAAATCAGAACATGCATGGGACACCCTTCCTCCGCCCTCGGTATCCGTTGGCGAGATCAGAGGACTCGAGAGGTCGTCGGGGTTGCTGAGAGGGTGGTGGACCGAGCCATGCGGACACCATGTCCTCTCCGCGGGAGTATGCGCTTGGCTTTTCAGCCGCGATGAGGTCCTCGTCAGAGACGGTGAGGAGGCCGCGGTGAGAGGGGCCGAGGATGACGACAGAGTCGATGCCACGGATGTTAGGCTGGGCAGGTGGGCTGCGGTAGGTTTGCGAGTGTTTGGGAGAAGACCCTACGACCGCGGTTCGAAGCTTGTCGAAGCGGGAGGATTTGTAGGTGGGTGGAGAGGGGAGATCACCCGAGTGAGGGGTTGCGACGGACTCCGTGAGGTACGAGGTGGTCATGGTGAGGGACTCTGAGGAGTGGTGGAAGGAGGGAGTGGCGTGGTTAACGGAGTGCGGGGTCGCGATCGGACGTGAGGGAGTAGGACTGCCCGAGGAGGAGGAGGAGCTGGGGTGTGTGAGTGATGGCGCGAGTGGTCGCGATGGGGAAATGAGTTTGGGGAGGGAGAACTTTGGGCGTTGGGAAGACTTGGGTGCGCCTGGAGCGACGTCCTGCCGCCAGGCCCTGATGCGGGCGTAGTCGGTGGAGGAAGTCTCGCGTGGGGGTTCTGACGGAGGCTCTATGCAGACCAGGGAAGGACGAGATACGAGCGAGTTTCGGTGGTCGTTGTTGTGGCACTCCGTCGAGCAGTAGGGTGATTCGCCGCCTTGAACCTGCAGGACAAGTGTGAGCATGTGCGGAAAAGCAGAGTGCGAGGGGGGAGACATACCGGACGGCGCTCGCAGGAGAGGCAGTAGTCGGAATGGCACCACTCGGTCGAGTTCATTGTGTGCAGCGGTGGTGGAGGATGATGGCGGAGGTGTTTGACAGAGACGAGAGGGAAGATGGGCCGTTGAGCAGAGTCGAAGCGGGTTATATACGCTTTCCGGCCTCAGATCTTGAGGTCCGATTCAATGAATCTGGGGATCGAGCGTCCTTCCTTTGCGGCTTCCCCCCACAGCCCGGCTCCCGCTAACTTCCTTGGGTTCGCTCGGTGGACCACCCCTCAGTCCGCCGTCCATGGTCTCCCTCACGTAACCGTCTGGCCCCGCATTGGGCCCTTCTCTCTCATCCCACTCATCCTTGCACGCACCTACAGCTGTATATTGCACGGCCCCGTTCTCAGCTCGTTTCTTGACCGTTGCACACGTTCACTCACGATCACCTCTGTAACCACCGCCCGCCCTCGTCGGCGATCGTTCCCCTTCGGCGCCTACCTGCCCCCGACAGCCATTGTTCGATTTATATGTCTACCTCTGACTACGACCCCGTCTGCCAACCCGACTCCACCGTCCGGACGTCATACGCACTCACCGCCTTCCGACTCCCATCAGAGTCACTCCCTCTCCTTTTGTCCAGCCCACAATAAATAGCGCATACAGCTGTAACAAAAGCCCCTGCGCTTCGATCAATGATTCTCTATATTATTGAACCCATTTTTTTTGCTTCCTGCTTCCTTCGTTCTCGACCGAGTCATCTCTAGTATAGTCCGTTCTTATTCGGGAATGCACGTCGCCCCCGACTCCTGTTCGACTGATGGATCCGCCGAACCTGCCCGCCGCCTCTGCGCCCGACTACTTACTCCATCCGGTCTAACATATCCTCGAAGCGGGAGCCCCATCGAGCCTCGGGCCACGCGCTCGAGTGAAAAAGTAACATTTTACCGATGACATCGCCCGCCTCTTGCTTTCCGCTTCTCTGCATGCCCTCAGGCGTATATAACGACTGTTCGTCGTCTTGCTCCCAGCAATCTTGTCCATAATGAGGATCCCCTTGCGACCGAGGTAATCGACGGTTGTGTACGACCCGGACGGCGTTGCCTCGACGAACACCGCGCTGCTTGTCTCTCCGGTCATGTCTTGTACCCGTTAGCCGCCCCATACAATGATACATGCATGCATATAATGACCCTTCGTTCGATCTCTATTGCTGTCAATTGTGATTTGCGCTCGCCGACGTGGAGCGTTTCATCCGGTAAGTACTAAGCATGACTGCCAACAGCACAAAAATTGATCGAACGACTCAACAACCTCTTCGAACGTCGTCGCCCGTTTGAGGCCACTCGCCACCCAAGTTCGGGCAGCGGTCTAGCCTCCCTCGCGAAAAGAGCGTATTATATTACAGGTACGAGTTTGCTTACCCCTGTCCGGTCCCCCTGCAGTTAAGCGCAAAGCCGTAAGACCGTAACATAGGCAAGGACGTTTTGCGCCGTGCAATTTTTTTTGTTACGCCACAAAGAACACGTACGACGGGGGTTTGCTGTATTTCTCGGGGGAAGACGGAGGGAGGGACGTTCGTTCAATCGCCACGTACGTCGCCACTCCACTGTGTCCTCCGAGGTTGACTGTTAGTATTACTATTAGTCACGGTCGCGTCGCGTCGTGTCGCGTCCTGGTCTGGACCTCTGCGTGTGGGGTTGCGTGAGTGCGTACCTGCGGGGTCGAGCTTCAGCTCCGTACGTGTCGATGGCCATGGACCGTGGCACGACTTTTTTTGTTTATCATCGTGGTGACTCGGAGGTTCGAGGCTGTGTAAACAAACAAACAAACAAACGGACACAAACGGAAACGGTGACTGGCAGGTGGCAGGTGGCGGTACCGAGTCCATGAAGCTCAAAAGCTTGAAAAGCTTGAAGTATGGCACCAAGCATAACTTTGTACCCCCTTAATATTGACTATTGACTATTGACTACTACTATTAAATTGAAACCATGCACAGCACAGCACGCATCCCGACGCCGTCGCAACCTTTATCGCCCCTGGCGTCGCATTCACTGGCATTGTATGTATGTACTGAATGTATCGCGCGGAGCCGACTCTATCCCCACAAACTCGTATTTTCAAGCTTGGAGTTGGAGTTCCTCGGCGTGCAAGAGACTCAGAGGGCAACGACTTGTCCAAGCACGGCTTTTCGTTCGATCTAGAGCGTTTGTTTTTGAGACGAGCGTCTTTCATGGGCCTCGGGGTTGTCGAATCTCTCGATATGGACTCGGACTCGGACTTGGACTCGGACTTGGACTCGGATGTCGAAGAGGGGCCCTGTCAGTGTTACGATTTCAATAAATGCGAGAAGAAAGGAAGCGAAGAAGGCATTGTCAGTGTAAGCAATAGGTAGGATCGCGAGGTTAAAATTTGAATGGGCTCCACTTGGTACAGACTGAGTGCTGAAGTAAAATTAATGATCATGCCAGTGCGAATGGGGCGAACGACTGGACCGAAAGGGGAAGCTTGATGGACTTATCAGGCGAGGAAGTCACTGCCACTGGCCAGCAGGATTCGCGCGAGGTTGTTATTTATTGAGAGTGTGGCGCCGAGGAGTGTACATAACGGCGGCGCATCAGATCCAGAGACCCGCCGAGCCTACCCCGACCGGTCGTTCGAGATCTGGAGCGAAGGGGCCTAGAGAGAGATGTTATGTTATGTACGCAGATGGGGGAAGGTACTGCGCCTTAACTTTTCCCGCGTCCACATACATGGCAACGCAATGGCCCGATCAGATGTGGAAGACGGAACGTGAAGACAAAAGAGGGGTGAGCTCCTAGGAATGGTATGTTGTATGTCCAGACTGAGATTGTGCGACGAGGAAGCTCACGCCCGGTGTGGATACGTCCGTGTGATGCCAGTGGGCCGTGTGGGGGTTGCGTTGCCAAGCACGAACGCAGAGGACGGAGACCACAGACCAGAGCAGAATGAGAATTGACGACTCCTACCTTAGAAAGAGTGACTGGCGACCCCTTGGATTGAGCTGAACCATCCGAGAAGAGCGAACAATAGCACGGTGAATACATCCCCATCTGACATCCGAATACGATCCTGGTCCGAGGTGAAGCTTCCTCGACTAATGTGCGTACGTACACGCCGGTCAGTACTTATGTAACGAACGCGAAGCAACAGCATCAGCGTCTGGATCCTTCAAAGCGAAGCTACGTATTACTCACTAGTTACAACCTGATCAGGCCTCGGTCCCTCGCAGCTCGATGAGTCCCCCTCGCTGCCACTCCTTCGTTGCCGTCGGGCCCTTCGAGACCGTCGAATATCGGGATCTCTAGGATCATTTATCACTCTGCACGAGAACCCCAAATATATGGCGAATATTAGAGGCTCGAAAGCGTCGAGAGACTTCTTCGTCATCGGGAAGCGAGCGAGGGCGCAATGAGCGCGAGGACGTGCAGCCGATGCGCTTGGTACAACCAAAGCGAAGAGAGGGAAGGCAGGGAGACAAGTCAGCCGACTGAGAACATTTAGCCCTGGTAGGGACGACGCCCATCACCGTATGTAGATCCTTGTGGGCTCTGTTAGGCTGTGGTTGCCGGCAAATTCACGTTGAGTGCCCGAAGCGCATCGGGGGGATGAGATAGATCATGAATGCATGGACCCCTCTTGCAATTGATCGCCAACGGTCCAGGTTCGAATCGGGCCCCGCAGGGGAAGGAGGGGGTGGTGGTCCGAGGAAGTAATTATGTATGCTCGCATATGCATATTGAAGAAGCCAGATAGCAGCCCTGAGATTGTTTATGTACGGTGCCCAATGCGTGGATATGGGAGGAACGTCTTCGACTCGGAGGAGGCCCACGGGTGTCCTGGACTGGAGATCAGTCCTGAATAGGGAGTCGTCTGTATAGAGCAGTCTAAATCAACATCAGAAGTCAGGATCAGTTCAACAGGGATTTACATACCAGCTAAGAGAGACCGAGGAGAGTGAGATGTGCATACTATGATCGTGCAATGCGCAGAGCTTGACGGAAAGAGAGAATCGAAGGATGAGATGCCGGACTTACGAGAAAGCTGTCGGTCTCCCAGTCAGTCCCCCTCGCATAAGTACTTACTTACCGTCATGCGCGGAAGGACAGCGAAGAACACCTCGGACAACGCTTTCGATATGGTATTGCGCTTTCCGGCCTCTCGACGTTCGAACGAGTCGTGCATACGTCCGAGGATCAACTTCACCGTCGTCCGCTTCGCCATGGCCTACCCACCAGCTTGCAAATGCACACGATCCTCCCGAGGCCTGCACGTGCTACCGTATTTTCGCTTCTAACATTCCGTTACGCCTTCAGATGGCTATTCAGAGTGCATGTGCCACAATAAGAGGTTTAGAGACGGGACACTGGAAAGGATGGTTCGCGAACCTGATGTGAGATCGCCAACGCCACAAAGCTCTCGTTAACGTTATGTGACCTTAGAAGCGTGGTCTATGCGCCTGGGAGGCCGCCGTGCCTGGCGGGGACGAGGACGAGGACCATGCCACGACTTGAAAACATACATAGAAATAGAAATAGAACGGGGGTCTCGCTGGCTCCAAACGGACACGGAATACTTGCAACATCTGTGTTCACAGGCACACGACTTGAATACAGCAATTACATATGCGCAACAAAGCCTAGCAGGGGTGAGAAGAGAAAGAAGCAAGTCTAAGGGGGAAGCAGAAGATAGGCAGACATTGACGGTCCACAACGAGCAGCGGACATAGATCCCTTCAAAGGCGCAAAGAAGAAAGACGATTGAACCCACCGTGCAAGACCCAAATCACTGGTCCTTCTTTGCGTTGCTCGCCTTTGCCCCCTCCGTCTTCTTCGTCCCCTTCTCCGACTCTGCAAACTTCTCGAGCTCGCGCGCCTCCAGCCGTTTCGCGTATTCTTGTCCTCCCTGTGAACGTCGCACGCCATTCAATACAATCCACACACACAACAAAATAAAAACGGAGCAAACGCCTCGGATAAGGGACAAGTTCCCGTTCGGTACGCAGGCCTCGACGAGGCTCGAACGAGGCACGAAGCACAGAGCAGAGAGCTCACCTGCATGAGCAGCACGGAACCCAAGAGAACCATGATAATGGTGTTGCCTGCCGAAAGCACCTTTGCCGCCTCGATCTGGTCCTCTCTCGTATCGATGCCCTCCAGGGGGGTGACGATGGTCCGCAGGGCTGGGATGGTCACCCCGGTGTAGACTCCGATGCTGAATATGTTCGCCGCTGCAATGTAACGGAAAGATGCACGCACGAAGAAGGAGACAGGACAGGACAGGGCCGCGGAGCAGTCGAAGTGGGAGGAAGGTAGACCATTCATCAGCTTTGCCATAATCGGGTCCGAGGGTGGGACATGGGCTGGGTTGTGCAGAATACGCATAGGAAGGGGTAACGTACCGAGTGAGCAACCATCGAAGAACAGCGCGCTCTCGTCCCATTTTTGCAGCTTGAATACGAGACCAAGCACACCGAATCCCATCACACCATGCATCAGGGCCTAGCGACGTGGAAAACAAACCAGGACCGTTTCCCAAGGTCAGACCACGCTGGTCACGCACTTCGTAAGAGAATAGAATACGCACTTTGATCGCGGGAGGTGCGTTGTAGAACATCGTGTAGAACTGGAACGCATCAGCCACGGTCTCGTCGGTGACGGGCAGGAAGAGCACTCGATAGTCGACGTTGAAGCATATGAAGAGAACGCCTGTGAACGTAAAGGCTGGGTTAGAAAAAGCCGAAGGGCTTTTGAGAAGACTGGAACTTGCGGACCAAGGAAAAAGCAGGCAGAGGAGAGGACGGCTGCTTGACGGAAACCCATGGTTTTTGATCAACGTCCTCTTCCGTTTGCGAAGTCAAGCGTTGATGCGTGTTCGGCCTCACGTGGCGCATGTATGATGGATTGTTGCGCCACATTATTTCCTCTCGTGCCACACTAATACTCATTTCAAAGCGACTCGATACGGATTTAAGAGATGAGAGAACCGAGCAGAAGATGCATTATACGGAAACTGAGTGAGCCAGGGGAAACTATGAACACGAGTCGTACATATGTATAGCACGCATGACCGTGCAAGTGATGCTATAGGTACGGGTATATGATGCAAACAGCGATATCATCCGATTCCAAGCTGGAATATACAGGCAGGAGGAGCCCTACGTGCGTGAGGTAAACGAGACAAACAGAAATAGTAGAAAGCCTACACGGAGCGCGTTTATACCCACCACGAAAGGACGGGGTAAAACCCAAATAGGACAGGGTAAAACCCAAATAGGACGGGAGAAGAGAAGTAGCAAAGCAGACATAATAAAAGCCCTCCCTAGTACGGCCGTGCGAAGTTCGCGTGTAGCTGGACAAATGTAGGCCCCTACCTCGGGGTGAGTAGCGAAGAAGGCGAGGAAGATTGCTGAGACGACGGCCCACCGGCCGTGAGACCAGCTGAGCGAGGATTCAGCGGTGAGCCTGTAGGTCGTGGGGAGGCTGGAAGGCCGGGCCCAGGCAGACGACTATGTCGTCGTGTGTCAGCGGCGGTAACGTTGATGTTGAGCCCTCGAGTGGCGGCTACGCTTGACAAGCGCGACAGCGACATGTTATCGGGGGAGGGGCTGTGTTGAGGCACAGGACTGGACCCGTTTGAGGATTCTGGTAGATCGTTGTCCGTTGTCTCCGTCCCACTCTCATCATGTAGTGAGAAATCCTCTCCGTCCTCCGACTGACTTTCGTCTGGAGCTGCTGGAGAACGCCAGTCAGACTAGAACTGGACAAAAAGGTATGAGCGCGGAATAGAGAGCTTCCTTACCTGCTAGATTTCTTCCAGACAATCCAAGCAGCTGATCGGCCTCAGCGTCCGCATACTGACGACTGTTCCGTCTGATATCCTCAGGTCTGATCTCCTCGACCGTCCTGTACTGTGCGTTCCCTTTGTCATCAACGACAAACTCAGCGGGCTCATCGTCATTGACGTTGAAAACCCGGCTGAAGTCTGCGAGCATGAGGCTGAAAACACCAGCGGGGATACCGAGTGTCGGGCTGAAGACGATTCCTACGTTCCGCATCGTCATCTTATTGATGTTTGCGTTCTGGACGATCAGGATGAGATGGGCGGCGAGGGCGCGGAGGAGGAAATAGTTTGGGACTGGAAGCTTCTGTACGAGACTGGAGAGCTCCCGAACTCGATCATTTGTGTCGACGAGGTCTACGGGCGACGACAGTCCTTCAGCAAGAGCCCCTGTATCGACGGCAAAGATATCCACGCACCTATGACACCAAGGAAGCGGTGGTGCAGTTCACGAGTGAGGACGCTCACGGGTAGTTCACGGAAGAATGACTTCAGGAGGCCAGCAATGGCATGAGGGTCCCAATACTCGTCCGACGCAAGCAAGTCCACATCACCCTCTGCCAACGAGAACCCCACATAGAACCATGAGCGCTGTCCATAACCTCGCCCCGACTGAGAGTTCTGATGGAATGGAAGACTCACCGTTATTGAATCGATCCTTGAGGGCCTTGATGACTGCAGAGCTGCCACTCAATCGATAGATGCCTTCTTCCTGCTCTGCGTGCTTCTTCTCCAAAAAGTCGATGCAGCGGAATACGATGGATGGTAGGCCTGCTCTCTCAGATACATCAAGCGACTCTTCCAAGGGAACACCGAAGACATTGCGAGGGATATGCTGAACCGTCGGAGGCTTCTCACCTAAACCCAAGGTACCCCCACCTCAGTTAGCATGATGAAAGAACGACAGAAAAGGACAGGACGCACCCTTAAACCGATCCCAGAACATCCTCGACTTCGCCTTCTCCCTTCTCTCATTGGGCTGATGCGTTTCAGGCTCCTTCTCCTTCGTGCCAAACTTCAATCCAGCAGGGATAGGAGCTCCGTTCATAGGCCCTGAGATCTTGACCTTCGAGTTCGCCCCGTTCGCCATGTCTGGTCTTGGGGTGTTCTGAGCGCTCGGACTGGACCCGACGTCGGGCGATGACGGTCTCTCGGGGGTAAGAGTAAGATGCGTATGTGGTTGCGATCCCTGAGGCGGCTGTGGGGGCTGTAACGGCGACGATCTGACGGTATCGTGCGAGGGATGATATGACTGCCGATGCAAATGACGATTTCGAGCGGCTTCGGAAGTCGCTGGCGACTGTCGAGAGCGCGAAGGACTTGCCACACCCGCGCCGCCACCGCCAGCACCGACAGCAGCAGCAGCCCGAGGATCCACCATATCCGAGTAATGGCCCAATTCCGAGTTAGCACGTGGTGTGACTGACGCGAGGAACTCGGTAGTTCCCGACTCGAGAGGCGATGTGGTGGGTAGCGAGCTGGACAGCGGGAGTTCGGTCGAGCTCGCGTATTGCGATGGCGGCTGGGATTGAGATGGCGATGGGCCTTTCTCGAGCAGACGACGAGCCGTCTGCTGGTCGGTGAAGCCCGAAGCGGGAGAGGGATAGCGGTCAGATGGTGACACATCGTTTCCTTTTATGGAACTGGAGTCGTCATAGGGCGCTGTGTTCTGGAAAAGTTTGGCGGTGGCAGCGTCGTGAGGAATTTGGGAGAGGGGAAGGGCGGGGCCGACTGAAATATCGTCCTTCGACATTCCGCGCGTCGGTTGTTGACGTCCATTGCGCATGATGACTGGGGAATGTGCTGAATCAGGAGAAGCCGTGCTGGTGCGTGAATAGGTGGAGGCATTGGAGGTGGTGCTAGGAACGTTGGGGATGGTGACATTGATCGAGGCACCGCTGCTGGTGTTGGGTTTGGGGTCTTCGTCATAGACACCGGAGACGTAGCGTACGAGTATTTCCACCCAGTTATCTCGTTCTTCGTCGCTTTCAGCACATAGAACATGGCGATGCGTGCCGGCCACACCCTTTCGAGACTCGATGATGAGGAAAGCATGCCGGTACTCATTCTCTTCGTCCGTCTGAGGTCGATCGGTTGGTCGCTGCTGACGGCCAATCTGGGCACCGGTGATCGCGATAGAGCCCAAGTGTGTGCCGCCGCGCTGCATCGCAAAGCGAATGTCAGAAATCCGGCGCTGTATATCAATAGGGAGGAAACGTACGCTTTCATAGTACTCCAGCTGCGGTCCCTGCAGCACAAAGAACCGAGTCTTCCAACCTCCAAAATTCTTCCCTCTCTTGGTCAGATAGCCCTCCTTATAGCCCTCTTTCGAGACAGGCTTGTTCGTCTCCTTCAAGATATCAGATGTCAGGAAAGCGATGACTTCATCGTTGTTCTTGATGGGAAGATTGATGAGAGTCTGGAGGTATTGTTCGAGAACCGCCTGCGATCCCACCGAGATCCATGTCAACACCCCGTATGGGAAAAATATGCAGCAGTGCTTACCTTCCGCTGGTCGACCTTTGAGGGCGCATGATCCCGCCACAACTTCCCATCTGGGAGGTTCGCAATCTTCTTCCCGACGCTCTTTCCCACCCTCGACCGCACTCTCTGATCCAGCCCTAGCACGTCGCTGTACATCTTCTCTACGCTCCAGCCCTCCTTCCCTTTCCCCTTGATACTGCCGGTTCCGGTCGAGGTGCTCACACCATTGGGATCCACGTACACGACGAAGCTGAGGACGTCCTTCCCCCGCTCGTTCGGCCGCACGCTCGAGCTTGTGACCTGGATTCGTGTATGGGGCAGGTCGTGGGGAAGGAGAGGCAAGGCACGGAACGGGGAACCACCTCCATTCAACGAGCCTTTCGCATTGAAATTAAGGGTCGTTCCAGACATGTTCGTGTGTGAGCCCACGGTCTGGGCGTTATACGTATTCGCTGTAGGCGTCTGCGGTCCGTCAGCCAAGTCGTCAGCCGCAACAGTGACTACCTGTCGATGCGGTGGAGTCCGAGGGGGTTGAGTCGATGAGAAAGATGTTTGGTCCTTAGGGGATGCAGTCGAAGGCGGCATTGGGAAGTCGTCAGCGTGTAAGTTCGGTGCTGAGCTGGCCGCCTGAGCGCTCGCGAGCCCACCGTACGGGTTGTTGGTGGAATCTGCATCACGTTCAGGATCAGTGTTTCGCCGCCCGCGTGGGCCCGTAGACTGTTCCTCGTCTTCCTCGTCTTCACCTTCGTCCTCGACGTCATCCATGTCCAGGAACTCGCCGTCAGAATGTTCTGGTCCGCGTCGTGGGCTGTCGTATCGAGAATGGGTATCGTTTTGATGGTTGATGTTTAGGTTGGACGTGGAATTGGGGTTGGAGGCCGAGTATGCCGTCGTAAGACTTCGAACGGGTGAGCTCATGCCACTACTATCGGCAAACGACATGCCCCCTGGGTTATCTACGGGAGACGGGGATTCATTGACAGATGGCAGCCTCGGCGATGGGAGGGGTGATTCTCCCATGGTGGATATGTACTGTTTTACTTCTGGAGGAAGAGAAATACGGGACTCGCGAGAGAGACTATGAGTTGGGGGAGGAAGATGAGCGGTGGTGGTTTCCAGGATCGCCTGAGCGGTCGGCAAGTGGCCGTGTGTCGACACTGGCGTCGTTAAGGCAGTCGAAGTACTGATAGAAGAGGCTGGTGTCGCGGTGGTGGGAGAAACAGCAGGTGATGAAGAATCCGGTTCTGGTTCATCAGTGTCTCCAATCATCTGGTCCGGAGAGGATGACAATTGGGGCTGATCCTGAGCGGCCTGATTGGCGAGAGCTCGAGCATGCTGTCGCGCGGCGCGTGAGGAGGACTATGAAGAACATCAGAGTTGGAATGGTGTTTAGATATTTGGAAATGGAGGACTTACTTTGAGCGAGTTAGAGCGAGGTGGGGGTTTTACGGGGGCTGTGTTGCGAAAGTGCTCTTGAAACGAGGGATCAGAAGACGGCTTCGAGGATGATTGTGAAATAAGGACAGTGGGCCCCGGGCGAGAAGTTTCTGAGGACCCTGGCCGTGGTTGTCCGGGACCTGCAGGTATAATATTAGACAAAATGCAATTATCACTTGCTGAACTGAGTATTGAGACAAGGAACAATAGCGTCCTGCGAATTGATTCCTCTAGACATCTATGATAGAACCGAATCTCCAAATTTCTACTGCTGCTCCACGGTACGAAGAAGGTTGAAAAATAGCCGGGTCGTTATTGGACAAAGCGAATAGGGTCAACCGTCGCGTGCGCTGAGGCACAACCAGGCGACGATTTGACTTGGTAACAGAAGAAGCCGCGGTGGACAGAGGTAAAAGACGGGGAAAAGGGCAAAAAGGTAGAAAATGAAGGGAAGAAGAACGTACTGGGCTCGTCTGATTGGTGGCGCAGGAGAGTAGCTCTGGGATTCGGAGACGAATTTGAGCGAGAAGCAGAGGACGAAGGCTTGCCATGTCTCTCGTGTCTCTCCCCCTTGAAGGCTTTCAGGATGGCGTCGGTGTTCTCTCCGAGCGCATTTAACTTGGACTTGTAGGCCTCGCGCTCTGTCCTGATTCTGTCGTTGTCTCTGTTGAGCTGTGTTGTAGCGCTGCGCTGTTTCTCGATAAGCTTCCAGAGCTGACTGTTTTGGGCAGCGACCGAATTGCGGTCTGCGACGAGGTGTTCGAGAGTAGCACGTATGGGATCGGGCGCATTGGCGTGTGCGGCGAGAAGGGTATCAAGGGAGACGGGGTGTGAAGGGCGGCCTGACGATGGGGTCGTGACAGAGGACGTTGACGTGGATGGACGGGGCGTGTGTGGAGAAAGCGTATGAGACGAATGTGAGGAAGACACGGTGAGGTGGTCGTTATTCGCGTGCCGGGACGACTGAGGCGTTGATGGGGCAGGCATTGCCATGGTCGTTGTCGATGGCGATGGCGGGAAGGACGTCGTCGCCGTCGTCGGGGATGTTGGACGGGCTGGAGACGGACGAAGAGCAGAGACGGAGACAGGTTCTGGTTCTGCTATAAGTCACATGACCCTCCCGCCCTTCTTGGCGCTTAACAACTTCTTGGCGGTTCGTCCTCTCTTCGTCCGTACTACTACCAATAACATCCATCGACCAACAATGGTCGCTTTGACCATCTACACGAGTTATCCTCTTTCCTTCAGCGGCCGTGCAATTCTTCTCTTCATTTCGCTGTCGTTAACACCAAAAGGAATGGCGGTCATCGCGTCCCGTACTCTTCCCTTCATGCTCAAAATAAACCCCATTTTGGCGTTTGAATCTCTCACTCTTGCTTCTCAGAATGACCGAATAATTGGTCGCTTTACCCCTTCTCACCATCCCGGATGGTCGTACGATTGCTTTCAGCAAATCCATCACGCATCAAACATTCTTGGACCTATGTAACTGATCGTACGCCGTACAGCTCCTACGTCGCCCAGGCCCGTCGGCATCAACTTCTTCCTCTGATGGTGGCTTCGAGCGAACACACGCTCCTTATATCGGGCCTGTCTGCAGCTGCGCAAGGTTTGGCCGTTGGTCATGTCGACAGACTGCCCTGATTTGGGTTGTCCATGGTTTCGCCATAGCTCGGGCAGGTGGACGCTTCCCAGATACCTTTAAGTTTGGGAATGCCTTCTAGTTGTACCACACAACTATCAATAGGGCGGCGTTGCGACTAGTCTTGGGCTCGCAGAATGTTCTGATCATAGTAGGACCCTCATTGTCTCGATAGTTCTCATCGGGTTCGTTCATGACTCTACGGCTATCGCCTGACCGCTGTCCTGATGGTGGTCGATTCTATGAAACCGGCTACAGCGGCGACACGCTACGTCCTCTTGGTTGCTTCCCTGGGTCTGAAGCATACCTCGCTAGGTGCTGGCATCTTGACCTGACGGACCTCGAGACTAGCCTGCTGGCAGATCTTGTCTGGTCCCAGGTCTAGCAGACAATCCCGCGCAGGCAAATGCGCACGCAGTGATGCGATGATCCAGGGACACAAGACGAGTTAGCAGACGTCAAGGAACGAATGAAGACGATGGTTCATCTCGTACTTCGCGCCCAACTACGCCTATCACTATTACTGGCTAGCATACACCAATTCGTTGATGACGGTTAGATGAAATGACCTCGACTGCCCTGACTCGGAGGATGGTGCCCCTCGCCACTTTCGTCTATTCCACCGATTGCGCCAGCCTAACAGGGACTCTAGGTGTGGGACTGAGAAGAACAGCGACACCGATGTTCGAGTGACCAGAATAATGATGTATGTGTTTCGCCAACTACTCAAAGAAAATACTGCGGCTGGCCAGTTGGCAGCAACGGTGGCCTAGTATCACGGATGGCTCAATCTGGCACCCATAGACACCCTGGCTCACACAGGGCGAACAGTTCACTAAGAGCATTGATGTTCATGCAGACTGATATTCAGCATCTCAGGTGTCCCATATAACATCCAAGATCCCTTTTCTACCACCCAGCTCGCCACCGATCGCCCTATGAACGAACGGCCCCAAGATTCAAAGCGAGCTCGAATAATGGGTGTTTAAGGTAGTTATAATGATGATTATTGTATACAAGATCAGTACAAGTCGGATATGCCATGTACCTCCGACGACGCTTCAGCGGTAAGAACGAGGGTTGCACAGGTGTATGTGTGCCATGTGGGCCTAGATGAATATACCTGACAGGCGTGCAGGCAGAAAAAAAAAAGAGGAGAGTCTGGCCACGATTAAAACAAAAATTACATGAAGGAAAAGTGGATGAACCCATAGGTGTGAAGACATAAACACAGAGAAGACCACCAAGGAAAAGGGGGTATAGCAGGAGGATAGCCGGATGTCCGTCCATGGGCATGGAGTGGCGGGTGGCGGCGTGGGTAAGGATTCCGCAACTCCAGCGCAGGGTATCATCAGGCATATGAGACAGAGGAGGGTGTAGAGCAAAGGGCGCATCACATCACTATGCACCCTCCACCTTGTCCTTGTCCTCCTTGACCCTTCGCTCTCGTCGTGAGTGAAACCCGTGCAGCCTCATAGAAGACTTCAGCTACACCCCGATTATGTTTCGAGCTACACTCTAGAATGGGCGGCAGCAGTACGAACAGGTGAGGACATAGTACGAGATAAATTTCAGAGTTGCGAACCTAGATAACGCGACGCTCGTATTCGGCGTGCAACTGTGAGACCCTCTTCGTATTGGACAGGTTGCATCCCATACCGTGCGAGCCGTTCCTTCACCGACCGGTCATCCCGTAGATCGCATTTTAGAGCTGCAAGTGGCGTGTCAAAGCAATGGATTTATGGCTACGGCAGCTGACATACCGACGAGAACGAGCTATTTGGCAATACGTTTCAGTACACGGAGAGTGTGTCATAGTGAAGGCAACGCACTTTGACGCCCGGACAATATTCTAGGATCTCATCTATCCACTAACACCATTGAAGCTAAGGGCTTTCGGGTCTGGTTGATTGGATGGACGGGGAGACTGACCTTGGATTCGACGTTCTCCAGCGATGTTGGATTATCAACCTGCATTCAAACAATGCAACTCGCCGGTCAATATGTTGACCGCGCGGGAAGACAAAGGATGTCTAGGAACTCGATTGACGCACCGAGAAGCAGATCATGACGACGTGTGTTTCTGCGTAGCTCAGTGATCTTAGACGATCGAACTCTTCCTGGCCTGGGCGATGGAATGACAGAGGCAGAGGCCGTGGGATCAATAAACATGAGGGAGTGTGGGGTGGGGACGGACGGACCGGCGGTATCCCATAGACTGAGCTCGACTAGCTGATCATCTACGTAGAGGTCATGGACGTAGTTTTCGAATACGGTGGGTTCACTGTGTACGGGGTGGCGAATATGAGGAGGCGAAGAGCGAGAGAATGTAGAGTTGGTGACGCACTAGACTTGTGTGAAGAAGCCTCGTGTGAAGACGTTTAGTAACGACGTCTTGCCTACAGACGAGTAAGATCAATCAGAAGACGCCAAATGAGCACTCTGAGGCTGACGCACCACAGGCACCATCTCCACATACGACGACCTTTCGTTGGACCTAGCGCAGGGGTTATTGAGGAACTAGTGCGAGGAAGGGACAACTAGACGGACCGGTCTTCCACGGCCAAATGATGGTGTACCAGACGATGTCCCACACTGGGGCATGATGTTCAAGAGAGATGAGGGAAAGGCGGACGAATTTGTGGGTGACGAGGACGAAGGTGAAGGGAGAGAGAGGCAAAAGTGAGTGTCAGACGTGACTATTCGGAACGTGCTTGTTGTCGTTTGTTGAACGGCTTGGCGTGGCGATCGCACACTCGCGTGCCACACCTTCATTTCCCCCGCACTAATTTCTTGCCAATTTCGTCTCAGACTCTCCAACTAAGTACCAAGCTGTGCTCCCCGATTATAGGCACAAGATGACTTCTAGAGGGCAACGAACGCTACTGTACATGACCTCTATCGACAAAGTCTGAGAAAATGGCATACTACAATGCAAAGCGCTCGCAGCCAATGGCATAACGAGAGGGTGTTTCGACATGGTATCCCGAAATATAGATCTAGAGTCTATAAGTATGTGGTAAAGTATAAGCATAATTCGCGAGCTCAATTGAGCTGATGGAAGAAGATCTTGTCACGTCATTCCAAGCTGGGCCACAAAGTCTTCCCACACACCGTCCATCTGCAACGCCTCCGACGTTTGCGCCATGTCCTGAGGTATAATCCCATCCAATTGGAACGGCGCAGAGAAAGTGTCCGAGCTGTCTCCGGCATGATAGTCGAATGCGGGGAAGTATGATGGGAACTCTGGCTCGTCGTCGTCGTTGTGACCTTGATTTCGATGGTGGTGGTGCGGTTGCGTTTGTGAAGTAGACGCAGGCGGCTGCTCTTGTATGCCGAACTGCGTTGATACCTGTGGTTGTCGTTGTATCTGCTGCTGCAGAGTGTGATATGACGTCAGACCAGCATAGAAGGCAGCGCTAAGGTCTAACAGCGAAGAAGTGTTGTTCGACCCGGCGGCAGGGGAGGTTTGGAAGGATGGCATCGCAGACGGGATATCACATGAGGAGTGTCCTCCCAGTGCATCGCCCATACTAGGCACAGTATTTGAGTTCATCGGCGGTATACCCATAGCAGTAGGATGAGGTGCCGGGTCTCCGGTTGCGTCAGGTGAGGAGATGCCAAACGTCCGCAGGTAGTCCACAACTGTTGGGTGCATTTCGTTTTCTTGGAGATGCGGCAGAGGGACTACTGGGCTCATCGGCCATGAGGAGTGGTCAGATGGGAACGAATGTACTTTCGGCATGGAATGTGCGTTTCTTGTGGTGAAGGTGGGCGATGTGGTGGCAGGGGTTGGTTTGACAGCTTGGGTCCTCACGGCAGAGACATTGACAGAAACAAAGCGGTTCTTCCCTCCAAGCGTAAGCAGCTCATCGTCCTCGTCCGTTGATTCGGCAGAGCTCGAAGAATCATCAGAGATGTGAACAGGGGAGGGGCCTTTCCCGTTTCGAAAGGCATCTAAACTAAGGTGTGCTCGCTTCTGCAGCTTCGTCATGACACCCTACAGAGGATGAGGCGGCATGAGAACAGGCAAGTAATACATCGATGCGTACGTACTAAGACTTTTTCTGCACGGAAAATGGGAGCGACTTTGCTGAAGAGGTCGCATGCCGAATCTAGCTGCACCAGGGCTGAAGGAGCTAAACTCAAAGAAGGACACCGAGTGACGATGGATCCCAGGATGATCTGAGAAGAGTTAGTCGGGTAAGATAAACTTACAGGATAGTATGGTGGATGACGCACTGTGCAGGAAAACATATGCGTCCATAGAAACCATGTCCTTTCCATGGGTTCCTTCAGGAGATAGTATAAGTTGCGGATGAGGACAATCAAGGAACCTGCGCTTCGATATGCGGCAATGACAGACGTTCCGTATGGCCCCCCTAGTGGATCTTTTCCACCGGTGCTCAACGCTCGAGCGAAGAAACTGCGGTGCATATACAACAGATCTATAATTTCCACAAGAGCAATTAGAAACTAGAAAGTACATGAGTACGCAAATAATATACACACTCATTTCTCGCATGGCAAGGACGGTATGTTGTTGCATGATGAGCGCCGTCGACTGAGTGTCCCCATACTTTTCTGATGATCCGTTGGAGCCAACAATTTGCAGCGCGGGAGGGACAGGGCAAGCCCGCAGTTTGCGGTCGCATTGCAGGACTATAGCATAACTCGGTGTTTTGGCACCAAAGACTTGGTCATGGATGACGGTCATGCCGATTGCACAAAAACGTTGTTTCCAGGCGCTGACTATCAAAGAATAAGGTGCCCATCAAATTATGATACTCTAGACAACAAAGAGACGAGACGCGTGACGAACATGCCAGTTCCACTGGTGGTTGCGGATGAGGAGCTTTGCAGTCTACTTGAGCGATTGTGAAGGCCGGGGGCCGACCGAACGTAAGGGCTTGCCATGAATCATAAACGAAGAGTTCCCAGAGGAGTTCACGTCGACGCTGAGTTTCCTCCGGGTCGCTGAGGGAAATATACGGATCAGTAAGGGACAATCGGCTGTAAAAGATTCTACTCACACGTCTAGGTGGCCGGTATCACGATGAAGCCCAATCTGAAGAGAGAGTTAAATAGTATTTCGATGAAGGAGCATTGAATAGATAGTTTACGCTTTGTGCGAGTTTGATAGTCAATCCTGCAGGGAAAAATAGGTCAGTGGCAGGTCTAGACTAAATGCCGCCTTCAAATCTGAACTAACCCATTATGGCCCATCTCTGGCCCCCATTCGAACCATCCCTCTCCACGAAAAATAGATATACGCTCATCAGGAACTGCATCATCCGCACTGTCAGTCACAGCAAGGCTGATGGCACAGTCAAAGACTCGCGTACCAAAGCCTGTACGGAACCGAGTGTTGGCTCGTTGAACACAGGGCTCTGAAAAAGTGCAGCGCGAGCGAGCATGTTGTACTTCTCCGCTTCGATATTGAACGCCGGTAGTCTTGGGTCCATGAGGCTCCCGTTGGCTAATATCATGAACATGATCGCTAGCCGTTGCGAGAGAATAAAAGCAGGTTCGTCGGGGGAGGGAAAGGAGGGGTTCGATCGATAAAGGACCGAAAACACGGTTTCATTGAACTCTGTGAATGGTATTGGGTCGTACCTTCAAGAATGCAAAACTAGCGGGTCAATGTGACTGTAAGTTGTGGTGAAGATGTGGACTGACAGCCAAGCGATACGAGAGTAGTAGAGATTGTAGAGTTCGGTGGCCTTCTCTACTGGTGGGAGATACCAATACAAGTTTCGGAGCCTGTCATTGACGGTTTTCAGATCCAGCTGAGTGAGTGGCGACAATCGGAATCCACAGCCAAGGTCAATTATCTCTTGAGGTAGAATATTTCGAAGCTCAGCGGTCCGGTCGTCTGGGTCAGGGTCCAAATTGCCCTCATTCTGTGAGCTCACAGGTGAGATGAGTTCCACTCGAGAGCCAGACGACGTTTACCTGCAGAAAATACTATGGGACTCTGTAAGGAGTAATAATTACATTTCAGAAAAGAAAGCATAACGCACCCAAGAGTTTGCGAATGTCCCGTAGTAGTTGGTCTCTCCGGAGTGGGAAATGGAAAGAGTACCAAATGAATCAACGTCATCGGACGGTGTTTCCTCCTGTTGCGCGACAGCAGCAGCACTGGTTTTCTGTAAAGATATATCACGTTGCAATGGGGGAAGTTTGACAAGTAGCAATTCGTCTGACAGGAGTGGATGAGGGTTGGATGAGGTGGCGCTATGTGCGGTCTGCAATCCATCCTCAAGATCCCGCACGCGTCCAGAGAGTTCGGCGATTTTCTCGTGCTGTAGAGTGATATTTCCGTATATGACTCATTCGTCAGTTCGTCCCAACAAGGATAGAGGCACTCGCCACCTACCAGTTCCTGCGTTGATGCCAAGACGAAGCTATCGGTGACGAAGTGAGTGAAAGCGTCGACCTGTCAGAGAAGAAACAGTATACCGATTACCCTGGCCTGTAGTGAGGGAGCCTGGAAATGGAGACGAACATTGGTCAGAGGGTTTGCCAGTGCAGAAACCATGAATAATGAGATAGTACCGTCCGGACAAATGGTGCCGCAACCACGTTTGACGCAAGAGCCACAGGGTATGTTACGGTCGCACCGAAGCTTCAACCTGATAAAGACGTTGAGCCTGAGCACACCATGAAGTGGTCTAAGGGTGCTGAACCGCACCGTCTACACTCTGCACAGCTGAGCCTTGTGGCACCGCGTTTACGCTTTTTGGCAGGAGCTCCGGCAGCGTCAAGAGGGGGTTCGCCTGGGCGTTTAGAAGATGTTGGGAACGCAGACATGGGTTTGGACACCGTGCGGACAAGAGACGAAGATGGAAGACTGAACCCGGCCCAGATTATAAAGGGAGAGACAAACCCCAACCCATGAGCGGCTCGAGCGCTTGAGGCGCGTATATCTGTCCTCCGAACAGACCGGAGGCTGGAGCCCATTTCCCCTCTGGACTTTGCCGGCGATCAACTTAGACATGCCACACAATTTGGGCGACGCCACACTCGACTTTGTTTCCACGCTAGCACCACGTGACAGCGGCTGAAAACCCAGAATTCAGAAATTTGCCTTCATCCTTTCTTCTGTCTTCTCCACCATCAAGACCTTGTTTCCTCCTACGGTGAGTTATCTGCATTGCTCGACGGACTCGAAACATTCCCTCCTTTTGTGATGAACCCTTTAGATGACGAGTCTGAACTTGTCCCTGCGAAGTTTCTTCGTGGGGGCATCAATTGACGAGACTTTCTTTTTAATACCATTCATGCTTTTCTGACATACCCATCTTCCTCTCTCTCTGCTCTCCGCTTGTCAGAGCTTTTGCTAAATCCACATTTGACGCTTTTCATAGATCGCAAGTGTCTCACTATCTACAGATCAAGCATTATCATCTTTATAGGCGATCATGCCCCCTCGTGTCGAAGACTGGTCGGACTCGGACGACGATGACGCTGTCTCCGAAGTCGAGACCTCCGTTCTGCTGGGCATACCAGACGGTGCGATGGAGGAAGAAGGCGACGGCGTAGACGCCGCTGTATCTCGGATAGGTGGATTACCTGTACGGTTTTCAACACCATGTACCCCTGCCCCCCTTCACATTCATAGTCATATCTATACTCATGTCGTTAAAATATATCCTCTTTGTCTACCTTTTTACGCGCGATCGCGTGCGATACTCTATGGTGCGATATAGGCTCTGCTGCCGACGCCTGAACCTGCGTTCGAATCGAGCTTTTGTGCGAACTGCGTGTGTCCGATGCCGCTGCTTGTGCAGATGTGGTGCCCGTTCGAGGACAGTCCGTACGATCGTGCGTTATACGTATGGGGGTGTCCGAAAAGAGGCTGTCAGAGACAAGAGGGCAGGTGAGTGAGTCCTTCCAAATCCCTCTTTCGTTGTCCCGGATTACACATCCAGCAAATTTACCTGGATATTGGACCTAAACTCATTGGACTTGGTTTTGTAAGGACAGTGTGCGCGCGTGGAGAGGACTGAGATATAACGCTAAGTATGCCGAGAAACTTCAACGGAAACAAGCTGCCGCTGCTGCCAAAAAGGCAAAACGCGAGGAATCGCAAAAGGCTGCAAGTGCTACACAGAAAACAACGTCGAACCCGTTCTCGGTGCGTGCAGCTGTTGATGCCTGCTTCTTATTCTCCTGACGAAATGGCTCATAGATGAACGGCGGCGCAAACTCCACGGCAAACCCGTTTTCGGTGCGTTGATATCCTTTCTACGACTTGTTCTATCGTGTCATTGACCTGATGGGCCGTTAATCCTGCTAGATGGGTGCGGGATTTGCGTCGAGTACCACAGGATTCGGAGACAACATCTTCGGCGCGGAGGAGGCGGCCACCAAACCCGAAGATAGCGCGCATGAAGAGGCCGATGCTGATGTCGAGGCCGAAGAGCCACCACTCAGCGACGATGAGTCCGATTCTGCATCTACCTCGTCCTCGACAGAGTCTTTGGTCGTCGCCTTGACCTCGACATCGATCTCTGAATCCCCCTGGAAACCTGCGCCTTGGTACCCAGCACAGTATCTGTCGACGGCCCCAGAATACTTGCCTCCGTCAACATTGAAGAAACATGCGGACGCGAAGAAGCTCGGAGAATCGTTGGAAGACGATGCGGCGGAGGGAGGGAATGCGTGGACTGCAGAGAAGTATGAGAATTCGATGGATACAGATCCTGTTTTCGACAGGTTCAACGGGCGGGTGGCGGCAGAGCCGGAGCAATGTGTCAGGTAAGTCAAGAATTGCTTTTAAGTGTGCTGATTTTTGTTGAGGTGCTGGGGTATTTATTCGGCAGGTATGACCTAGGCGGGACACCACTACTCTTCTCATCCGACAAGACGTTCGAGAAATTATTCCCGCTGCCTGGACAGGATCCCAAGGTGACGATTATCGGGAAGGCGGACATGAAGGCAGGGTCGGCGCAGAAAAGGGAGTACGACTCTTCGCGCGTGGGGGAATGTTCAAAATGCCATTCGAAGCGGGTGTTCGAGTGCCAGCTCATGCCGAACCTGATCAATGTGCTGAAAGAGAAGGAGGGTGGTCAGGCAGAGAACGGGCTGACGGACGAGGAGCGGCGGAAATTGGTGGAGAGCGAGCTGAAGGGAGGGTCGAAGGAGGGGCGGGGGATGGAGTGGGGTGCTGTGCTTGTGTTCTGCTGCGAGTCGGACTGCTGTGTGGAGAGCGAGAAGGGGAGCAAGGACGGGTGGTTTGAAGAGGTTGTGATGGTGCAATGGGACGAGTGATATGCAGAATATGTACGGCGACTTGTAGAACGAACGAACGTGTGTTTCGGGCAAAGTCGGGGAGCGGGCCGGAATGTTGTCTATCAGGGGCAGCGACGGAGGCAGAACGTCGGTGACCTCACCGGCACCGTCGACCGCGTCTTTCTCTCCTCCGATCGCAGCATCAGCGCGTTCCCAACAGCGAGCTCCCTCACAATTCCCGTCCGCTCACCGTCACAGACGTCGAGCAGCCATGCTTTCCTCCATGCTGGCCGTCTCCCGCCCCGCTTTCTCTGAGAGCGCCCTCTCCGACTCAGGCTCGCTCTCGGGATTCGATCCCCCACCGCCCCGTTTCCCCCACACGCGCGCACAGTTGTCGGCCATCGCACGCCAGTACAAGCTGCCAGACAGCTACGACTCCGACGCGGAGGGCGACGACATTCCACGCGTCTCTGCACCACTCGTTGCTAGGGTCGTCGTCCTGCTCGACCAGGAGCACGAGGACGAAGTGAAATCTCTGCTCAAGGATACCTTTGGTCACATAGACGACGAAGCAGTCAGTCTCTGTCTGATTTGACTTAATATCGTCATCGTGCTGATTTTCAGCATTTTAGCTCGAACAACATGTCCTCGACCTCATGCATAAGCACCGCGACGACGTCGCCGGAGTTCCTTTCCTATTTCTCACCCCAAGTCGGAGACCTATTTCGCGACCCTCTTCCCGCGCTTCCTCTCACTCTGCCCGTCTTATACAACGCCCGGATACCCCAAACTCTGCCCCTACCTCTCCCCTCATCCATGTCTTCCGCAGACCCCATACGCCTATCACCTCTCCTCTCAGTACCAACAATGCACCCGGAACCTCCTACATGACCGCACATTCCGATTCGCCCTCGGCTTCCCCTATTCAACAATACATCAGCATGCCTCAGGCCTATTCCCAATTTGCCAGCAGTCTCCCGTCGTCACCCCTATCGTCACCCCGTCTCAGTCTTAACGCAAAAGCTTCCGAGTTCAGACCTCACCCTCGTCCCCTCTCGGCCGCGTCCTCAAACCCCGCGTCCTTGTCCCAACTCAGGGGAGACACACCCTCTCCCGATCTGTGGGCGCACCCGACGTTGAGGCCCACCTCCAATCTCGCCATCGCGGCTCCCTTGGTTCCCGACACAACACTTCTGTCTCGTTCCGGAACCCCAAGCTCACTCCGTGCTTCCATTCGTCCGGGAGAGCAAGATGACGAAGAAGACCCCTTCGACCCCTTCGCCCACAAGCATCAGCCACATAACTTCCATCCTATAGACGTCCACGGGTATGGTTCCTGGGATGAGCTTCCAGCGACCTATCCCGTTGATCCGTACGGCCCGTCTGCGCAAATACCGTTAGAGCAAATGTCGCCACCTTCCTTCGGGTCACAGCCATCTCAGGACAGCAGCGCAAGCATAGATGCCGATGCTAATGAGATGCTTACTGATGGCATGACGCCTTTCGACGTCCTGTCGTCTGTGTTCGGTGCGTCTCTGGCACCCTCCGAACTCGAGGAGGCGTTGGCCAACAATGGCTACGACTTTGAACGCTCTATGGCTTGGCTCGTGGACCGTACCGCTCCGCCACAACCGCACGGGGCTCGAGGAAAGATGCAGAGCATGGGTAACAGAGTCTCGCTTGTTTCTAGGGACGGAGCGTCCGGGTTCGTGCGAGGAGGAAGAGCCGGCTACGATAATGGAAGTGCCAACGGTAGGGGTGCCCCGCGATACGTGAATGGTCGACCTGCCCAAGGCGGAAACAGAGTCTGTCGTTATTTCCTCGCTGGAGAGTGCCTGAGGGCAGACTGCCGGTTCAGGTAGGCTTAATAAAACACGTCTCTTCCAGACACCGTATTAATCGTCATTTCACAGCCACGATCTTGAGCGTGCACTGTGCCGATTCTGGTTGCGGGGAACATGTGCGAAGCAGGAGAACTGCGAGTTCCTGCATCATCTACCAGAACAAGTCGACGTCAACAGTCTTGCCTCTGCCATGTCCCGCACCGAGATCTCGAACCACGAGCCACAGCCGAGCAACAGTCCACCACCAGAAGAGTTCCCATCCCTGGGCTACGCAAATTCAGGTGATCAAATGAACCGTGGTGGCTACTACGGTCGTTCGGACAGGACGAACTACGATCCAGGACGAACGAGGTTCGCCGCAGCTGTCAAGAAGCCGGCGCCGACCAATCCCACCCTTGCCTATCAGCCACGGGACCAGGCGACGTTGGCTGCTCGTAGACAGGCGATGGGCAGCGCTGCTGAACCTCTGCACCACCGCACGGCCATCATCGCACCCAAGCCCTCTCCGCGCCTCAAGCTCCGTCCACCGACCCTTTTGCCCACGCTTCCCACGGGTGAGACTATCAACGACCTGTACATGAAGTACCGTTCTCGTGCGCTGCAGCTCGGTGCTGCGAGGAATGCTTGTCTTTCTCGTGCTGCGGACGCGTGGCGCAGAGGTGACGGTGCGGCTGCGAAGAGGTTCAGCAGGGAGGGTCACGACCTGAATACGAAAATGGCCGGGCAGATGGCTGAAGCCGGGGCTACACTCGTCCGTGAGAGGGCGAGGTTGGCGGAACAGGCTGTCAAGGCCAGAGATGCGAGCTGGTCGGACGACCCGAGCGATAGGACGAGCAGGGGACAGATTTGCGGTGGGGGTTTGGGCGTCGTACTGGGTGTGGCGAGGGCGGACTCGGTTGGTGATAGAACGTTGAGTCCGGAGGAGAAGATGGAATGTGTATTGGATCTGCACGGGTTGCATTCCAATGAAGCGACAGAAGTGTTGGAGAACTTTTTACTCGAGGTGAGGATTCTGGACCTTTCATCTGGAATGGTGTATCGCTAACGCTTCCGTCCAGCTCGAAAGGGAACATTTCTATGGATTAGGTGAGTTCTTTCTTTTCGTGTTTTCAGATCTTGCAAAGTGCTGACATCCTCCTGCAATGCTACACAGCTTATTTGGTCGTCGGTGAAGAGAAACATACGGGAACTCAGGATGTCGCCCGTGGAGCGTCACGCGAGCGTCTCGCCGCTGGCGTGCGCGAATGGTTGCACAGGTGGGGATATCCATGGAGCGAGCGTGATGGAGTGATCTGTGTCGACCACCTCACACACTTGTGAGGTGGCATTCCCTTGCTTGGATTCGATGGCGGGCGGTTCCGCTCACCCGGCTATAGACGATAAAAGGGACAATATTTCGCGACAGGTATCTTTTCCACCCTTCCATATTCGATATTATTGGGGGAGATGGGTTTTGATGTTTTCACTGGATGCTTCTGCGTGTGCATACAAGAGTACGTATGCATTGCCGCTGCTTTTGGTTCTGTCGTTTGTGTCGTTGGAAGAGGATGAAGAATTGTGTATATACTCTTTGTAACAGTAGTCGCTGTGGCCACAACCTGCAGCCACCAGAAAAATGTGCCATAAATACATCCGTATAGTTGCCCCTCTCCATCGCATGCATAGCCCTGTCCCATATGGAGTTGATGATGCGCTGATGCGCAGGAAGAACCGGTTTGTTGGCAACAGTCGCAGGAGACGAGCGGTGGCGGCGTAGGGTTAGGGCTTGACTGCGCCACAGGCAAGCAGACGGCGTTGACGCGTAGACGGTCCATCTGTAGGAACCTATGCCTAGTTGACGGACATGAAGGCGTCGTTATCGTCGTACTCGGAGTTCCCTTGGTAGCTGTCTCAAATTGTCACAGCTTGAGCTCGAGAAGGACGCTGCTGATTGATCCATGGTCTGCTCCGTTGGGTACACGCACATCTGAAAAGCCTTATCGAAACGGTCGGCGAAGTGTATCAAATCGCAAGGGCAGTGGAACCGCATTTTGTTGTACAACATCATCGGACTTCCTTCGTACAACATCCGACACTCGAGCCCGCTCATCTCGACACAGAGTCGGAAGCTGGTTAAACTGCCTCCTCATCGTCCTCGTCTCCCGACACCTCCGCGTTCTCGGCGCTGGCCTTGGCCATGAGCTGTGCGAGGTCTTGTTCTTCCGTGTCCGAGACGGCCTTTGGCTATATATATCCAATGTGAAACAACGCAAGCGGAAGTGAAGTTGAGTGAGTCCAAGGATGAACAATGAACACTGGCGAGACGCACCCTCATCTTGATGACAAGCGACCCGCCCTGATCTTCGATTGTAGCTTGGATAGACTCGATCGCGCGTTCGAGCCTCTCCACGGCGCCAAACTAAACGAACAGATGAACACGCCACGCAACACGGTTTTGAAAGAGAAAAAGGACCGACCTTATCAGTCGCGTTCGTACTCAACACATATAGCGGTGGTGCAACGAGCTTCGCCTTGATCGGCACCTGCTCCGTCGAGCTCCTCTCTCCCTCCCTCAATGCCTTCTTGATCGCGTCGATCCCGGCGGGCGTGTAGCATGTGAGCTCGATGTCAGCTCGGAGTTTGATAGGCTGAGGGGTCAGACGACGGGCGATGGTCTGTGTGAGGAGTTGGTAGGTTGCGGGTGGGAGCGGAGCAGGTAGGTTGGAGAAGACGGTGTCGGCTTCGCTGATGAATGTACCCGCGATATTCCAGGATAGGCAGGAAATGATGAGCTAGGTGGTGTAAGATAAGATCAAGAGGGACGCACGTAAGAGCAACCTTGAACGCATCATACGGATGCGCATACTTCTTGTTCAAAGGCCACGCAATCTGCTCGTACAACTTCTCCAACCTCTCCTCCTCGCTCGATCCCGCCTCGGCGCCTTCCGCGACCTCTGCTCCCTCCGCCGTCTCTCCTCCTTCAGCTCCAGCGCCATTTGCCCTGGGAGGTGCACCACCCTTAGGGCCGCGCTTGGACTTTGTTTCTCCGGACTTGGCGGAGGGATCAGAGGGGTCAGCCGCTGCGGGGTCGTAGGACGGGAGTTTGGTGGCGACATGGCGGAGGATGGATGCTACCGTTTTAGATTTCATGTAGCGTTCTTCGCATTTGGTGATGTCTTCCGGGGAGACGCGACGTTTTGAGAGATCGATATAGCCTGTGCGAAGCAAAGGGAAGATCGAGAAGGTTGAAGGAGCGTGAGCGATTGGTCGGAAGAGACGTGCGGGTGGCAGAGGGAATGTAGATGGAAGGGGCAGGATGCGAAACCTTACCTTTTTCCTTGTCCACACGGAGGACGACGACAACTTCGTTACGTCCGACACGGATGAGTTTTTGTATAGAGCGTATACGACGACGGGAGAGCTCAGACAGGAGGATCATTCCCTCGATATTGTCGTACTCCAACTATCCGCCCAGCCGTACCGATCGATTCAAGGATTCCGCGTCGCGCGCATCGATGTATAAACGAGCGTACCAGCAGACATATATTCTCAATGAGCGACCAGAAGCGACAAATCGAGGCAAAAAAGGACAGACAAGCTTGACATAGGCCCCCATCTCCGCTATCTGTCGTACTTGGACCATGACGAGCTCGTCCACCTCCGGGTAACGCTGTTCGTAATACCGCATCTTCTTTCTTCGACTATGAGTGTATTACTTGGAGGTAAAAGCCGATGTGTAGGCCAAGGGATGGTCTTCGGTCGGGGGTGGTGATGGGTGGAGGGGAAGAGTCAATGAATTTCGCTCCGAACACTTGGCGCGATTTTTCGGCTGAAATGGGATGGGTGGCGACAATGATCGAGTGGGCCACAGCGTTCGTGCGGGCCGCGCGCGAGTGGTTGACCGTTGTGGCACAGGTGGGAGCGAGTGATCTGTGTCGACCACCTCACACATTTGTGAGGTGGCCGGCTATAGACGATAAAAGGGACAATATTTCGACAGGTATCTTTTCCACCCTTCCATATTCGATATTATCGGGGGCGATGGTTGTTGGCGTTTAAATGGATGCTTATGCGTATGCGTACGAGTGCAGCACGAGTACGTATGCATTGCTGCTGCTTTTGGATCTGTCGTTGGAAGAGGATGAAGAATTGTGTATATACTCTTTGTAACAGTACTAATCGCTGTGGCCACAACCTGCAACCACCAGAAAATGTGCCATAAATACATCCGTATAGCCCTGGTCCATATGGGTTTGATGATGCGCTGATGCGCAGGAGTTTTGTTGGCAACGACGAGTGGTGGCGGGGGACGGATGATGTGAGCCGTTGCCACGTGAGCCGTTCAGGGTCTTGAAATCGAGGGGATCATGCGCGGAGACACAGCTCCTTGTGCGTTGCCCCCTCAGTTATCAGGGCCGCTCACAGCAACTCAGCTCTTGCTATCTCGTCCACCTACACACTCAACTTTTCATCTTTTGAACGACCATCATCATGTCCCTTCACGACTCTCAACTTGAACCAGGAATGGATAGCAGACTACGCGCGCACTCCATTGACCTCTCGCTCGAACTCGAACGCCAGCTTGACAACGAATCCCTCCCGCCCTCTTCCCCCAGAACCGACCGTCCACAATCGTTGGACCCACAGGTGCTGTCGACCATCATCATCAATCTACGCACGAGTCTCGCAGAGGTACAGAACGAGCGGGATGCGCTGTCGGCTGCGTTAGCGGAGTCTCAGAGGAAGGAAGAGACGGCAGAGGCCGAATTGAAGACGGTGTCGGAGAGACAGGCAGCCGTCGAGGCTGAGTTGGAGGCTTCCAAGCAGAAGAATCAGGATGATGCGGAGACCCTCGCTATGCTTAGAAGCAAGGTAGAAGAGAGTCGGTAAGCGCCTGAACCTCTATCAACTGCTATAACTCTATCAGTGGTCGTATGCATGGCATTAACCGTGCCCTCATTATCTCCGCTGTTATAGACGAGGCCTCATGCGCTTGCAGACCGAAAACCGTAGAATGAGCCAAACGCCGCTCGATCTCTCTCGAGCTGGTCTGCCGTCCTTTGGTGGTCCTGGCTCCAGCAAACGCGCTTCGTTCACACCCCTCACCGGTTCATCAGTCGCACGTATGCAAGCTCACAGACGTATCTCTTCCGTTTCCGATTCGACTTTACACTGGGCTCCCGAGTCTTCCAACGCCGACCCCAACTCCACCTCCCCGAACTCCCAAGTCATCACCCTGCCAGACCTCTCTTCCAATCCCGCCCCTCCCCCTCCCTCTTCAAGGCGATTCTCCGGTCTGTTCGGGCGCGCTGCTCCCATTGACCCGCTTGACTTGTCGGCTGCTAAGCCAGGAGCGACGAGTGCGGAGGTCGAGAGTTTACGTCAAGAGGTCAGGACGCTGAAGGCTGCTCTCGAGGAAACGCGGAGCGAGCTGACGGAGAGCAACGAGGCCAAGGAGGCTTCAGAGACGTGTGTCAAGGCACTGCGCGAATTCATCGCAGAGAACAATGTCGGTCCGGACGCGCACGCCTCTGCCGCTGGTCGTACCAGCAACGATGGCGGGTCGCGGGCGAGCATCAGTAGCAGCGGTGCTGGAGGTGGGGCCAACGGCTCCCTCTGGGGTTTCAAACTTTGGAGTACGGGGTCAGGAGCGGGCACACCGGTGCATGGTAGCGAACCGAGCATGTCGCCAAGCTCTGAACGGAACGTCGTGCCACTGCCCAAAGCGCATTCTCAGCCGCCGATGTACTCGCAAGGGGAGCCTCTGACGAAGAAGCTTGGTGGGTTCTTTGGTAATCGGATCAGTGGTGGTGGAGCCGCTGCTCCTGCAGTACCGAGGCCTATGAATGGTGTCCAGGAGCCGATGTATAACGGGTCAGATACGTCGTCCGCAGACGAGTCGGTGCCGGTCAGCCCTATCCTCGAGCACACACCCACGAACATCTCGGTCGGCGTGAGGAGCGCGGGATCTGGCCTGGATGAAATCGCTGGGAGTCCTGACCAGAAGACTATGGGGGTAGGCAGGACCGTGGAAGTTGCGTTGTGATTCAGGAGGGGGAGGTTGGACTGGAAGGATTTACAGGATCACGATATGATTTCTCATGCTACGGGATACCCATAGTACACACTGACCGACATGACATGACCTCGCACTCTATGCTTTCTGGATTGTACATACACTGAAGACTAATACTCGCACCTACATACATATACCTAGAAATATCAAATAATACGTTATATCACTGGCAGTTGGTGTTGTGTTGGCCAGGGCATTGCCAGGGCACGTCGTGCAGAAGTGCCTCCGTGTTTTTGACCTGCTATAAATCGGGCAGGAAGATCTGCCCCCGAGCCCAATGACGCGAGCGGACTGTTTAGCTGTTCTCCAGGGTATTTCAGTCAGCGTTGCACACGCATTGTTGAGAAACTTCGAGCGAGGACGCCCAGGTACTTATGCGGACGATGTCCCATGCAGTTAGTGTGTACACAAGAAACATGTCTGATTGAAGCGTCTGAAACCCCTCTTACATCTCGATGGAACAGTTTGTCGAGCTTCTGAGCCGGCAACGCCGAGTCGTTACAAGCGGGACTGGGTATCCATTCGAGTTCGTCTGGCATACAAAGGCAACTCCACTTTGTTTTCACGTCTACGCACACTCCCGAGCGGCAATCAGTGGCTTAGACAAAGATGCAGGGCCCCGCGGCGTGGGTATAAACGTCGTAACGCATAGTTTGTAGAGGGTAGAGCCTTGCATCATCCAACAGGGGTAAGTTGCCACCCGGCTAAGTATTCGAAGAAGACAGGTGAATGCCCAGTGGTCAGCAGAGGTCTTGAAGGAAATATTTCCTACGAGAGGGGGTGTATGTAAAAGGTTGTAGTGGACGCGGGTGCATCCTGTCGATCTGGGCAGAAGGCGGAGCCATTTGGGCTTGATATAGCAAACGGGGAGCCCTGCAGACCCTGGCTGAAGCCACATAAAGACTCGAACCCGACGAGCCGTCAGACTTCTCCCGAACAACCATGTCCTTCTCCCTCGCGCCCACAGGAGACGCAGGTACTCCCGCCTCTCTTTCACCAAAACAACGTCGGAGGAGCGCTGCTTTGAGCTGCGCAGAATGCAGAAGGTTCCCTCATTAATGATCTTCCCCAATTCGGAAACACGTGGCTGATGTCAGATGTCTGTGAACCGACAGGCTAAAGCTCAGGTCCCCCGTGCCTCTTTCTTCCCCCGTTGTCCTCGAATGCTGACATCTCTTCATAATTGCATATTGCGTAACTTAACAGATGCAGCCGCGTTTTCCCATGTACGAGCTGCGTTAAGAAAGGTTGTGGTGCTATATGCCCCGATGGTAAGTCCGCAAATCTGCGTACTAGTTAGAAAGCCGTTCATTTCAAACCATGTTTGGTAGGCTCCCTCACCACTGGCAAGGGAAATCGGTATGTTTCTGTGTCGAATCTAAAGGTCTGCTCTGACGGAAGAGATGATCAGCTTCATACTTGCAAACACCGAAGTCCTACATGACAAGATAGGTCAGTTAGCTTCTCGCGTGAGGCAATTGGAGGACGCTTTAGGCGAGCAACACGCCCTCCATTCCACCGAGCGTCACGCCCTGCTCGCGGATGATTTGTTGCAAATCAAACGCCCTCTCGAAAGAGAACTCAAGAAGGAAACATCAGGCGAGGAGGAACCTGAAGCGGCAGAGGTCATTGACGCGGTCGGATCCCTGTACGCCGACTTTGCTCACTCGTTTCGCATGATGTCGACTCTAACCTTCTCTCAGCGCTATATCCCGCACAGGGAAGACCAATTTCTTTGGGCAGACTGCTAACTCTTGGGTGCGTCCTGTAGATTATCGGAGTGCATGCATCACCATGATTTATACGAGTGTTGCAGTATTTATTACAGGTATGCCATGTCGCTATCCCCCTGTCATCGTACTCATTTCAACATTGTTCAGAACGAGGAAAATAGTGGGGACGAGGAAAGCAGCGCGAGCCCTGAGCTCCCATTGCCGTATGACCTACCTTGGCTCAGTCATACGTTCCCATTTACGCAAAGTGTTAGTCGGACGGCGCAAAATGTGCGGAGTATCCTCTTGAGCTATCTACCTGAGGCTCCTCAAGCCCAAAGATTGGTTGACATATATTATAATAATGCTGCTTGGATGTGAGTCTATGTCTACATCCTGGCTCATAATTATCTTAATCCTTGCTGTCCAGGTATACACCGATGTACAGAGATGATTTCCAGGAAAACGTCTTCAACCGAATATATGAGCCTCAGCCCCTTGCAGAGCCCGATCCTATTGAATGCCACCGGTCAGTCACTTTTAGACGACGAATTCACAAAATCTGACTTCGCCGCTTAGGATTGGTGCAATGTACTTGGTTCTTGCACTCGCAACTCTCGTTGACCTCGAGATGCCACAGCAATCGCACGATGCTCACTACTATCTCCAGTTAGGGCGAGCAGCCTTATCTGTGGACTCGATATTTGAGGGTCAATCCACAATCGCTCTACAAGCGTTGGTGAGGAGGTTCACTACTCTCGTCTGTCTTCGCCTGCGGTTCTGACTCCCACTTTTAGTTGATGATGGCACATTTCATGTTCTGGTCCGATATTGACGGTCCTCGATGGGCTGTTATGGGAATTGCGGTCAAATTGGCTCACAGTGTGCGCACTGAATATACTCAAAGCTCAGGGAGACATGCTTACCCAAACCCCCCATATATTATAGTGCGGTCTCCGTAAGTTCTTGTTTCCGTTTTACAGACCGTTGGCTGCAGAGATGAACACATGGGTATTCAGATCGAGACAGCGGCAGATGGGGTCTGAGTGCAACTGAGACGTTTAGGCGAAGATCTCTCTTCTGGGAGCTTTATGTGTACGACAGCTATTATGCTTGATTGTTGCCAGACTGGTGCTGACGGCCTGTTTTTGCTTGCAGTTATGATTCTTGGCAGGTTTGCTTCCATTCACAGGGCTATTTCTCATAGCGAGTCTGATTCATCTGTCCAGAGCTTAACCTATGGCAGGCCACCTTCGTTTTCCTTGATACATATAGACACCCAAATGGCACACCAACCCACGAAAAACGACCAAGGCGAAGAAGAAATGATATGTATGTCACTAGGATCTCCATAAGCTCGAGCCAGTCTCATTCGCCGACCCAGTTGAATTGTGGAAACACAAATTCTCTTCTCAATGTCTCAGTGTTGTTCACGACCAAGTATTCGGCGCTAGAGCACCGAGCTACAAGGTGCTCCAGGAGCTCGACCGGAAAGTACGAAACTTTCCGACACCTCCATCCTTGCAAGTTCCCGGCTTTGGGGGACCAGTTGTTGACGCAACACCGGCACCCATATCTTTGACCATGCAAAGATATATCGCTTTCGCAATCCGGGAAATTAGTCTGTGTTTCCTCGTGTTCCCTAGTTTCGATTTTACTGACCCACCGATATCCACAGCACTTTTCTATATGCATCGAGGTTTCTTTGCTCGTGCATTGGAGGACAACGCACAGGATCCTTTGGGGAGCAAGTTTGCGCCGTCCGTTCTGGCGGCGTATAGCACCGCTTGCTCCTTCGTGGCATTGATCAAAAGCTTGTTCTCCCAACAGCCAGCCTTGACCGAACGGATGTGGTTTCTGTTCACCCACGTATTTTCTTGTGCCGTAAGTCTCAGCATATCATATGTTCTTGGCCCTTGAGCTCACGCTTCTGTTGTCCAGATTGTCCTGAGCTCGATACCGATCAAGTGCCCTTCGATGGCTCTCGCACGCTCGGCGCTCTCTCACCTCGATTCTGCACTTCAACTTTTTGAACGAGTGGCCGAAAATCCTCGCGCAGTAAGGGTTCTGGTGAGTAGAATATCAGTATCTCCTACGATGATGTGAGGACTTACGAGGACACATCAGCCTATCCTGCGGAAGCTGCGCGAACGAGCGATTGCCTCCATGCAGGAGTTGCAGATGCGCCACCCCATGACACCCTCGTCAAAACCACCCATGAATCCGACGCTCAAGAAGGAAGACGAAGAGCTGGCCACTCTTGGAGGCAAGACACGACTCGTCCACCGCGGTCCGACATCTGCATCATCCCCATCGAATACCGCATCCCCATCCTCGAACTCTGCGTCCCCGCCACCGCACTCTGTATCCCCACCATTGACCGCAGGACATCGACACGTACGAACTCCATCGATTGCTTCGCAGGAAGCAACCTACCCTCGTCCAGACCAGTTTTCGCATACACCCCACGTCGCGGCAAATCAGCAGACTCCAGCATGGTCGACGTATCCTCCTCCTTCGGAACATGCTCCAGCATACAACTACAACACATATAACTTCCCTCCACAGCAATGGTCGCAGCAGCTACCACCCGCGGAGGAGTTCGCATACAGCGCCGCTCACGACGGGGCGATGTCGATTGAGATGCTGGCCGATCAGTACGGCGTGACGAATTTTGACTACTCAGCATCGATGTCGGTGAATTCATATTATGGACAGTCAGGATCGGACGCTGGTCTTATGATGCAGAGCCCCGGAGAGATGCAGGCCACGCAGGACCCCACTGCTGCGTGGCAGAGTCTGGTAGCCCAGTTCAGTCATGTATGAAAGGACTGATGGAGATCCATATGTTATTTGTATATTCTCCCCCGAGTACTTACTCTGTAGAGCATTTTCCTTGTGTTAGTGGTCACCTTTGCGATGGTTTTCTCCTGGGTCAGTTCGTTTACATTTCTCACTGATGTTGCATGGTGATGTCTGGTCAGGCGAGTTGTATTGCATCTTGGAAGCCGTGATACGTGTTAGCCTGTATTTTACCTGATACTGCCTCCGTCTCCGTTGATATCTTCGCCGATGAGCAATGCTGTGGGTTTTGTTGAGCTTCTGCGACTAAGGCACTTGAGAAATGGGCTGTTTCACACAATCACACGTTTGAGACGAACGCAGGTAGAGTTGAAAGGGAATAAAAAACATAACAACATCCAATTAAAATCAAGCTGGCAAAGACTGGCATATGTAAAGAGCTTCCAAACGAGAATTATGCGACCCGAACCGTACAGATATCATGAAAGTCCACTCTCCATCCTAATCCACACTTGCAACGACAACACATCAATACGCACCAAACCCGGTCATTTGTGGGGCAAAGCCCATGCCAGTACCGTTCATCATAGGTGGCGGTGCCTGGCCAGGGAACCTGGTAGTAGCAAGGAAGAAGATATAGTTGAGCGGGTGCATATTGAGTGACGAGTCGAATGGAAGTAGCGCTTACCCGTTCCCTTGCGTCAAAAGGAGACGGTTGCCCATGAGTCCTGGGTTGATGATTGGAGCGTCCGCCTCGGTCTGCTCCTTTTGGATCTCCTTCTTCGCCCGCTCCTTCACCTCCTTCTCCAAAGCGGCCAACTGAGTGAGAGTTCAAGTCAGCAACGACATCGCCATATATTTCGAAAAGAATGCATACCTTTTCGACCAAACTGCGCTGAGACTGAATCTTGTAAGGCATGTAGAAATCGTTGAGACCATGCTGCCACGACAACTCCTCGACAACATCGGACCGCAGCAAGTCGAAACAGGTGAACAGGAGTGCAGCGAAGCACTCCTTGTTTCCAATGTCCACGAAGTAGGATAAGAGCTCCTCCGCGACTTCGGTAGATGACGACGTCGCTGCCGTGACCATGGCGTCCTTGTAGAGCTTGTCCTGCTTCGAAAGCGAGATGGACTCCTCCCAGCGTTTGTTTTTCTGCGTGATAAGAGGTCAGCATGCGACTTCGGGCAGGGGTACTACCAATCATACCTTGTAAAGATGAGCAGCCAGCCGCCTGAACTCGAGGAGCTCATGTCTCTCTAACCGCCGGGCAAGGGCAATGTTGTCGAAGTTGTCAAAGCTGTCTATCGAGTCACGAAGGGTCTTGTAGTCCTCCTCTTCAATCAGCAAGTCATTGTAAGCGTTATTGACCGCCTCTATGTTCAACTGTTCGAACAAGTCAGTTCATCTGGTCAAAGATCAGAAAAGCGGAAGATAGATTTCTCACATGCTGCACAGCGATGAGGTACGAGCGAATGAGAGGAATATGATCGATTTGTTGGAACATGCGAACAACGCGAGCATGGTCGATACGTGGGATGAGCACCGTCAATAGATCCGTCAAGAGTGTCGGCTGCTCCTGGAGGTAGAACGAGAGTGCCTTGTAGTAGCTAATAGACTGCGTGTCAGCAACAGAAATCATATCTGCAAAGCTTCGAAGACTTACATCTCCACGTTCGCCACGCGAACGACAACATCCTTGAACTGGTTGTGCTCCCAGGCGTCCGAGGAACGCTCGATCATAGCCAGCGCCGCATTGTCAAATTCATCGTACTTAATGTAGAGCAACACGAGCTCAGGCCACAGGTGAGCCTTCTCAGTGGCCTTGATGACCTTGGGAATGTTGATCCGTGAGACGAAAAGCTTGAGGTGTTCCATGACTATTGAGACATCGTTGTCAGAGTCACATGATAGATACTGATATCGAGAGATACATACGTTTCTCCGGCTTGTACTTGCTGTATAGAATAGCAAGTTCGGTAAAGATACCCATCTAGAAGGACAGGGGGATAAGCAACAATGATCGCGAAGACTAGATCGTCTACGTACGTGTGCTCGTTCAAGACTCAAACCAGCCTCCAACAACGTCAAGACCTCATCGAAATACCCTCGTCGCTCATACGTTTGAATCAGGGCTGGCAGTTCCTCAGCGTGAACAACGATGTTGAGACCGCAAATCTGAGCCAGGCGGAACTCTGAAGTCTCCAAGCAAGCAGCATGGACCTGCTTCCAGACCTGGGTGTTACCGGCTTTCCTCGCACTCTCCACAGCTGCCTGGTTCTCGCCGAGGTAGATGAGCGTCGTCGCGAGCCTGGCCCAGTTGGAGATACTTGTGAAGAGGAGCTTGGCGGCCTGGTACAACTCGTCTTCGAAACATTTCTCTCCAACCTCGAGGATGTCGGCGACATTTGTCATACCCAGGAAGTCCTCCATGTCATGCAGACGGTCGGTCTTCGCATAGGCGTAGGCGAGCTCGGTGTCAACCTTGGGCTCGCGAAGAGACTTGCGAGCCATCTGGAGGAAGCGCACAAGATCGTCATGTTTGCCAGCGTGGTTGGCGATTTCGATGACTTCATGGAAATTCGAAGGGTCTTCCGCCTTGATGTACGAATCTAGGATACCACACTATTAGCGTGTACATTCGAGCAAGAGGAACTTGAGCCACGTACCGATAGCGTCCTTGATGCGAAGGCCATCGAGCTGTGCCTTGGCAAGGCGACTCCAAACTTCGGGTCGATTCACCTTGTTCGCGTAGTCGACCCCACGATCCAGTGAGACGATGTACTCGACCAAGACATTGATAGCCTCTGCATGCTGCTCGTACTTCTTGTAGATAGTCAACGCCTCCTCGTATAAGCCGTGGTCAGTGGCAATCTTCGCGATCTCGCCACTGTCGTAATTCTGCAACTTGTTGATGTAACCGACAACCTTGCCCTTGTCGGCACGGATAGCAGTCAAGAGGAGCAAGTTCTGGAGGTTGCGGTTGTCGCTGAATGCTGAAGGCTCGATGATGATCTTCTCCAAGAGCTCGATGAGTTCGATGGGCAAGTCGGCGGACAGGAAGGACTTGACGGTAATGGAGACATCATCTGGGTCGGTGCTCTCAGGGATAGCGGTCGAAACGACCTGCGAGGATGATGGTGACGATTAGAAAGGATAAAGAATAAGACAGAAAGACCAATATGTACCTGGTCAATAAGTTGACGGCGGTGGTCATTGCCGGGCGAGAGAACCTGTGCCCAAAGCTCGGGCTGACGACGCTTGACGAGGTAACGCGCCTGTTGCTTGAACATCGAGTTCTCGTTCGTAATCGCGATGAGCTCCTCGTCACAGAAGCCCTTGGCATACGCGATGTAAGCCAGGTAAGGGTCGCGTGCCTCGCAGAACTTGCCGACAACTAGAGGCTCGTACAGCTACGATACATGTTATGTTAATGTTATATACTCGAGACATCGAATACCGAGTAGACTCACGTTGTTCTCTTTGAGGAACTGTTCTGGGTTGTTGTTGCTGTCGATGAAGATCTTCGCCATAGCATTGTAGACCGCCGGGTCTTGACTCCCACTCTGCACTCTGGCCTCCAACCACGGCAAGATCAACTTCAGCCTGTTCCTCTGCTCGACCTCGTTCACCAACTCGTCGATCGGGAAGTTGCCCGTGACGGAAGCAAGCAGTCCCTTGATCGTCGTCTCGTCACAGTCAACGTCCAACAACCCACCAACGACCTGTGGCGTGCGGAAAGAGTTGACGCGCTGGACGTAGACCTCGATGAATTTGGTGAGGCCGTTCTGGTAAAGGTACAGAACGAGATCGTGGACGAAGTCGAAACGGTCGCAGACGATGATGAGGGGGAGCTGGTCTGCGAGCTTGGCCTCCTTGAGGAAGTTCTTGACCTTCTCCGGGTTGTAAGCGTTTGATTCCCGACAAATGCGCTCGACCTCGCGGATCTGACCAGTACGGGTGGCGGCCTGAATGTATTTGAAGTGCACCTCGGGATCCTCGCTCAGGTTAACGATAGAACCGAGGTAGTAGTAGAGACCTAGGAAATAAATTCATAAGACAGTCTATACATTGAGTCTATGAGACGACGTACCTTCGAAGCTCTTGAACGATTCGAACATCTCGATGAGTTTGACGGGACCCAAGATGTCCGAGTACTTGGTCGCAATCTGAACGACGACCTGCAAGTTCTGGCGGATGTTGATACGCAACATCTCCTGCATACAGGCCATGGACTGTTCCGTCGTGAGGCGGCTGAAGTACGTGACGAGCCACTGCGAATAGTACAGTTAGTGTCAGATATAGGAAGGGAATCAATACGGAGAACATACGTCCGCGGGAAGAATGTTCGTGTGCACAATTGCGCGCTTGATGTCAGCAATATCCTCGTAGTGTTCAAGAGCCTAGCACACCTGCGTTAGTTTCGTAACACGATATCTGGTATAGGAGAACATACCCGCTGCAACAATCCTGCCTGCTCGCAAAGGTTCGCGATACGTGGGCGGTCGTAGTGGGTGAACATCTCGTTGCCGAGAATAGCGTCAGCGACCTGAGGAGCGTGCATGAGGTTCATTTCAAGAAGTCGGGTCTGCAGATGGCCTTGCTCCGGCTTGTTGTCCTTGAGTGCATCGAGGAGGAAGGAAGTGGCGGGCTGGATCATATTCTGAGACATGAAGATATCGACGACCTGAACGAAGAGAATTAGATTAGTATCAAAGCGAAAATGGGCCAAGAAGAGCCTCCGAGGTCACATACCCGTTCGACGTCGATCAAGGGCCCCGACTCGTCATTGGCCAACTGCGTAGCGAATTCCGCACCCTTGTCCGGGTTGGTGCGCATGATATGCTGGAGAAGGCTGACATAGTCGGGTGTGAAGCCAACTTTCTTGGCGTAGAGTACGATCTTCTCCGTCTGGCCAGTTTCCGCGAAGCAAGCGATGACCTTGTTAGGAACGTTGGCGCGGAGGTAGACGCTAAGCGCCAGTGTCATGTCATGAAGGCGAACGATGTCTCCCAATTCTTCGCTACATGTAAGCTATTATGGGATTAGAGTAAGCAAAAAGTAGATGGAGGTTTCAGTAAGACTCACCTTGTCTTCTTTCAACCATTTCTCCAACAGCTGTTTCCTGCCCTGCTGCAGAACCGGCCGCGCGAGCTCGACGGACTCGAGATGGTTGAGTTGTCCTTTCTCGAGCAGTATACCGAAATACTGCAGAATCGGCGAAAGACCGCCAGGCGGGGTCGGTGCTTGCTTGAATGTTTCGATGACCTGAGCCGTACGCAGGATACCCTGCAGAAAGAAAGAAAATTTGAGAAAAGGCATGGTCCATTCAGCAGACTCAGTATAACTCACCCGTGGCGAATTGGCAGCAATCTTCGCCGCCTCTCCAAACTGACCGCTTTGGAACAGTTGCTGGTACTGCTTGATGTACAAATCATCTGCACCGGGCAGATTGGCCCTGCTCGCGAGCTTGAACGCCAGCTCGGTGTTGTTGAGTGTCGTTAAAATATACGGAATCATTGTCGTGTCATCGACGCTGACGCTGAGGACCTGTCCCTTCCGGTTGATGCAGAGTATACCATTGCTCGCCTCGTGCTCACAGGTGACGAAAATGGTCTCGCCGGAGATACGGTTCATGTAGATGCAGGCACCGGACTCGAGGTCGTACAGGTGGATGAAACCGTACTTCGTTGCGAGGTATACGATGCCGTGTCGCTTAGAGACCTGCATGGCGACGGGGAAGTCGTTTGTCGCCTCGGGAGGGAAGTAGACATCGACTGCTTTCTTCGTGAAAGGGGGGTCGGGAGCCTGGTGGTCAATCTCCACAACGTGAAGCTATCGGACAGAACAGAACGCGAACAAATGGTATGTAAGAATTCATCTCTCCGGAGGCTCGCGTCAGGGATATGCGCACCTTAGCTCCATTACCCGTCCTGACTGAGAACGCGAACAACTTCGTGACGTGTTGCCGTCCGTCCAGCTTCATCTCCGCAAACGCAGCTGCATGGCCTTCGATAGGCTGACTGACCCCTCTCTCCTTGCTATACAGCTGCATAGAGCCCTTGACCTTGAACGCGGATGGGTTCGTCGAATTGCCCGAGATGCCGACGACGACCATCCACTTCTCGTCCGGTGAAACGCGGTAGTTGATGATCTGGCAACCAGCGAGGGTAGGATGACGGTCGAAGACCTTCTGGGGGGGAGTAGTCGTGTCGGCGATGGACCAGTGGTACACGGCGGTGTCTGTGACGAGACCAAGGTTGGAGTCGGACGTCCATTTCCAGAAGACGACATCTTCGTTGTTAACGTGGGACTTCACTTTCTGCTTCGTCTCAATGTTGAAGATCTGCAATGTCCGCCCGGCTGGAAGGAGACGGCGGACTTAGCTGGTCGAATAGGTACGCATACGGCTGAGAATCTTACCCTTCAGCGCAAGGATCTTCTGCTTTGGATGCATGATTGCAGAGTCCGCCGTGATGGGTCGTCGCATGAGGTGGTTTGCATCTGCCAGGTCGATAATAACGACCTGGTTCTGCTCGTTAACCTTCTCTCGTACACATATGAAGTGGTCGCTCTCGAGCGTCAAGTTCTGCAAGTGCGAGATAATACCAAGTCAGGCAATCGTAACATGGAGACGCGTAAGGGTATGGACGACTGACCTGGAACGATATAGACGTGGGCTGTACGCCGAGCGCAGAGAGCTGCAGGTGCTCTGCGAATGCGATGGGTTTTGACGTATCCATAACGGAAGGGAGGGGAAGGGAGAAGGGAGAGGTGTGGGTAGGTAGAGACGCGGTTCAATATCCGAATCGTCGACGAGCGGGGAGCCCGCCTTAGTTGACGTCTGTTTGCGTTTCCGCAACGTGGCGGTGGCCCATCGCCTCCTTGCGCCCTCTTTTGGTTTACCAGCGCCTCCCGAGCTCTTTTGTGACAGTACTGCTCATGATAGTGGAGAAAAGTCCACGAGTTCACTCGACAAGATATACAGTACACACATACGTGAGGTACGGGAAGATGCAGAGATACAGTAAGCCTCAGACCTCAGGAATCCCCCTCGTGCATCCTTCGTCTCTTCATCGCCTGCTTTGTATCGGATTCGATCTCACTATACCTCTTCATCACCGCTTTCGAAGCATCCGCCGGCTGCGCTACCGGATGGTTCACTGCTCCGTCCTTCATTGCAGACCACTCGTCGTTTTTCAACGCACCCTCCAGAGAACCCTCCATCCAATCATGTGTCGCCCAGTCCTTCACGGCCTCCTTCTCGTTAAGATGGCACGCGCGCCAGAGACCTGTCGCCAACCTTTCTAATACACCTGCGAAGAATGAGGTGGTAAGCTGGAGCCCTGTTTGCTTGCCTGTGATTAGTTGTCCACCGAGGCCTGTCCACATGATCTTGTCTATTTCCGGGTCCTCGGTCTTGCTAAAATCAAAGTTGGATAACAGTTTGAGGCGGTAGTTGGCTGTGAGGCAGTTGGGCGCATGTCGGATCGCGATCCACAGCATCACCCAAAAGAACGACTCGATGTCATCGCTTTTCTCGTGGTGTTTGCTACATAGGATTTTTGAGAAGGGCTAGTGAGAAAAAGTGATACGTCCCCTGCGTGACCGTCAGATATCGTAAATGGAGAAGAGAAAGCATGGTTGTGTGACATACCGTGCGTTCGCTAGCCCTCGTTGGCGTGTCACCTAGACTGGCGAGCTCCCAATCAATAAGATAGCCTCGTCCTTCAACAATGACGATGTTGCCGACGGATATGTCCCGGTGAAGGATTCCCGCCTGCGACGCCTCTCGATGTGCTGAAGCAAGGTCGTCAGCGAATAAGCATCTGCGTCAAAGAGTATGGAGGGGAGAAGAACCTCGCAATGCGTCCCGAATCACAGTTATAAACTGATAAGTCGAGTTGAACTCGGTGAGAGATTGCCCAACCTTGTCCAAGACGATTCGATAGTGAATAAGCTCTCGGAGCCCGCCATCACCTCCGCAAGTCTGAAGAGGGCCCTCGACGTCTCCCCAAGCAACGACCCCAAGAACGTTCGAAACGCCCGAGTCACGGAGCTTTCCGTAGATTTCGTGCTCCGGAGGGTACTCTGCATATCTCCAAGTGTCTTTCAGAAGGACGTGTTTCCCGGTTACGGGGTTGTATGCTTCGTAACATCGAGTACCGCGACCGACTGGATATCCATGGGTGGAAGTGAATGGGCTTGAGATGTAGAACGCGTAAGAGCCAACGGAGACCTTGAAGACTGGATCATCGACCTTGAGAATAAGAGATATGCGAGCGGAGGAGACATGAGGGTCATCGTCAGGAGCGCGCTCGAAGGTGGTGTCTAGCCCACGCTCAGCGGACGAAGCCCGAGTGAACCGCCAAAAGAATTCAGGGACTTCGTTGCTCTTGGTCATGTCGATCAAGGGTGTCACTACGGTGCCGCTACGAGAATGGCAGAGAAGGCGAGCGAAGTTTTTGCGATAGTAAAAGGAATAGACGCGTGTGCGCTGCTGAGCTGCCTGTATGGCATTATGATACACAGTGAGCTGTCCTCGCGTCTGCTGAGCAGTCTCCGTTTTGCGCTCCAAGGGTTCAGAGCTGGCTTCAGGTGGCAGACGGAAAGGCTCGCTCTTCTCGAGTATTTTGGCTTCGCCGAACAGCGCTGCCGTTTTTGACCGACAGGGCCGAGCGTCATCGTACATGTCGGGAGCGTAGAGCGCAAGATCGGGTTTTACGTCACTGTTGCCCAAGGGCGTTTTCGAGTCTGGATCTGCGTGGTTGTGGATATCCTTCAATTTCCAGCCCTTACCCAGGCAGGGTTGCATCGCCTTGATCTATGGAACAATCAGCACGAACAGGACGGCAGATGAGCACAAACCACGCACAAATAAATTATAAGATTGGTCTTCCAGTGTAACATCTTTAAGTTTCTTCAGCGGCCCAAGGTCATGCTGCGGGGTTGGCATCCCTGAGCCATCACGAACTCGAAGTCGATCGAGCAATTCACGGGTCGGTATCTCCACGAACTTTCCTTTCAATTCTTCTGCCGCACGCATGTATGCTGGATCATTGTACAAGTGGTTAGAAGTGAATGGCTGAGTCGTCGTGTGGCCCTTCCGAATCGGTGTCGATGTGGTAGGTACCCCAGAAAGGCTGTGAGCGGTAGGTATCCCAGAGAGGCTATGAGTATCGATATCATCATCGCGGAGAGCGGTCGACTGGTGCTGATGCGACGACGGACTAGAGGGGTGCGGAGTGGACGGTAACGGCGAGGACTTCTTTGAGGTGCCGCCAGTACGGTGTGAGGACGCAGGCTCGAGGTCGTTTGACCCAGAGCTGGATGGTGATGCGGGCTCTGACATGGGCCTCTGCGTGAACTCCTGCGTAGGCCCCGGCGTGGGCTCTGACGTAGACGTCGAGGGGGATACGTTTGACGGCGCGCTGGGCAATGCTCCACGGATACCGCCAGCCTCTCTCCCTCGAGCGCTGCCGATGGTCTCTGAGGTTCCTTAGAATCTCGTGGGGGGAATAGCGGAGTGTCTGTTCGACATGCTGGAGTCAGACAGAAAGTTTGAGCTCCCCGCCACTCTCGCTTCGACTCCGGTCACGCGACTTGTGTTCGTCGCGTCCACCGACGACTTGTTCACGATTCACTAAGTCGCTCTTCATCGTCCGCTCCGATAATTATATTACCATAAATCGTAAGAGAAATAGCCCATGGAAACCCTTTGCGGGTAGATAGGAACGGTGACGTGCAAATGCAGTAGTACCCCTACAGCTCGACTTTTAGTACACTCTGAATGTCTTCGGTTACCAGTACAGTGGACGGAAACGAAACGATGCAAAAATCCCTCTCAAAAAATAACAGGCGAAAACAAGACGGAACTCAGACGCTACTCTCTCGATAAACACCTTCGCCTCCCATCCGGTCGTACCACTCCTTGCCCTCTGTAGTGGCAGCGATGTAGCCCGCCCGGATGACGAAGTCACCAAAGTGCTCGCCTTCTAGTCGCTCGAGGGCGTAGTGCTTGATCATTGGCTTCAGGATAGCGAGAATCTCGGGTTCCGTGACGCTCTCTGAGATCACACAGAATTACGAGGTCAAAACCTGAGAGATGGTTTTGAGAAACGACACGAACGAACCTCTGTAAATCTTGTTCAGACGTTGACCATAGAACCCGCCGCCCAGCAGCATCAGATATGTCCCTGGAGCTTTGCCGACAAACGCAATCTCTGCAGAAGGGTTGTTAGAGAATCTGAAGTTGTGTTTAGATCGTAAGAAACGTACCAGCAATATACGGTCGGGCGCAACCGTTCGGGCAACCAGTCATACGCATGACGATCGAATCGTGTCGAAGCCCGTTCTCTTCACATATGGCCTCAACCTTGTCAACGAGCAATGGTAGGTATCGCTCGGACTCGGCCATAGCAAGACCTATAACCCGTCGGACGTGATCTTCAGAGACAAACGAAGAAAAAAGATATGCAGGCGAGACGTACCACAAGTAGGGAACGCAACACAGGCGGAAGAACTGAGCCTCAATGCCGAGAAATTGGTGTTATCCAACTTATACTCCGCCAACAACCTCTTGATCTCGGGCAAGTCGCCCGTCTCCACATCCGAGATGATCAAGTGCTGGTTCGCCGTCAGCCTGTACGTGCCCTTGTGCACCTTAGCGATCTCCCTCAATGCCGTCTTGAACATCTTCTCCGGAACGTCCTCGATACGGCCGTTCTCGATGAAAGCAGTGAAATGATGCTTGCCATTCTCGCCTGTAATCCATCCAAACTCATCCGTGTTGCGGTCGAAGCTGTAGGGTCGGGCGGGCTGGAGGGCATAACCTAGACGTTTTTCGACTTCGGCCACGAAGTTGTCGAGTCCCATGCGATCGATGGTGTACTTCAGACGGGCGTTTTTGCGGCTAGAGTTGATTTTCAGGATAGAGATCAGTCGACCGCGAAATTTGAGGAAAATGCGAAAGGATGTGAACGTACTCCTTGCGGTTGCCGTGGTCCCTCTGGACAAGCATGACTTTCTCGGCGACGGCGCAGCCTTGGTCGGGTGTAAGGAAGCCTATGACCGTGCCGGTGCGAGGATATGTCTTCTTGTTACCGTGGGTGACACCCATACCACCACCAATCGAAACATTGAAGCCGGCTAACTCTCCGTTCTCGTCCATGATCGCGATGAATCCAAGGTCGTTCGCAAAGACGTCGACGTCGTTCACAGGTGGGACGGCGACGGCGACCTTGAACTAAAGTAGAAGACACATATGAGCTCAGAGAACATGACTCGAAATCGCGGAAACAACAAACCTTGCGAGGCAGATAAAATTCGCCATAGAGAGGCTCAAAATCTTGAAGAGCCTCGCCAGCAACGAGCTTCTTGTCCAACCAAATCTCATGGTAGGCGGAAGTCCTCGGAAGGAGATGCTCGCTGACGTCCTTCGCGAACTGATACACCTGAGCGTGCATCTTACTGCGAGTAGGCATGCACGAGCAAAGGACGTTACTGCACAGAGAGTTGTTAGTCGAAATGAGCGACAACGCGAAGATAAAAACTAACCGGTTCACATCGCCACACGCTGCCAAAGTATCCAACAAAGCGCGGTTGATATCTTGAATCGTCGGCTTGAGATGTTTCTTAATGACCCCATGGAACTGGAACGTCTGCCTCGTCGTCAACTTGAAGTTCCCACAGCCGTGCTCGTCCGAGATCTGGTCCATAGCCAGCCACTGCTGTGGCGTACACACGCCCGCAGGCATCCTGACCCGAATCATGAACGCAAACGCCGGTTCGACACCCTGCGCTAACCTCTCGTCCCGAATGTCCCTGTCGTCCTGCTGGTAGATACCGTGGAACTTCGTAAGCTGAGTATCCGACTCCGCAAGGGCGCCGGTAGTCGTGTCGGCGAGGCCCTCAGCGATGGTACCACGGAGGTAGCCAGACGCGATCTTGATGTGTTCGTTAGTGATCGGTTCGGGCTCCGCTTCGTGAACCTCGATAGAGTCGACACCGAGGGCCTTCCACAGCAGGGGCTCCCAAGCCTTATAACCCGTCTCCGGCCCGTCTGCGTCCTGATCGTCACCCAGTCCCAAATCGGCCACCCTCTCACCTCCGAGCTGCTCCAACCTTGCATCTAGATCCTTTCCAGGCTTGTTGTAGTAATGCGCGTCTTCCGGACGAGGCCAGTAGTGACTGTCGCCCATAGCGAAGACGGTGAACTTGAGCTTGCTGAAGAGTTTCTCGCCTTTTGCGATTGCGGCGTTGATAGCCTTGAAGAACAGTCTGGCGTTCTGCGGGGGTTCGCCTTGACCGGCGGTGGAAGTGACGAACGCGACGTGCTCCTCCTGCGCGAGAGCCTCGATGCTCGTCGAATCGATAGTCGCCAACGTCGTCGACAGACCTCTCGCCTCCGCCCTCCGCGCCAACCTTTTCGCCTTCTTCTCGGCCGCACCGCCATCCGACGCATAGAGGACCAACAAGGGAGGAGCATCGATGGCCGAAAGCAGATCAGCGTACGCCTGTTGTGCCTTCTTCTTCCTCGCCTCCTTCACGCTCTCGCCCAAACTCCCGACCAACTCCGAAGCCAGCTGAGGCTTTGAACGCACAAGTTGGGAGAGATGGTTCTGACGGTCCAGGAAGGCTTGGAGGTCGTTCTTGACCGCATCGGAATCCAACGAGAACGGCTCTTTGCCCTGCGCCTCCTTCGACGGGTTCCAGCGGTAGAGCGGCCAGTATCCTGAATCGACGGCGAGCTTCGTCTCCTTCAAGAGGTCCAAGGCGGCGGAGTCTTCGCTCTTGTAGGGAAGATAGGCGAGAACTACTGAAGGGCCGTTGAACTTGTCGGCTTCAATGAGTGACTGTAGGACCTGTGCGTAGGACGAGTAAACGGCGACGCTGGCGACATAGACGTCGCCGTGGTTCATAGCGTAGAGACCGACGTCATGCTTGCGGCGGTGCGGATCGCCAGAATTGCGAGAGGTGTAGGGAAGAGTGTCGAGGATGAGGATGTTGATGTTGAGCTTTGAGGCGATGGCGTGGTGCAAGCCGGACGAGCCGAGATCGTAAGACCAGGCGTCCGAGCCGATAATCCACCTGGAAAGGGACGGGAATTGCGCTCGGAGGGCCAGAGCGCGCTCAGCGGCGGGATGAGTGACAGGTTCGGACTCGAGAGACTCGATGATCTCGTCTCCGAGCTTGCGACTCTTGACCGCGTCGTCCTTAGCGAGGATCCACCGGCTGAGAAGCGAATGCAGCTCGGAGGACAGGTTCGCGTCCTGCAGGAGCTCCTGGACCGTCGCAACGAGTTCCGATCGATGCTCGAGGTCACCACGAATGCGACCGAGAGCGAACTCTGGACTGGTGGCCATCTCGCCCTGTGAGGCTACGAGGGAAGGAGAGTTCGAAATCTCTATACGTTCGCCGAAAAGATGGGAGAGAATTTTCGTGTAGGACGATTCGTGCTTGGGCACGCGAGGTTCTTCGGACACTGGATCGGCGAAAACGGTGCCCAGTTGGAGGCGCGAAGAGGAGGGAGCGGACTCGATCAGCTTGAGAATGTCGACAGATTGGATTGAACTTGTGTCTCCGAGGGTGGCACTGTGAACGACTGGGCGAGCAGAGTCGGTGTCGCGTTGTTGGATTAAAGTGATGATGTCCAAGAAGAGCGGAGTCCACTTCATCGACCATTTGCGGATCTGCTCAGCAACGATGACGGTTGTGGTGAAAGGAGAGGAGATAGCATCGAGCACTCGGGCAGAGGGAAGTGGGGAGACGAGAGAAAGGTCGACGATGGAGATACCCTCGAGGTCGAAGTCGAACTGGGCGGCACCGAGGGTGTAAATGACGGTGTGGGGATCCTTGCTGCCTTTGCGGTGAACTGGAAGCTGTGATCGACGAGTGAGAGCTAGGGTCGCGATAGCGGCACTTTCGTATGCCTTGAACAACGCGATCGAGGCTGGGTCACTTGATGTACCGAGAGGTGGGAGTGATGAAGCACTGAGGATAGGTGAAGGTGATGCAGAGGACGATGCGCTATAGGAACCGTTGGTATGACCGTTGGCGTGACCATTGGCATGTCCATTAGCATGACCGTTTGTATGGCCGTTAGCATGGCCGTTAGCGATGCTGTTAAGCTGAAGACCACCACAAGTAAGTTAACTGTGGATATATTGACAAAGGTTTGAGGCGTGCACGAACCTTGGAGTGACCCCGCTTTGGTGCACGGAGGAAGGGCTGAATCTTGTCGCCATCTACTTGTACTATCTGCTCTTCCGAACTCGCAGGATGGAAGACATGGACGACAGCCTTTTTCTCGTGACGGGCAAGACGGGATGCGAGGAGAGCATTGTCGTGGGCCTGCTGAGCGGTAGAAGAGTGTATGAAGTAAGGAACGGCGGATCGGAGGAGAAGAACATCGGCCAGGTCTTGCTCAGCGAGTAGATGGAGAACAAGCGGGAGCTGTGAGAGCTCCGGGAGGTGGGGAAGGAGGCGGGCCAAGGCCTGAGATGCAACGGCAGTATAGGAGACGAGAGACGCAGACTGGGAACGAAGGAGAGCAGATGCTGGGTCGGCTGCTCTTGGGAGAGAGACGAAGGATGAGGGCTCCGTCGAGGCAGACTTCCAGTAAGCCGCGAAGGGAGAGTGAGAGTTGTCGACGACGACGTCCGAGGACAGGTGGGCGATGCGCGCCACGGCAGCGGCCGATGTAGAAGACATCTACGGAGAAGATGAGCGACGAGCAGCAAGAGCCGTACGATGGCGAGGGGAGGGAGGGCGACGGAGAGGACGGCGGCGAGAGAGCTAATAAAATGTTTCAGAATTCGGAATTGTGCTGAGCACACCATCATTCGTGATTGGTGCGTCTGCATGAGTTTCCTCGGCCTTCCTTTTCCTCCTCCCTTTACTGTACGAAAAAACTCACGGACGGCTTGCTGCTGTTATCCGCTGACTGGCTTACTCTTCACCCCAAGTGCTGCAGGTGTGGCGTCTATATCCCGAATATTTGATGTGCTTTGACTGGAAGGTGCTCCGAGCGCATCCCGATCACTTTCGTTGGCCTCGTGTTCCTGAAGATCGCATCTCAAATTACCGGCGTCCAATACAACTCGTCTTATTCCAGCCACAACCTCCTTCTTCTTCCTTCCTCTCATTCTTCCTCTGCATTCCCTAATATGCCAATCATCTTGATGTGCAGGTCAGTAAAACGAGCATATGTCTCATCATTCCTTACTCCGAGTGCTTCACCACAACTCCGTTGTCGCTCAGTGTCTTCTCCTAGGCGGCTCCTCGTCAGCTACCGCACAGATGCAATCTCGAGACACTCGCGGAGCTGTCGCGTACCCTGCTAAAGAGAGTGATCACCACTCTGGTCTCGAGAGGAAACCCACTATAAAAGTCACCGATGTCCACGACCCACAGATATATACTCCTGCTTTTGGTTATACTCGACCTCGGTCTTGGACAAATCCACGCATCACCACCCATTTTATATCCTCAGGATGAACATGAATAGGATGGGCTCCGAGAACTCCCAACATTACTGCAACCATAATATCCATAAAACTAGATACACCAGCAGGATCAGAAGTCCTCCTCGGTGGCACCTAGACATCCTGCGTCTGTCGCTTTACTTCCAAGTGAAAAGACGGAAGGAAGGCCACAAGTGTCTCGAGGTGTAGATTGGGAGGACTTTCATCTGAAGCTTCAGTTAGGCAAGGGTAATGGATTCAGAAGAATATCGGTCTGAATCGTGAATCTTCTGTCGACAGAGCCTCAACCCTTTTCGCTACCAGAGAAGTCTCTGTAACTATTTCCTCTGTACTGTATGCCGGAATTATTGTATATATTGTTTAATTACTTGATGAACTACCCCTACAACTTTGACGGGACGAAGCACTCTATGACCTGGGCGGTAAGTTATAAGTTACAAGATTGTGGCCCATGGCGAGGTAGCGTGAACGCATCGTCACCGGACAGGTACTCAAACCATCTCTGTCTCGACTTCCTCGACCTTTTCGTGCGGGATGGACACTCCGGATCCTCGAAAGCGGAGCAAGGTAGCACTGAACCCGAGGAAGGTACTGTCGACTCCGTGAGTGCTGCTAACTCTTCTCTGCTGTATAGCTGGATTAACCGCGTCAATAGCATCTCAAAGCAACTCATCTCCCCATCATTATTACTCCATACCCTCTTCGCTTTCACTTTCTGGTCAACGCGAGAATGGATCTTTATGCAAGGGGTCGGAGCCTTCTGGGTTATTATGCGCCTTCTGGCGTGTATTGGGTTGGGAGTCATGGTTAGAGAAGCGTATACGGGCGGGTTGGGTAAATTGGCGTCGGCCATTCGCTACGTGGATGTGCGTACTCCCTCCTTTATGCCCCAGGTTGATTACTGAAGTCAGGATATGTAGCGGCCAGTTGTGGCAGTCACTTCCGTCACTACCTTCGTGCAACAAGCCAGTCTTGTGATAGTGCTCTCCCAATTACCACCTTCTCGGTACGCTCTGCTATCACCTCAAAGCTATATCAACTCATGACATTCCTATCTGCCTAGAGCTTTGGTTTACACTCGATTTGCTACGGTATGGTCCAAGGCTCTCGTCAGTTCCACTTCGGTAAGTCGTTTGTTCTAAATCAAGCAGACTGATCCTTGACGTTGGCCGTGTTCAGACTCTCCAGCGGATGTCAATCCTCGCCAGTCTCTCTTTATCATTCGCGTCCGACTCCGGGTTCTCTATTGAGAACGTCCGTAACACCCTCCCTGGCTACATGGCGCTATTCTTCTACACACTCTCTGTCAATGTCATGGAATACCTCCGACAAGACTCCGCCACGCGATCCACTACACGGGCCTCTACAACCCTAGGAACAATAGGGGCCTCCCTGCTCGGTCTAATTCTCTACGCTACTCGCGAGATCATGGTGAGCTACCAGACTTGTCTCAACACTATATACCACAGCTGAGTTGTGACACAGACCTCGCCTCCGCCATCTCCGGTGGTACCACTATCCTCGCTCTTGATCATTCCCCTGCTTTCATATTGCTGCTACAGCATGTCATCAACCCAGGGAGAATACGTCTCCTTGGAGATCTCATATAACGCGACTTGGGTGCTTTCGACATCGGTCGGATTCTTCGTGTTTTCGCGGACTCCTTCGTGGACCGATATCGCAATTGCTGCGACGCTGCTCGGCGGTGAGTGTCTCTGATATGCCTCGGATAGTTATAGGTCGCTGATGTGTACGCAATGACTATAGGAATATACCGCTCCCAGCCGCAGTCCTCCCGGTACAAGGCGTTGTCCATCACTCGCGAGGCTCGTTCGTACTTGAAGTCCATAATGGAGAACTCAGAATCGAGAAAAATATTCTACTTCCTCCTGCTCAACCTGTGCTACATGATGGTACAGATGCTTTACGGTATCTGGACCAATAGTCTCGGACTCATCTCCGACGGTATGTTGCAGAGCCCAGCTACCATGTCTTCCCATCTAACACGGAAAAAAATTAGCTATACATATGGGATTTGACTGCCTGGCTATCGCTGTAGGTCTGCTTGCGTCTGTGATGGCGACTTGGCCTCCGAATGAACGGTTTACATATGGGTAGGCCCGACCCCTCTTTTCGTCGTGTCCTGTTTCTCCGATGAGCTCACCTGTCCTAGGTACGCTCGAATAGAGACACTTTCGGGATTCGCGAACGGTATTTTCTTGGTGTTGATCTCGATTTTCATCATCTTTGAAGCAATCGAGCGTTTGTGGGTCTTTTTCCCAAATACTCCTCATCTCGTTGCTGACGAGCATCACACAGGCTGGATCCGCCGGAGATGAACACGAATCAATTGCTTCTGGTCAGCTCATTGGGTCTCGGGGTCAACTTGTTCGGGATGTTCGCTATGGGAGGACATCACCATGGACACTCACATGGGCATTCTCACGGGCATGAGCACGAGCACGATCATTTGCATGGACATGAGCACCATGACGAGCACGCTCATCATCATCATGCCGAGGAAAGCCAGCATGAACACAGTCATGGCGACATTCATGTACATGAACACGAACATTCTTGCGATCATAGTCATGACCATGAAGGCCATGACCACGAGCACGAGCACGCCCATAGTCATGAACACGGGCACGCCCATAGCCACTACCATGAAGATGACCACCATGGCCACGATCATGTTCGTCTTTCTGAAATCTGCTTAGCTACCTTACACGATTATTGAAGTGAGCTTGGTATCACAGGGCCCCTCTGCGCACGTACATCGCCCATCAATCTCACTCAACGAGTCGCCTTCACCTTCGCGAGGATCGATCCCCAGACCATTAGCAATTTCGCCACATAATTTCGGCCCAGCATCGCATTCATCGGATGAATTCATGGAGGTACCCTCCTTACATGATAGCGTCAAGTCACCTATCACGCCCAGCTATCGATTCGGCCACGACGAACATTTTGCGACGCACGAACATTCGCAGCATAAGGCGAACTTGCACGACCACTCGCATATACACGACCATCATTCACATGAAGGCCATAGCCACAATATGCGCGGTGTCTTTTTGCACGTCATGGCGGTGAGCTTTCAAGATTTCCATCTTTGCGAAACGGAAGTGCTGATACACTTGATGTGTAGGATACTCTCGGTTCTCTTGGAGTTATTATTTCGACGTTGTTGATACAGTTCTATGGATGGACCGGCTTCGACCCAATCGCCTCTCTTTTCATCGCCATCCTGATTGCAGCGAGCGTCATCCCTCTGATCATCGATACAGGAAAAGTTCTGGCCTTGGACGTTTCGGAACGTGACGCTAGCATCGGGGATGCCCTGTCCCAGGTAAGTATTTTGTTCCTCCCATTCATCGAAAGCCATCGTTGACCTTCCTCGTATAGCTGTCTTCTATAGACGGCTTGATGTCCTATACGTCCCCCCAATTCTGGCCGAAGGACTCTTCTAGTCTTATCGGTTCGATTCATATTCAACAGACAGCTTCGTCGTCGTCAAAATACCCTGGTGCTTTGGATCGCATTACTGAAGGCGTGGACTCGCTGTTGCGGAAAAAGATTCCTGGGTTGGAGGAGCTGACGATCCAGGTCGAGGAGGCGGATATAAAGCTGTGAATAATTTGTATATTTTGACCGTCAATTACCTTCTCCTGCTTCCCCGATGAAGCTCGCAGTTCAAGGCCGCAAGAAGTCTTCAGAATGCGTGGAGATGACTGCTATTGACTGATTGCTTTTGAGATCCATATATACACTATTTCCCATTCTACAACAACAAAAACAACGATCATAAAAACTATACACGCCGTGTTTGGATATTGTCAGGCCTTATAACAAAGCAAGGTTACTGTAAGTTACACTCATATATGGTACTGGTGATCAGAAAGCTGGGATGGGTGAACCGGTTTGTGCGACGAAACAAGATAACAACGAAAGACTATGCCAACCATAAGGAGATACGGTAAATAATTGATGCGAGCGAGGTATATTTCAGGTTTCGTTCAGATTGTTGAGGAGGGTCGTCAGGCATCGTTTGGTCACCATGTCACCCTATGTGAACGTTCATGAGCATCGAGAAGCGGATGGGACCATATGATGCAACACACCTTGAGGAGCGCATTGAACGTGTTGTCGCGCAAGGGTTCTGGTAGACATGCCCTGAGGGCTTCTCGTGCCCTTGATGTACTATGTCAGACTGCATCACAAGAACAAAACAGATAAGTGGCGCACCTCGGATTGTCGCTGAGACGGAGGTAACACCGCACTACGTGCTTCAACAAGCGAACTGCTTGGGTCTCCACTAGCTGATTGACCATGTTGCTCAGGACGGTACCGACGGCATAAAACCGCTCGTAGGTGTGGCAGATGTAGGTGAGACCGGTCTCGTCGAGGAGGATCTTCTGGACAATGAAGATCGCGACGGTTTTTGAAAGCTCGGACCCAGTTTCCATGATTCGGAGGCACAGAGGTATTATTTCAGTGGAAAGAAGGAAGTGAATGACGGTGTTGTTCTCGTTTTGCTATGGGCACGGAGTGAACTTCAAGTCCCCAATCAATACACGGAAGAAAGGGTGAGGCTGCTCACCTTGACGAGCGCGCCTATGACACCCAAGGAGGTAAGGCGAAGATACTCGAATGGCCGAGTTTTTGACGTGGTATTGAGAAAAGGATACAGAAAGAGGGGTATATGGGCTAGACGAGCGCGTGAGCCAGCGTTTCACATTGAAGCAGATAACTCGCACCGTTCAAGAATAATTGCCTCGTTTCCGCATGAGACGCGACACATTGCAGTAAAGCAAGAGCATTACAGACGCGGTTTGAGACGTGTGCTGTTAAATTAGGGGGAGAAAGTAGCGGATACACCGAAACGATTTCTTGGAGCAGCGCCGGCATAATTCCTACGGCCAAGGCATTCAGTCAGGAGAACACGGACATCTCGTGAAAAATATACACACCAAATGCATGCCACAACACCAGAGCAAGGTCGTCGTATTGCTCCCTCTTCTTACTGAGTTCGAGCAACGCGGCCTCTCTCGAGTCAGGATCCATGAGTTCAATTACGAGGCCATATATCTTGTTCTCCTCGCCCATGTTGATATTGGCGCCCAGAGGATTGCCGATGAATTGTGCGGGTTGATGAGGGGCAGGATGAGCTAACGAGGCGCCTTGCATGGAGGAGGAGTCTTGATATACTGAAAGCATCCTCTGGTACTGGTTATACGGGTCCATCCTGACGGACTGTCAAAGTGTGTTAGAGGGTAATACCTATTTAGGCCTACAAAGGAAACCATACTTGAGGCTCCGACTTCTGCCTCGCAGAAGGGTCCAAGAACTATAGCCAGAGGACGTATGGCAGCGCCAAAGCGAATGACAGATGGGTGTAGGCGCGGAGCAACACAAGAGCCCGTTATGATATAATGTTTGCTACGCCGACGCGATCAACATAGTCGCCTTGAAGTCCTGTCTCTACGAATTACTTGACCGCCGTGAGAGCTCTGACCATTACGCTAGACAACACGTCACCGCACGCCTCGTAGACGAATGGCAACAGATCCCTGACCTTGGCCATGGTTTCTTCCCAACGCCAAACTACGCAAAGCCAGTCACACACGTGGCGGTCCTCTCTTATCGGTGGTTGGAATCAGCAACACCATAACAGCCAGAATATCGCGTCTCATCCTTAACCACGCTCCCATCGGCGAATACCGGTCCCGATTCTTCCCCACCAAATCGTCCAACTGCCCGATATGCGGTGTTCTCGAAACGAGACACCACATCCTCAATAGCTGCCCACGCTACGTTCGACCGCGGAGAATGCGTTTCGTAGAGTTTCTAACAGACTCAGCGGAACCCATCCCGGAGTTAGTCCGGTTCCTTGCGAGGAACCCAACGTCATTCACATTCGCTGATGCCCCGCCCACATAGGAGAAGGAGGAGGTGCCGCGATCGAGCTCAACTCGGCCTGGATACGGGTCTGTCATCCTACTTCCCTAGTTTCGTTTCACGGTCTTTTACTTAGTGCACGAGAACTTGGGTATCAGCTCCATTTTCGAGTACAGTACGGTACGGTACAGGTCTCGTCCCTAGTTGCTTACTTGTAGATACGCAAGGCGCCCCTGGCTTCGCCGGCGCGGTATAAATATGTTGACTACAAAAAAAAAAAAAAAAAAGAGAGCTCTGACCAGGTGGCGTGTAGCTTACGTAAGAGCGCCCACGCAGAGGGTCCCTGACAATGACCGTTCGTTGGTATAGGTAGTAAATACAAGGGTAGAATATCTTACAAAGACACAAACATATATAGAAACGCGTATACTATATCTCAGTGATGAGACTATATCAAAGCTAGAAGAAGTCCCATGAACGATTCCTGCGAGTGAGAGAGATCAGCTAAATAACACCAGAAACACTGGCCATGAGGCAGACCTTGTCTGTCGCCAAATCCATGAAAACAGCTATGTGGCCCCGACCATGTTTCAAAACAATTGCGAAAGAATGAGGTATCGCTTTCAATTCCTCAAATCCTTCCCACCATTCCTTCACTCCTTCCACTTGACTCCGAAGTTCGATCCTCTCTAAAGGCCGATTGTTTTCCTGTGGCGCAAGTGAAACTGTTACGTGAGAACCGTAGACAACATGAAATCGACAGGCAAGTAGTGACCGTACATCCTCACTACGAAATAGATTGAGCGTGTCTTCCGTTAGCTCGAACCACCGGCGCCTCCATTCCAACGAATCGCTCGACTGTATAGTCGCCCAGCCCTTCAAAATGCGGCCCCCTCCTTTTCTCTCCCGCCGAATCTGTTGCCCTCGTCGCCTCAGCATTTCTTTAGTATCCTCAAGGCTCCTTCGTGTATGGCTTTCCTGCTGTAGTTGCTGTTCCCTCTTCGTCTGTTCTTGTTGTCGTAGTTCCTCTGCGCGTCTGGTCTGTGCGATCCTACGCTCCCTGGCGGCTTTCTTCTTGTCTTCCAGGTCCTTTGCCCGTGCTTCTTCCTCCAGTCGTTCCATTTCTTCTTTCTGAGCTCGAAGTGCTGCGTGTCGTTCAAGATCTCGCTGGAGTAGCTGCTTTCTCTGGGCTTCATCCTCTTCATGCTGCCTCAGGAGAGCTTCTTTCGCCAACCTGAGGCGCGCTTGTCGTAGTCGCTCGTCTCGTTCTATATGTTCTTCTTCGAGCTGCTGCTTGAGACGGGCCTCTTCGCGGAGACGGGCTCTTTCTGCAGGATCTGGAGAAACAACCACTCTGGAAGGCGGATGAAACTGATTGTAGAGCCAAGGCAATTAGATGGAGGGTACCGCTGGGAATTGTAGATAAATAAGACTCACGACCTTGGTTGGTGGGGTTGGAGCCCCTCCGAAGTCTCTCGTTCGAGTGACAACGGTCCGGTCCTCAGGCGGTGCATCTAACATGCCCAACGCTGCCAGTGTGTGTGAAAGCCCATCACCCGTAATGTCTTCTGAGCGTGCTCGTCGCAGGCGATCGTCTGGAGGACGAGGGAGGGTCTTCTCGACATTCCGGAATTCAGACGATGAACGAGCAATGACATCGATTCTCTGCTGTGGTGATTTTGACCTATTTGCAACGGCAGCAAGGATCGAGTCGTCCGTGAGGTCGCTCATATGACGGATCGTGATGACCGATTGATGCTCCTGCGGTCAGCAATCAATTTACTAGGACGACAGTGCTAACCGTGAGTGCCATGGGACGAACTGACTTTGAAAAGGGACCGTAAATTCCTGAATGTGAACAAGGCTCGAGCTGGCGCGAGCTGTAGTAAGAGCAAGAAAGATGCTGCGCAGATCAACTAAATACGGACCTCGCCTAAGGCCAGACGCTCCCTCTGGAATGTAGGAGATCAAGACGAAATTGTGGTCCTGACCGATCGCATGATAAAGCAACGCAAATGAGACGCTTTCCACCCAGTCCTGCATGGTCGCTTTCAATTCATCTAGTCCTTGTGAGCCTGTGGCAACAAGTTTCAGCCCATCCGAGGACTGACAGTAAAGTGTCAAAGCAGTAATGAACAGATGTAGAGAGGAATGCCCCCAACCTTTCCGTAACTGAGCAGCAACCTTGAAGTCGGGATCATGGTCAAGCGACTTGGTGATAAGTTATAGTGGTTTATCGCTTACCAGTTCAGGGTTGATATTCTACTCATAAGTGATTGGTACGCTGTCTGTATGTCTGGGTCATTCAACATGGTCGTTGACAGCAAAACAAATCGACGAGAACGAATGGTGGGGGAATAAGCAGTTCCTGTACAAACAGCTACGGCGGCGATGACGGGAGCTAATTGTGACCGACAGGGGAAAGGTATCACGTGGTGTGACGGTCGCGACGCTCTGTTCATTCGCGCACGCGACTGTCGCGCCGGCTCGGAGTTGTCTCCGCTTGGACCGTTCATGATGCTTGCACAAACGTCCATTTAGCCATGGCGTTCGAGATAGTACCTACCTCAGACTTGGATGAAGAAGAAGAGATCAACTCACGCAATCCGTCTTACTGGGATCGGCACTCACCACGCCCTTCACACCCTTCTTCGACACATCGCGCTAGCTCCCTACCACACGCTGCTGTTTATGACGCTCGCAAACCGCTTGAACACGGCCCTTGCACTTCGGCTACACTTACTCAGGTCAGTGCCACATTGGGGCATTCGCGAACAACCCTGACTTCCTCAAAGTCTACTACAGTATCCTTGGAATGGGATAGCAATCACCAGTCTTCACCGAAGCCACTAGCCGCCTCGTCGGCACTCACCACTCCGCTCAAGGATTACTCCCCTTTGGTCACACCAAGACCGTCTCATGAGCGAGATACTTTCATCTCGCAGACTCCACCTACATCGCCAACTCTTCATCCCCCAACCCCTTGGTCCGTCAGTCCATCGCGTCATGCGTCTATGGGACCAGAACACCTGTCGATATTTGCAGCCCATAGCCATGCCCCTGCGCTCTTCCACGAAACTCATCTCCAACTTTCTCCACACCATTCTCTTCGAGCTAGTAGTGAGGACATCCGGGACGATGAACTAGAACTCGCAGTATCTCCCAAGTATCTCGATGTGGTCTCAGATGTCACCGACGTCCCTCTCCCCCAACATCGCTCATTTGAGCAGAAGCAAGCATCGGACCCACCGCACGTGGCCAACGCGAATCAACCCGCTTCAAACCGATATGGCCTTCGAAAGCGAGAGGCTCGTCAGCTCCAGCCATACGCTTATGACCAACGCCTTTACAAACATCAACTCCGCCACGCCCCGGACGCCATAGTCAAAGCAGCTGATCTTCAGACTCCATCGCTTGACTTATCGCAATCACACCGCTCAGAAGGTGATATTGAAGAATATGAGCGGGACAACCAGTCTACATATGAAGACGCTCGCGCATCTCGCCACCCATCCGGACCACCTCCAGCGAAACGAAGGCGTACTGATGATGGTAGCTCTCGTTTGGATCGTGGCCTCAATCTAAGTTCCCGACAGGATCGGTTCACTGGTGCCAACCAACGACAATCATCCTCTATACGACAAGCCACTGCCCCAAGTACTGACGTCGTCGTGGGTATGGGGAACATCAAATCATTTGACTACGAATTCAGCGGTGAATCGGATGACGGCTCTGGCCCTCCAGACACTGTCCCAATCCAACAGCGCACCCCCTCGTCCCAGGCTGGAGGAAAGCTTGGTCAGCGCAAGCCACCTCGACCTGCTCCTTTTCCCATCGTATGTGCGATATATTCACGCTACACACAACGTCTTCTGATATCTTTTTTGTCCACCAGCGCCTGGAGAAACCTGCCCCTTTACCAGCTCATCGAACACTTTCGCGATCCGACCTCATCCCCGACTCGGAAAACGAGCAGGAAAGTGGCTCGGACTCGGAGAACGATCAGGAAAGTGGCTTGAACTCGGAGAACGATCAGGAAAGTGGCTCGGACTTGGAGAGGAGTTCATCGAACTCGGATACAGAAGAAGAAGGTTCCCCACTCCACTCTTCTGGGAGCCCACAATCGTCACCACCGGCGCAGGTCCAAATTGCTGTGCGTAACACACGCCCCATTCGGGTTTCGAAGCAGTCGAGCTCCAGAATGAGGAAGAAGAAACCGAAACCTGATAAGCCTAGGCCTGCTGTAACTCCTCGAAACTCCGGTTAGTACGTTATGGTTACTCGAGCAATTACCTTGCTTATAAGGCTCTCATCTAGCTCGGAAAGCACACAGCACAGAAGCCGTTACTCGACGAAGCAAGAAAAATCGTATTCCTCGAGATGGGCCACCCGTTGCTCTGTTCCACCGTCGTGCGGACAGGATAATGTCACACATGAAACCTCGGGCCCTCCAGACTATTGATCTCGAGAGTGAAGAGTTACTATCCGCCTTGGCTCCTGTTGATGAAAATCACCGTCGTCACACTTCCCATTCCCGGCTAGAGCCCATCTATCGTTCAAGAGCCTCACTGGACAAAGCTCGGTCTGATAGAGAGACCGCCCATACTATTCCGGTTGACAAAGGCATTCAGCGGCTCAAGGCTGGCATACAATTCGCTCCGGACTCATACCTGTCGAGGGGTTGGCTTCACGAGTTGCTCTCGATCCTTTTAGCACAGAAACCTTCTCAAGTTCCCCCTGACTGCGAACACAACGGTCAGACGCTTTCGTCGACATCATCTCCAGACGATGTGCGCCGCTTTCTGGACCCGTTCTGTCAAGATCTTCTCGCCTTTGTCACCCTCCCTGCGGATCGTGCGGACTCCCAGGCGATCTACTGGTCGACAGCCACTCACAGTGTTTGCCAACATATATATTCGCTGTCGAGTTCCGCCCGGACGTTGGAAGAATTTCAGCCATTTCTTTCACCCATTATGGATGCCGTGAACTCCATGATGGCGCAGCTCGACTCTTGGTGGACGGAGAAGACATTTTCTACAACCGACCACGCTGCGGCGTGTTTGCGCTGTTACTGGTTCTGCTTGGAGTCCGTACTTCGCATCCGTTGCGCTTCGCATCTACAGGACTACCCGGAATCCACATTCATTATCTTGAACACCCTGCTCGCCCGATTACTGGAGTACAACTTGGAAGAAGTCATTGCATCGATCCTCGCCTCTTCTCGACCGAACCCTTCATTGCACCATTCGGCGTTGGCGGAAATATGGATCTGTCTGCTTCATATTTTTTTCTCTAGTGATTTGAAACCTACCATCATCAACCTTGATGGAGGGTTCTTCTGGAAGACGCTGGAGAATGTCATGTTGGAGTTCACAAAGCACTATACTCCTCCGAAGGCAAGCGAAGCGGCCTGGGATGTCATATTCGGCCTATGCGCCCTCTCACAATTCAATACGCACGGCTTGTCAACATCGAGGCCCCGGATATCCTCGTCGTGGTCATTCGTACTCTTCGCTCTCAAACGAGTCAAACTTCATTTGACAGAGTCATCACTGGCCTCGCATATTCTCAAGTATCGCGATCAGTACGTCGCCATAGTGGTGTCGCGATGTGCTTTACTTCGGTCGAGGTGGATGTGGAGGCTTGACGATGGCTTGCCGATGCTAAACCATATTTTGGCGGTCTTCAAGAGCCGGAATTTTGCCGACTTGCGGAAGGAGCCATCGGGATTTTCGCCTTTCTTCACTCATGGCGATCCAGAGCGCCTCGCTAACGAAACGGAGGACGACACCACCTTTACTATTTTCATCAAGCTTATCGTCCAAGCCGCCCGCGATTCTACTGCTAATAGAGACAATCGCACTGTCAAAAAGCTCTTGTCCTTGATCATCCCGGGACCAGTGGACACACTCGATAACGACCTCTCGAAACTCTTCAACCGATTTAGCGTTCTTTCGGCTGCTGCCTATATCGATACGTCTGATGCCTACGTCCGATCCCTTATTTCGCGGGCCCGGTCCTTTTGCGACTTCAGTCAAGCCGCTGAGAACACTCGTTCCGTTTGTATCAAAGCGCTGGGGCTTTTGGCGATACAGGTGCACCAACTTGGTCTTCCCCTGGACGGAGCGTTAGATTGGGCTGAGGAAATGACCAATACTCTCGTCATTGAGCACTGTCGCGAGACATCGCACGAAGCGCTGCTAGAGAGCACATCGGCAGCGCGTTCCATATGTCTTTTGCTATCGTCTATACGCGCTGTCATAGAGCGAACCCTTTCGGACGACAGAAGGGCCTATCCAAATCCTCGATTTTTATGCGGCGGTGAGCAGTTTATTGTGTATCGCCGTGTACTGTGACTGAGAAAAAGCATAGGCTGGGTTCGTCGACCCTTGCAAACGTCCACCAACTTGTTCAAGGCTGCCGATGTCAGTGACCACCTTCGGCGGATCATACTCGCGTTTTTCGCCGCACGCTCTCGAGTGATCCCTGAGAATGACTCACAAAACAAAGATCCGGAGAGCCAGGACGAATTTGGTCATCTTGAGATCGACCTCGAGGATCCGGAAGTGTTGCTTGCTTTAGGAGATTCTGCGGGGCCCCAGGCAGCTTTTCAAAAGGAAGGGGAGGTCAGCAAGGTTTGTATCATAACAATGCTCCTCGTCCTGTGTACCATCCTGACGCCTATATAGGTCGTCATAACCAGCATCCTCCCTGGACTGTATCGTGTCATCTGCTCCTTTGCAGAAGATTCTGACTCTCTTGAAGAGGAAGAAAAGTGGCAGTCCGCCGTCGAATGGATTGATTGTTGGTCACGATGCGTAACACTGGCCGCAGAGGCCATCGAGGTTGGCAAAGTGGTGAGAGATACCTGCGCTCATAGAAACCCATCGTATGCTGACGTATCTGCAGAATTGGCAGGCGTTTTTCGCGAACGCGACGTACTCGTGGAGCAAGATCAAAGACGATCTGTGGAGCCATCGTTTATCTCTGCTGTTCATGAATGCAATTTTGCAGCGGAGACCGTGTGTGTTCAAGGTTCGAGGTCTCATCGTAGATTATCTAAAGTATCTCTAACGAGTCATTGCAGATCCAAGCGGACCAATTTGTTGGAACATGGATCGTGTCATTGGTGGCCGCGTGTGTCACGGTCGAGTGCGACTACACTGTTGTCCTTTTCGCTTCAGGTTCAGATCATCCTCTGCTTGAATATGTGCGAACCGAATGCGACGTGGCGATGTGTACGCACTCCCAAGATGCGTTCTCGAACCATCGCCTCGTCTTCATCAAGGGTGAGTGTTGTTCCTGCTTCATGTGTTGATGTGCGAATTATACGAGAATTCTTTAGCTATTCTTGCGGCCATCGTTCAGGTGGCACAAGCAGATGGCCGTCACCACTCCGAGATTTGCTTGCACTTCTTGGGACGTATGCTCCGGATGATGGAGATTAATCTCGAGGTGGGTTTGCATATCGAGGCCCTATATGTGTGCGGTGAATTGACATCGAGCGGCCGAATTTGTCTTCAGACTCCGATTCCGGAATCCAGTTCGAGCACGCCTCCGGAATATCGGTTCTTTTGTGCCCAAGTCTACGATGCGCTTCTAGATCTTCCGTCGCTTTCCAGCTCCCGTGTGCTGTCGCCACATATGCAACGGTTGGGTGAGACTCTCCGGCCGCAACGTGATGCAGATATAGTCAAATATTAGAAAGTTGGATCTACGATAGCCATGCATCCTGATGCACACCAAGACATTCACCGTAATAACGCTGAACCGGTTGAGACTATGCTCTCGAACTCAGACAGAGCTTGATGGTGACGATCCCATAGGTAAACTGGGTGGACAGCCTCACTCTTCCGCCAATGCTAGTGCTTGCTCGAGATCGTCTTCCCCAACCAACACCGTCGGTGGTGGGGCACTACCGTACCAGAGCCTCTGTCCGACGATCACTGGCAAAATAAGAGTATGAGTGTGTGATAAACGATACGTCAGGGTAGAGCATCATACCGAAATCTATAGATAATTGGAATATCGCGCAGACCTTGAATTGCAAGGGCGACCCTTGCATGAAGAAGTAGATGGTCCTGAATGATCAACGGTCACGACGATGAATGGCGGTCAAACTGCTCTGAAACGTGACATACTTGTAAGAATCCCCGCCAACCCAGCCGACAAGTGTGGTCATCCTAAAGCCGTACAATGTGCGAAGCTTGGCGTTGCTGGAAAGAGTTTGAATACGACCGACCAAGAACAGGATGCAGGGTCGAAAGCCTCATACCTCACTAATTGCGGGATTGGAAGGGTCGACTCTAGACCTAAGGCCACATATCCCAATATCTGCACAAAGACATCCATTCTCCCGAAGATGAGGGTCAAAATGGTCAAGCAGAGACTGGGAGAACCTTTCCATGTTAGTGAAGTTGGTGTGATGAGAGTAAGCAGGCAGACTTACATGTAACCAGCCAAAAACTCGATATGCTGCGTGTACGTTGGCCACTGCCAAAAAGAAAATAGCCGCGTGGATGTACCAAGGCCCTCAGGGCTGAGGCGAGGACGATACAGAATACATATATAAAGCAGAGCGAGCTGAGCTTCTTAGCTTGTACAGCACATGCTGGCTTCAGACAAACGATTTGAACAAGACGTACCTGAGCCAGGATCATCAAGATAGACTGCAAAAGCAGCGCAAATTCGAATCGACTGCCAATCCAGAAGAAAGCGCGACAGATATTCGAAAGGAGTCTATGTGGAGTGGCCGATAAGCATTAAGCGAACAGCGAACACTTTCATCGACTCACAAAACAGCACAGACGTCTCTTGAGAAGCCGGTAGCATCCCTGACACGTAGGTTACGATGAGTTGAAGGACAACGGTAGGGCCTGAGGGGCTATTACTTACTTCTTCCGAATGATGGAGACGGCCTGATCAGCGTATACAAGGGGAGGACCAACGGCCATACCAACGGAGGCAATTACTGACAACCATGCTGGAGCCATGGATATCAATACACTTTTGGAGTACTCGAGAGTAGTATTAAGACAGGTGAGGAACCAACACGTCAAGAAACCGGAGCGTGGCATACCCTAACCTAGATCCTAGGTCCGATCCAAAATAAGACAGAGCTCATTCCCGGCCAAGGGCAAGAGGTGGGCGGAATTGGAATCCGGCACACAGCTCGGACATTCGGCTACTGAATTCTCACGACGGGGGTTGTCGTAACATGCCTTCTGAATTACCATTTTGGGCTGCGTGGCCGATCCGAGAGCGCCATTGTGGCCCGTACCGCTCTGTGGTATAATCGTTACTTCATGCAGAAGTATCCTTTGAGGACTTCGATTTTGGTGTCCTGCATCAAAAGGCACTCGCTCTGAGCAGTAAAATGAGCTGGAATGCTCATCAACGGTTCTCCAGACTCACAAACACCACAGTGCCACTCAGCTTCATGCGCGTCTGCTCCGCCGGTCGCATTGCTCGAAGCTGCCTTTTAGGGCAACATTACGACAACCTCCCCCCCGTGGGAATCAAATAGCCGAGGACCTTCCCATGTCTGGGATTGCAATTCCGCCCACCTCTTGGCCAAGGGGGTCGCGGGATGTGAATCCCGGACCCTGGGTTAGGTAGGTAGGTCGGCCGTGAGGCCGGGAAAAAATATTTGGACCACCCCTAGTCTAGGGTCAGGGCGGGGGTTTTGCAGCCAAGTCGCGATGTTGGGACATGGCTGCGCAGCAATCTCACACAGTTTTCCTTTCAAAAATCTAAAAACCTCGTATTCTTCGTGTGCGACCCACTCTTGTTCCAGAAATCTTCGGGATATGGAGGTTGTACAGGTCAGGGCATGCCACGAGTACCAGGACCCGTGAGTACCTGCAACGGATACTCGTAAGGCACACCATCGGGTACCTGTATCCATGGATACAGATACTCGTTCCCACGGGTGGTTGCACGGATACAGGTAGTGCTTCAGGTCCCACAGGTACCCGTGGGAGAGTACCTGCCATATCGCGGCGGAATTTGCCGGAGGCCAGACGTGCATCCAGTGATGCTTTGCTGGCACATCTCTCCTCACTCTTCTCCGAGCACACACCACCATCGACAGAGTTGACACGTCGTGTTTCTGTCCATGGTGGTGATGCTTATTCTAGGCACTGGTTTCTATATCTATTGGTACTTTGTTGAAGAGATTCGGTGTGTTCATTGTTGGGAATGATGGTACTCAGGACCTGGTGAGTACCTCCCTCCCACTCTTATCGTAAATTTGCTCGTTCTCACCCAATTCCGCGTACATTTCCAATGTTGCGGGGTCAATCGACGCGGATTAATGTCCGTCATCACCTCCTGTACTTGGTTTGACGTGATTTGGCCCACCCGTTGTCGAGAACGATGACATTGACCTGGTGAGTACCCCCTGCTACCTTCTATCGTAAATTGCTTCGTTCTCACTCAATTCCGTGT